TGGATGCCACGCGGCAGTCATTAGCAAGGACGAAATTTGTTTTGTTTTTTGGTTTGTTTTAGTTATTAAACTTCTTGCATGCACAAAGTCTGCAGAAGAAATACTAAAAGAAAGCAAAACATACCCCTTTGACATGAAAATTGAAAACACAAGTATAACAAATGAAATAAATGCCGATATATTATCGATTTCTTGGGAACTCTGAAAAAAAACAAGAAGAACGTTATTTACACAAGGACAAAGACAAACCTGCAAACTCAAGTCCAAAACCTTTTCTATGCTCTTGGAAAGTAAAGGGATGATATAATGATATTCATAAATGATACATTAAGTACTCACTAGTCACTACATTGAAAGATTTTTATTGGAAAAAAGAATAAAATCTACGGTCTATAAGTATGTCAAATTGTACAAATGATGGTACGTCCTAAATGATTTTTGTATGGTAACAATAAAATTATAAAAAATCCCCCACTAATTATCCTGAAACTAAGCTAAAGAATGTCAAAATATAAGAATTACTAATATTATAGTACAATTAATGTTTTCTGAGTTCTGACAAATACTCTTTTGAGACAAAATTGCTGTTCCATAGACCTTTGAGGTTTGACCCGCCACGTGGACTGAGCCTCTTCCTTCCATCATTCCTCACGCGTTAATCAGTGCGTGAATACCACGTTTATAGAAGTCTCTTTCGTTTATTAATTATAACAAAACGTATTAATATAAAATTATAAATAGAGAAAATAAAATGGGTCCTACTGGATCAGGAGGAAAGCAAAAAGCAGACGGTAAGTGCGGAGCAGAGCCGCGTCATTGGTTGAGAGACGTTGTTAAATCCACGCGCGACCAGCGAGCGTCAAGCTCGAGGCTGTAATGTCCCTTTCTCCTAAGTTCCCTTCCTTTATGTTCTCTTCTATTTATTGAAAAGCTGTCGTTCGTAAATTCTTTTTTTGTTTTTGTTAATTTACAAACTCAACCTATTCATTATTCAAAACTGTCATGAAAAATTCATTTTAAATTGAGAAGATATCTGAAATGTAGTTTAATATTGTAAGAAAATACAAAATCTAGATTCTCTCCTTGGCACGCTCTCTCTTGTTAATGTCTGCTGCATATTCAGAGATTCTTTTACTCTATCTCCCTCTCTCTCACTAGTCACTGTCTTTTCGCTTGCCTTGTGCTTTTAATCTCTCTTTCTTTGTCAAGTTAACTTCTCTATCTTCTACTTTCTCTTTTCTCCATTGTTGTTGTTATCTCTTTGTTTCTAACTGGTAATGAGTGAAGCTAAAACCGGCACCGGCAATGAGAAGCTCGTGGTGGAGATAGTAGGGGCTCACAATCTCATGCCAAAAGATGGGGAAGGATCTTCGTCTCCTTTTGTGGAAGTGGAGTTCGAGAATCAACGTCTCCGAACTAAGGTCAAACCCAAAGACTTAAACCCAATCTGGAACGAGAAGCTCGTCTTCCACGTTATCGATGTCAACGACCTCAGACACAAAACCCTAGAAATCAGCGTTTACAACGAGAAGCGTTCCTCTAACAGCAGAAGCTTCCTGGGAAAGGTTAGGGTTTTGGGTTCCAGCGTTGGAAGAGAAGGAGAGTCAGTGGTTCAACTCTACACTCTTGAAAAGAGAAGCCTTTTCTCGTCTGTGCGTGGAGAAATCAGCGTTAAACACTACATGACCACAACGGCGGAGAACAGTGAGAATGTCCGTCGGGTTAACGGGTCGGGTGGTTCAAAGAAAAGCAAGAAAGTACAGAACTTGAGCTCTTCCATGGCGATTCAACAACAGCAACAACAACAGATTGCTCTTCACAATCACAACAGAGGAAATCAACAACAGAATCAGCAGAATGGTCAAGGACAGAGGATGCTACCGTTTTATCCAAACCAAGGTGAGATAAAGCCTCTCGTGATAACCGCTCTTCCCGGTCCAATGCCCGGACCCAGACCCGTCGTTTACTCAAATGGGTCGAGTGAGTTTTCGCTTAAAGAGACAAAGCCATGTCTTGGAGGAACTGGTAGTGGTGTTGGCGGTTTGACTAGTCACAAGGACAAAACAAGCTCGACTTACGATCTAGTTGAGCAAATGCAGTACCTTTATGTGAGGATCGTGAAAGCTAAGGACTTGTCGGTATCCGGCGAAGTCGTGTCGGAAGTGAAATTGGGTAATTACAGAGGAGTTACTAAAAAAGTGAGTTCGAATTCCAGTAATCCCGAGTGGAATCAAGTCTTTGCCTTTTCCAAAGAAAGCATTCAATCATCCGTTGTTGAGCTTTTCGTCAAAGAAGGTAACAAAGATGAGTATACGGGTCGGGTCTGGTTTGATTTAAGCGAAATCCCAACCCGCGTTCCTCCGGATAGTCCGTTAGCTCCGCAATGGTACAAGATAGAGAATATAAACGGTGGTAGAAGCAATGGAGAGATTATGGTGTCAGTGTGGTTCGGGACTCAAGCTGATGAGGCTTTTGCTGAGGCGTGGCATTCAAAGGCTGGAAATGTTCACATTGAGGGACTCTCATCGATCAAATCAAAGGTTTACTTGTCTCCTAAGCTATGGTATCTTAGGGTGTCAGTAATTGAGGCTCAAGACGTTGCAATTATAGACAAGGGATCAGGTCTCATGAGGTTTCCAGAGCTTTCGGCGAAGCTTCAAGTCGGGAGTCAGATACTGAGGACTGCAGTCGCATCTGCAAGCCCCACACATAGCTTTTCAAATCCTTATTGGAACGAGGACTTGATGTTTGTAGTTGCTGAGCCGTTTGAGGATTGCATTACAATTGTTGTAGAGGATCGTCTTGGTGTTGGTGCATTAGGAGGACAAAACGATGTGGCTGTTGGGAGGGTTCAGATTCCGGTTTCCGCTGTTGAAAGACGAACCGGAGATACACTGGTTGGTTCAAGATGGTTTAGCTTAGATAACGGCAACAATAACAACCGTTTTGGTTCGAGGATTCATCTTAGATTGTCACTAGACGGTGGCTACCATGTTTTGGATGAGGCAACAATGTATAGCAGCGATGTTAGACCGACTGCGAAAGAGCTTTGGAAACCGCAAGTTGGGCTTTTAGAGATTGGGATTCTTAGTGCGACTGGTTTGATGCCGATGAAGGTTAGGGACGGGAAATGCGGTGGAACTGCGGACTCCTACTGTGTGGCTAAGTACGGGCCTAAATGGGTCAGAACAAGAACCGTTGTGGACAGTCTTTGTCCAAAGTGGAACGAGCAGTACACTTGGGAAGTGTACGACCCGTGCACAGTTGTTACCGTCGGTGTGTTCGATAACGCACGTGTCAATGGAAACAACAACTCGCAGGATGTGCGGATTGGAAAGGTTAGGATAAGGTTGTCTACGTTAGAGACAGGACGGGTTTACACGCATTCGTATCCGCTGATTGTCTTGCATGCCACTGGAGTAAAGAAAACCGGTGAGCTTCATTTAGCGGTTAGATTATCTTGCGGTAACGCTGTTAACATGCTTCAAATGTATGCGTTACCATTGCTTCCGAAGATGCATTATACTCAGCCATTAAGCGTTCATATGCTTGAGCGTTTGCGGTATCAATCGCTAAACGCGGTTGCGGCCAGGCTGAGTAGAGCTGAGCCACCATTGGGCCGTGAGGTTGTGGAATATATGCTCGATCATGATTTCCATGTTTGGAGTATGAGAAAAAGCAAAGCTAATTTTTTCCGGCTGGTTAACGTGATTTCCGGTTTGGTCGCGGTGGCTAAGTTGGTTGAAGTTATGAGAAGTTGGATTAAACCGGTTTACTCGACGGTTTTTGTTTTGACATTCTTGTTTATGGTTCTGTTTCCGGAGCTTCTATTGCCGTGTTTGTTTCTTTACACCGCTGCGGTTGGCGTTTGGCGTTTCAGGCGGCGGCCTAGATATCCACCGCACATGGACGCGCGTATCTCTCACGCAGAAACTGTGTTTCCCGATGAGCTTGATGAAGAGTTTGACACGTTTCCGACGAGCAGAGGATTCGATGTTGTGAGAATGAGATACGATCGAGTTAGGAGCATCGCCGGGAGGGTTCAGACAGTGGTTGGTGACATGGCAAGTCAAGGAGAGAGGGTACAAGCTTTGCTGAGCTGGCGTGATCCACGTGCTACGTTTCTCTTCTTGGTGTTTTGTCTCTTCGCGGCGGTTGGGTTTTACTCCGTGCCGGTTAAGTTGACAGTGGCTATTTTCGGTTTGTATTATCTGAGACCACCTCGGTTTAGGAGAAAGCTTCCGTCACGAGGGCTTAGCTTCTTTAGGCGGTTGCCGTCTAGAGCCGATAGCTTGCTCTAGAACATGTCGAGAGTATTTATCGTCTTCGTAGATTATTAGCGACTTTAGTTTTTGGTACGCTTCTTGGTTCAATGTATTTAATTTGTTTTGGGTTATGTAAACAACCGGTGTTTGAACAAATGAATGAAAGACCGAACCGGTTTAGGCATTGTACCAAACCTGTTGTGTTAATGATTAGGATGCTTTGCTGTTCATTACAAAAGTTTGCTAACTGCTTGTAGTTTTTTCGTTTTTGGTCCCCGCTTGATGAATTTGTTAAGTGTGAAAAACAAATTAGACATCAGACATAATTCATTAATATACCCTTATTGATTCACTAAATTTAAGAATTTGCCAACATTTTATGAATTGCGATTCAATACCTCCTTCAAGTCCAGGATAAGATGCTACGAATTATTATATCAACTGATTTTCAGATATATCTCAAATATTATTTGTTCAATCGAGGAATTATCAAAAATTCGAAATAATATGTTAGGATTACAAATAGGGTTACAGTGCCCTCTAAATTTTATCATGCTAGAAACACGAAAGAATAGAAAATATAAGGGTATATTTAAAATAGTAAAGATTGTGTTTAGATAATCAAGAACAGGGCATTTCAATTAGAGAGAAAAAAAGGAGATCCTTTTTAGACCATCCTCAGCTATGTCCTCCTGTCTTTCCATTTAGGTTTCTTCGTCGTTCTTCACCGTAAATAGTCCCGACCCATCTAGAGGACGGAGCCGCCGGCGAGGAAATTCGGGCAGATTAGATCGGCGATTTGGCCTTGTTTTCAACGAAGATCCTCTTGTTTAGGGTTTCGTCCTTGTTTTGGCCGCATCTATGGATTCTCTGTCAACTGTGGTATTGATATGAATTTCAGCTTTCATGATGACGGAATCTATCTGGTTACACGATCAACCTTCTCCTCGGTCGATGATACCGTCACCAAAACCAGTGGCTAATGTCCATCGCCAGAGGTCAGGACTAGCTTATTGACTTGAGTTTGAATTATGAATTTTAGTAGTAGAACCTTTTGATGCCTCTGAATTATAGAAACTTGGAACTACTTTGTTCATGTTTAGGAGAGATCTAGCGTTAGATCAAGTAATAAGAAGGCTTGTTTAGGAGATCGTTCAAATTCCGGATGCTGATTTCTGATACTTGTTTTACGATGGCTATACAAGTAGTTGTGAAGTGATAGATCTCATGTACTATGGACTTTTGGAACCCTAATCGTGTTCACAAGGAAAATTATGGGGCTTTTGGTGAATCTGGCCTAGTTTCAGCAGTTAAGACAGCAGTATGGCTTGGAAGTGAATCTTGAATTCTTGCTTGCAGCCTAAAATTTCATGTTTTTCGGGTGCCCTGACTAATCCTGTCAGCTGCTGATCTGGCTAGATCGCTCATAATATGGTTTGAGTATGATTATTCAGGTGTAGGAGCGTCTTCAAGTTACTGGTCCAGAGGGAAATTTCACCAAAAACAAAGTTTGTGCCAAGAAAACGGTGGGGTGAAAACCGATGGGATGCTGATTCGTCGTGTGGAACCACTAGCGAACCAGTGAGCGAGCAGGGACATAATCTTATTTCTTGGTACCTTGCTTTCATCGCTTCTTCGCTCCTCTATTATGTGATCCCTGCCTCCTTTCGGGCATCTGAATGTAGACTTCATTCCTTATATGTAGGGTTGAGGCAGAGTCATTGCAGTATTTATCTGCTAAATACTGTCCTCTTGTACCTCCTCCAAGGTCAACTATTGCAGCAGCTTTTAGCTCTGATGGAAGAACTCTTGCCTCTACACAGTAAGTATTATGAGTTATATTTGTTGTAATTTAATATTTTTCGTTCGCTAATGAGATTTGTTTTTTGTATTTTTATCTTGTAGTGGTGACCACACTGTAAAAATTATTGATTGTGAGACAGGAAAATGCTTAAAAATTTTGACTGGCCATCGGAGGACACCCTGGGTGGTGAGTTAGAGACTGCTATCCCTTTTCTCTTAACTTCATTAACTCTATGATTAAACATGGTTATTAGGTAGCACTTAACTTGACCACAACTGTTTCTCGATTACTTAATCTTATCTCATTGAAATGATTACTGGTGGCTATCTTTGTCATTGGTTTTGTAGGTTGGATAATTAGTGTCAGTTTTGTAATATTTTTGTTTAGGTGTAGCATGTTAGTCAATACTTGCAATGAAATAACCTGATTTTGGTTTACTTGATTAGATAATTTGCTCTGCGTTATACCCACTACTTTATTATCTAATGTTATTGTTTTCTCTACAGGTCAGATTCCACCCGCGCCACTCAGAAATAGTTGCTAGTGGAAGTTTAGATCATGAGGTGCGCTTATGGAATGCAAAAACTGCGGAGTGTATTAGAACTCATGATTTCTGTAAGTGCCAGGCATTATATTCTTTTTTTCTTTTTCTTTCTTCTACTTTTTCATCTAATTAACTCTCGTCCCTCTTCCTCTTCTCACTAAACAGATCGACCTATTGCTTCCATTGCTTTCCACGCTGATGGTGAATTACTTGCTGTTGCATCTGGTCATAAGGTATCTTATTCCCTTTTGAATCTCTCATGAAACGCTAGCTAGTTGCAGGTGGCTTATCCTTTCAGAATAAAGTATCTGATATAAAGGTCTCTTAAAGTTTGACTAATGCCTTTTTTCTTTTCTTTTGAAGCTGCACATTTGGCATTATAATAAGATAGGGGAGGACTCGTCACCAGCAATTGTGTTGAAGACAAGGCGTTCCCTGAGAGCTGTACACTTTCATCCACATGGGGTTCCTCTTCTCTTGACTGCTGAGGTGAGCTACAGATTGAGGATTGGGTTAATGTTCTGCCACTTTGTGGGCTTACTCTATTAACTATAAATGGCAGGTGACTGACATTGATTCATCAGATTCCGCAATGACAAGAGCAACATCTCCGGGTTATTTGCGATATCCGCCCCCTGCTATTTTCTTCACCAACACACAAAGTGGCAGTCGTACCAGTTTGGCAGCCGAACTGCCACTTGTGCCATTACCGTACTTGCTCTTGCCTTCATATTCTCCTGATGATCCAAGAATACAATATTCTAGTGGTGCTACTGGTCCAAGGACTGCACAAACGAGGTTTCAGAGTAACCAAAGTTCTGTAGAACTAGGCAGCAGAACAATTTCACCTTCTCCTCTTCCCATGGCTACGTCTGCTGATCTTTCTGGTTCCTATCATGTCCCAGACAATTCTGCTGGTAATACATTTACTGCCCAAGCTGGAGCTAGAAATTCTACCACTGCAGTTGATGCCATGGATGTAGATGAAGCTCAACCTGCTGGAAGAAATAGAGTTCCCAGTCAAGTTTCAAGTCAACCAGATTTACTCGAGTTTGGACAACTTCAGCAGTTATTTCACTTTAGAGACAGAGGTTCCTGGGAGTTACCTTTTCTACAAGGGTGGTTGATGGCTCAAAGCCAGGCTGGTGCTAATTCAGTGGCTCTTCCTACTGGTAGTAGTGGTCATGTCAACTCAACTCCTTATACGGGTTCTTCATCCACAGCCAGTCTAGAGGCCGGAGTAGCGTCATTAGAAATTCCTGGAGGTGTTAACTTATATGGGGTTTCTGCAAGAGGTGACTCCCGGGACCGAATTCTACAGTCCCGCTTCGCAGGATCTGGTTTAGCAGAAGGTCTTTCCTCTCGTAACACTCAACATGAAGGAGCTGATACTCAACCTGTGGTAAACAGAATCCCTTCTGAACTGGCTACTTCAATTGCTGCCGCAGAGTTGCCTTGCACCGTCAAACTGAGAGTGTGGTCACATGACATCAAAGACCCATGTGCAATACTGAAGTCTGACAAATGTCGATTAACAATACATCATGCTGTTCTTTGCAGGTAAATTTTCTCCTTGTACTACACTTAGATGATCGTGATGCTATATAACATTTCTCCTTTTGATGGAGATACATGATGTGTGTGTTTATCTTTGCAGTGAGATGGGAGCCCATTTTTCCCCATGTGGGAGATATTTAGCAGCCTGTGTTGCATGTGTTATTCCTCATACTGAAACAGATCCAGGTTTGCAGACACTGGTCCAACAAGATTCAGGGCTTGCAACTTCCCCTACTCGACATCCTGTCACAGCACATCAAGTCATGTATGAACTTCGTGTGTATTCTCTCGAAAAGGAATCGTAAGTGCTACTTCCAATTGTTTTTCTTGTCTTAATTATTACCTTCTTCAAAATTTTACACAGCAGAGAACAGAAAACTCAAGAGAAAGTTTCTTATGTATGTCTACAGATTTGGTTCGGTACTTGTGTCCCGGGCAATTAGGGCTGCACATTGCTTGACCTCTATCCAGGTTAGCCACGTTTAGGGAATTGTTGGATTGAATATGTGTTAGACATAAGTCTCCGTTGCAACTTTTTTCTAGACATAACATTGTTCAAGATTGTTTAAGTACTTCATAACTGCAAAGTTCCTTGACATTTTCACCCCTAATAGTAATAAAGTTGTTCACATGTATTACTGTGATGAAATACTTTATGATTAAAACTTTCCGTGCAGTTCTCACCAACCTCCGAGCACATTCTGCTTGCATATGGTCGGCGTCATGGTTCTCTTTTGAAGAGCATTGTGAGTGATGGAGAAACAACATCACATTTTTTCACAGTGTTGGAGGTAACGTCTATGCTCCAGTAGTTATGAATCTCTAGGCCACCAGAAAAAAGTTAACGTTTATATCATGAACTATATATATACACTTGAAATATCATACAAGAGTTAAGACTGTTTTTTTTTCCCTTTCTATTGCATCAGATTTACAGAGTTTCAGATATGGAACTGGTGAGAGTACTCCCAAGCTCAGAGGATGAAGTTAATGTTGCTTGCTTTCATCCTTCTCCTGGGGGAGGTCTTGTCTATGGAACAAAGGTATATAATCTTAAATCATAAGGTGAAATTCTTCTTGGCGCTAAAATTTTGACTTGTATTGATATTTGCTCAATATTTATCTCAGGAGGGAAAGCTAAGGATCTTCCGGTACAACACAGCTGCTGCGTCCAACCTCACTGCGCCAAATAGCTCTCCTGATGAGAACCTGGCCGAGGTAGAATTATTGACAAGGTTGACCTTGATACAATAAAAAAAATGAATGAAGGAGAACAAATTTTTTGAACTAACAAATGATAATTTCGATTTCCATCCTTGGAAAAATATGAACCACAGGTGCAGACCTATGCGTTAGAATGCTAGACAGGGAAGAATTCGGGTGTCAACCGTTCTATATACACTCTCATAGACAGATCGTGCATTGCGGGCTTATTTATCTTCCTCTGTTTCTTTTCGGGTAATTCCTCTCATTCTGCTTGCTCGCGGTGCTATTAGTTGTCCTGAACCGAAACCTGAGAAGCTTTTACCATTCACAAGCTGGTGGTATCTTTTTCTTTTTCTCATATACTGTGGAGGGCCACAGGTTGGGATGGCCTCTCTTCGATTTGCGACCCTTCTTTTCTTTATTAAAAAAAAAAAAAAAAACGAAGCAGGTTTCTGAGTCTGTTGTTTAAAAAGACTGCAGAAAAATGTTAAAAAAAAAAAAGTTTTTTGTTTGTTGTAGCTTTGTATCTAAGATTGTAATTTGTAACCACGTTTTTTCCTCTGTAAGATCTTTTTTCCACTATTTTCTTTTGTTACCTAGAAAACGATTCTCATTAAGACGTGGCGGAGACTTAAGAGGGAGAACAGGTTTAGGTCTTGAACGGTAACATTTTCTGAAACTGTTATAATCTTATACTCGGTTGTTTCTTAAAACAGATACAATAGCTTATGCCAATCAACAAAAAAGGATCATCAACCATTCCCTTTAGAACTCAATTCTCTAATTTGGTGGACTCCATTTTCCAGCGATAAAGTCCTTGTAGAATTTAGACCTCTTTGATACGATGTAGAAGACTGTAACCAACGAAACCCCAAAACAAGAAGAGAGTCATCAATAGATGCAAACGAAGTTGGTAGCAACTGTAGAAAAATGATACAAATGTGATAATACAAACTAACCTGGAATCTCAGGGATGACAAACTTAGGTTCTTTCAACACGTCATGCAATGTTCTTCTCTCGTTCACTTTAACCATACCCGAAGAACCTTTCACTTTTGCCCAAATTCAAGGAATGTATGTTATATAAAAAGATTGGCAATGCAAAGTGCATATAATATCACAAGTTGAGTATTCTTACTGTAGGAGGGTGTTTTGGTTACACTCGTGTCCTCTTCACCGGTAGTTTCAGCTTGAGAACCTTTTGTACCTTCTAGAAGATACTGGAGAACTCTACTCCTAGGCAATGGAGTTCCTGAACTCGCCTAGAGAAGAGAAAAATCCCTGATGTTACTACAAGTGCTTCATATAACAACACACTTTAGTCTAAAGAGTTTGTCACTTTGCAACGGAGATGTTTGATTAAATCATCAATACAAAAAAACAGACTCTCTTGGAAATCGCAGTTGTTAAAACAGAAGCATATGTAAGAATCTATGATGTGGACATTTAAACAGAGAATGGCTAAGCTGAAACATTTTGACTGCAAATACAATTGTTATATAGCGCAGGAAAACCTAAAACAAGAGTAGAGTTTGTTATAGAGGAATGATATATGGGTGGAGGAGGAACTGATTACCTCGTAGTAAAGCTCAATAACATCCCGCGAGTATTCGTTGTTTTTATCCCATGGCAGCGGCGGGCTGTCCTCTGAAAACATGTTTAGAGCGCTAAGGAAGGACATAAAATGCATCGAACAGAGGTAATCTATAAAGGTTATCCAAATGAGATGCAAGAATAAGAAAAGAGATTGAAATGGAAACTGGAAAAAGGATATCATATCAAGATGAGTTGCAAACATGTCTGTTTCACAAAAGTCCTCGACGAAGTCACTTGTCATGGCCTCAGCGTAAAGAAGCAAGACAGGCCAATGAAGAATGTTGTTTTTATCTAACATCGGCTTCTTCAAACCCGTGAGTTCTCGGTACATTGCTTTGCCAATCTTCACTCCTCTGTTCTCGATAGCAGAGAGACAAGCCTGTAGTGAAACCAAAGGAAAACCGAATCAAATAAATGCTAAGCGTTATATGGCTTGTAATGTATTTTCAAGTAAATAAAACCTTGGCTTCAACCACAGCCCTTGAAACTTGAGCCTCATGTTGTTCTTTCTCTTGCTTCTTTGAATTCACCAGTTTCAAAAGCTTCTTCATGTCCTCATTACTCGGATCATTCTCAATTCCCTTTTCACAATAAGACTTTGCTTCGTTCAGCAAATCCAATGACATTGATGCCTTTGCAGCTCGATACACCGCCTTTCGAAGCATTGGAAACCCGTCAGATAAAACAACCAACAACGAAATCAAAGAGAAATGTTTATGGTGGTTTACCTTAACGTTATGAGGACATAACCTCATTGATTCCTCAGCATCAGTGAGGGCACGCCGATAGTTGCCTAAGAGTAGATTAACATGAGATCGATTCGAGAACAAAATTGAGGTCTCTGAGTCACTTAGAACTCCCTGATTAATGGCTTTCGTGTAACAATCAATCGCCTCGGAGTAATGCTTTTTCCCTTTCCTCACACATTCATTGCCCTGTTCCTGTGTTTAAACAGCAAAGGAATGAAATCGAATACTACATTAGACATCAAATCAAACTACAATTTGGAGGGAAGAGAGGGAGAGAGTACTTTGAATTCGATGGCGGCGGATTCTTTGAGAGCAGAAATAGCTTCAAGATCAGCCTTTTCGTTCTCTGTTGTAGGCGTCGCTCCAGCGTCCATCCATAACGCCATTGATTCGCAGCAGAAAGATAGAAAGCAAACACTCGAAGATTCGATTAACCTAGAAGACTGAAGCTGAGAAGCAGGAGAAGAAAAGAAGCTTCTAGTTCTTTGGAGGGAGAGAGGAAGAGAGACCGGTTCTTTCATATCGTTAACCGAATACCGGTTTAATACTATCGTCCCGGTTCGACCTCAATGGCCTTCGTGGGCCTAGATTGTGTGTATGAGAGAGACTATTAGATCATTATGGGCCCAAATAGCACCAAATGAGTTTTCTGCGCTTACAAAGGAATTTTTTTGCGTCGAATAAAATCCAGTGAGATTTCGTCTTCAATAAAGGTGTGAGCGGGGACAATGTAAAAGGTCGGTGACAAAGAAAACGACAAGTGATAGAACTTTCTTAGTAGTACCATAGTTGAATTTAAGGTTCAACAGCCCTAACTTGGCCCGTACAGTAATGAAATCTGGAACAGCAGTTACTATTACATTCACATTCACCAATCACTGTACCAAATAGCGAGATAGGAATTAAATTGTGTTGGGTTGGTTTCTTAAATCATCAATAGACAATAATAGATTGATAAGACTTGCAACAACTGAGTGTTTATAACTCGCTTAGCTTTGTTAACATTCCAGGCAGTGTCAGAGTTTAAGCACAATACGCACGCTTCTTAGGTCATGTGTCACCACCTAAAAAAAGGGGAACATATGAGAGAAAAATGTGTTAGGTATATTATACTATGATTAGTTCTTTTGTTAAAGGACCACACACCACTATCATTCTATCCACGTTACACAGGGTTTGAACTTAAAGAAGATCGCATGTTCCACTATCTTTTTGTTGTTGTTTTTCCTCAATTGAACAATTTGCGTACGTAAGCGACATTCGGTTCAATTCATATACAGTGTTCATGAATTGAGCAACATATATACTATTTTTTTTTTCATCTAAGAAAAGCTACCTTTTTGAAATTTGTTTGTATGCATAAAGATAGAGCAAACGAAAGATAATGGAAAATGAGCTGGCATGGACTGAAAGTGGTACAAAAAGGGTTTGAACAAAGCCATTGCTATACCAAACAAACGCAAATGACAAAACTATTCAGCATTATTAACAACTATATTTAAAAGTGTCATTATTTCTGTTTAAAATTATAATACACTATCATGCCTTCTAGATTGTTACATCATCTTCTTATTTCTTACAAGTTAATTACATTCATTATATATAGTTGAAATTAATGTTTATTATTCGTGAAACCTTGTGAAAACGTCATTCTATATATTTGAAAAAAGTACATGCGGAAGAACGTACGTATAATCCCCATTGCGAACTAGAAATGTGTTAACGTACCGTGTATAACCAAAAGTAATATAGTAATCAAAGGACATATTAACGTACACATTTTTTTACTGAGTCAGCAATAATTGACATTAAGCAAATGTATTAGAAAATGGTATGCCACGTAAGAGGCATTACCTTGCATGAATGGCATGTGTAGTAAGTCGTCATCCGCACATCGGATGTTGTCTAAACAAACAAACATACTGGCAAGAAATAAAAAAATCATTTTTGGTTAATCTTTGGTCTTATAGTTGCGTATTGTTTGCACCACAATATTAGTTTATATTCTAACTAAGGTCCACCATTTCATCTGAATAGTCTCACACTCTCTCAGTTGAGCAAAGAGTGAATGTAATCAGATTATAGTATACGAAAAAATTGGTGGAATATATATATATATATATATATATGTGTGTTTCAACGTTTGAATTTATGATTAAAATTCGTATTGGTTTGGATCTTTGGACTATATATAAAGCCATTTTCATAGAGTCTTACGTCTTATTATCAGTGTTCAAAAAAGCGCTAGGCGCTAAGCGGGCGGTGACCCAAAGCCTAGCGCCTAGAACGCCTAATCGGGGCCTAGGAGATTTTTTAGGCGGTTTAAACGTTTATAACATAAAACATTATAAATATGATATTATATATAAAAGTTATATAAAATATCTATATAGAACTAAAAATTATGAAATTATAAACAAAAACTAGATAAAATATTTATTTATATTTATATTAAACAATATATGAATATTTATAACTATATATATAAATAAAACTCTAATTAAAATTGAAAAAATACATTAAACAAGATCTGTGTGATTTTAGGCGGTCAAAGCGGTTATTTAGGCGTCGCATAAGAGCCTAGCGCCTAGTCGGGGCCTAGGCGACCGCCTAGACCGCTTTTTAGAACACTGCTTATTATTTTACTTCAAGTTGACACATTTGTCTCATTGTTTGGTGCAGAGATATTAGATTGGTTTTCTTTATTTAATATATATTGAAACGATAACGTATATATGTCTTCACTTTCTACAAATAAATTAAAAAAAGCTGAATGTGTATACGTATATAATTAATTATATATGTACCGCACGGAATCCATATAAATTGATAAGCTAAGTGATTATATATTTTGTAAAATACCGACATGCACCTATATAGTTTGCTAATATTGCAGGTCACGTGTAGCAAGAATATTCCATGGAGCGTATAAGGTTCCTCCTCCATTGTATCCCACAATTAATTAGACACAGCTTAGATTAGCAAAATGTTAGATCCACCCATTTCAGAAACAAAAATCTACTTTTTTTGTTTGAATTATGTTAAGCAATTTCCATATAAAAAGAATACGAATAAATATTCGAGCGAATAAAAACGTAAAAAAAAACGGAATATGATTCATTGCTTACTATGGTTAAGTAAGTTTAATCATAATCGCTTTAATTGAATAACACAATAATTTGATCATAAAGACAATTGAAAAATGCAAAACCAAAAAAGTCAGATCACACACACAGACACATTGACGCATCGACGTCAAGCATCGTGAGCGCACAAAAAGCTTACGGCTTTATTAGCACAGCACACTAAGCAATACAGTAAGTCCACGAAAAAGCATCCAAAAAGGCCCAAAAGGAACCACCTTTATTAAATTCCCAATCTTCTTCCACTATTTTGTACAATCTTTATTCGATCGAACCAATAAATTTTGCATTTTTTTCTTTGGCAAATGAGAGATTAGAGAGAAACAGAAGAAAAGATTATCTCTTTTGATTTTAATTTAAGAGAAGAGAGATCTTCTCTGCTTCTTCGTGTCTCTTTTACGGATTCTCGATTGCTCTCAAGAACCCAAGTGACGTCTGGTTTCAGCTGATTTGTTTCTTCTCTCTCTCTCTCTCTTTGATCTATCAAAAGCTGGTGAGAGCCAAAGTTTCCTCCTTTTTTGTTTGTTTGTTGTTTGTATTGTTGTATCTCTGTGATCGCTTCTACGTGTTGGGTCATGCAGAGAAACTCAATTTGTTTTGATTTGCAATGTGTCAATCCACTTTGAAATATAAAAGATTCATCGCCTCTCCTTTGTTTTTTTTTCCTGTTTCTGCAGCTACGAGTTTTGGGATGTGGTGAGATGCTTGTTTTATCTCGAAGACTCCGCCGGTTGATTTTGAACAAACTTTCTCACAAATCTTTTCGATCATGGATTTTATTGAGATCTCGTTGATCTTTCGAGAGCATTTACCACTATTGGAACTCTCTTCGGTCTTCATCAACCTCATACTTTTTCTTGTGTTTCTATTTACTGTCTCTGCGAGGCAGATTCTCGTCTGTGTGAGAAGAGGCAGAGATAGAATCTCTAAGGACGATACGGTTTCAGCTTCTAATGTTAGCTTGGAAAGAGAGGTTAACCATGTTAGTGTTGGGTTTGGGTTTAAACTGTCTTTGCTCTGTTGCTTATATGTGTTAGGCGTGCAAGTTTTGGTGTTAGGTTTTGATGGGATTAAGGTTATAAGAGAAGTCAGTGACTGGTTTGTTCTTTGCGTTCCAGCTGCTCAGAGTTTAGCTTGGTTTGTCCTTAGCTTTTTAGTTCTTCATTTGAAATACAAGTCTTCAGAGAAGCTACCCTTCTTGGTGAGGATATGGTGGTTCTTGGCGTTTTCGATTTGTCTGTGTACTATGTATGTGGATGGAAGAAGGTTAGCGATTGAAGGTTGGAGCGGATGTTCTTCTCATGTTGTCGCCAATTTAGCTGTTACACCTGCTCTTGGGTTTCTTTGCTTTGTGGCGTTGAGAGGCGTTTCTGGTATTCAAGTTACCCAAAGCTCTTCTGATCTTCAAGAGCCTTTGCTTGTAGAAGAAGAGGCGGCTTGTCTTAAAGTTACTCCATATAGTACTGCTGGACTAGTTAGCCTAATTACGCTTTCATGGTTGGATCCACTTCTCTCGGCCGGTTCGAAAAGACCGCTCGAGCTTAAAGATATACCGCTTCTTGCACCAAGAGATAGAGCCAAATCAAGTTACAAAGTCTTGAAGTCGAATTGGAAGAGGTCAAAATCCGAGAATCCTTCAAAGCCTCCTTCTTTAGCTCGTGCAATTCTGAAATCCTTTTGGAAAGAAGCAGCTTGCAATGCCGTCTTTGCTGGGTTGAATACTCTCGTGTCCTATGTCGGTCCTTACTTGATCAGCTACTTTGTTGATTATCTTGGAGGGAAGGAGATTTTCCCTCATGAAGGATATGTTCTCGCTGGGATATTCTTTACTTCCAAGCTTATAGAGACAGTCACCACCCGCCAATGGTATATGGGTGTTGATATCTTAGGGATGCATGTTAGGTCAGCTCTTACAGCGATGGTATACCGAAAAGGTCTCAAACTTTCGAGTATAGCCAAGCAGAACCACACGAGCGGTGAAATTGTAAACTACATGGCAGTCGATGTCCAGCGCATAGGAGATTACTCATGGTATCTTCATGATATTTGGATGCTTCCTATGCAAATAGTTCTTGCTCTTGCAATCCTATATAAAAGCGTGGGGATAGCTTCTGTAGCTACATTGGTTGCTACAATAATCTCGATTCTTGTCACGATTCCATTGGCTAAGGTCCAGGAAGACTATCAAGATAAGTTGATGACTGCAAAAGATGAAAGAATGAGGAAAACCTCAGAGTGTCTTAGGAACATGAGAGTTCTGAAATTGCAGGCATGGGAAGATCGTTATAGAGTGAGATTGGAAGAAATGAGGGAAGAGGAGTATGGTTGGCTTCGCAAAGCCTTATATTCCCAGGCTTTTGTTACTTTCATCTTTTGGAGTTCCCCGATCTTTGTCGCCGCAGTTACATTCGCTACTTCGATATTCCTAGGTACTCAACTTACCGCTGGAGGTGTTCTTTCTGCTCTGGCGACATTCAGAATCCTTCAGGAGCCACTTCGGAACTTTCCTGATCTGGTATCAATGATGGCTCAGACAAAGGTTTCTCTTGATAGGATTTCCGGGTTCTTGCAGGAGGAAGAGCTTCAGGAAGATGCAACTATTGTAATTCCACGGGGACTTTCGAATATAGCCATAGAGATTAAAGATGGTGTGTTTTGTTGGGACCCCTTTTCTTCAAGGCCGACATTATCTGGGATTCAGATGAAAGTGGAGAAGGGTATGCGTGTGGCTGTCTGTGGCACAGTTGGCTCTGGAAAATCAAGTTTTATCTCTTGCATCCTCGGGGAAATCCCAAAAATCTCTGGTGAAGTAAGTTAATGTTTTGTGGTGTTTGTCTCAATTGCTTTACTGGTTTTATTCTTTTCTTATATTCTCTTAGTTATCATTGATCCACCTGCTGATAATTGTTCTGTAGGTTAGAATATGTGGTACTACCGGTTATGTGTCTCAATCGGCTTGGATTCAGTCTGGTAACATTGAAGAAAACATTCTATTTGGCAGTCCAATGGAGAAAACAAAGTACAAGAATGTGATACAAGCATGTTCCCTAAAGAAAGATTTAGAGCTTTTCTCACATGGGGACCAAACGATTATCGGAGAGAGAGGTATAAATCTCAGTGGAGGCCAGAAACAGCGTGTCCAACTTGCAAGGGCATTATATCAAGATGCTGACATTTATTTACTAGACGACCCTTTTAGTGCTCTTGATGCACACACTGGCTCTGATTTGTTTAGGGTAAGAAGCTATTCTATAACCTCAAGTCATGTTTTCATATTCTGAGTTTGAACGGTTGCGTAACGCGGTTATTAATGGCTATACAGGATTATATTCTATCTGCATTGGCTGAGAAAACTGTGGTTTTTGTGACGCATCAAGTTGAGTTTCTCCCTGCAGCTGATCTAATATTGGTAAGAAACTCTTTTTCTTGGTTTTACTATGTATTAATTCTGGCTACTGTTGGTCCTTTTAGAATTGCTAAAGGGTCTCTTATAGGTGTTTAGCTTACCAGCTGTGATGAACTTATCTCTATTGTAGCAGAAAGGTAAAACTGTTGAAGGAGTATTCAAACTATTTCCCTTATGACAATCTCTGAAAATGTTAATTTGTGTTGTTCAAAGGTTCTGAAGGAAGGCAGGATTATTCAATCGGGTAAATATGATGATCTGCTACAAGCAGGTACTGATTTTAAGGCCTTAGTGTCTGCCCACCATGAAGCAATCGAGGCCATGGACATCCCAAGTCCGTCCTCAGAAGACTCTGATGAAAATCCTATTCGCGATATTTTGGTCTTGCATAATCCAAAGTCAGATGTTTTTGAAAATGACATCGAGACTTTGGCAAAGGAAGTACAAGAGGGAGGATCTGCTTCAGATCTAAAGGCAATCAAAGAGAAGAAGAAGAAAGCTAAGCGCTCCCGCAAAAAGCAGCTTGTTCAAGAAGAGGAACGAGTAAAGGGAAAAGTCAGCATGAAGGTGTACTTGTCATACATGGGTGCTGCATATAAAGGGCTTCTGATTCCTCTTATTATACTCGCACAAGCTTCTTTCCAATTTCTTCAGATTGCTAGTAATTGGTGGATGGCTTGGGCGAATCCTCAAACTGAAGGTGACCAGTCTAAAGTGGATCCTACACTGCTTCTCATCGTATATACGGCTTTAGCTTTTGGGAGCTCTGTGTTCATCTTTGTTCGAGCTGCTCTGGTTGCAACTTTCGGTCTTGCAGCTGCACAGAAACTGTTCTTGAATATGCTCAGAAGTGTGTTCCGAGCGCCAATGTCATTCTTTGATTCCACTCCTGCAGGAAGAATTTTGAATCGGGTATGTAGATGTGGTATTATAACCAAAATCCACAGTGTCTGTATTACTTTTCTGATTTTGGGGATTTTATTGGTGTGCAGGTTTCTATTGATCAAAGTGTTGTGGATCTTGACATTCCTTTTAGACTCGGTGGGTTTGCTTCAACAACGATACAACTCTTTGGTATTGTCGCTGTAATGACCAATGTTACCTGGCAAGTTTTCCTTCTTGTTGTTCCGGTAGCTGTTGCTTGCTTTTGGATGCAGGTAAATCTATTTTCGATTTTTCCTCTGAAGAACTCTGAAAGTTTTTCTTTTGTAATTTAACTGGTATTAAAATCAAATGCAGAAATATTACATGGCTTCTTCAAGAGAACTGGTTCGGATTGTTAGTATCCAGAAGTCTCCAATAATTCATCTTTTTGGAGAATCAATCGCTGGTGCTGCCACAATAAGAGGATTTGGCCAGGAAAAAAGATTTATCAAAAGGAATCTTTATCTTCTCGATTGTTTTGTTCGACCTTTCTTCTGCAGTATCGCTGCTATCGAATGGCTTTGTTTACGCATGGAATTACTTTCCACACTTGTATTTGCTTTCTGTATGGTTTTACTCGTCAGTTTTCCACATGGAACCATTGATCCAAGTAAGTATCTCTAGTTCCTTTAACAAAAAAACATCAACGAGCAGCCAGTTTTTCTAATATTGATGTTTCTGTTGTAATAGGCATGGCAGGTCTTGCTGTGACATATGGGCTTAACTTGAATGGACGTCTATCACGATGGATCCTTAGCTTTTGTAAGCTTGAAAACAAAATAATCTCAATCGAAAGGATTTATCAGTACAGTCAGATTGTAGGAGAGGCCCCAGCAATTATCGAAGATTTCCGCCCGCCTTCCTCGTGGCCTGAAACGGGAACAATTGAGCTACTTGATGTTAAGGTACTATTCAAAAATACTATTTATATTACCTCTCTACACTTTCTTTCCCTGTTTTCTTATTGCTTCGTTCTTTTCAAAGGTTCGTTATGCTGAGAATCTTCCAACAGTACTCCATGGGGTAAGCTGTGTGTTTCCTGGTGGAAAAAAGATTGGAATTGTTGGGCGAACGGGAAGCGGAAAGTCAACTTTGATTCAAGCTTTGTTTCGATTGATTGAGCCAACTGCTGGAAAAATTACTATAGACAACATTGACATTTCTCAAATTGGTCTCCATGATCTCCGTAGTCGCCTTGGTATTATACCTCAAGATCCTACATTATTTGAAGGAACAATCCGAGCAAATCTTGACCCCCTTGAAGAACATTCAGATGATAAAATCTGGGAGGTATATATTAATATTTTGTTTCATACTCTATCTTGTTTATGTTTTAGATACTAAACTCTGGGAATTGGAGTTTGATTCTAGAGATTTCCTCAACTTTTCTTACAGGCGCTTGATAAATCCCAGCTTGGAGACGTTGTTAGAGGAAAAGACCTAAAACTTGACTCTCTAGGTAACTATTTGCATCAAAGTCCTCTCTTTTTTTCCCGGTCTTCTCGCTTCTTTCTACTGATTTGTGGGCTCAAAACCGAGTAGTGTTGGAAAATGGAGATAACTGGAGTGTTGGGCAGAGACAGCTTGTGTCACTTGGACGAGCATTACTGAAACAAGCAAAAATACTTGTTCTTGATGAAGCAACAGCATCGGTTGACACAGCAACAGACAATCTGATCCAGAAGATAATCAGAACCGAGTTTGAAGACTGCACGGTCTGCACCATTGCTCACCGGATACCAACTGTTATCGACAGTGACCTAGTTTTGGTTCTCAGCGACGGTTAGTCACATACAAACCAAAAACATGGATCTTTCTTCATATTACCCCCGTCTTTTGGGAGAATTCAATGTTTATGTTATGGTCTGTTGCAGGTAGAGTAGCAGAGTTTGATACTCCTGCACGGCTTTTAGAAGACAAATCATCGATGTTCTTGAAATTGGTAACAGAATACTCCTCAAGATCTACTGGAATCCCTGAATTATGATCATCCATGTTAAAATTCATTTTAGGGGGGTTTCTCAAGAGGATATATAAAAGAACTGAAATGTGACAAAAGCTTAAGGTCTAAGTAAGAGAGAGTTTTACACAGGGTTAACGAAAGGAAAAAAGCATGAAAGGATGCAAAATCTCCACGCTTAAAAAACTTTGGGGTTTAAATCTCTTCTTTCGAACATTGGGAGAAACCTTTTTTGTATGGAACAGTTAGTTTCTTTGGTTTTCATGTTATCAAATAATCTGCAAAAACAAAAGAAAGATTAGAGAATAGAAACTATTTAAATCCATCGTTCGTCATCATCCCTCAGTGTAATCTGTATTGGGCTTATAAGTGTAATCAGTACTGGGCTTATAAGTATCATATAGAGCCCAATATAACAATAGCTGCACGACGTCGTATTGTGACGTAGTACCCGATGGCAAAACGAGGCGTGTGGAGCGTGCATGTATAAATGCACATAGTGAACGAACACTCACCACGCTTCTGCATTTAATTTCTTTCTCAACGGTCGTATTTTGTTTACCCAAGGCTTCAAGTTTTTTTTATCCCTCGAGGCTTTAACTAAGTTTAATAAAAATACTTATATTGGCCAATCGTTGAAGCTATTGTTTAAATAAATTTCCATTGGTTGGGTAAAATTTAAACGGAAACCAAATAAATTTCAAAATCTTTTGTTGCTCAAAAAGGCTACACAAACTAGAATACGCAATAATATCTAACAATAACATCTCGTGAACAAGGAAAAAAAAACAGAGACACAGAGACAAGGCAGACAAAAGCCTTACAAGTGAAAAACCTTAAACAGCTTCACTTAAATATAGTTCATGTCTTTGAAAAAACAAAAGAGAAGAAGCTCCTACCTCTGCGACATACAAAGGATACTCGTGATGCAGAGCTCTTACTCTTCACGAGCTTCATCATCTTCTTCTTCCTTAGACTCCAAATCCCAGGTTTTGAATTCTCTTCACTCTTCTTTAAATACCCTTTTCTTCTTCTTCTCCAAAACCATGTTCTTCAACTACACTAAACCAAATCATTTCTTGAGCTCTCTGCAATGGAACCCAAATCCTTCCTACTCTGCATTATCTTTCTTCTCTTCTCTTCTTCTTCTTCTTCCTCAGAAATCCTGCAGAAACAGACTTACATTGTTCAGCTTCATCCTAATACCGAAACCGCTAAAACATTTGCCTCAAAGTTTGATTGGCATCTTTCTTTTCTCCAAGAAGCGGTTTTAGGTGTTGAAGAAGAAGAGGAAGAGCCTTCTTCACGGCTTCTCTACTCCTATGGCTCTGCGATTGAAGGATTTGCTGCTCAGTTGACTGAATCAGAAGCCGAGATGCTGAGATATTCACCTGAAGTTGTTGCAGTGAGACCTGACCATGTTCTTCAGGTTCAAACCACTTACTCTTACAAGTTCTTGGGACTCGACGGTTTTGGAAACTCTGGTGTATGGTCTAAATCTCGGTTTGGTCAAGGCACAATTATCGGCGTGCTTGATACTGGAGTTTGGCCTGAAAGTCCTAGCTTTGACGATACCGGAATGCCTTCGATTCCACAGAAATGGAAAGGGATTTGCCAAGAAGGAGAGAATTTCAGTTCCTCGAGCTGTAACCGGAAGCTAATCGGTGCTAGATTCTTCATCAGAGGACACCGTGTCGCTAATTCACCAGAGGAGTCACCAAACATGCCTCGTGAATACATTTCCGCAAGAGATTCAACAGGACACGGGACTCACACCGCTTCAACAGTTGGTGGATCCTCTGTTTCGATGGCGAATGTTCTTGGCAATGGAGCTGGTGTGGCTCGTGGGATGGCTCCTGGAGCTCACATTGCAGTCTATAAAGTCTGTTGGTTCAATGGTTGTTATAGCTCTGACATTCTAGCAGCTATAGATGTAGCGATTCAAGATAAAGTCGATGTTCTTTCGCTCTCCCTTGGCGGTTTCCCGATTCCTTTGTATGATGACACAATCGCCATTGGAACATTCCGAGCCATGGAACGTGGTATATCTGTAATCTGTGCAGCTGGTAACAACGGTCCAATCGAAAGCTCTGTTGCAAACACAGCTCCTTGGGTCTCAACCATTGGCGCAGGCACGCTTGATCGAAGATTTCCCGCTGTGGTTCGATTAGCCAACGGAAAGCTTCTCTATGGAGAGTCGTTGTATCCCGGGAAAGGTTTAAAGAATGCTGAGAGAGAGGTTGAGGTGATTTACGTCACAGGAGGAGATAAAGGGAGTGAGTTCTGTTTGAGAGGGTCACTTCCAAGAGAGGAAATCCGAGGCAAAATGGTGATTTGTGATCGCGGAGTCAATGGAAGATCTGAGAAAGGAGAAGCGATTAAAGAAGCAGGAGGAGTTGCAATGATCTTAGCCAACACAGAGATCAACCAAGAAGAAGATTCTATTGACGTTCATCTCTTACCAGCTACATTGATTGGTTACACCGAGTCAGTCCTTCTGAAAGCTTATGTTAATGCCACGGTGAAACCAAAGGCCCGGATAATTTTTGGTGGTACAGTGATTGGGCGGTCACGAGCACCTGAAGTGGCTCAGTTTTCAGCTCGAGGACCGAGTTTAGCCAATCCTTCGATACTAAAACCGGATATGATTGCTCCGGGAGTCAATATCATTGCGGCTTGGCCTCAAAATCTAGGACCAACCGGACTTCCTTATGATTCAAGAAGAGTTAACTTCACTGTAATGTCAGGAACTTCAATGTCTTGTCCACATGTTAGCGGCATCACTGCTCTTATCCGGTCTACATACCCGAACTGGTCTCCCGCTGCAATCAAATCCGCATTGATGACAACAGCGGATTTGTATGATCGTCAAGGGAAAGCGATAAAGGATGGCAACAAACCAGCCGGTGTGTTTGCGATTGGAGCAGGGCATGTGAATCCGCAAAAGGCGATAAACCCGGGATTGGTTTACAACATTCAACCAGTAGATTACATTACTTACCTCTGCACTCTTGGATTCACAAGATCAGACATTTTAGCAATCACTCATAAGAACGTGAGCTGCAGCGGAATATTGCGGAAAAACCCGGGTTTTAGTCTCAATTACCCGTCGATATCCGTGATTTTCAAACGTGGCAAGACTACAGAGATGATCACAAGGCGTGTGACTAACGTTGGGAGTCCTAACTCGATATACTCAGTGAATGTTAAGGCTCCAGAGGGGATCAAAGTGATTGTAAATCCTAAGAGACTGGTGTTCAAACACGTGGATCAGACACTGAGCTATCGAGTATGGTTTGTATTGAAGAAGAAAAACAGAGGAGGGAGGGTGGCTACCTTTGCACAGGGACAGTTGACTTGGGTCAACTCTCAGAATCTGATGCAGCGAGTTAGAAGTCCAATCTCTGTAACCTTGAAGACTAACTGAGCCAATGGTAGGTTTATTAGGTTTTGAGGGTTTTTATGCTAAGAAAACCTCGTGGAGCTGGATTGATTTGTTGTTATTCAATTCACTAGAGCTGTATTTCATTTTCCAGTAAATGAAACAACTCGTGATTCTATCATATACTGTAGCTTGATTTCATCACTAAAACCTAATCCAGATGCATGCCTTTGTTGTTTTAGTGGTATATTGGATCAGGTACCAATAGAGTGATAAACCCTAAATATACAAAGATCTTTAAACAGGAGGTTAAGCTGTTGTTTAACATACACAAACGACCACAAGACATATGTACACTCGTGTATAAACATATGCACATGTTTACATGTGAACGTGATATATGAGTTACAAACCAAAGAGATGTAAAATGAGGGGCATTGATGTTTTTTGCTATATAGGAATCTCTACTTACCTACTCCAGTTTCATTTGAATGCTTCATGATTCTCAGTCTTTTCACGGACCCAAGGAACATCCTGAGAACATGAAAAGATCGTTTAAATTGAAATCGATGTTCCTCATTACAAAATCAGATGATGAATGGGAAGTTATCAAGGGATATCACTTACTGCCAAGGAACATCTCCTACAAGCATCCAATCTCCGTCTTTATCTTGATATGTTATGATATATTCCGATGAGCCATCCAGCAATACCGAAGCACGTGTTTCCTTGATTGTCTTGCATCCTTGTGTGTTTGATTCTACAAGTCGACCAATCAAAACAGTCAATTTCAAGAGACACAGAATTTGAAAAGCAGAATCACATGGAATGTCATGAAACAGAATTAGTAACTGACTTGTAACAGGAGAAGGAATCTGGAAAAACATTTGTTCCAAAGTTTTCTCCAAGGCTGCATAAGAATCCAGAGCATTGAGATCAACCTTCCTTCCAATTATAACTCCGTCCATTGTCACCTTCACAAGCATAGAAGTCCTGGTAGATTTGATAAAGCAAACATCATCGTTCTTCGCAGCCACAACGCCGTTTTTTATTGTGTCCTTTTGAATGTCAGAACTCAAGCCACCTTCAGTAGCTAATGACTTTGCTTGATTGACCAAACTGTTGATTCTGTAAGTCCGTAGAGGCGGCCAACCTACGGCAGCTTGTCTGCTCCATTACCAAAAGATATTAAATCAAAAGACGAACTAGTTACTATAATACGGCATACAAAAAAGACACAGCATAACATTACCAATATAGCTCCTAACGATAATCAATCTGAGACTAATCATATACATACATAGAAGGTTATAATAACATAAAGTATTGAAGATGAATTTTTTACCTCGTTGCGTTTGAGGCAGCCGCAGAAGAAGAATCAGCAGAGCGTTTGGTCCCACTTTCCCTGGTCAGAGAAGAAGACGAGGAAGACAAAGAAGATCGAACCTTCCGACGACCTTTGAGACCAATGCTAAGACCCAAAGCAAGGTCGAGCTCTGTATCTGACACAGACTCGTCGGGGCAAGAAGAATCCTCCGACGAAAGTGTGGCGTTTTCGTCTTCTTCAGCTGGTAGTCCGATCATCACCGACCCACTTGAAGAACAAACATCTTGCAAACCATTCATTACCCCAAATTAACAAACGAAAGAAGACCAAAACGTCACTCAGTGGCTAAGAACCCTTCTTGATTCAAATCCAATCATCCATCAAGTTTGAATTAACCCATAAACCAAACGAACCAGAAAAGTTTTCAACTTTCAACACCTCTAGGATTCTGAATTTCGAGGCAGAGCAAAAAAAAAAAAAAACTTCAGATCACAGTATCGAAATTGGGAACTAAACGAGGTTTTAATCTTGATTCGAGGGCGACTTCGATTCACGGATCAAAAAGAAGGAACTTTTCTTAAAAGAGAGAGAGAAGAAATTTGGAGAAAGGAAAATCGGAAACGGTACACGAATGTGTGCGTTGCGTTTGGTGTGGGTTTGTTCGTCTAAATAAATTTATTACTTTAATTAAATACATGACGGGACCCACTTGTATACACTTCTAACGACAAGTTTTACGTTAATCCTACGCTAACTGTCATTAATCTTTGCGCAATTAAAGCTTCTTCTTCCTTTACAAGTTACACTGTTAGGGCTCCGATGGTAATCTCACCACATTTTTTTCCGAACAGTGAGATTTCACCATCTTTCATCGCCATACCAATTGTTCTTCTCCTTCGGTCCCGTTGGACCTTCCTCGCCGGATAACTCCACCGGAAGTTTTCTCAGCACTGTGGCAAGCGAAACCCTAACCGTCCTCGGAAATCGATTCACCAATCTTTCTATCTCTTCTCTTGAATCGTACACAACCTTTGGTCCCCATTCTCTCATATACTGCAGCCATGGCGGTTCTGCCACCACACCGTTGCCGCCTAGATACTCTGCCGCAATGATCTCGTACCGTGAGCTCGAATCTACGAAGAGTTCACTACGTGCAGTGTCGTTTCTTATCCCAATACCAAGCATTGTTGATCCCTGTAAGTAAGTCCCAGCCTTAGGAAAGCTTGCGTGACCATGTTTCGAAGAGTAAACAACGGCTTTGTTGCTTCCGGGAATGAATTCAAGGTTGTAAGCTTCAAACCACTCGCCGCCACTGTGTTGAGAGAAGTAGATTGAGTAAAGCTCACCTAAGAAATTGCTGATCCGGAGAGTGAAATGTTCCCAATCGCAGACGTGTTGGCCGATGCTGATCAATGAGACATCGACAAGTCCTAGTTTTAAGGTCGCTGGTCCGTTAAAAGGACAGAAGATCCAGAAGACAAGATCCGTGAACGTTCCTCCAAGAGCAGGCTTAATGTGAATGTAAAGTTTCGAACTTTCAAGGTTTCCTCGCTTGACGAAATCTCTTTGTTGATCATCACACGGCAAATCAATCCAAAACTGCTTGTCATTGCTTCCTCCTTGAGGCAAATTCGAGCCATTTTCATTGATAAGTTCATCGATCGGATTTCCCTTCTCGCAGAGAACTGCACCATTCTTGAAGAACCACGAAACAGAAGAAGGTAAGTAAGTTTCACCAGGATGGAAGACTAGTGTAGGACCATAGTGTTGAATCAAAGCTTGAATCTGATCAACATTTGGCATCGAGTGTAAACTAGTATCTAGATTCTTTAGACAAGCAATACCGATACCAATATCTTCTCTAGCAGGAACAAGCCGAGTTCTGCAGAAGAAAGTGCCCGCAGAGACACCTCTGCCCCACATGCCGCGGTCTGAAGGCCGAGTTCTCCATATAAACAAAGGAACACCTAAAGATTCCGAAACAGCAGTGACAATGACATTGTGGGTTTCACATTTATCAGTAAGATCAGCTCTAACACATCTAACTTCATTCAACTCAGGTTTCACAGAACTCTTTGTAACCACAAAACCGATCGATCTATACCCTTCAGGAGGCTGGGGTAACCAGAAGTAACCGCGTTCGCTCTTACTACTACATTCATCTTCTACTGAATCATTTGAGCTCCAGACAAGAGTAAAATCAACAGGTTTCACTAATGCAGGTTTTTCTTCATGTTCTAATGAATCTACCAAATCTCTTGCCGCAAGAAGATAACCTCTCAAAGGATGAGAATCAGATTGACAGTAATGACCTAAGCAATGGAAGTCTTTAGGAAACAATCCCTTTGGTTTGTAAAATGAAATGCTCTTGTTCTTCTCTGTGGATCTATATCGCCATATAAATTCGAAATCCGTGATTTTGATGACTTGTAATTTGCCGAGATTGATTGTTCCAGAGCCAAAGCCTTGACCTGATCAGTTTCAAAGAATGCAGACACAAAATCTGAGAGATACAGCTCAAAAATTGTTCAAAACGCAATCTTTAAGAATCTTCTTTGAAAACGCAAAACGATTTGATTGACCATTGTTCGAATTAGATTAGTGGATATAGAGATCTGATTGATAAAACCCAGTTGGATTCACGAAATTGGGGAAAATCGAGAAATAAAAATCACTTATTGGCAATGCCGAGAAAACCTAAAATTAGAATTGAAAATATTGAATTGGAAATCGCTAACAAGAGAAGTCGGGGATTGAATGGAATGGGAGTTACCTGGAGGCCAATGGGGAATGGAAGCAGGAAGAGAGAAGGTTTCAGGGTCCTTTAATGGAGGTAAATCTATAAGATTGTTCCAGTGGAGACATTTGTAACCCAACATATTCTTCTCTGATCTCGCGAAACCCTAATCAGGAAGATGGAAATATGTCAGCTTTGTAGCATCATCCCAGTCTTTTTAGCTCTCATAACAAAATGCAAAAAGTAAGGTACTTTTCTTTTTATTAACGAAGAGAAAATGTATTAAAAAAAAATCAAAAAGTCATGTTTATAAAATTGTTTTAAGCAATTCTACACATCACAGGCTACCTTGGGGAAGAAGTTATTACCTTTGTTTTCTGAAGAAATGCCACAAGAAAATGATGAACACGAAAATCGTGGACAGTCGCACAAAATACTTTTTAAAATAATATATCTAGAAATTCTCACAAATTTACCCCATAAGTTTTATAAGTGTGTACCCATCAAGTCTAATTTGAGGTCCATTCTTTTTTTTCCTTTTCAATGATTGGATACATGGTCAATTTTGGAAGTATAGCAAATAAATTTGAATTTTTAAGAAAGAAATATAGAAAAAGAATCTTTTTTGTTCCTGTCAAATAAACAGGTTTGATTTGTAGACCGAATTAATAGAGAGTAACATTAAGTTCTCTAATTGTTTTTAGTTTTCCTTTTTCTCTTGCGAAACTAACGGAGTTGAATCATTTAAACAGCACTAACCGGCTAATCAATTCAACTTCTCTGGTTACAATCTGTATCACAACCGGCGAAAATCCAAGATCTTTTACGGATCAAGCAACTCGAGAAAAGTAAATCTATTGTCACTGATCGAGAAAAGAGAGACATGTAAAAACATTCAGACATGTAAAAACATTCAGACACTAAACTCGAGTAGATATAAGCAAAATGGTTATCAATCTCGCTACAAAAACAACCAGCACCAGTAATAGGCTCAGTAGTACGTATTGTAGTAAGCTTGAGGAGCAACAGCAGCAGCCGGTTGCTGCACCGGCGCAGTCGCTGGTGCTGCAGCTGCAACTGGAGGTGCATAACTCTGTGTTGGGTATGGCTGAAAAAGTTTTCACAAAGAAAAGATCCAAGTTAGTTGATCAAAGATATAGCCGGGAGTAATTCCCATTTTAAACTGCTGGCTTAATCTCTGTAATTCTATATACTTCCTAAGTTTAACACTAACTAAGAATTTCGGTTACCTGAGCAGGATACGCGCCATAAGCAGCGGCCTGTGGCACAGGTGTTGGTGCCTGTGGAGCAGTATAGCCAGCAGGATATCCCCCATATGCACCATAAGCAGCCTACATAGGTAAATTCGTTGCTATTATAAGAGTAAAAGCATAGATGTAAAGGAAGGAAATGGATTTGGTTCTATCTTTGGTATTTTACCTGTTGACCATAGGCAGGGTTCCATTGCTGCGGTTGAGCAGGAGCAGTTTGTGTTGGTGGCCAAGTCTGAGGTTGCGCAGCATAACCACCAGACCATTGAGCCTGAGTATTTGGATATGCATTGGATACTGGCTGAGCAGGTGGAGTGCCGTTGTAAGTTTTTGCCATTTTCGTCCTATCTGATGAGAGAAAATCATCTGCGCTACGCTTTTTCAGATCTGACGTGCTCCGATGAGGTAAAAACAGTGTAACATGTTGCTCTTCCGCTTTATGAATGGCCTCCACATCACCAAAAATACCCAGGAACTGCAAAGGCCATGCACATTTGGCTGTTAAAACCAATAATATAGATACATGATGTTCAAGCAAGGATTGTTTTCTTTCTTTTCCATTACCTCTATATATATTAACGATAGCTCTTCCCTCTCTGAGGCACTTGCAATGTTCTGGGCATCTGCATCTGGCTTTATAACTTTCTCTACAAGTGGCTCAAGGTAATCAATCTGTCTTGGTGGTGGCTGAATCGTCTCAAAATGAATCAGTGATTCCACGAGAGGTTTTGACGGTTGTACATGGTCAAGTGCTTCGACTATAATCCTCCTAGCTTTCTCAGTATCCCTGGAAACCTGAAAGTAATATTGAGAAAAGTAAGAACCCAAATCACCACATACTCCATCATGAAAACAAAAACACAATGAGTTCAAAAATCAGTTGTAGAAAGTCTTAGTAGTATAGACCATGTGACGTACCAAGTATGAAAACCTTGAATATTGAGCATACAGCAGCGGCAGTATTGTGGAATGTTCTTTCCCCTTTTCAACAGCAATCACTTGTTCATACAAAGAGAAAGCATCATCCAGATTACCCTACAGATAAGATTAGGAGACATGTAAGGGAAACAACCAGTGATAATAATTTATACTAGTTCTTTAATCACCATGGAAGCTTACTAGTCGGTGTTCCATGTTTGCATGTTTGATTACTGCTTCAAGAAGTCCAGGAGAAATTTCAGAGTGCACTAATTGGTATGCAGCTCTAGCACCAGCTATATCTCCATTCTTCTCTCTTAATCGAGCAGCAAAAAGGTGAATCTCTGGTTGTTTCTATAAAAGAAAAGAAAGTAGATAAATAACCATGAGAGTCAAAGCTGTCTATTAAGAATTATTCTGCAAAGCCACTCCTAATTAATGAAATTTAACTACCCAGAAAAGGTTGGAGAAACACATTTCATACCTTCACAAAGACTTGAGTTGCTCGAGCAAGGGCATTTTCTGCAAGGTCCGTACTTCCACTTGCTTGCATCTTTGACACATAACGAATCCAGTATCCTGGGTAATTTGCACAGGCAACCACACATCTTTCATACAGCTTGACCACCTATTGAAAAAGACAATCAAATGTAAAACATATATGATGATCACTAGGGGAAAAAAAAACATGTAAACATAGAAAGCACAAAGGAGAAATCCACAAGAAATACTCTACAAGTCCAACAGAGGGGCCCTCACATACAGAGGGACCCTCCTTGCCTGACAGACAGATTGTTAGGAAGACACCTGCATTAATAACATTGGAACTTCAACAACAGGATAACTCACGCCTAAAATATCCATTGACAAATTGAAAGTTTGAAGTACTTAGCCTTAAGTTACCAAATCGAGGCCCATGGTTTGGTCTCAGTTATTTCCCAGTTAAAAGTTGCTTGATCCAATGGAAACCCAATCAAGCATATGATGCACCAGATACTACTTAACTGTAGGTCAATAATATGACAGAAGTACGACTTAATCTACAAAACACTTGTACGCTCACGTATAAGAGAGCTAAACCCCAGTACCTTATTGAAGTCTCCCTCCCTCTCGATGAAATCCAGATAGTTGTGCCAATTCTCTAGCTCTGCAACATTCAGAGGACGCACATGGAAATAGGGCCTCCTTATAGCCATTTCATAACCAATGATTTTAGATTCGAACTCTTTGGATTTTATGTACATGGCTTCCCTGATGCCAACATATTTCTTCAACTCCTCAGGATCAGTTGAACTAGCACTTTCCAATTTAGGGGATTGTTCGGTGGAACCATCAGCTTGAGATCGTCCTTCATCTGCCTTTCCACCAGACTCAGATGGTGCACTTTCAGAAGCATCACCAGCAACAACAGCAGCTGCGGATTCCTCAGCACTCCTTAGTTCCGACAGAGGCCGTGTTTCAGCTAGTTCCTTAAAACTATAGCAAGACAAGCATTTATCAACAGAAAAAAAAATACCAGAACGAAGAAGCAACATACACATCAGAAAGAAACTAAAGATTATGAGCAAAATATAAAAACCTTGGCTGACAATAAACCATCATAAATAACAGAAATGTCAGGAGGGAAAATAGATGAAATATAAAATTAGATTTAGCGTATATCAATCAAATGTATGATACAGTATATCTGCCAGATAGCTGAGCTCGATTAAGTGCTAAATCAACATAGCACATCAACATAATGTTTTCTAACCATAACAATCCACATAAATAGACTCTATCCACTTCAGCACAGACAAAAATGATTAATGTAATCAGTCAAAATTACCTGCTGAAATATCTATCAAGATTTTGAATTGGATTCTCCAATATTCTGGTGTAAATCATGGCAACTCGGCTCCAGTCCTGCTGCATGTACTCATACTCAATGTATTTGTCCCACAACGGAGAGGAAAGAAAATCAGTCCCAACGTAAACCAAAGCTCGTTCAAAAAGCCTGCAACAGCATTACAGTAAAAAGAATGTCATATGAGCTGAAAGACACAGACATATCCAATCAATAACGACAAACACGAGTTCTATGGAGAAAAGGATTCACTCTTTGAATGCATGATACTGCCAAACACTGCATTTACCTTCCTGGTAAAAGCATACTATGGCCAAAATCGAGCAGTCAAGGGCTACCTAAGCCCAAAACTGGTTGACATCTTTCCAGCAGCATTTTGCATATGGATGCACTTCGGGGGAGGGTGACAGTTAAGACAGGTATATTTTAACTTCAAATTTTTCAAACCAGAGAAGTAAAGAGCACCAAAAAAAGGGAACAGTTTCAGATAAAGATATCAGATAGCAATGGAAGGAGGCTGAAAGCTAGTGTGTTGAACATAAGAAAAAGAAGTATTTTTAAATTAATTCCATCAGGTCTTTCCGCCACAAACGAGAGGACTTGCTGTAGCAATCTAAGAAAAGGGTTAGATGGTAAAATCATTTTGTCTAGGTAATTGGAAAATCCACCAAGTTGTTAATATACATACAAATAGAAGAATAAGCATTTATTACCTTCTGATTGTGTCTGGATCTCCATATGTATTGATGGCAAAAGTGCAATAATGCAGCCAGATATCCACTGAATATGTAACTCCCTGCACTGCTCTTTCATAAACCTCTACGACTTTGTCCATTGCCCCCACACGAGCCTCATGATCCGCAAACTTTTTCCAATAGCCATAACACAAAGGAAATTCTGCTAAGAAAGCATCATAGACCTTCCGGATTTTTGTTATATTGTCCTGTAATCAGGGTAGCAAGGAAAACATTACCAATCTAGAGCAAATGGATGAAGTTAGCTGACAGTAAAACTTAGAAAAAGATATCGAAAGATGACAGCGACTTAAGGTGTACAAATAAAAACGGAATACTCGTTAATAAGATTCAAATAGCAAATAAGTTATGGAAACATGATCCAGATGACAAACATTTGCGTCAACACAGAGAAAATTTCAGAGGTCAGAGCAGAGTACATAGGGAAAATAAGATTCATTATGTAAATCCACACATACCTGCGCTATCCTCTCCGTCTCATCAATCAAGGCAGTCCAAGCATTGAACTCTGAAGAATTAGCCCTTACAATATTCCACAAGCGCTCCTCTTCCGGTGAAAGAATAGAGCCTGTAACAACAGAGAAGGAATCAGTAAAGGATTTTATCATCAAAGTTAAGATCAGGTTCTAGTGACGCCCCTTAGAATCAATTTGTAATGTGCTCATACAAGCTTACCAGGATTGTCTCCATGCTCTGCTGCTGGAGCAGTTACAGCCACGTTATCTGTTGCATTTCCGTTCTCAACTGGCGCAGTCCCATTGACCAAAGAATCATTATTGACCGAGTGTGATGAATCAACAACTGGTGCAGTCTCTTGCCCTGTCGATTCCACAGTAGCAGCAGAAGCATTATAATCTCCTCCATATGGAGCAGAAGTATATCCCTCGGAAACCATGGCCTCGCTGTCTCCCATAACTTTCTAGAAAACTACATTCACATAAGAATAGAATCAGTGTAAACACATAGAACACTGTTAGTAAACTCATCGAAGGATGTCATTAATTGCAGGCAAATGAGAGACTCATCGAAGCATCTCATTTAGTGTAGGCAAATCAGACGCGTGTTTTCTACAAACCGAAACCACAAACTCGAAACAGGTAAAATAAAAATCAGTGTAAAGCAAAATTCACTCAATCTTCCTATGAATCACAACCAGGAAAGCAGGATACGGATATTTTTCAACAGGAAAAGCAAAAAGCTAATGATAATCGAAACAAAATCAGAAACCTGGTAAAACTGAGCTAATGAAAAACCCTAGTTTTGTTCCCAATTCGTAGAAAGGAGAAAAGGATATGTACCTCGGGAACTGAAGAAGATTGGTCGTCGCTTCTAGAACTCTTTTAAAATCAGTGAATGCTCTCTTCGAAAGTAGGTTCAATGGAAGAGAGAGAGCTCTCAGCTTTCGATTTTGGGTTTGTTTCGTTTACTGGAAGAGAGGGTATAGGGTTAGAGACGACGTACCAAAACGAAAGGCGACGCACACTGGAACTCAATATGGGCCGTAAAATAAATGGGCCTTGAGATTTCTTAATGGGCCCATTATTAAAACAGAGAAACCCTTTGAATTTCATTGATCGAGTGAAAACCCTCGTCGTCGTCTGTGCTCTCAACTTTTCAATCTCTCTCAATTCCAATCAATGGCGCCTAAGAAAATCGGAGCCGGCGGGAGAGATTCGAGCATCTTGGCGAAGATTTCAAACTACGACATAGTTTCTCAGGGAAGACGCGCCGCTTGCGATGCTGTCCACGTGTCGAAGAAGCTGTTAAAGAGCACCGGGAAGGCGGCGTGGATCGCCGGTACGACGATGCTCATCCTTGTCGTCCCTTTGATCTTAGAGTTGGAGAAAGATCAGCACTTAAGCGAGTTTGAGTTTCAGCAGGCGAGTCTTCTGGGAACCCCACCTGTCGGTGCGATGCTCTAAAGTAACTGTAGAAACCCTAATTGGAATTTGATATTATTATGCTTGTTTCTGCTACTCGATTAGTTTCCTTCCTTCTGTAAGATTAGGTTTACTCATAAGGTATTTGCAATGAATTCGCAATTTTCAATCTTCTTCTAATTTATTTGGCAATGTACAAGTGATTTATATTAATACACTAAGTTAGCTAAATGAAGGAACATTTGATAACTTAGCTGTTACACTGTCTTAATTTCTCTTCAACATGTGTGCCATTTAGTTCTAATTACTCCAAATTTTGATTTGATCATCATCACTCCCTTACTTGGCAAGGCCTGTAAATAGACTGCCAAAACCTTAATGATCATCACTCTCTATCTTCTTGGTATCACTGCTCTTTTCGTGTCAAAACCTTTTGACTCCCATTTTCCAGTTTTGAATGTGTAGTTTCGACTCTGTTTGCATCAAGGGTTTTGGTTTAGCTGACTTGCTAATTCCAGAATCTCCTAATTTTCTTCTTCCCCTATATCCTTTACACTTGAACCAAAACTGAAATCATACTTGACACTAGAAGGATATACTATATAATTGACAAGTATAGCTAATAAAAAAAATCGAGACTTGAAGATAAGCATAAGTAGTAGTAAGTTAACCAAACATTTGCCGCTAGAAGCAGAACAAACCATTCACCGTACGAAATGGCTTAAGAGAAGAACAACACCATGAGCCAAGCACACAAGTACTGTTCTTCTTCTCGTTGTTCACGTCCCAGATGTTAAAGCTTACCCTTTGGTTGCTTCCTCATTCTCTGCTTATCTCTCTCTCAGGTAAATCTCTCGGCCCTTATCTCATGTGGTGTATATAATCCGCTTAAAAGAAAAAACTTGTGTAGTGGGCCGGCCCATACGTATTGAAGCCCACCTCATTTTGAGTTAAACCAGTCAATTCAAAGGAGTAAAATCAGTCATCATCATACTGACACTGTACGTAGAGAGAGAAAGGTTCACTTTTGGGTTGTCTCATTAATTAATCCTCATACAGAAAAAGTGAATGACAACTTTTCAAACGCTGCGTTTTGGTCCTTGTATTAAAATGGCTAAGTTTCTCAAAAATCGAAAGACTCTCCTTCCTTGAGAGTATAGGCATTGTTCCTCACCTGGTCTTTTAAAAGTTTTCAAATGGTCGTCTTTCTGTTGACAAAGAGATACAGACATTGATCAAAAAAAACACCAACATTTAAAAATTTTGCCCTCATTTGCATAAGCAAATCTATTATCAGTTTGTCACTACATCATCTCTCCTTGGAAATTCCACTTCTCTCACTTACTCTCTTAAAACCCTAAATCAGTTTCAGAGTTCCTTCTTTTGCTGGTAAGTTCTTCTCATTTTTCTCCAATCTCTTCAATTTTTTCCTTTTTGAAATCTCTACTCATTTTTTTTTCTGGGAAATTGATACGTTTTAGGGTTTTTTGGTACTTTGTTGTCCGTTCGGTTTTCCACAAAGAAAAGAAAAAGTTCCAATTTTTTTTGGTGGTAAAGGCTCCTACTTTCTGGGGGTCTTAGTCACATTAGTTTAGTTACACATCTAACTCTTTCACTGTCTATGAAGATAACGTTCTTCTCTTGATTCATCTCTGGTTTCGCTCGTATTGGTGGATGAAAGTTTCCAGTTTTGTATATTTCCTGAATGTTTCATGAGGTCGGTGAGTGATTTAGCTTTGTCATTGCAGAAATTTGTCGAAAATGGCACCGAATCCTAAGATTAAGAATGCCTGTGACGCTATGAAGCTTTTAGGAATATCAGAGACGAAAACAAGGGCCTTTCTCAGGAAACTTCTCAAGGCCTATGATAATAACTGGGATTTCATTGAAGATGAAGCCTATAAGGTCCTTCTTGATGCAATCTTCGACGAGGCTGATGCCCAGGTTTTGTTTTCTCTGCTTAATCACTTTTCATTTTATTTTATTTTTATATTTACACTCACACAATTCTCTTTCTTGATATGTCATATGGTAGTCCTCTGAAAAGAAAAAGAAAGAAGAGGAAACGAAGCCCAAAGTAAGTTAACTTTCCTTAATTTGATGACAATTTTTGGTGTGTTTTTAGTTGTTTCTTCTCAAGGTTTCGATGTTCTTTTTTTAATCTTTAGAGTGTAGCAACCAGCAGGGGAAGGAGGAAAGCTCCTGAGGTATACGAACTAAATATCTTTGTTGTTTTAGAATTTGTTATCATCATGTAACATTAACTTGTTTTTTTGGGTTAAAGCAAACTCAGCCTTTGGTACAAGATGAGGAGGACGATATGGATGAAGATGAAACTCCATTGAAAAGGAGGTTGCGTAGTAAACGTGGAAGATGTTCTGAAAACAACACAAACCTTAGCGAATGCAGTCCCAAATCACAGAAGCCCAACAAATATGATCCCAAGGTATGTTTAGTATCTGTTTTTCAGGTTTCTCGGTCATATTATATAGCCTGTGTGTTTTTTTTTTTCCGGTAAAACAGACTCAGCCTGAAGAGGAAGAGGAAGATGAAGATGATGATGTGACTGAATTACCTCCGTTAAAGAGGTACTTACGCAGAAGTGGTGAAAGAGGATTGGCAAGTCCTAGCTCCAGCAGTCGCACGTCAATGGAGCCCGAAGAAGTACCACCAATGCTTCTATTGCCAGCTGATCCTATACAAGAAGAAAGGGACTCTGAGGCCGGTGCACTTATTATCCTCAATGATGAGCCCAATATTGATCATAAGCCTGTGATTTTAGGTAGTGTTACATGTAGACTTAGTAATCTTTCTTGTATTGCTTTTATGTGGTTGTGATGAGATGTTGAAGCCTTTGCATATTAACCTGATCTGTCTCTTGTGATGTTACTTTTTGACATTTCTTTTCATTATTTGGATACAGGAAACTGTTCAGCTCCCATGCTTGAAATGCAGATATCAAATATACATGTGGAGGAACGGGATAGGGAAACTAAAGATATTCTCAATGATACTATTGCCATGGATGTGTCTCCTTCAGTTATTGGGGAATCTAGTGAGCATAAGGTTACCGCTGCTTCAGTTGAATTAGCTTCTTCGACTTCTGGTGAGGTGAAGATTTGTCTAAGTTTTGCGCCTGTAACTGGAGAAACAACGAATTTGTGTTTGCCTTCTATGGAGGATCTTCGGAGAGCAATGGAGGAGAAGTGTCTCAAGTCGTACAAAATTGTTCACCCCAAGTTTTCGGTCCTTGGGTTCATGAAGGACATGTGTAGCTGTTACATAGACTTGGCAAAGAATTCAACCAGCCAGTCACTTGAAACAGTAACCGTATATGACATGAGTAAGGCGGGCGATGAAAGCGGTGCAGCTGGCATTTCGATGGGGTTGGTGGTTGTTCCTGAATGCGAGATCTCTGAAGATGGCTTGAGAGCAATTAGCAACATGAAGGACATTACGGCTGGTGAAGAAAATGTTGAGATTCCATGGGTGAATGAGATCAACGACAAGGTTCCTTCATGTTTCCGTTACATGCCTCACAGCTTTGTGTTTCAAGATGCTCCAGTTAAATTTTCGCTCTCAAGTTTCTCGGATGAGCAATGCTGCTCCTCTTCCTGTATCGAAGATTGCCTGGCTTCTCAAATGTCGTGCAATTGTGCAATTGCTGTTGATAACGGGTTTGCGTACTCATTAGATGGCTTACTCAAAGAAGAATTCATGGAAGCTCGGATCTCTGAGGCCCGTGATCAACGGAAACAGGTGCTGCAATTCTGTGAAGAGTGCCCATTGGAGAGAGCTAAAAAGGTTGAGATTTTGGAACCATGTAAAGGGCATCTGAAGAGGAGAGCCATTAAAGAGTGTTGGATTAAATGTGGTTGCACTAAGAGATGCGGTAACCGAGTGGTACAAAGAGGAATACACAACAAATTACAGGTAAAACATTCACCTTAACTAACTTTTTTTATGTGTTTTACTTTCATCTTGTTATAGAAATCAACTAGTTTTCCATTTCGATCAATTGTTTTTTTAATATCAGGTGTTTTTCACGCCAAATGGGAAAGGTTGGGGCCTAAGGACGTTGGAGAAGCTGCCTAAAGGCGCATTTATTTGTGAGTACATTGGAGAGATATTGACGATTCCGGAGTTATACCAGCGTAGCTTCGAAGATAAACACACTTGTCCTGTGATATTGGATGCACGTTGGGGTTCTGAAGAAAGGTTAGAGGATGACAAAGCTCTGTGTCTTGATGGGACGCATTATGGAAATATATCAAGGTTCCTTAACCACAGGTAATGGCTTGCAGTAATACTTAGAATACCATTGGCCTTTTCTCTATTTTAAACTGATGTTTCTTTCTGTCCTTTGATGTGTGTAGATGTCTTGATGCAAACTTGATCGAGATCCCAGTTCAAGTCGAGACTCCGGATCAGCATTATTATCATGTAATGATTCAATTACGGTCTCATTTATAATCCTTTGCTCATATGTTACTTCTGTTTTGGGAAATTGTTTAACTGTAATCTTCTCCAGCTTGCATTCTTCACTACACGAGACATCGAGGCAATGGAGGAACTCACATGGGTGTGTACAATTTCACAATCCATGGCTGACAAGTTTCTATACCCATGGAAAAGATTGTATATTTTTAATGCTTACTGATATCTTGATATACATTGATCTTATGTGAATCATGGACTTCACATTCTCAGGATTATGGCGTTGACTTCAACGATGATGACTCTCTGATGAAACCCTTTGATTGTCTGTGTGGTAGCAGATTTTGCAGGAACAAGAAGCGACCAAAGAGTGAGTAATATCATCAGAGTTTGCTGATTCTGTTACATGGGACTGAGTAATATCAATTCTGTATCTCACTGAGTATTTTTTTTAATTACTTTTGTTATGTTTCAGAGATTATGCAGATTATGAACAAGGCATGAGAGGCTAATGACGAAGAAAAGATGTGAGACCCTCTGTTTTTTTTGGTGGAATGGGACTCTCTTAATTAACAAACCGGTCCCGGTCAATTGATTTTGTAGGTTTGAAAGAAAGCTAAGTTGGTTTTGTGAGATCAAACTCTTTGAAGAGGGTCGTCTAGTAACTTTTGATTAGTTTACAAGTTTGACTATCTTTAATTCTAAATCTCTCTTAACCACGTTCGTTTTCTTTTAAGTAAACCATAATCTACAAGTACTGTTTAAGACCAATAGATCCATGATCGTAAGACTAGGATGGACAAGTTTTTAGTTTTTACTCTCAGTTTATGAAAATGGAAATTATGATTGTATTGTCTTTATGCACATGGTTTGTTCATCTAAAACAAGTGATGGCAGCTGATCAAATTGCCGTTGAACAACTCTCTCGCTACATTTAATTTATTTATGTATGAAATTCAATCAAGTTGTGATAAACGATCTTAAATCGTTAACAAATTATAAACAACTCTTGTCATGTTTGATCGGTGTTACTTATTTGACCATTCTACTTTTTGAATGTTATACTCATCCTATATATAATGGAAAAATGAGATACTCGTTGCTAAACATTTTACGATTATATTGGCAAATATCGCCAAAAGGTAAAGTAAATGTTTAATCTATATACACTTTGAACCTGCATTGGCAGTTGGAAATAATAAGCATTTAATTGTAATCCAACTGTGCATGATCGGTCGTATACGTGCTTTGCTGGAAAACCGAGTGTTTCTAATGTCAACTCATAACGATTTAGTGGAACTACATTTTTAGATGTTTTTGAAAATAAATATTTTACATGTCTTAATCTCTATAGCCTATATATAATTATAAGATATCAAATACAAATGCAGAAAAAAAAAAAAAAGAGTTTTAGAGTTGAAATTATTATTTGTAAAAAATTTTAAAAGCAAGTGGGAAGAAGTTTGAGTTGTTCATGAGGGTCATGATTTTGCAATTTCTGTATGTATATATCTTTTTGTAATTAAAATTTTGTCTACATCTATCCTTGCTAGCTAGCAAACCAAAAAATCAATTTATTCAACGGTTTTATTTATTAAAATTAAAATCCATGTGCTTCCATTCCAACTCTTCAATCAATATGTCACCATAACCTGACCACCTCTTCTCTAGATCTATGTCTCTTGTCCTTTCCATTTCATAATGCCAACAAAAAAAAAATTTAAAGATGAAAACAACTGTTGGTGTAATTTAGTTTAGATTATTGACTCAAAATAGCTATTTACTTATATCTATATTGTTCTTGTGATCCCATATTATTTTTGGTTTCAATAGAGTATATAACAATGTCTACTTTGAACATCATTTGAAAAACAAATTATTTTGAACGATTGATTTGAAAACTGTTAGAAAAGTAAGTTAAATAGCTGTTTGATTTTGATTGCATCAATTATGTATATCTACAATTATTTCACACTATCATCCAACTCGCTTCATGATGCATCCATTTTTCTCAAATATGAATTCCCAATAGCATTATTTATTGCAATGTGTATACCATATTGTGCCGATACTCAAATACATGATAATACATCTACATACAATGTGTGTAATACTTTTTGACAATCATATCGCCACTAATCGAGGATATCAATTGCTCCTACAATCATACACTTCTTACCAATTATTTATCTTTAATTTATCCACATCCTTTTTTGTTTCTCCCGCATATTAAGCTAAGCTTTCATAATTTTGCCTCCCTTAAAAAGTTGTAAAGCTCGATCATATCGTGCATGAATATAGCAACAACGATATAAAACAACTCTAAAATATAGAATTACAACCAAAATATTAAAAAAAATGATATAATGAAACAACAAAAACTTTGATTCAGATTTGTGTATTAATTCTTTTTCTTTATTGTTAGAGCCAGTATTTTGACTATTCTACTTATAAAATCATCTTTACATGCACAACTACACATACACACTTGTGATCAAAATCTAAAGATCCAAAAACTCTTTCAAACATGGACCGAACCATGTTTCTTTCCTTGGCAATAGCCTCACTCTTGGTCGGAGTCGTCTCCGCTGGTGACTGGAACATCTTGAACCAACTCAAAGGACTCGGTTCGTCCTCAAGCCAAAAAGGTATCGTTTCTAAAGGGATCAAGACGGACCTGAAAGGATACTGTGAGAGCTGGAGGATCAACGTGGAAGTTCACAACATCAGAAAGTTCGATGTTGTGCCTCAAGAGTGTGTATCTCACATCGAGGATTACATGACGTCGTCGCAGTACAAGGATGACGTGGCGAGAACCGTTGATGAGGTCATTCTTCATTTCGGAAGCATGTGTTGTAGCAAGACTAAGTGTGATGGCATGGACGCTTGGATCTTTGATGTCGATGACACGCTTCTCTCTACCATACCTTACCACAAGAAAAATGGCTTCTTCGGGTAATTTCAATTCTCTATCGTACCCGGTTTAAGGTTAACCGCTTTTGTTGATATTGTTACTTTTTTACTTAAGTGAATGCACTTTGGATCGGACAGAACCGGACCGGATCTCTGATTAGAGATGTTAAATTTCGATTAAACATCGATTAATCTTATTTTTTCTCATTAAAAACAGAGGAGACAAATTGAACTCAACGAAATTCGAGGATTGGATGAAGAAGAAGAAAGCACCAGCAGTGCCACACATGAAGAAATTGTACCATGAGATCAGAGAGAGAGGCATTAAGATCTTCTTGATCTCTTCCCGGAAAGAATACCTCAGGTCTGCCACCGTCGACAACCTCATCCAAGCCGGTTACTATGGCTGGTCCAACCTAATGCTCAGGTACAACTAAACCGGATATTGAAACAAAACTCAATCTGGTTCATATATTTTCTAAACCAGTTTAAAACCAAAATGAATCAAAGGTCAAATTTGTCCACTCCAATACCTTGAGTAGTTTTCATATATTCACTCTTAAGTGAGCAAAAAACCGATTTTGTACACCCCTCTAGTATTTCTTTTTTACTCTTAACAAGAAAACTGAACAATGCAGGGGGCTAGAAGATGAGCAAAAGGAAGTGAAACAATACAAGTCAGAAAAGAGAACATGGCTGACGAGTCTTGGTTACAGAGTTTGGGGAGTGATGGGAGACCAATGGAGCAGCTTTGCAGGTTGTCCTCTTCCTAAGAGAACCTTCAAGCTCCCTAACTCTATCTACTATGTCGCCTGATCAAAACCAAACACAAAACTTTGATTTAGCTTCTTTGAACAAGAAGAACCTGCGAATAAGAGAGAGCAGTTTTGATTCTGTTTTTTGTTTTCTTCCCCTTTTCTGTGTCATTTTTATATTAAGAGCCGTATTGATAACAAAGAACAAACAAATAGAATGGTTATATGTAACAGAGAGAAATCAAAATCACACATTATCACCCAATGAATGAGTGCAGCACCATTATTTGTCTATGTTGTTCAAAGCTTTCTCCAGTCTTGCTTCAAATGGAGTTGAATGCCAATTTACGCTCTTATCCTGCAATTCCAAAAAACTGTCATTCTTCAGAAAAAGGACTCTTTGACTAATTATTGCACTTGAGGTGGTTGGTTTTGAAAATGTGATAAAATCAGTATCTACTGTCTTGTAGGGTGTTTTTACTGGTTTATGCGTACCTCTCTGTACTTGCTGCTGGTGTTTGGTATTCCCTTGAATGAAGATGCAGAGCCGCAATCTATTGCCTTTGAGTGATTACCCCAGTAACCACCAACTGTGCCTATAATAGGTGTCTCATCAGGGCTTTTGCTCGGTGATTTCCTTGGCGTAGATGTAGCCGAGAACTGTTTGATATCCTCCAATGTCAATGCGCATAGTACAGGTCTATCGTCATGGTTGATTTTAACCGGTTTTGAGTAGCAGCTAGACTTGTGTTTCTCGGGTGTAGAGGTATACCTAGAGACGCTGTTGCATTCGCTACCTGACTCAGATGTTGACAACCATGTGGAAAGGCTAGCATCAACGGCCAGTTCTTGGTTTCTCAGTTTCTTGGGTTCAATTCTGCATTTTGGTTTGAAGCTGAGTGTTATATCATCAATCTGAGAGTCTGTGCCAAAAGAAGAGGAATCCCTTCTTTCTTCTTGATCTGCAATGAATTTAGAGTTCTCCTTTTGAGACTGTTTCTGCATTGTTCGCCCTTTGGATTTAGCGGATTTCCACTGAGTGAGATTCTCAACCGGGTTAAGTACTCCTTGGCCATCATAGTGGACTCCATCTCTAACACTCTCGTTTGACCTTTTCAGCTTTGCATCAGTCTCCTCTGTTTTATCCCCAATCTCTTCAGTATAAACTTTTTTGGTTGGGATATGCAAGCTATCCTCACTAAATCCAATATCACTGTAATACTCTTCATCTTCATCTAGATCGCTGTCACTGCAGTCAAACTCATCCTCCTCTATGTCATCATCACTTTCTCTGCAATTCTTGTATCTGTGGTTTGAAGGATACGACCCTGAGGAGTTTGAGGCAACCTCAATGATCTCAGAAGAAGACTGATCATCAGTCTTGCTTGACTTCAATGACCTCTTTTCGGATTCAACCTCTTCGTTCTTCTCTTCTGAGAGTTCAACAGATTCTTCTGAAACAACGTGTTCATAGGTTTTGACTTTGGAGTCAAAAGTGACTCTCTTCCTAGTAATAGCGCTTGGACTGCATTTCTCTTCAGCCTCGTCACTGAGAAATCAGAATATGTTAGCTCAAAACTTGAATCTAGAGGAAAAGCACACAAACAAATCAATCAAACTCACCAAATCTCAGTAATTGGAATCACAGACGATTTCGGGATTTCGTCAACAGTGTGGACTGTATCAGATTCCGCAGCGAGTTTCTATGCATAACAAAGAAATTATTCAGGTCAAGCAAATCAATGGAAGTTAAATTCGATAACCACAGAGATGATCTATCTAGAATGTAGCGTAATTCAAGCAAATTCATCACTAAAAAGATGCGAGGAATTCAAATAAAAACTCTCACAAACTAAACGTAAGAAATTTTCTCAGGAAAATTACGTTATCTCTAGCTTGATCGGATTCTCTGCGTCTCTGATTCCGGCGATTCTTCCAACCACCGAAGCAACCCGAAAAGCAACCCATAATCCGAAATCTTCAAGGTCTAGCGAGAGAAGAAGAGAAACTTCATGCGTGTGGTTTCCAGGTATTTGATCAAGCATTAATAGGTCGACATTGAAATTGAGGAGCGTGGGTGGGGACGATCACTGAGAAGAGAGCGGGGGGAAAAGTGTAGTGTTAACTTTGGAAATTGGGAATAGGGTTTGTTTATTTTTTCTTAATTGTGTTGTTTATTAGGAGGATAAAGTAAGTGACCGTTACAATTTTGACCCACCAATGACCTGTCAAAGCTTTGCTATTGGTCCGTTGCACACCATTTTTTCGTTACAATTTATTTCTCATTAATTATCTGTCATTAATCAGTAAGATTTCCAAAATTTAAGTTACAAAGCTTTGTTTTCCAAAGTAAAAGTTGAAATTTATATGCGTACAAACAAGAATCTGTTTTGTTATCTTAAGAAATTAAAAGTGAAATTAAACAATGTTACATATGTAGTGAAATTGAAATGTCTTTTTGTCTCTTTCTCAAAATTAGTTAATCACAGGATGTAACTTGTAACCAGCAATGGACGCCAAGAGCCATGTGTGACCAACGAGACGAGACCCAGTTTGGCTAGCTAAAGCTTCTGCGTCATTAGCTCGTTGCCAAATAATCGTGACTTCTTCACCTAAGGCACATCCAAGTGGAGGATCAATGTTGTAAACCACAATCGATGATGATCTTTGGTCATTGACATTGTTGCTGCTTTCTGCACCAAGCTCATCCTCTGTGTTCAAGATCGTACCACCAGCTACTTTTGCTAGATTCTTAAGGTCTTCTTTGTATCCTTTATCGAAATCTCCAAAGAAATAGAACTTCAAGCCATCAAAGAGCTTTGGTTTCTGCTTGACAAAAGAAAAAAAAAAGAATAGAGTGAGATATCCAAAAGAAGCAAAGCACTTTAAAATTTGTTTTTGGTGTGTGTTTATACTTACATTAGTTTCTGCTCTGAGTCTTGCGGTTTTTGGTCCATCTTGAGATCCTTGAGTATCAATTTGAATCTCAAATGGTTCCTCATCAACAGGTTGAGAAGCTTCAAGGCTTGCTTTCATCCCTAGAAACAATTCAAGACTTATTCATGTAAACATAAAGATTCCTTAATGGTGACAAAGTTAAGATCATGAAAATTCCTGAGAGCAGTATAACTTACAATCTGCATTGATAATCCATTTTCCATTGAGAATACCCATAAGAACCTTCAAAGTTCTTGTGCATGCTCCTTTTTCGTCTGTAGAAGCAATCACATGTGTAACACTTGGATTCCAGTACCTTGATATGGTTGCATTGAATTTAACAGCTAAACTTTCCATCAGGTTCTGGGGAATAACAATGCAATGAGAAAATTAGTCTTTTTGTTTGCAGAAGCTCTACCAACTTTGAACCAAAAGTGATAAATCCACAAACAGAGTTTCTTGTTTGAACCTTGTGGAAAGAAGAGAAACTTAGTACACTGACCTTATCACTTTTAGAGAGTGCTGATCCACAGAGAACGAGCTCTTTTGTAATAGCTGGTGTTTTTTCCAAAGAACATAGCTCAGCAGGATTTCTGAAAGAGCAAGGTAGTTGTTATCATAAGAATAATAATGTCATACTGATAAGTATTAACATTATATGCTGAAAAAGATTTATACGTTTTTGGTAAGGGCTCAGCTCTGGATACGCGATGTCCAGACTTCTCGTTTGGGAATTTGACAGAAGAATGAGCTGGACAGAGTAGTAGAAAGTCTTCCTGTAAGGACCAAGAAAGCAATCACACATTACAATTGGAACTTTGGTAAGTAACTCTCATGTGCAAATGAGATTGTAGAAAATGTGGCAAAACTTACATAATCCCAACGGCATCTGGAAATCTCCCTTGCACATGGAACATGATAGCTTCGGCGGCAAGACTTGACATAGCAGCCCAAGGCAGCTCCTTTCAGACTACATTTAGTGCACTTGATTTTCATCCCCCTTGCCAGTTCTGCTTTCAGGTTCTTCACTGTGTCACCTTCATAGTAAACTTGCGGTGCCCTGAACATTTATTCAGCTGCTTTTAGTATTTTTATCATGCAAAAGAGTTTAACACCCTAGCCAAATTCTATCCACATGGACTTGCAGAAACAAATATGAGCAAAAGCAGAAGTTTTGGGTTTTATTTTGTATACCATTCAATACATGCACTATGGACATGGATAACATTAGAGCAGAAAATGTCATCTCCAACCACCGGTCTTCCCCTAGAGTAATGCAGCATTTCTCCAGTGGCCTAACAAATATTGTTCCAGCCAATTGAGTAAAATTATACTTCACAAATAGAAAAGCTCAGTTTTTAGAGCAGAGGATAGGGCAAAGACTTTTACGGTTTTACCTCAGATACCCTAGCTGATTGGCAGAATCCACAAATGGTTATGTTGGATGATGGTTGATCTGATGCCTTGGAGATTTTCTCAGTTAGTTGATCATCAGAGTTTGCAGAGCATTTATCATTGAAGTCAATATCAGCAGCTTTTTGCATCAGGTTCTTCTCCCTCTTAGGAACTTTCAGATGATTTTCCATTGCTTCAGAAGCGGTGATGTCACGCTTCCTTTTAGTATCTTGTTCTGCATGACTCTTGGGTAACTGCTGGAGACAAAAGATCAATACACATCTTAAGTTGTTTGATCTCAAGCACAGAACAAAACTATAGATTATCCAAAAACGAAGTACACCATTTATTAACATGTCTATGTGGGATTAAGAATACTCATAACTGATGAACCAAAATGGTCAACTTATGAAGCAAGACGAGAATGCACCTGATGTTTGTGTGCTTTTACATAATCAGTTGGATCATCTGACCGGAGGCTCTCCATCAACCGCAGCAAAGTCTGATCCTGAGTCTTAGGTTTAGGATTGCTTTCCTGGGTAAAGGAATCGCCACAAATCCGCTTCCTTGCAGCATTGGCAGGCTGCTCAGAAGCAGTGATGTCCCTCAGATTTTTTGCAGCTTGTCCTATATGACTTTCTGGTGTCTGTAGCAAGGAAAAAAAGGGTCAATACACATCTTTAAATGTTGTGCAATGAGGGATAAAACCAAAACCGCCTGATGAATCAAAATGTTCAATAGTATGTTCTTACGTGATTGCCAGCATCATTCTCTGATTCAAACTCATATAATAAGAGATGATCCCGCAACTGCTTTTCAGTCCAATCCTGATGTTTAGGTCTTGGATCGCTTTCTTCTGAGGTTGGAAGAGGAGAACCATCACGACTAGAGGAATCAGTACCACCACTGCGCTTGCTCACATCCTTATCAGTCATCTCAGAATCTTCAGATCCGTCGTGTTTAGGGCTGTTGGAATTGTTCAGGGCATCGCTCTTGTAGTTGCAGTCATTGGGAATCTGTAACTGTGGGAGATGAACACTAACAGCTGCATTCAAGCTTTTGTATATGCTTATAACACTCTCCATGAATTGAAGATTCCTCCGAGCTGCAGATGAGAGTAATAATTACATATACTCTCTTAACACAATTTTTTCAATGAAAGAGTTCAATAATCAGAAGAATATTAAATCGACTTACACTTTTTGGAATGTTTAGATTTACAGACAGGACAACCTGTTTCGACTTGCGACGATTTGTGTACACATGAACTGACAAACAATTTCCAGAAAGATAAGAATCTATTTGAATTCAAAATTTGTAACGAATTGGTAAAAAATAATAGAGGGATTAGATCATCTTACTCGCAGAAGACGTGGTCGCAAGGAAGCAACACCGGTCGATTAAGCAATTTCAAGCTGCAAATTACGTTAATCGATTGTTACGATTCCAAGAACATTATAAATACTCGATTGCTCTACAGTATAATCAAGGAAAAAAGGGAAGCTGTGGACGGAACTAACCATAGAGGGCACTTGAGCTCGAGCTCGAGCTTCTGGAGATGAAGAACCCATGGATTCATCAGCATGTTAGTGAATTCCGCCATTAGTATACAAAAACCAGATCTAAATGACGAAAGCTCTTGAAGCCGAAGACAAGGAGAAAATGCACTTCCTTGCTTCGTCTCCGTGCGATTGGTATTTACTTTGAGAGTCTCGGGACACGTGTACGACAGATATCAAATGGCGGGAAGATAGGCGGGGATTTTCTGTTTTGATTAAGCGGGAGAAAATGTGAATAACGCCCGCTTGTTTGTTTCGAATTTTTTTGAAATTTTCAGTTTCATAGGCCCAATAAAAGCCCATTTGTTTGTTACGACTTACGACGTGATAGAGAGTAACCTTCTAGATGACTTCGAAGGTTCTTCTAGGGGTATATTTGTAAAGTTTGGACGCTTCCAAAAACTTTTCAACTCTCACCTCCAAGGTCCCCAACAACGCACACACACACTCTCTCTCTCCTCTCTCTTACTTTTCCTCCTATACTCTGGCGATGAAAAGTAGTTAGAGACACCGAGCGATGGGAGCGAATTCGAAAACAGTAACGGCTTCCTTCACCGTCATCGCCGTTTTTTTCTTGATTTGCGGTGGCGGAGCTGCGGTGGAGGATGAGACCGAGTTTCATGGCGACTACTCGAAGCTGTCGGGTATAATCATTCCGGGATTTGCGTCGACGCAGCTACGAGCGTGGTCGATCCTTGACTGTCCATACACTCCGTTGGACTTCAATCCGCTCGACCTCGTGTGGCTTGACACCACTAAGGTCCGTGATCTTCATTTCCTTCGCTCCTTATTCTGTCGGTCGACTTCCTTGTTGATTAAATCCAAGCGAAATATTACAATGAAGCATGGCTCGTCTCTCTTATTGATTCATTATTTTGTCAACATTGACGCCTCTGAATCTGAGATTAGAGTCATAGAAAACAGCCGACTCCGCTAGTGTTATCCATCGCTTTTGGTTCAATAAATGTAGCGCAATGAATGTGAAATTAGTCTTTGCTTTTTTATTCAACTAGATCTGTAAGTTTTTCAAGAAGAAGAGTGCTCAATAGTAGTCAGAAAATGTTAGGTCATTTTTCCGGTTATAGGAGTTGCCACTCGTGGAATAGGCGAGACGTTTTTACTTGTGCATTGTGATTCATTTGGTTGTTGATTACTGATCGACGTGATGGATGGTTTACAGCTTCTTTCTGCTGTCAACTGCTGGTTTAAGTGTATGGTGCTAGATCCTTATAATCAAACAGACCATCCCGAGTGTAAGTCACGGCCTGACAGTGGTCTCTCAGCAATCACAGAATTGGATCCAGGTTACATAACAGGTAGTTTTGGATATATTTTTTTTTCTTTTGAGTTTTCTTCAATTTGATATGATTTTGTTATGATTATATGGTTAAGTAAAATAAATTGGTTGATGTTCAGGTCCTCTTTCTACTGTCTGGAAAGAGTGGCTTAAGTGGTGTGTTGAGTTTGGTATAGAAGCTAATGCAATTGTCGCTGTTCCGTACGATTGGAGATTGTCACCAACCAAATTGGAAGAGCGTGACCTTTACTTTCACAAGCTCAAGTTAGTCCTCATGAGGCTAATGTCTATCTTTTTCTTTCTTCATTTTGATGTAAGATAAGCAAAGAGCTCTGGTCGTCTTCTCTTTTGCAGGTTGACCTTTGAAACTGCTTTAAAACTCCGTGGCGGGCCTTCTATAGTATTTGCCCATTCAATGGGTAATAATGTCTTCAGATACTTTCTGGAATGGCTGAGGCTAGAAATTGCACCAAAACATTACTTGGAGTGGCTAGATCAGCATATCCATGCTTATTTCGCTGTTGGTACTGGCCAAATATCCTTAAGTTACCTTTCTTTTTTTCTCAAATTCGGGGAGTTATGTTGTGACTTACTGGATTGAGCTCAATACCTGATTTGTTGTTGATTTAGGAGCTCCTCTTCTTGGTTCAGTTGAGGCAATTAAATCTACTCTCTCTGGTGTAACGTTTGGCCTTCCTGTTTCTGAGGTGACCTCTGACTTCTTTTAAGTTTAAGTAGTTGATTATAACCAGGTCTTATAATTCAATGGATATTTCCTTTTAAACTGTTAGTGATGTTAATCGAACTGGTATCTGTAGACCTTAAAGTGGCTAGTTATCAAAGACATCTTGTGAGTAATATACCTGTCAGCGGCCTTGGCTAATATAACCAAACCACATGTACACTGTAACACTGATTTAATTTTCAGATTATTATGGTAGATTCCAAGTTGAGAAGAAACTTGGACTGAGATCTTTTTATTTCAATAGGCTATGATTTGTTATTGAAATCATGTGACATATTGACATGCGCTTCTCATGTTTTTTGTTGGCAAGGCTTCAGGGAACTGCTCGGTTGTTGTCCAATTCTTTTGCCTCTTCATTGTGGCTTATGCCATTTTCAAAGAACTGCAAGGGTGATAACACATTCTGGACGCATTTTTCTGGGGGTGCTGCAAAGAAGGATAAGCGTGTATACCACTGTGATGATGAGGAATATCAATCAAAATATTCTGGCTGGCCGACGAATATCATTAACATTGAAATTCCTTCCACTAGCGGTAAGACTCTGTATATGCATTTGTAACACTACCAAAAGTTACACCAAGAATGTTCACTCTCATATTTTGGTCCTTTGATGCGTATCCATCAGTTACAGAAACAGCTCTAGCCAACATGACCAGCATGGAATGTGGTCTTCCCACCCTATTGTCTTTCACAGCCCGTGAACTAGCAGATGGGACTCTTTTCAAAGCAATTGAAGACTATGACCCAGATAGCAAGAGGATGTTACACCAGTTAAAGAAGTATGTACCTTCCTTTGTGATAAGAAATATTGCTCATCGATCATCACTTGCTGGCTCCTTGTACTTCAAGTTTTTGTTTAATTTCTATATCAACTGTTCATATGCTTTGTCTTTCTTATTATAAGAAAATAGTATAATCAGAAACCTTATTACTGACTATCAAATCAGTTCTCTCTTTATATTATGGAATGTCTTTGTCGCTTGTAGTTATAAAAATTCAAAGTGGGTATGTTAGTTGATTGACTTTCAGTCTTTCACATTATTTGTTTTGACTCTGGCATGGACTTATAGCGTCAATTTTGTTTTTTTTCTGCAAATCTTTGTCAATCTTCAAAATAAAAATATATATAATATGTTAACTGTACTTTTCAGGTTGTATCATGATGACCCTGTTTTTAATCCTCTGACTCCTTGGGAGAGACCACCTATAAAAAATGTATTTTGCATATATGGTGCTCATCTAAAGACAGAGGTATGATGCATTCTCCATATCACATTATGCGTTTATTTTGTTATTATATTCCCATTTGTAATGCAATATCTTTTTTGAATTATGCTCCCTTGCATCTTATGCTATTAAGCGTTAAAGATACTAAATGTATGAAGCTGTCTGTGATAGGTTGGTTATTACTTTGCCCCAAGTGGCAAACCTTATCCTGATAATTGGATAATTACGGATGTCATTTACGAAACTGAAGGTTCCCTTGTGTCAAGGTAAATTTCCGCAATGGCAGAAGTAAAACAGGAATGCAAGGTCTTCTGTATCAGTCTAGTGGCATGTTATCTCATTTGCATAAGCAAAGTATTAAACAACTAAAACTTAAGTACGTTTTTTTATCATTCCTTTTGAGCTTAGTGGATGACCAGTGGCTTAAAGTGGGAAGAGGTATTGCATGAAACATGACACATATCAAATATAACTAGCAAAACAAAACTAATCCACTTCTGAATTTCATATTATTAGGAGTAGGCGTCCTTTTAAAACTGATGCTTAAGAAATCGTAAACTAGATCATATCTTCGTGCTGCAATATCTGCAGGTCTGGAACTGTGGTTGATGGGAATGCTGGACCTATAACTGGGGATGAGACGGTAAGCTGAGAAGTTGGGTTTCAAATTATCTTCTTGCAAACTACTGAAGACTAAGATAATGCTTGCATCTGGAATACTGCTTGCTATGTTCTCTAGTACACTGCAATATTGACTCTCGCTACTTTTATTGATTATGAAATTGATCTCTTGTAGGTACCCTATCATTCACTCTCTTGGTGCAAGAATTGGCTCGGACCTAAAGTTAACATAACAATGGCTCCCCAGGTACTCTTTTTTGGTTCGTCACCATAAATAAATTAAACTTTAAGTGCACTTTTCTGGTTATATGTTGAGTCACCAATAATTTGTCCCTTTCTAAAAATCATATATCTCTGTACTCCTCAAGAACTTTTATTAAACTAAATGAGATTCTCATTGGGAAAAAAAAACAGCCAGAACACGATGGAAGTGATGTACATGTGGAACTAAACGTTGAACATGAGCATGGGTCAGACATCATAGCTAACATGACAAAAGCGCCGAGGGTAAAGTACATAACCTTTTATGAAGACTCTGAGAGCATTTCGGGGAAGAGAACTGCAGTCTGGGAGCTTGATAAAAGTGAGTAATTAACATATGAAACATGTTCTCACGGTACCTTGCACTGGTTTTTTACTTTTGAATAATTGTTTTTGTGCAGCAAATCACAGGAACATCGTTAGATCTCCAGTTCTGATGCGGGAGTTATGGCTTCAGATGTGGCATGACATTCAGCCTGGTGCAAAGTCCAAATTTGTCACCAAAGGTAAAAAATAAATATTATTGGCTCTTCTATCACTTTCTATTGCTTGTGGGTGTAAATAAAAATACCGTGTCACAGCCAAGCGTGGGCCACTTAGAGATACGGATTGCTACTGGGATTACGGGAAAGCCTGTTGTGCTTGGCAAGAATACTGTGAATACAGGTTTCACTCTCCTCTTCCCATCCATAGTTTTTTAATGTTATATATGATTCTGAAATATGTAATTTACTGATTTGGTTGCTGTAATTTTTATTGTGAAACCAAAATGCAGATACAGTTTTGGGGATGTTCACTTAGGACAAAGTTGTAGATTGAGGAACACATCTGCTAATATGCTTCTCCAGTACATATAAACTTCCTCGTTCAGGTCACATTACTTCTCTCTTTTCTCACACTTAACTCTCTCTTTATCGTGGATATTGGATTTCATACAAACAACAAACTTTAACCATTTTTTCTTCTCTTTTGTAATTTGTTACAGCAAAATAACCATTCCTGACTCTTCAATTTCCTCTCCCAGTAAGATGGTAAAAAAAAAAAAGGGTTCAAAACGGTCAATTCTTATTGCTCTCTCTATTTCTCACGCAAAGGTATTCTTTTGTGAAAAAATTTCTATTACGAGGCATATGATATTTGGGGTACAGCTAAGAGTGCAGTTACTTTGAACTTAAACGGCTAAAGTAGTGAACCCATATAAAAAAAATATAGAGTTTTTTTTTGTTTTTTCTTAACTTCAAGTGCGATTTGGTCTCTTCCGTTTCGATGGAGAGAAACAGAACAATTCTGAGTATGTGTTCTCGCTTTTGGTTGGTACCATTTCCTCTTTAGCTTATTGAGTACAAAATTGTATGATGATAAAAAAAAAAAAAAAAAAAAAGACAATGAATATTTTGGTTAATTTTTTAATTCTCATCTGTTTGATTGTTTCAAACGTAGCATTTGAGTTGGCAATCGATATGATAAACACGACATTTTTGTATTTAACAACGCCTGAAATTATAGAGGTTCCTACTTTTTTACATATTTAATTAATTTAATATATCTGTAGACTGTATTAATGTATTAAACAATAGGTATATATTTATTTGTATACTGAACCAGTATAAGTAATTATGAAAGTAATAAGATGTGAAAATTTTACTTTTTATGGATTTTACGTTTTTGATAAGCAATTGGGAGAGAGAGAAAGGGAACAAAGCATAATTAGGTGGTAGAATTAAAGTGCTTGGTGGTTTGATGGTTTGGTTGAACATGAGTTTTGAACTTTTTTATATGAGAGTTAATACTTTTATGTATCGAAATTAAATGTTTTAGTCAATTTTATGGTCCCTCTCAAATTTAGGGTCCTTTTTTATTTTATTTTTCTAAATTTGCTTCCCTTATTAAAATAATAGACATGCATTCGTTTTTCTAAATTTGCCTCTTTATTTTTTTTCCATTTCTTTTTTGTTAACCTTTGGCATTATTCTTTCAGTCTATTGGATGAAAGGTGGCAAACTTAATGCCAAACCATCCAAAACCCAACAAATTATTTATTAACTTAAAGTCTACCAAAATAATCGGTCTTACAGTTCTGTTTTTTTTTTTTTACAAGGGATACTAAAATTTCTTACTTCTACAAAATACTCTGCTAAAAATACGAAAATGTGTGTATTAAATATTAATCAAATTTAAGTATATTAGATTTATACACTCTTCATAAAGTTCATTGAAATTTATATGTTCGGATCTGCTTTACCTATAAATTTACAGTATATGGATGATTATTACATCCTACGTGTCAATTAGTTTTTTTTTTTTTTTGAATCTAATTAGTTATAGTTGGGTAAAGATCATTTTATTCTCTATAACAGCTTTCATTAATATGGGTTTCAATTTTATTATTGTGATGTGAATAATTATATAAATCGAAAACGCAAACTAATTGCAAAACCTGTAGATAAGGGATTTATTGTCATTTAAATAGTCAGTGAATAGGATTCTCAACCATTACTATTAAACAATACAGTACTTGAGGTTTTTTTTGTCTTAAATTGGTCGCTTCTTGAATTTGATTTCTCGCCATCGTTGAAATTTTATAATGTTTAGGTTGCTAATAAATAACTCTAAAAGTAAACGAGGAAAAAGTCTAAAACTTGAATCAATTTCTTTATCTCTCCCTAACATTTAGCGTGTATGCGTGTTCTGCATTTACATATAGCCCACAAATAGAAAGGGAAAATTTGACAGAAACAAAAAGTAAAATAAAATCAATTGTATGGTCTCGATCTTGTGTTGCACGCATAAGAGTTGCAATAAATTCGTTGATAAAATTTAATAAAAGATCTATGCATATATGGCTTGATCTTCTTAACACCAACTAGATCATCACCCGTGCTATACAGCACGGGATTTAATATTATTCATAAATTAAATTATATATTTTGTTCGAAGAAATAAGAAATAATATAGTATAATAGTATAATATAAAAGAGAATATATCATAATATTTTATATTATTACTATTTGGATATAATGTTATATATTTTATTTGACTAAAGAAGGAGAAAATATTGTATTTTAGAATTTAATATATTTAGCAGCATTAGTTTTGTTTTTTTTATATATATGAGATTAACAATTTCTTTGGTTCAATTAGGTATTGATAATTTTATTGTGTGATTGTGAACAAACAAAAAAATAGATATATTGGGTCTAAGTTTTTTAATGGATTATATTGGGTTTGTGGGGCCCAGTTTCATGGTTTAAAAAAAAAAAAAAACGGTTTAACATACCTTTGGAATTTGCCGATGTGTTTCTTTTTGATGTCTGCTTGAATTTTGTTACCATGTAATTAAAATAAGATGACTTAAAACTTACGGCACATATATTACAAAGAGAATTGTATAAAATTTCAATGGTACTTACAGCCTCATCTGTCAAAATCATTTCCAAAGACATGCCAGAACCTTTTGTAAAATGAATCCACGAATGAAGTATACTAACTTGAATACACCAAAAAATCTTGACAGGCTTCGAGTTGTTAATAGGAGTGTAGCGACTAACCATAGCCATTTATGCTGTATTTTTAATTGTAGGATATGAGAATGGTGCTGAGATGATTTATGTGAGAGAAGTACTTCAAACCTAAATGGATATTTATAGTTGTAGATTGTTTGTGATAATTAGAAGATTCAGAAATATATTAATTTGCATAAAATAGTTTGATAATATTTTAGAAAGGTATATTCTAGATTATTTGGAATATATGATCAAAATTATATAACAGAGAGATTTGACAATCTTTAGAAAAGATTTTAAGGAAACTGAATAGCTGATAATATTGATGCGTGATTAAGCTAAACAAAAAACGTAAAACTAAACAAAAAAACGATCTAGAATATAACAACTATTATAACTTATTTTTTTTTATAAAGGGTTTTAAGGAAATTGAATATATTCTCAAAGATTTTAGAGAAACTGAATATATTCTCAAAGATTACGAATTGCTTGAATACGAATTTATATCTAAACAAAATATAACAACCTAATATCTTTAAGATCTTTAAACCCGTTTTTCGTTATTTGACCCGTTTTTTAATTAATTTGTTAATGTTAGTGACATGGAATTAAAATGATTATGATTAGAGATCTCTAATGACATATATTATAATTTCTTACAAAATTAACGTTACGACTTATAAGATGCACTTCCCAAATAATAGTATAGGATATAACATTTTGGATAATATTTTCAATAACATTTTCGAACTATATGAGTATTATAATTCAAAATAGCATTTTTTATAAATTGGATTGATATAAAATGTTTTTAATGATATATCATTTTCATTAACATTTTCAATAACATTTTTTTATAACATGTTCGAATAATGGATTACTATATAACATTTTGAATAACATTTTCAATAACATTTCCGAATAATGTATTAGTATATTAGTATAGGATTTTTGCTAATTGTGTTACATTTTCGAATTGATTAGTATATAACATTCTCGAATTATATTAATTATGTATTATATAAACAAAATCTTTTAATATCTTTAAACCCATTTGACCTGTTGACCCGTTAATATATATTAGTGAAATGGAATAAAATAATTATAATTAGAGATCTCTAATGGCATATATTGTAATTTTTTACAAAATCTAAGTTATGACTCTTAGGATGTACTTCCCAAATATTAGTATAGGATAAGTAACAGAATAATATTATATACAGTAGAACCTCTATAAATTAATACTCGATAAATTAATAAACACTATAAATTAATAAAATTGTCCGGTCCCAAGTCGGGCCAATGTAAAATTTGGCAAAATTCGATAAAATAATAAGATAATAATTTTTTTAGAATCTCTATGTAAATATATGGTCCCATTAATATCATAAATTAATAATGGCAATATATATATATATATATAACCTGTTATACTAAGGTATGTTTTTAGTTGTTTTTTTTATTAAATTGAATTTTCGTTAGAACATATGTCTAACTTTTATTGAATAAAACAATTGGTCTATTGTTGTTTTAAATTATAGTGGTGTAGTATACTCTATAACTGTATCGTAAAATAGTCAAGATTTTCTGTAAGTTTTTAATTTTTGAATATGCATCATTTTTATTACGATATTTTTTATAGTGTTAAAATACGATAATTGAGGTCATTAATCATAAATTTGAATTTACGTATATCGTTTGTACAATTAAATTCATCTATACGCTTTGTAATTTTATTGTCTAATTTATTTTCGAAATAGATTTTTTCAAACTATTAAAAGTTAAGTCCACAACTACAAAATTTATAAATTCATTTCTTTCTAAAATTTTAAGAATTAAAACATATTTCTTTATAAATTAATAAATATTAATTTACACTATAATATTAATTTATAAATAAATTAATATCACGATAAATTAATAAAATATCATGGTCCCAACAATATTAATTTATAGAGGTTTTACTGTAAATGATTTAAAATAGTGTTACGGTATAAATCATGATTTCACACAAAATTACTGATCAAAAACTGTGTTTCTAATTATAACTTATAAAGAATATCATATACTTTATTTATGTATACGACTTTACGACTTACGAGGATTGGATTCTGAAGCTTCTACTTTAAATAGGTTTTAAATATTTCTCACATACTCTTAAAAACTTTATGCCAAAGATGCAAAAATTCATTAAATTTTGATTCCTTGTAGTTTCTAACTTTCTACTACTTTTTATGAGAGACTAACAAAAAGAACAATTCAGTCAATTTATCTTCTATGGAAACCCAAAATTGAAGAAACGGTAAAGCCAAAAAGGACAATCCAGTAAATTCAGATTGAGTGGCATTAATGTAATTTAATTGAAAAGGGAAGGGTAATCTAAACCTCCAGTCTCTATAAATTGTAGTAACCGACCCATTCCCGTGACCTTTCTGTTATCCCCTCTTTCCCTATTTCTCTCTCTCTCTCTAAAAGCGCTCCGATTTTATTCGCTCGCAATAAAAAAAATAAAAACAAATCTCTACAAATTTTGATTTTCTTTTTTTCACCCGATTATTCGATTTGACTGTTTTACAATAGTCAATATTTCAATTTTTTTATTGGGTGCTGACGTGGCATGCATCCAATAGAGAATCACCATGAACACCAAAACGATGCGTCTTCCCCCACGTCGCGTTCTAACGGCGGATAAGCGCAAAGAAAGAGACGCCTTCATCTCCTCCGTCACCGATAAACCGCCGGAAATCGCCGTTGCCAAGTTTACCCCACCGCCGCCGAATCTTGCTCCTCCGCCGGTTAATCCCACTTCCAGGAAATCTTCAACCGCAGCAGCCGAGCCGGTCGGCTCGAACCAACTGATGTTAGCCGGTTATCTGAGCCACGAGTTCCTCACCAACGGCACACTCTTCGGAGAGCAATGGAACCCGGCTCGAGCCCAAGCCGGTCCGTTTTCGGCCCAATCAGTGGAGCCCAGTAAGGTAAAGCCGAGCCATATTATTGAGCCGGCTGAGGAAAGTGACCCGAAACGGAAGAGGTATGTGGAGGTTGCTAATCTTCTCCGGTCAGACGGGGCTCACCTGCCCGGCATCGTCAATCCTGCCCAGCTTGCCCGGTTTCTCAAACTGTGATCGGCGTAATCCGATGTCCACGTGGAGACAAATCATTGGTCTGTCACCCGGCAAGCGAGACAGCTTTAAAACTGGAACCTTCTCCTTCTTCGTCTCTCTTTTTTTTTTTTTCAAATGTTTTTTAAAATCCTCTCTGTAAAGCTGACTCCCTCGCTCTCTATTCCCTTCTCATTGTCTTCCTCGGAAATCAACTGAGAAAATTTAGGGTTTGTTGGTGAGGTAGATGTTCTTGTTTTGTACATCAGAAATATCAATTAGCCAATGGATTATATTTTCAAAATTGAACTGTCAAAGTTTAACCCTTTTCTCTTTGTGTGTATGGATTTTGATGGTTCCAAAGTGATTAGAGATCTATACAAAACCATATAAAAAAAGTTATCAGTTTTAATTATTGAACTTCATCGATGGATCTTAGAATCGAATGCTTGTTGAGATTCAACCTCCAGTTTCGTGTAATCCCAGATTGTCATTCTCTGGAAGACAAAATTTGGTGATGACTTGTTATTGATGTTTTAAAAAGCTCTATGCAGTTAGTGAATACACTCGTTGATCATTGAATCTCTGTTTTTAGAGTTTGTGGAAGATACCGATTGCGTTTATAGCTAGAGAATAGGAGGAACTACAAATCGTGCTCTTTCTGGTTCTTTAGAGATTAAATCATGTATATCTGTTTTGAAACTACGATTGCGTTTGCGTTGAATTAATTAATTGATTTCTCAATTAGTGAAAAGATTGTGTTGTGAGGCCATTAAGCATTGATAAGATAGCTCGGAAAGCATAGAGTTTGTTCTTGCTTTCTTCAGAACATGAATCTCTTATGTTTTCAATACCAGCATCTTCAAAGTGCAAATCTATTATATAAGGCTGCTTCGTTTTATTAATAACAGTAAAATAAAAACAAAGCTTGAAACTTTTGACATACATTTTATCAGTCTATCTTTTTCTTCTTCATTAACTCGGCTATTCTGTTGGATATGCAGTAAGCAGTGGACTGAACGGTGATCATAGGATTAACACCAAGAGCTGTAGGCAGAACACTTGCATCACATACATACAAATCTTCTGCCTCCCAACTCTCTCCTTTTCCATCAATAGCTCCTGCCTTTTCCGTTGCACCCATACGGCAACATCCCATTTGATGCGCTGTAAAGGATTGTGTCCAATGCTTACTCATCGACACAACTCCAGCTGGCGCGTTTACGGTTTGTAAAAACGCCTCTAGATCTTCTTGTTTGATTCCACTACACTTCATTCTCTGCCCGTCGCTCCTGTATGTGCCCACCTCCGTTGCTCCTGCTGCTACTAAGATCCTCAGTGCTTGCTTTAACCCGGTTGTCAGATTCTCTTCGTCCGCTTTGGTTAATCTGTATCTGACAATGTCTCCTTTCACCTCTCCAACTCCTTCATCTCTCACCATGACAAAAATATGAGATGTTCTTGCGTATTTGGCCAATCTCTCCTTCATGTCTGACCCAGAGACCCACGGGGCGAGAGTTGCAAACGTACCTGGTCCTATAGCAGGAGTCTCCAGTGTGATGTTAGGTGTGGTGGAGTCCTCCATTGGATGAACATAATGTAATGAAGTCACGATCTCTCCCTCATGAGCCGCTCCTTGGAAGTCTGAATTTCTTTCTGGGAAGTAGCCCCAAGCCATCAGAATAGGGTGAATATGGAGACCGCGACCAATGTTTGGATTCTTCAACCCGCTTGAAGCCAACAGTCCTGGTGTCTTAAGCGAGCCGCAAGCCACAATTGTCACTTTGGCATTGATCTGAAGTTTCTTTCTGGTTCGGTTGGATAGAGAAGCTGTGACTCCCAAACATCTTTTTCTTCGTCCGCTCTCCTCTCTTTGGTGAGCATTGTTATCTGCCAAGATCAGTTTCTCAGCCTTGCACTGTGTTAGGATCACAGCATTGTTGTTAACTGCATCAACCAGCCAGGTTGAATCTGTCCCTCTTTTCTCTCCGGTTGGGCATCCAAACGAGCAACTACCGCAATAATGTTTATCTGTTGAATTCCTTGGCACTATTGTCACATCCAAACCAAGCTTCTCGCAACCTTTCCGCAGAATCTGGTTCTGAAACCCTTCGCTGATGATTTTTTCAGTGACACCTAACCTCTTTAAGACTTTATCCATCGCCGCCTTATATTTCTCACTAGAATATACTGAAATCCCTCGATGCACTGACCATTCTTCGATGATAGCGTCAGGTGTTTTTAAGGACGCTGCCCAGTTTACGACAGAGCCACCACCGACAGTTGATCCTGCCATGAACCGGAACCTGCCATCATGAGTCATCAACAAGCTATTGGACTCAAACAGCTCAAACGTGGAAGGACCCTCGAGAGCCGAGTAGTCTCTGGGGACAAAGTAGTTCCCTTTCTCGATAACTACCACCCTAAGGCCCGACTTTGCTAGGATTGCAGCTGCAACTCCTCCGCCACAGCCAGAACCCACTACCACTGCATCACACTCGATCTTGTAAGTGTCGCTTTCTCTGTCTTCTGTGACTTTAAGGCCTTTGGTGATCATACGTTGCTTGATGGTCATCTCATCTTCTTTTGCAGTCTCGATGATCCCTTTCTCTAGAGGTCTTTCATTTTGTTCCATGCCCTCGTTTTCTCCAATTTCCACGCAATAACCAATTGCATCCCATGCTGGGTTTTCTGAATTTTCATTTGTCTGTCCATACATATGAATTAGTTATACATGCGTACATAGGTAATAAAACATGGCAAAGTTCGTGCTGGTTGAAAACAAGTTGTTTCGAACCATGATTGGGATTAGAAACACAACCATCTGGTTGAAGACATTGCATTAGTCCTAGCCACCTAGCCGTAATGTTTCATGTTTGAACCTTTTTTGTTCATAGTCATGCACTCATACTACTGGAAATGTCCATACAAACACTTACATAGTCTCTAACAAAAGCGAATGCCCTGTTACAGAAATATGCAGAGGAGATGGAAGACTTACCCATGTGAAGTAGTAGAACAAGAAGATGGCTTTGATCATCATAAAACAGATTCTCGCTAGTGGATTATACCACTGTGTGTTCCATCTCTGTAGAACCTTTTCCCTCTTCTCCAGGGACATTTCAGAGAATTTGAGAAGGAAAGGCCAATTCTTCTTATCAAGACAGACGAACCCGCAAAGCAGTAACGTCCCCAGTCTGAATGTGAGTATTCTCAAAACTATTCTCACCACTAAAACTGTCAATGGTATTGCCTTGGTCGCCAGTAGCTCTGCCACCTGATTTTTAATCAATTTATCATCATTTCAAATGCACGTAAGCATTAACTTGTACATTGAAGATAAGCGTAGAGTAAAATCCAGATTTTCATCACCCTATATATACCTTAATGTTCATTAACGATTATGCTTTTATTAATTATATTCATCCTAGTGTCTTTTATTGAGATGACAGAGAAAGAGAGAAAGTTGGAGATAAAGAACCTCATCAGGTCGAACATGAGACTCAGAAGTAGAAGACTTGAAGAAAGATAAGAGTGCATCGTTGCGTAAAACCTTCAACTTCATCTCAAGATTTAAACTCTCTAATGGAACAGGAGGCATAATAGCGTCGCAAATGGCAGAGAGAGCTTGGAGGTCAGATTGTGAGAATCCATGGCTGAAGCTTTCTTGTTTCGCACTCCATCTCAACGAAGGGCTTCCTCTCTTCCCTAATCTTCTTCTTCCTCCTACCATCTCTCTCAGCTTTCAGGTCCTCTCCCTCTCTCAACTTTGTCTTTCCCCTTTCTTCTTTACACAAACATATATATAGACATGCGAAGAGCTTAGGGTTTGAAAGTGTAAGGCGGTTCCTTAAGTGTTGGGTAATCTGAAAGAAGGAACAAAACAAAAAAAACTTGAAAGAGACTGTTTCTTTTTTGAGTTTTGAGATTATGTTTGTTTGTCTGTAAAAGGAGACCACGGATGGATACGAGTAATATCACGTGTGATGTATACGAATGCGTATATGAATCTTCAGTCAGGTGTGAGATACATCAGGAGTCCACGTGACAAACGCTACATTGTACTGTTGTACATTATGTTACATGTGTATTTCTTAGATCACCGAACAAATAAAGCTCTTATATAATTCCACCACCAACATATCAAGTATATATAAATTAATTATTTGTTTTGGCTGTGTATATCATAACAGGCTTTTTTCAGGTGTCAATAATTGTCTATTTTTTTCCTTTTGGTATGATTTGTTCGTTATGACACCGAAAATTCTAGGTCTTCAATGTAATAAGACTAGAATTGGAATTGAAACTTCGAATAATGATTTATCAGAACAAAAAAAGAAAAAAAAAGGAAAGAAAACTTCGAATAATATTTAATAGCAAATCATTTATCAACATTTGGGGTACTTTAAGTCTTTAATGTTTTTATCTCCTAAGATTGTGTCGTTTTTTTTTGCCCTTTTTCCAACCAAAAGGCAAAACCTATTTCAAAAACTTTTTCACTTTGCGCATCGTTTTTTCCAGCTATACATCATCCTCGATTTTATATTATAGACTTATAGTTGAAGATCTATAATACGCTTTGTGAATTTATCAATTATGTAACCAGTTTCTTCGTCATGGGGTTTCTTGCGTCATGGGTTACATCAACTTTTGTAACACATTTTTTTCCCAACAATATTATAAAGTAAAACCAGTCGGTGTCCTATTCTGGAATCAAACATTCACTTTTTTGTTTGTTTATTGCAATGAAGATTGAACAAATGAGTTTGGCATTTTCCAACGAAAACCGTGTGGTCTTAGCTTCACCAAAATATATATATGAAAGCTTGCAACAAAAAGAAACTTTGGTGAAAATTTTGGGTACTCGTCGGTATAATTTACAATTAATATCAATAACCTTATTATCATAATGTGAACAATATGTTCTTGAGTACAGCTTTTCTTTTTTCACTACTCTTGATAGTACAACTAATAACTGGTAAAAGAACATAAGAAAATATTGTTCTTTACCAAAAAAGAGCATCACCTTAAATTTCCCGATTCCTTTTCTTAGTCGGTTCTAATGTCTAGCAATGATTTAATACAAGTGGCTGGTCTCTAAACAGAACAATCTAATTGTCAAGTATGTATTTTATTTTTATCAACTAGTGCCTAATAATTAATTTGATTTTACTAACAACTGCTGATTTTTTTTACAGTTTTACCAAATTAAGATTGCAATACAGAACATAAACAAACAAATTAGCCTCATCAATTTATTACAAATCCACTTTCAACAAATTGTCGTTCACTTAATTAGTTTTTATTTTTTCGTCCATGACGTTATTAGTTCAATATCTGGAGACAGAAAACAATGATTTCAGCTCGCCACATTCTCTTCTTCCTATTTCTTTTTGTTCATAACTGAGTTCTTGATTCAACCTCTCTTTTTTTTTTCTCTTGGAGAAAGAAAATTACAGGTCGTAGAATGTTAAATCAAAATGCTTTCAAAGAAATCATGGACGATCGCTCTTAATCGAGCCGAAATGAAAAATGATGTGATTTCTTTTCAGTTTTGAATTCATTTCATTCTTATAGTTTCCAGGAGAAAAAAAAAATTAGCCAACACACAGAATAGCTTCTTCTTTTTTTCTTTCTCCTAGAAACTATTTTGAATTGTTTTGACGATTTCGTTATGTCGAACTACAAAATGAAGAGTCTCTTGAAGGGTCTTAGGTATATTTCTCAAATATTTGGTGAGTTATTTTACTCTTTGTATATATATATACTAACTATCTTCTCCGAAATGTATCCTTATAATTTTTGTATAACATTTTTTGCATAATGAAGAAAACGAGAAAGAGCCAGAGATGCAAATTGGAACTCCAACAGATGTAAAGCATGTTGCTCACATTGGTTGGGATGGAGGATCTGTCAATCAAAATCCACCCAGCTGGGTATTTTATTTATATTTATTTACTTTTCTTTCGTTTTCTTTGGTATTTATAAAAATAAATCATTATCATAATTAAAGATAAATAAATTATGTAGATGAATGATTTTAAAGTATCGGGAAATATCAAGGAGGATGCTTCATGCATTTCTGAAGGTAAATTAACTATCTAATTAGAAATGTATACTTACAGATATTTCAAAAAAAAAAAAAAAGGTTTTAGTTTACATGCAGATTCGACACGGTCACGTGATAAACCGGGACTTCCAAAATCGTCGAGAGAGCGTTGGAGCACTTTAGATGGTTCACCAACAAAAGAAGGACCACGACGTGGATCTTCGCATTCTAGTGGAAACCCTAAAGTTTCACGAAGATCAAAAGAATCTTCTGATATTCCTAAAGATGGTTGTAGAAAATCTCGTCGGAAAAAATCAAAGGATTCTGTAAATGGTGGGTCTACAAGATCGTCACGACGAGCACGTGGATATCAGACAGAATCTATGAGTGATATTCAATGTCTGATGCAGGATCAATGATATCAATCTCCACTGATACCTAAATTAAGATAATAGAAAAGTTTGGAATTTGCCTGAAAATAATTAACATATATAGCTTTGGTTGGTTACTAGGAAATATAATAATTCAAGCTAATAATGGTGGGTTTTCGAATTTTTAGAGAGATTATGATTCGTCATATTAATCGATCGAGGTGATCAACTGAACTCAGATGTGGATTTGTGTGTTGATGTTTTGTCTCTCGAATTACCGGTAAGTTATTAACACTGATTTTCACAAGATATCTTAATTTAATCATGTTCATGATATGTTTTAAGATAAAATTTAATTACGGTGTTTTGTGTTAAGAGGTAATGAATTAGAGAACTTTGGGAGGATTTGTTTTTATTTTATTTGATTAGTTATATAATCTGCCTTCGCAATTTCGCATGGTGTAAGATTAAAATAAATAACAATTTTCCCAGTTGCAACAAAAAGAAAGAAAAAAGGTAGGTCTGGTCAAGGTCAATTAATATTCAAATCAGAATTATTTACAAACCGATGTAAACCGGATAGAGAACCGGACGATAATGGAGTATCAGTCACCGCGGTTTGACTTTACCAATCTTGTGTGTCTCCCTCTTCGCGACTCCATTGAATCTGCATTTGAAATAAATGAGATTGAGAGACTCTCTCCTAACGTTACTCTTCTTCATATGGAAATCATTTCTCCATTGTTTCGGTAGTTCGTAGAGAGCTCTTCTTATTCATTGTTCTTGAACCCATCCCCGATTCTTTCGGCGCAAGTTTGCTCTTTTGTGCGAAACATCCATACCCAAACTCTGACAATGTCTATGGCGAGTTTGTATCGGCGGTCTCTTACTTCCCCGCCGGCGATAGATTTCGCTTCTGTTGAAGGCAAGGTGCGTATTCTCAACTTTTTCGATCCATGGATTTGAAAATTAGGGTTCTGGGTTTTAACTATTCTTCTGCTTCTGCTTAAAGACGATCACTGATTTTGTCTTTTTTGGTGGACTGATTTCGTTACTTCTCTGCTAGAGTCTAGAAATTGGATTTTTTTCTTGGGAACTGTGTAAAAATCGTAAAACCCTAAACCCCTTGCTGTTTTTACAAGTTTAGTTGTTGGTGAGAGAGATCTAAGCATGCTTCCTGATAAATGGTTCACGAATTATTGATAGCCCTGAGAATTTAAGTTTTGTCATTGTCTTCGTAGCAAATCTTCAATGAAGCGCTTCAGAAAGGCACTATGGAAGGATTTTTCAGGCTGATTTCTTATTTTCAGACTCAGTCTGAGCCAGCTTTTTGTGGGTTAGCTAGTCTTTCTATGGTTTTGAATTCTCTTTCTATTGACCCGGGGAGAAAATGGAAAGGTATACCTCTACTGGAGACTTTTATCTTTTAGATTACCGCATTTGTTGGTGGGTTTTTGATTTTTTTTTGGTTTCCCACAGGGCCTTGGAGGTGGTTTGATGAATCAATGCTGGAATGTTGCGAGCCGCTTGAGATTGTGAAGGATAAGGGCATTTCATTTGGGAAAGTTGTCTGTTTGGCTCACTCTTCAGGAGCAAAAGTCGAAGCTTTCCGCACAAATCAGAGCACCATTGATGATTTCCGCAAATACGTGGTCAAATGTTCCACTTCTGATAATTGTCATATGATCTCAACATATCATAGAGAAGTACTCAAGCAGGTATCGTTTTTTTGGCCCCAAACTCTGTGTATATTAACAGTATTATGGCAATTAAGTGAATTTCATTACCCTCTTCATGTCTGGCTATAAAGTCCCATGTTGATCGGATTCTAATGTATCTGATTGCAGACTGGAACAGGCCATTTTTCACCTATTGGTGGTTATAACGCTGAAAGAGATATGGCTTTGATTCTTGATGTCGCTCGTTTCAAGTATCCTCCTCACTGGGTTCCTCTTAAACTTCTTTGGGATGCCATGGACAGTATTGATCAGTCAACAGGGAGACGTAGAGGGTACATTATCTCTATTCCTTGTCTTAGGCTTTTCTTGTATGAGTGAAGAATGTAATCCGTTTCTTTCTTACCGAACTCGTTTTTCTGTTATTCTGCTTAACTTCCAGGTTCATGCTTATATCGAGACCCCACAGAGAACCAGGATTGCTCTATACACTAGTAAGTCCAAAGTCATCCTATTAGTAGTTGCTGCTATTACAAAGACATTTCTTTCAAATTGGACTGAGTGATGATTATCGATTTCAGAGTTGTAAGGATGAGAGCTGGATCAGCATTGCAAAGTATTTGAAGGAAGATGTCCCTCGTCTTGTAAGCTCACAACATGTTGATACTATTGAAAGAATCTTATATGTTGTATTCAAGTCACTTCCGGCAAATTTCAACCAATTTATCAGATGGATGGCTGAGATTCGAAGAACAGAGGATGTCAATCAAAATCTCAGCTCAGAGGAGAAATCAAGGATCGACTTAAAGGTATTATCTTGTCGATTTGCTTCTGATTATAAATTTTCGTGTAAATATTCCCTCAGTTTATTCATCACTGTTCTATGGTTCGTTTTGCTGTAGCAAGAGTTACTGAAACAAGTGCAAGAAACTAAACTGTTCAAGCACGTGGAAAAGTTTCTATCATCTGTGGGTTACAAAGACAGTCTGCCATATGTTGCTGCCAAGGTTTATTGCGAAGGAGATGAAATCTTATTGGGAAATGAATCAGATGAGTCCTGTTGTGAGGAAACTTGTGTCAAATGTATTAAAGGTATGTTTGTTCTTGCATTCTGGATATCTTTCTAATAGTCATTGTCTCATTGATTAGTACGACGAAATGCTTAGGGATCATGACAGGGATCCATGTCCAATACTGACTGATAGTGTCTCCTTACATTGATTTTGGACTTTTTTAGAAGTCGCAATCAGAACTTATCCAACCACCTTAGAATCTTTCTAAGGTTTGAAGTTTATATTCCAATGAACCGGCAACAAACTAGTCTATTGTTGAGAATTTATCATCACTAATCTTTTAGCCCTAGATCATGTTATAGGACTAGAAGCTGTGATGGATAGTAATTTAGCTAGCTCGTGACTTATCAAACCCAAAAAATACCTTCATTTTTCAGCTAACATTTCAGAAAACTTAGCTTGAAGTTAGTAGTGTGCAAAGTTCTAATCAAGAAATCACTTTTTTCTTATGTTTTCTTGTTTTTACATCAAGGTATTGGTGAGGAGAAAGTGACAGTGGTAGCTTGCCCATCCGGGAACGATGTGTTCACTGCTCTTCTGTTGGCTTTACCTCCACAGACTTGGTCAGGTATCAAAGACCAGTCACTTTTGCAAGAAATGAAGCAGCTCATTTCCATGGTTAGCCTCCCGACTTTGCTTCAACAAGAGGTACATAACTAAGCCAATTCTTCACTTGGAATCCGTGTTTTTATGGAGTTAAAAAGGCTTTTATATCTTCTAATTGTTAGGACAAGAAACATAAATGAAACTGAGTGGTATAGACTGAGGATTACCTCTTTTTACGGCTGAAATCCAGAATCCATCAGTTGAGAAAAATGAAGTAAAATTAGTTAATTCGTTTTTCTTTGTTTGGGTTACAGGTTTTGCATCTACGACGCCAACTTGAGATGCTAAAACGATGCCAGGAGAATAAAGAAGACGAAGAACTCTCTGCTCCTGCCTAATCAAACACAACCAACCAAACTTTCTAATTTCTCAACAACCAACGAAATTGTTAGGGAACAAACGTTTAGAAAAAGGAACTTATCCCTCTAGTCTGGTCCATACGATATCAAAAAAATCAGCAAAAGCTATGTATTATACATTACATTCCTGAGAGACACTACAGGTAACTAAGTACTAACCATATCACCATCACTTTACTATATAGATTATAATATAGTAATCAAGCCCATATGTTTTTATTTTTTTTACATACAAAAGGTTTTTTACCACTTCACCATTCCAAGGAATGGCTTCTGCTTAGGGGCCTCGACGTTGGCCTTGGTTTCTCATCGACCGGAATCAGAACCTCCATGAGCTTCTTGTATCTCTCTTTAGTGCTCTCTTCAATCTCCTTCAAAAGCTGCTCATTCTCTTCCTCTAGTTTCGCAGCCAAAGTCTCTAACTCAACTTGATAAGCCTGTTTCCTCTCTCGAGACCTAGCAGCGGATTCACGGTTCTTGATCATCCTCTTGTGTCTCTGAGCTGCAGCTTTATCCATTGCCTCCGTCATCACTCTCCCTCTCTTTCCTCTCATTGTTCCTCCTCCACCCATTGATCCTTCAATCATCTGAAACGAACTGTGTAGCTGCGGCTGAGACATCATCGGAAAATCGAATGTATAGCTACCGTCGTTGTTGAGTCTCTCCGGTGGAATCTTAACATCAATTTCATCTGAACCTCCGTCATCCATTGCTGCTTTGGCTAAGAAATCCTCAAGCGTCATTATATCTTCTTGTTCTTCCTCCTTCATCATGATGGTCTTTTGCTCTCCAGATACAATCTCTTTCCAAACATCGTCCACACTCTTACCGTTGTTAACGCTGTTCCGATCTCCGATACTCCGATCAACATCAATCGCCATCTCGAAGGGCTTTGAATCAGACGCGAAAGTGTAATCGTTGCCTCCGCCGTAAGCGAAACTGATTCTGGAGTGATCGGCTAGAGGATTTGGTCGGAGATGGTGAGATGATCTTACAGAAGGGGAAGATGAAGCAGAAGAAGAATTACGGCGAGACAGATCGGAATTGGAAGAAGGCATCAACTTGAAGGACGCCATTTCCGGAGCTCACTGGAATTGGAACGAATTTATCGATTTGGGTTTATCAAAGAGAAACAATCGGAGATGGTGGATTTCTTCGGACCAGACCAGAGATGGAGAGATCTTTCTAGGGTTATGTAACGTAGTAACACGCGCTTACTCTACATACAAGTTTAATTAACTAAACACGCGCACGTAAAACGCGTGACTTGCACCTTCTATCAACTACATGTACTGTACTACTATAAGGAAAAATAATAATGTTTTTTTCTTTTTCTTTCGGTCAATTCATATTTTGAAAAAAATGCTACACAAATCGATCTTATCAAACCATATTGGTTTATTAATTTGTAAATCCATATAGGATTTGGAATTCTCTATTAATTATGGAATCAAAATATATGGATTTTGAAATAACATGTGTTTACCCATGGATTTCAATCCTTCTATTTTTCTCTTTCAATTCCATACAAATCCATTTAAAACATAATTTGGATTCTCAAATCCAAAAACAAATGACTAAACGAATAACATCTGATTTTAACTAGTATTTCTAAATCATAGAACCAATAACACATGATTTTAATTAGGATTTTAAAATCAATGATTGAATAACAAATGATTTTTGTTTGGATTTTTAATTCCTTATAAATCCATGAACCAATAACCCCTCCTTAGTTTCCAATCTCAAGAGATCTCGTATTAAAGATCAAATGAAACTCCAAATCAAAAGGAAAGGAAAGGAAAAAAAAAGAGTCCAGAATCTTTTTGTACACTGTTTCTTTGTTATTTCATTATAAGACAATCCAACTGTTTATATGGACACTAGATGATGTAGAGGTAGAGAGGGCCCAACTTATAATGAAACCAAAACAAAATTGCAAAAATTTCATGAATTTGGCTGAGTCTCTTTGAAGATGATGATGATGAATCTCCTCCACTGCCAAAAACGTCTGGAAACAACAGTGACCTCCAATCTCTGATCATCGATCTATCTCCACGGAAAACCTCAAAGCAGTCTACTAAATTTTGGAAGGTTTCTATTGTCAAGATCGTTTTCGATTCAATAAATCACATAATTTTACTAAAATTTATAAGCATTCGCATTTCCTATACACAAGCAGTGTGAACTTACCACTATGGACTAAAATGGAGGTTCGAGTGGTTCATCCCAGACATCTGCACTCCCATTTGAGACTTCATCTACATCTTCCTCCATTGACAATCTCACATACTCTCTCTGAGCGAATCGATCCCACTCTGTCCAATTTGGATCCTCCCTTTCCTACAGCAATGAAAGAGAATTATACTTGTTCTTTACTGCATCAATCCGAACTACTACCAACTGCCTTTAGCAGTTAAGCAGTCATATTCTTTGTTATTTTTTTCCCTCTGAGTCCTATAAAAACTCCACTGGAAAGCCAAACTTACCTGGCGAATGAGAAATGGGTCACGTGTTTCAAATGCCATGAATTTATTTAGGTTGAAGAGTATATTGAAGACGTTTCCTGAAAGTTTGGATCCTTTCAGATCCTGGAAGGTGATGCAGTTTTCTTTCTGCAAGGACATACACCATATAGATGATTCCAGTCAAATAAATGATAAAAGAAAAGAAAAAAAGCTCGGAAAAATCAAACAACCAACCATGTTCTCATTTGTAAAGTAACTAACCTCGGGTCCAATCATGTCAATTATTTGACATAGGATATCGCTGAAAAGAACAGCTTCCTGGGTTATGCATTCCATGCGATGCAGCTGCTCTTCGAAAAAAAACTGCATTTCGTTTGGAGTGATTACGCCATTTTCATCCAAGTCTACACACTTGAACCTGCACAGAAGATTTCGATAGCTGTCAAGAAAAATACACGGACATGCAAAAATATTGAGTCTGACATCCATAGTAGATAGATGAACGTACTAGGCTATGAACACGTATCATATCAGAGGTTCAAAGGGAGTGTTTTCGGTTCATCAAAAATTGATGAACAATGACCAACATGTTAGATTGTTAGCGCAAACAATGATCCTATGTTCATGAAAAAATGATACTATACAATGCTTAGTAAATAATATCAGACAAAGGGGACTTGTTATGGACAAGTCTACATATGTCACTGGTTTTGACTCGGTTGTAGTATATATATCAAGATCTTGTGATCTAAAGTATCATTAAGAAAAACCAACATCAACACGGAGGGGGGGACATGTGTACCAATACTCAAGACTAGGCTCGGAAGACTTGTCTTCCTCGGCAAGAATGAAGTACACAAAATCTTCATAACTCATCTTCCCTTCAACTTTACTCGTAAACTTCCTAGGAACCTAAAGGAGAAACATAGCCACAACATGCATGGAGATCAAATAAAAAGCGTCACACCATACTATGTAACTTAGCTTGAAGAAGGTCTAGGCAGGAACAATTTCGGGAACCAACCTGTGAAAATATTCTATCAACAATCCTGTAGGTAAGGGCATTATTACCATATTTGATGAGATTGTCCTTATCAATAAAACAATCATGGTCACCATCAAGTTCCCAAAATTTGCAGTATATGACGTAGAAGTGCTCATAGGAGAAGTACCTGAAAATTAAAAGAAATGACATGATTGCAAATGGTTACATCAGGCATAAAATCTGTTACAGAAACAATATGAAGGCTAAGCCGATACTCATATAGCTCTTTCCTTTTCAACTGTTTAATGTTATATGTGATAAACCCTCTAAAATGTAATACATTTTTGCAGGCTTGTTTACCTCTTATCTAACAATAGAACATTTTCTGTTGCACATGTTTCAATTTAAAATATTGATTGTTAGGATATTATGAAAAAGAAAACTAAAATCACCTAATAATTTTATTGATGTCGTCCTCTTCATCAAGTTGTTGCATAGCAGCAATTAGATTTCCACGTTTCAGCTCTCTAAGAGTAAGGCAACCAGTTCCGGATCTGTTAATGTAGTAAAATATTCTGTAGATGACAGTTTCAGCTGGGTAATCAACAAAGGATTTAATTAGTACAAGTATAAATCTAACATATGTACATAACCAGTAGAGATATAGAGGTGTATGCACAGAAGGGACGTCTTATTTAGCATAGAAAAGAAAATCGAGTAGGTTTCATCATATTTAACACCCATGACATCAGTAAGTCACAAATCAATGATTCCTACCATATCTTTCTTGAAATTCGCTTGTCGTCCTCAGAAATTCTAACCCAGGATGTGTTGCCAGAAGCTCATCAAGAACTGGTTTGAAGTCTGCCTGTAGCCAAATCCAAGAAATGATCAAAATCGTTGGCGCAATGGGTTAAAATAGGAAGACAATTGTTGCAAAATAAATCAGAACGCGGTTGAGGAAAAGCGGGAGAAGTATCACAAAAAGACCTGTCTGAGGTACTTGCAGCCCTGCTGCCTTAGTATATTATATATCTGGGAGGCTGTGTCCATAGATAACATATTTCCATCAATCCAATACTTGATAAACGCATCCCTGAGGACAATTTGTCAATCAGCAAACATTAGTAAAGCACCAATTACCCAACAAAGTTTTATAAGAAAATAGAGCAAGTAACCGAAGTTCTCATACTATTTTACATACACATACATTCATACCTACAACTAACTACTATTATAATACATTTTATAAAGAATAAATAGCATATATGGAGCTACCTTGTAACTATATCAGTGCAATTGGGATCAATCTTTCTGAAAAGTGCAGGAGAAAGAAAAGAAGGCAGCTTGCAGACTTCTTTCGTAATGGATTTGAATTCTGCAAGAGGAACAAGAATGCTAAGATGAATTGCCTTAAATATTCTTTAGAAGGTTAAAAATGTAAGCAAAAGTTGAATTAAAACATCACCATGTACATGTAGTCCATCAATATAGTTACTAAAAAATTGATCAACCATGGATATACACTGGTCCTTTAGGTCTTTTGCTGGTGGACGCCCATGTTGGTAGTAGAACTGCAGATAATATAAACATATGAACTGTTGTGAGCCAAACTTATTATCATGTCACAGTGAAGGACCATTTTCCCTTCAAATCAATTTTACCTACAAATTAGTAGCCTTGGTTTAAACTGTACCTTGCATCTACTAACGAAGCTATCTGTTTCAATGACCAATCAAGTGAACATACATACCACACCAAAATCACAAGTCCAGAGCAATACATATCCATGTGTGGGGATCAGCAGGAAATGAGAACAAACCTGAGGAATGAGTTCACACTTTGGCTCCTTGACTGATCGCAGAGGAGATTGGAGAGATGGAGGGCTAGTCCTTTGCCTAGAGAAACGAGGGGAACCAGACGAGCTTCGTGGAGATAGCGGGGGAGTGCTGCTGCTCAGAAACACAGCAGGCAAAGCACTTCCACCAGAAACATTGGTGGTGGCGTAATTCTTGGATACATTAGTTGGTGTTCCAGATTTAGCATCATCAATCAAAGACTTGACCTACAGAAACATGAACCAGGGTCAAACAAGGGTCATGTAACACACTAGTGTAAAAGAGAGGCCAAAGGAATAAGGTACCAATCTGGCAGTTTCAGGGAGTGAGAGCCACTGAGAGAAGAGTTCATCAGCAATATGAGAGCTTGGTTTGAGAGGAGCAGGAGACAAACCCTGGAGCTGCAAGAACTCAGGATCTAAAATATGAACATCGTCTAGTCCGTCAATATCCATGATCTCCTACTTGATCCACTGACAACAGCAACGAGAAACCCTACTTCTATCAATTGGAGCTGTAGAGTAACAAAAGCGCCGCGAAAATCGAGAAATTCAAAATTCGACAACAGCGGCTATGAAAAGAAGACGCTACTGTGTCAACAGCTTGAATACTTATAATTTGAGGAACAACAATGGATTCGATAAACCCTAGTTTTGGAATTTGATAAACAAAGTACAAAATCAGTGACGATTTGTTTCCAAAAATAGACAAGTGATTGGAAAAGTAAGAGATTCCAGCACCGAGTAGGAAAGAAATTGGCAGATGAAACGAACAAAGAAAACTCCGATCAATAATCGGCAAAGAAAGTCGGGAAGAAGATTTTTCCCGGAAAGTTATCAAAGGGAAGGAGGAGGAGGACTTCCAGAGATATTTATCACTCACCGGCCGTTTGCTTTTTTCACTTCTTTCTCTTTGACCAGAGTCAACCCCCCTATCTTACAGTTTCCTTTTTGCCTAGGATTAAAATTAATTTTGTTTTTAGGTGCAAACTCTCCCATGAATTTAATAAAAACAATTATGTGATATTGTATCAGATAATATGCTATTTAATTTTTTTAAAAATAGAAAATACTTTTTTTTTTTGGTAGGGAAAATAGAAAATACTTTGGTTAGTAGTGTAAAAAAAAAGATCGATTTAAAATTATATTTTGTATAACGTTTTAGGTATAAATTCTCGTATTTGTGGAAGTTTTAATTATAAGAAATTATCACAGTAAAACCAAAAAAATCATTATACTAGTCGGAAATAAGAATATTTACGTAATCGATAAGACAATTAAAAGCTCCAAATTTTTTGCTGCGATCACGTTTGAAGCCAAAACTCTCTCTATCTACCTCTCTGGTACAGAGTCTCCGTGTTCTTAAAGCTTTGAGACCATCTTCAAGCACCCCAATTTCACAGAGAAGGAAACAAGGAAGGGGAATAAACATGAACATCTTCACTAAGAAACCAAATCCGAGAGGTTTGATTTCGATTTTTTCTTTTATATCATTGGATTTTGTTTTCTGAAATTAGGTTTTGTTTCTCCGATTGATCAACAACCTAAATGGAATTTTAATCATCTGGGTATCTTCTAAATTGCTAAAAAGTTGACTTCTTCTGTAATTCTGTGGCGCGATCGGGATCATGTTTCCAATGTTTCTTTTGGAATCTGGCTTGGTTTCGTCTGAATTCGAGAATCTTAATGTCTATTAATGACTGTATGAATCTGAATGTATCGTTTTTTATTGCAGAAGTGCTTAGGGAGAGTAAGAGAGAGATGACACAAGCTACAAGAGGTATTCTTTGTTCATATGATTGGCTTTAAGATTTGATTATTGAATCTAGAAAAGGGTTAAATCATTGATTTTTGATTGCTTGATGAATAAGCTACTAAATTCCATGGCCAAAACTAGATATTGCGCAAGTTTTAATTGATATATACCTAAATTCCTCTCAAACTGATGAAAATTTCCTCCTTTACGTGTTTTGTCTCGCAACGCGGCTTCAGGAATCGAAAAGGAAATCGGATCGCTGCAATCAGAAGTATGAATGTGGCTCATGTAGTAATGTTTCCATCCATTCTTTTTCAAGGGACATCTGAAAACGTTTTCTTTCATGTTTGATAGGAGAAAAAGCTTGTTCTCGAGATTAAAAGAACTGCTAAAACAGGGAATGAGGTATTCCTTATCCGTAATTCCTTTTTCGGGTTTGTGCCCAAGAATTTTGTTTCTGTAATAGGTTCTAGTTTATGTACTCTTCATCTTTTGTTTTTATGCAGGGAGCAACTAAGATTCTTGCTCGGCAATTGATCCGGCTAAGGCAGCAAATAGCTAACTTACAAGGTAGCCGAGCTCAAATGCGAGGCATAGCTACTCATACACAGGTTTGTTTATTTAAACTTATATCCTTTCATTCTGCAATATGTCTGTTTATAAACCAAGAAGATAGTAATGTCTAAATTTGAGTATTGGAAACTTTCACTGTGGTGTTTAGGCTATGCATGCGCACACTTCAGTTGCTGCTGGAATGCAAGGTGCCACTAAGGCAATGGCAGCTATGAGCAAGGTCAGATTTTCATATAACACGGATCAGATTTGCCCATGTTTAGTGATTTGTTTGGATTCGTCAAGTTCAGTATTTGAGGGTCATCTCTTTATAGGAAGAACATAAATCCAGCAGGAATTTTGGTGGGTTTTTTTTTTTGTGTTTAGAACTTGTTCTTCAATGTAACAAGATGTTTTTGATATTTTCAGAATATGGATCCAGCAAAACAGGCTAAGGTTATGAGAGAATTTCAAAAGCAGTCTGCACAAATGGACATGACTGTAAGTTCTATCAAATCCATCTTTTTTTTAAATCCATGAACAGTCAAACAGTCTCATTAGTCTGACTAATGCATGTGGTATTCAGACTGAGATGATGTCAGATGCCATAGATGATGCTTTAGACAATGACGAAGCTGAGGACGAAACAGAGGATCTGACAAACCAGGTACATTTCCACCCTCTACCTATCGGTTCAATTTCTAAAATAGACTGTTTTCAAAGGTTTAACAAAGCTTTTTTGTTTTACTGATTAGGTTCTTGATGAAATCGGCATTGATATCGCCTCGCAGGTTTGTTTTTAACCATCGATTCTCATCATTCTTCTGTGTCTTCATGTCTTCTACGTGATTAATATTCGCTTGTCTCTGATTTTATCCATCTGCAGTTATCATCTGCTCCAAAAGGTAAAATTGGTGGGAAGAATGCAGAGGATGTTGGCAGGTATAGTATCCACTAAACACAACTAGGACATACTTGTATCGAAATTAAACCTCGATGTTTCTGTGCAGTTCTGAAATCGATGAACTGGAGAAGCGGTTGGCGGCGCTTAGATAGAAAGAAGAAGTGCCGTGAGCTTGAAGATGTTTCAGACAAAAAATTTATACATTCAATGTGTCTTCTACAGTTTGCTTTCTGGGAAGATTTGTGGATATTTAAACAATTAAACAAATGTAGTGACTTTATTTTTCTTTTTTTTTTATCTGCCAACCTTTTCCCTGCAATGTCCAAAACGTTCTTTGCTTTCTGTTGTAAGTCTGTTTTGTTTTTTGCATACAAATTTTTTATTTTTTGGTAAGATTTTGCATACAAATATTTGTTCGCCAAGAAGTTTCGTTCTACATTAAAACTTCAATAATTTAAAAGATATTATTAGTTCAATAATCATGATTTCTCTTTTGTCATAGATCGTTGCTGTTATGGAGGAATTTAGATCAAACTACGAACTGTAAGTTTTAATTTCTAGATTTTTCTTAAGATTCGATCATAGGTTAGTTTGTTGGACATCATAGGTAGCGATGTTATGGAGCAAAGTGGCGGATTTTCAAGTGTGACGAGGTAGTCGTGGAGGAATCGGTGGGTAACCGGAATTGATGGTGGTGCTGGGAAGATAAGGATCGTCGGCGTAAGAGATGAGAGTCACATCCACGTGTCATATGGTGCTTTCACCTGTTTCATTTGCTCTCTACCCTTTACTGGGTCTTTAGATATACCCTTTATACCTTTTTGGGTCTTACGTTGAGCCCATTTGTGGGTTTGTAAAAGTCTTTGACAATATCCAATAAAATAAACCAGTGAAAAAAAAAAAAAAAAGTTTAGGGAAACAGGAAAATTCTAAAGAAATCGTAATAAGGAAACAAGAAATCGTAAGTAAGATAATGAAAAAAAAATAACAAAATAAAATAATTTGTTTTTCCATAACTATAAAATACAATTTAATTGCAACAATAAAATACCATTGATCTAATTGCATGCAATTTAGTATGGAATTTTTATATGGAATTTCAATTGTGTACTTCAAGGAATATGTTTTTGTTTTTCGAAGTTGATAAGATTTCTGAAAAATAACGATTATGGATTCGATTGATATTGGCTCCATTGATCAAGCAAACATAAAGGCCCAACAAATGTTTTGAAAACCAAACAAAATGGTGGCTGTGGAGGTTGGGGCACATGACAAAGCGTATGACCAAAATATGTGACAGAATCAACTTCTTCACTTGCCCGGTGGATTCGTTTTCCTTTTTTATAAAGAGAGAAACTAATGAACTCATTTCCTCAAAACTTAATCACACACCATGGCTCATCCTCAACCTCCTAACATCATCGAGACCTGTCATATCTCTCCCCCAAACGGCACCGTTCCATCCACCACTCTTCCTCTCACCTTCTTTGATGCCCCATGGCTCACTCTCCCACTCGCCGATTCTGTCTTCTTCTTCTCTTACCAAAACTCAACTGAATCTTTCCTCAAAGATTTTGTACCCAACCTCAAACAATCACTCTCCATCTCTCTCCAGCATTTCTTCCCTTACGCCGGTAAACTGATCATCCCGTCTCGACCCGACCCTCCATACTTACAGTACAACGATGGCGAAGACTCTCTTGTTTTCACTGTAGCAGAGTCTACCGAAACCGACTTCAACCAACTGAAAACTGATTCCCCTAAAGATATCAGCGTGTTGCATGGCGTCTTGCCCAAGTTACCTCCTCCTCATGTCTCTCCGGAAGGAATTCAGATGCGGCCAATAATGGCGATGCAAGTCACCATCTTCCCTGGAGCCGGAATCTGTATAGGCAACTCAGCTACACATGTTGTAGCGGATGGAGTCACCTTCAGTCACTTCATGAAGTATTGGATGTCATTGACCAAATCCAACGGCGATCCTGCCACAGTTCTTCTACCCTCTCTACCTATTCACAGCTGCAGAAACATTATCAAGGACCCAGGAGAGGTAGGCGCAGGACATTTGGAGCGGTTTTGGAGCCAAAACTCCGGAAAAAACAGTTCGCATGTTACGCCTGAGAACATGGTTAGAGCTACTTTTACAATGAGCAGGAATCAGATAGACAATCTAAAGAGTTGGGTTAAAGAGCAGTCTGAGAATCAATCTCCTGTTTCTACCTTCGTGGTAACTTTAGCTTTCATTTGGGTAAGCTTGATCAAGACACTGGTTCAAGACAGTGAAACAGAGGCTGAGGGAGACAAAGACGAAGTCTTTCACTTGATGATCAATGTGGATTGCAGGAATCGTCTCAAGTACTCAGAACCAATACCACAAACATACTTTGGCAACTGTATGGCCCCTGGGATCATATCAGTCAAGAAACGAGATTTGCTAGGAGAAAAAGGCGTTTTGGCTGCTTCAGATGCAATCACAGCGAGAATCAAAGATATGTTATCAAGTGATCTATTGAAAACAGCACCAACTTGGGGACAAGGAGTACGTAAATGGGTCATGTCTCGTTATCCAACCTCAATAGCAGGAGCTCCGAAATTGGGACTGTATGATATGGATTTTGGGTTAGGAAAGCCCTGCAAAATGGAGATAGTGCACATAGAAACAGGTGGTTCTATTGCATTCTCAGAGTCAAGAGACGGCAGTAATGGAGTTGAGATTGGAATAGCACTGAAGAAGAAGAAAATGGAAGTATTTGCCTCAATTCTACAACAGGGGATCAAGAAATTCGAGAAGTAGCAGCCCTTTTCTCATCCAATAACTTGTAGCAACAAAATGATTCAACATTTACCGATCAACACAACCCCAATTAGTAAGTCCCAACATTCCACAAACGTCCTGAATATGGTTCAATAATTATCTCCAATCTCATGAATACGGGCAACCTGATCTTGGGTCCGAAACCAGAAACTCAAAACAAAAAGATCATGTAATATTGAAAGAGAAAAATGTAGTGTTCTTGTTTAACTCTAGTCCCATGGATAAAAAAAGAGACGGAAGCTGATGAGAACACTGGCAATTTACGAGTTTTTTCAGACTACAAGCACTAAGATACAAGTGCAAGTGTATAGTTTAAACTCAAATCAATAAAACCGATAATTGTATGAAAATGTCTCAGTAAAATCCATTCAAGTCATAGAAATTGCAGCTTATGCCAAGGGGTTCTCCCTGAAAAACAGGGTCTCAGCTCCACTGCACCTCATTAGATTGGATTAGATCCTCATCGACATTCCCAAATTTCAACCAAAAAAAAAAAACTCAAAAAAATTCAACAACAAAAGGCTCAGATGAGAATACAGCTTTTTCAATCAAGAATTATCTGAAGCAGAACTGGCGTATCAAGCTGTTACAATTCATCATCACTACCAAACAAACAAAACTCGGAAAAAAAGAAGAAGAAAACTTTGGGCTCATATTAAGAAATTCAACCATGTATTTACCGTATCTGCTTCATTGACCTAATCTCAGAAGCGCGGGTAAGTTTATAATCATTGCCAAAACAAAACAAACATTATTCGATTCCATCAACAAACCAGGTCAAATCAAAACACATATAGAAAAGAGATATATAGCCGCTTTTTTGACACAGAAAAGCCTAAGGAATAAGGCAAATCTGCAACACAAACGGCAAAATAATCTAGCAGGAGCTTTGGGGCTTACTTCCTCAAGTACCTTAGTTATCAGATTAGCCCGGGAGGCTCCTGCAAACCATCATAACTAGACATATAAAACCATAAGCGATTGAAGAAAAACCCTAATCAATAATCTCTAGATACTATCGATATATAATAAAACCCTAAGCGATTGTAGAAGAACCCTAATCTATAGATCGATAGTTGTAAGAAATAAAGACAGGAAGAAGATGATCATAAATAGCACGCGGCTGGTCAAAAAACCCTAGCCCTAATCTCTATGCCAAAAAGTCACAATTGCCCCTGTTAGTATTATTGCGGTTAAATAATAACCGACACATATGAAACCGGTATGATGTCATTTGTTTCTCCACCACTTCCTACGATTAATCGGCTTTAAACTCGACAAAAAATAAATATATGTTGTCGACAAACAAAAGTGTGTTTTTGAGTCTGCGTCATAATGAAATTTCGGCTTCTAAAACTGTTTTACATATACAAAATAAACTATATATGTATATATGGAACGTTGTATGTATCTTATCGCAGATTCTCTTAGGATTATCTGTCTATTGTTCGTTTGGTTTGTACGTATAGTGACTTTCTTGTTTCTCAGGTTTCATTTTCGGAGAGAGAGAAGCTCTAAGCTCCTCCTTAATGGATCTTCTCTAGTGTTTCTAGCTGCACGCGGAAAAGAAGAAGTCTTGGATTCGTTTCCTGATTGAATTCTCTGGCTTGTTGATGCACGGTTGCTTATAGTTCCGACCCCTCCAGTTGAAGTCACCAGACGGCTAGATGATCGACTATCGCTTGGTCCACCAGCGGAACTTGGTCGAGAGCTTGACGCAATTGCTCTCCTCGAAGAGCTTCCGTATCTTGAGGAACTGCGTGGTCTTTCTGAGTCACCAGGCTGTGAAAATTAGAGCAAAATACAGTGAGTCTAGTGAGGGATTGCATTCTCTGCTTTAACCAACCCAAATCTGAACCAAAAATTCGATCTGAAAAACCAATTTGGTAAGGGATCTTACCGGATGCTTAGACAAAGGCCCATCATCGGAGTTTCTTGATGCAGAGTGATCACGCGGAGTAGAAGTTGTCGGATGCCTTCTTGAGAAAGCCTCAACTGCACCCGAGAACCGGTTCTCGCGAGTCTCCTTTCCTGCAAAATTAAAAAGAAAAACCAGTAAGCGCGGGAAAACGGTTTTGAGATTCAAAAAAAGAACAAACAGAGAGACAGTTTACCAGCAATCCTCTCCGTTTTTTCGAGAGAAGGTCCTGCACTTGGCCCTGGTTTCGTAGTTATATGATTCTGAAACAAAATATATTTTACATTTTTACGCTCGAATAGAGAGACTTAAGAACCAAAAGAGAAAGTAGAATAAATTACCCGTGTCCGTGAACTAGAACCAGAGCTGGAACCAATCTGAGGATACTTCAGAACTGTCCAGTCAAATACATAATCAAACTGATAACCTGCCAATGAGAATGGAAATAAGAATTATGAAATCGGTTGGACAGAGATTATTTGCTTGAATAAGAAATTGTGTGATAAGAAGTAAGAACCTTCTCGAATAAACAAGTCCCGGAATAGCCTCTTAAGGTAAGAGTAATCAGGTTTGTCATCAAACCGTAGAGACCGGCAGTAACGAAAGTACGAAACAAACTCAGACGGTTGATTTTTACACAATACCTGTTCTTCACATCAATGCTAACTCATCAAAGCTAAAACTAATCACAATACTCAAAGCTAAATGTCGAATTTTCAATACCTCTATAGGAGTTGCTACTTTTTTCTCACTAATTCTGTCATACTTCTGCTTCTTTGTCCCAGCTTTTAATCCCTGCCAGGGTAAGCTGAAAGAAATAATGTTATGAGAAAACAATTCAACATTTGTTGAAAAGAGATACCAATATTGAGAAAGACGATCACAGAGAAGTTTAAAGATCGGTATAGAAGTTGTAGACTATTACCTCCCTTTGAGGAAATACATAAGCACATAACCAAGTGCTTCCAAATCATCTCTTCGACTTTGTTCTTTAGAAACACCAGCAAGAGAAAGTACTTATCAGATCCGAATACATAACGGTTGGAATATTAGTAAATTCATATAGGAAAAAACACTCACCGACTCCAAGGTGAGTGTTCACACTTGCATACCGAGCTGTTCCAGTGAGGTTTTTGTTTTCTCTGCCCAAAAATGTGATATTTACTCGTAAGCTTCATGTATATCACTTTTAATAAGCACAATTTCTGGGAAAACGGAAAAACCTTTACCTGTACGGAATGTGCCTGTGAGTCTGAAGGTCTCTGTATTTCTTCCCCAGTCCAAAATCAATGATATAAACCTGAGGGAACGGGAAAACAAAGTAACTCAAAAGTTTAACCGTAACTATATTCTTATATCAGCACATAGTTATACTTTCCAAGATGTAAAATCAGTCAAATTTTTCTCAAAGAAGTTCATATAAAGAGCAGTCACAGAATCAATCGGAGATGGCACCTGATTTGCTTTGCGACCAAGGCCCATTAAGAAGTTGTCAGGTTTAATATCACGGTGAAGAAAACCTCTAGTATGCATAAACTCGACTCTGTTAATCTGAAACCATGGAAAGATAACATTAAACATAGTTCTGGATTATGAAGGAAGACATCTTATTCAAACCAATATAAACTGCAAGATATGTAATATACTCTCACCAGCTGATCTGCAAGCATGAGAACGGTTTTCAAAGAGAGTTTTCTGTTACAGTAGTTAAACAAGTCTTCAAGACTAGGACCTAGAAGGTCAATAACCATAACATTGTAATCCCCTTCAACTCCATACCACTTGAGGTTAGGAACACCAGCTTCAACAAAAAACAACAATTTTAGGATGAATAAAATTGTGTCTTGGCTTCTTTCTTGTAATCAATTGGAAATAAAATACATTTTGACATATAAATAAATGAGACTTACTTCCTCCTTGAAGCAGCATATACAATTTCGACTCATAGTGGAGTTGGGGATGCTTAGTTTTCACAGATTCCTGAGAATTTCATAAGAGAAATTGCACAAGAAAGTTACAATTGCCATTACTAAAATTCATAATCAAAGTCTACCATTGTAGTAAGCTTACCAGCTTGACAGCAACTTCTTCTCCGGTTTGCACATTTACACCTGTTAAAGGAACAACATGAGACCCTTTAAATCATAGATAGAAGAATTGACAAAAATCCAGTAATGAGATAATAAAAAAGATTTGCCCTTTGTTGTTGTTACCTAGATAAAGCTCTCCAAACGATCCACTACCAATTTTCCTCCCAAGTTTAAATTTTCCAGCAATCACAAGATCCATATTTTCTCCAACAATCTCCAAAGCTCAAAAAAAAAAAACCCAGATTTTTCAAACACAAACCCTTCGTCTCCTAGCTACGGCCCTGGATTCGTCTTCCAATCCAACATTTAACACCAACAAAGGCCTTGCAGATTCTTCAAGTGACAACACTCAGATTCTCCAATTCGAACACCAAAAAAGAAAAGAGCTTTCAAAGATCCCTCATATCGAAAAACAAAATCGAGGGCAGGCGTTAATGGGGGCATCAACGACAAACCCTCATGGGGAAATCGGAAATCGAATCGAGCATGAAAACGATGAATCAAGAACCGTCTGCTACAATTGACAGTTCATATTTTTCTAGGGCCCGCCCCGATTGTCAATTTTAGCCAATGAAAAGCCCTCTCCTACTTGGATAAGAAATCGAACTAACTCCCTCACACACAAAAATAAAAACGTAAACTTTTGAGCTGGATTGGACCTAAAAATGTCGAATTTTGTTGAACAATAAGAAGAAGATTCGGTAGTTAATAAGAAGTTAGGAATAACAAAGGAATAGAGATGATTTTTGTGACATTTGTCCGTTGCCTTTTCCTTTGGTTTTTCTCACTCCCCAATTATGACCATGCGAAACACGCCATTTTTAACAGCAGATCAAATTCACAGAGAATTTCATTTACTTATTTTTTATTTCTTTTTTTTTGCAAATGAATTTCAAATGAAATTTTTTTCATATATTCCAGTTAATTAATGGAAAAGAGAGGTTTATTATGACATGCATGACATGTGAATATCTGTTAAAAAAACCTCACAAATAACAAATGGCAATCAAATACTATAATGTTAATTTCTCTAGTACTCATTTGCATACATCAAATTTGGGAACAACAACTGCCCATATGTGTTGTCGTTACATATGGATTTCATTTTCTTTTCCTCAATCAGGAAAGTACGAGTCTCATGCCAATCTACCAGACGTGGACGAAACTATATCATAAAAACATTTGTTCCTAGCTTATATAATTATTACTAATTTGTTCCTTAGGTAATAATTATAAAATTAGATTTTTTCTTCTCAAAGATGGGACTAAAAAACACTTGTAATCTATTGCTGGATTATTTTTCTTTCTTCGTCCTACCACCTATGTAATTTACATTAATACGCAAAATGTACTTTTACCATTTACAGTTACAGATTAGGGTTTACAAACAAACAAAAAAAGATATAAAGAAAAGAAGAATAGTTATCTGTATTCGGAATCTGTAACTCGATTAGGTTTACATTAGTTTTTAGTAGTTTAGCTCATTATTTCCGGTTTAATTTGGTTTACTCGCATTGACGCATAGACAAGACACAGATATCTACTCAGAGTATCTACTCAGAGTCTAGACGTCTGAGGTTGGGTTCCATTCCACGAGGCGTCGGATTCGAAAAGCTCCGGTTAATGGTCTGCTGCTCCGAACCAGAAGAAGACGAGGACTCCGATTCGCTCTCTGTGAAATTGTTACAAACGTAAAACCCGATTATGATTATGTACAAGAATATGAGAGAAAGAACTTAACCGATGGTTTTAGTAATTAATGAGAGATTTTCACGTACCGAATAGTGACTTAACCGATGGTCTCTTTGATTTTGACTCTTTCTTTTTTAGTTCGGCTGGAGTTAATGTAAACCGAAATGTTAGAGTTTTGTTTCTGATATTGAATTATGTAAAGCATTAATTAATATGTTGAAAGACAAATTATACATACCTATACCGGGGACTTGATAATCGTTGACGATTTCAAAGTTTTTGTATGTGTAGCCGACAAAATTTATGTCTTTTGAAGATAACATCTAGCAAACAAAACAAAAGGGAAAGAGTGTGTGTGTGTGTGTGATTATGAAGTTACAAAAGTTTGTTGTGTTTTGTTTTTAGTAAAAGGTAATTAACTCGACTTACTTTTCTCCATGGCCCTGTTCTAGAGGGTGCTTGAGTTTGATTATCTTCCTAAACATGCATTAAGAAAATAAAGGAATTTGATACACATTAATTAGCAATTAATTATTAGCTTAACACAATGTTGAACAAAAAAGAAGATAAAAGACAAACCTCATCGAACTTCTCAAAGTTTTGAGTATCCAAATCGTCGTTGACCTCAGGAATGAACGCAGCTTCAATTTGGTAAATATTTTCCCATTCTACACCTTCAAACCAAGGATGTGCCTCCATGTGACATTTTGTGGATTGGATCAATAACTCGACTTATGAAATTTATTATGGGTTTTAAACTTTTAATATAGAAGAAAAAAAGAGAAAGATACCTTAATTTGTGAGGCACCAGTAGAGCCTAGTCGTTGGTTAACGCTACACAAGAGCTTACCAATAAGATCTCTTGCCTCTCGTGATAGCCTTGCTTCTTCAGGGAACTTCAAATGTGTTTTCCAATTCACTATCTGTTTTTTTACATGTATAAATTCTAGCTAATAAATACATAAAGTTCATTTGAAAAAAACAAAAGTCAAATGATTATTTTTTTACAAAATTATTTGAACCTTTCTACAAGTGGACATTGGGTCGTCGGCGTAAAAGGGTGGATACCCAACAAGCATTTCGTACATTATAGCTCCTAGTGACCACCTGAAAGATTGTTTTTAAAAAATTTCTAATGACTTTGAATGTTTTTTTGTTCTTTGTTAACAAATGGAAAACAGACACGTGTACGTACCAGTCACATTCCATGCCGTATCCTTTCTTTAACAAGACTTCAGGTGCAATGTAGTCTGGTGTACCAACGGTTGAGTAAGCCTGTAAGTGTTACCAATTTACCATCAAGACCAACTACAAGTTAGACACATAATTAAAGAAATACTTCAAATTAGAGACATGTTTAATTTGATAGAAAACCAATTATGAATCTAAACTGAAACCAGTGTTGTTTCAGTTTTATTGATAAGGAGAACATACAAGCATTCTTCGATTCTTCTGCCAATGTTCCAACTGTTCTTGCTGCGAGCGTTTAGGAGTGGTTGATACGCTCTCTGAACCTCCTCCGCTACCCGAATTCCCTACCGAGAAATCTTCTCCGTCGATAACACTACAATCCAATGGCTTACATAGTCCAAAATCAGATAACCTCAAATGTCCATATCTATCAAGCAACAAGTTATCCGGCTTTATGTCCCTGCACCAAACAACAACAAAAATTACAACACATTTTTCTTTGTGATCAATAATGACTTAATTTTAAGATCCAACCTGTGGATATAGTTGCGGTTATGGATAGATTCGATAGCGAGAACAGCTTCAGCGATATAGAACTTCGCTTCATACTCACTTAAAGTGTCTTTCCTCATCAGAAGAGTCATCATATCTCCTCCAGGCAAATACTCCATTATCAGATAAAGATACTCATTGTCTTGAAAAGAACAATAAAGCTTCACTATACAGTTACTGTCTACTTCTGCCAATAGATTCCTCTCTGCTCTTACATGCTCCACCTGCCAAGAAATTTACAAAACTTTCAAATAAAAACTCGTAAAACCGAAAATGCGGTGTGGAACATTATGTAACCTGGCCTCGCCGAAGCATTTCTGATTTCTTGAGTTTCTTCATAGCAAAAACATGACCTGTGTTGATCTCTCTAACAACTCGAACCTCTCCAAAAGCACCTTTACCAATCATAGTTAAGAGTTCGAAATCATCAGCACCCATTTTATGCCTTTGGAGTCTCATGTACTCTGTTTCTTTCTTCTCAAGAAACTTCATAAGATTGTTTTGGTCTTCTTCACATACATCTGCATCCGCTAGCTTCTTCTCAAGCGTTGTTCGTCTACCAAATTTAAATATAACTAAATAAACCGATCAAGAATATATAAATATGTTTAAAGATAGTTATATATATATATATAAATACCTCTCTTTCCTCTCGTTGAGGTTCTTCATCTGTTCTTTATAATGATTCTCAATGTACTGTTTGGCTGCAGCAACTTTCTGTTTTGTTGTATTTGAGAGTGCTTCTCCGTCACCGCCTATTGGTGGAAGTTTGGCCACCGTTTCTGTTTCATTTCCTCCGTCTGGGGCGGTGGTTTCTGTCGCGCCACCGCCGTAAGTGCTTCCGGAGAACATATCTTTTTTCCGAGGCTTATCTCGTGGTTGAAACTTGTGAAACCAACTTCTTGCAGAATCCATTTCTTTTAATTATTCTAAAATATGAACTCTTAATCTAAAAAAGGAAAAGAACCGAAACTAAAACGAATTAAAAAAAATATATATATATAATCTAAACGAGATTTAATGGAACCCTATATCGACGAAAGTTGATTAATTCCAGAATTTTGGTAGCAAAAGAAGATGTTTGGAGAAAAATATTGAACGTACCTGAGTTCATCAAATCTGAAAATCAGATAGAAGCGGAAAGATCGGAGATTAAGATACTGTTGCCTAATAAATTTTATCGGAAAGGTAAAAAAAAATAACCAAAAAAATCTTTATTGAGGAAAAACAGAAAATGTCGGGTTACCGTAGAAGTTTGAAAGCGATTTTATCATATAGAGGACGATATTCTGGACCTTTTTATTTTCTGGATATAATAATAAAATATAACGTAAATTCAGTTTTATTTTGGAATTGTTTACCAATTTAAGAATACTTCTGATGTTGACGACGAACAATTAATTTAGTGGTTGTCTCCACTCTCTACGCACTAGTTTTTCATTTTCGAAAAGCTTCATTAATCTTAAATGGTTTATATATATGGAAAATTTGGTCATGTTAGTTTGTTACGAACTCAAAGGAAGGAATATGCTGTTATACAAAATCTAAGATATCGAAAATAAATAAGATGGCAAACTCACTGTCAAATGAAGGCTCATTGTTTAAATAAATTAACACGTTTACATGACGAAAATTAGATATAAATATAATATTTGGAATCAAGATTATTAAAAGAAATGCAAATTTTTAGTAACAAAAAAAAAGGGGTTTTGTCTTGGAGTGGAGGAGAGTTTGGAGAAAAAGAGACATCAAAAGGAGATGAAAAAGAAAGGAAAAATCGGAATAAATAATATCTTCTACTCCACTACTTAAGTTTACCAACAGAATCTTTTTATAAGCATTCTGATGTTGAGATCTCAACCTAAGCAACTTCAACACTTAACTCTATCTTCGTCTCTCTCGTCCCCAACCAAAACACAAATTCATGTCTCTACACCAACTTTTCCATATACACTAATTCACCAAAAAGTTCTTGCAGGAACACCAACTCCAAATTTGTTCCAATTATCAGCATCACACTTTGTTAGTAATCATTATTACAATCTTTGATCGTGAGCTTGTCATGTTGAAAAGTCATTTTCTATTCGGTTCTGTTTGATTGTCAGCTTCAATGAAAATATTCAAATACAGTTCTTAGCTCAGAAATTAACTCGAGAGAAATCCAAATTTAGACTATGTATTGCCATTCTCTTGCCATTCTCTTACAAACAAGGCTTAATAAAACATCAGCCAAAGTCTTACAACTGCCAGCCTCGTCTTCTCCAGCCACACTCCGATCAGTTTATCGTCTGTACCTATGTCGTTTAAAGTTGAAGTACAAATGCAGAATCCCACGCTCAAACGTGCATTTGAAACCTTTCTTATGAGAATACTCCCATTCTTTATTCACAATCCGGAACGCCTGAAAAGCAAAGAAAAACAAAAATTGAGCACAATGATAAAACAAGAGGCGATGATGAAACCTATGTAATGGTTCTGAGTACTTACAATGTCTTCATAAGGCGGACCAGCATGGAACCGGATCATACAAGTTTCAGCGCTTGTACCATCTTTTTCGATAGTGTAAATGGGAGCCTTAATCTTGTCTACTAAATCCGGGTAGAAGATGTTAAACTTGTACCCTTGAACGATTTTTGGAGGCGGGTTATCGTGGTCATAGTGTGTTTGGTTATACTTATTCCATTCGTAACCCGTGTGAACCCGATTGAAATACTTTGGTTTTCTTGGCCGGTACTTGTCATGCCACCAGTATACCTAGAAGATGAAAATGTTGGTATTTTCGTTCTACGAAATTGAAACGTTGCAGAGAAGAGAAAAACAGTGAGAAAGGTACCTCAGAATCGAGGTTCACTTCAGCATTAGAGCCAAATATGGCATCACCTTCCTCCATTGCTCCCATTGCTTTCATTGCTTTAAGCTCCAAGTTATCTTCTACAGGTGCTGGTTTTGAGTCCATAGCTTCTTTAAGCCGTTTCTTCTGTTTCTCCAATACAATCATCCGTTTCATTTCCTGTTATAGCCGCTTTTAGATCAGTAAAAGCACCAACAACAATAATTCATGGGTAAAATTCAATTGAAGGAACTGTTTAAGATACCAGTAGCTTCTTATCTTCCTCAGGATCGATTGCTGCTTCACGATCATCACCGTGCATGAGTTCTGGCGAAAACGAACCAGCCGCTTCTGCTGCCTCATCAGCTTCTTCTTCCTCTGCAATAGGCTCTGGAGAAAATGCTTCTTCAGCATCTGAATGATTCATACCATTTATATCCTCCTCATTTTCTTCCACCACACGTGTTAAGCCATGATTAACTTCTACATCTTCTTCACCCTCTGAAAGTTGCTCGAGGCGATGTAGATGACTCCTCAGCATCTCAGCGTGTATTTCCTTCAAGCAAGCCTGTTAAACATCAAGATAGTCAGTGATTCTGCGAAAAACAAAGCCTCTGTTTTCAAAATCTAACACCTCATAATCATCCACAAGCTAATACCTTTGCCTTGTATATTTCGAGGCGTTTAAGAACTGCTTCCCAATACTCTACCACTTTCGCTGACCCAGAACGCAGCTGCGATTCGATGTCCAACTGAAGTTCTACAAGCTCCGCGTGGGTCTTCCCATCAAGAAGTTTTCTCACATCAGCTTCAACACCAGCGTGTAATCCCCTCTCTTGAGCAAGCAATTCTGCAGGAGGTTCCTCCCCTCTAACTCTAGCTCGATCAAGGGCATCCCTTTTACGAGCTTCAGCTAACTCCCAATCGCATACCACAATAAGCGCCTGGAAAAATTCAATGGTATTAAGCACACATATTTACTCATAAACAAGTAGGTAATCAACCATCAAAATGAAACAACAAGATGGTGTCCATAGAATATATATTTTTCACATTGCATTGGATCGACATGCATAATAACTTTTAAATGCATGAATCACCTCAAATAAAAAAATGAGACTTTGTTGTAGAAAATACCTCCCAATATTGTACGCGTGTTGGAGTTGCCCGATCCAAATCCAGATACATCTTGATATCATCGCGAAGCTCTTCCATATCTTTAACAGTGAGTCCCTGCATCATACACATCAGGAGAGAATTCATCAATTTTAGTAATAAGCATCACAAGAATCTAATAAAACCAAACCAGTAAACTCTTCTTTGTTAACCATAAAGAGAACAACTACACAAACAGAGACTTTATTTAATAAGAGATCTCCACTCTCGATCTCAAAAGCAAATATTTCTCTTATACATAGGTTGATATAGTCATAAGAGATACCCAGAAAAGCTAACCAGCATAGATGCTATCTCAGGGTTTAACTTGCTAATACTTAGACTGCCAGAATAACTTATTTTATCTCAAGCTTCTTTCCGCTCTACTACTCTCACAATCCAACTGATTCCAGAGACTGAAAATTTTAAGGAACTGAACTAGGCCCGAGAAAGTATAAACCTAAGTGAGAAAATTCCATAACTTAACACGATATGGTTTTACTAAAGCATAATCTTTTTAAATACCTTGAAAACCATGTAGGGTTCACTGAGCTCGATATCCAGATCATCTGAACCATCCAAGTGCTTGCAAAGGACGTCGATTGGCTTCAGTCGGCCTTCACGTAATCTAATCTCTGACCTCACCTTGCTTTGATCGAAATGGAACTGTAGATCAAGCAGATATATCAAGCAACATACACCCAAACAAATGTAAAGAGGAATTCATTTAAAAAACAAAGAAAACGCAGTTATACCTCTTCCTCTTTCTTCTCCCAATCATGGAACTCAGCTCGAGCACGTTCTCTAGCTAATAATGCCTGCAGATAATAAAACAATTTCCGTCAATAGCTATACAGCATCAACCAAATTAGAGAGATAACTGGCTAATAAGAATTTCAATCGCAACCATCCTTCTGGATACCAGAATTTACCATTTCTTCCTCATGTCGAGCTTTCTCCACTGCTCTCTCTTCTCTCCTCTTCTTAACCTTTTCAACCTCTGTCTGCACATTTAACCGAAGTGCTTAAGAGTTGAGACATAAACCGGAAAGCTCATTCAACCAGACAAAATAGTAAATAGTTAAAAGCTTGAAATTTTTTTAATCAGTAATGCTAATTGTACATACCATCCTTTCCCTGTGTCTTCTCTTCTCAGCTTTCACGGAAAATTCTTCCAGCGGTACTCCACGGTGAACATCTTTTTCAATCTTCTTCCGCCACACAAATCTGATATTAATAAAATTTCACGCCATGAGAACTACAGATTCTTAAAACCAAGTTACTCACAAGTGTCATCCGTATAATCGATTAGACACATTTAGCCAACTTTAACTACCAGTTTTCAAAATTTGAACTAATAGAAAAAACTCAATAATCAATCCCATCTAACTTGGTTACAAAACTATAAACTCGATAATACTCCTACATCCTATCATCAAAGTGACACCATTAAAACTTAGAAACAATAATCATATACCATTTTTTTAATAGTGATTCACTTACGTCTCAGTAAGATTCGAATCCCCAAATGGGTTTGAATCATTGGAGTACCCCGAAACTGACTGCGTCTTCAGTTTCTTTGCTGCACGTAATGCCTAGAAAGAATTTAAAAAGTAGCATAAAGTTAGCAACCAGCTCCAACAAATGCAAGGGAACAAAGTAACATAAAACAAAAAATTACCTTCTTCTGAGCTTTTTTAGACATATACTCCTTGAGTTTTTCCTCTGAGACATCCTTAGATGAAGATCTCTTCTTACTCTTCCGTCCACCATCGCTGTCACTGGAATCATCACTTGAGCTATGGCGTCGAGTCCGACGACTGCTGCTGCCTTTCTTCCTCCTGGAACTCCTGGGCGGCGAGAAATCATCAGAGCCATCCGAGTCAGAAGTGTAAGACTCGGACTCAGACCCAGACTGGGATTCATCTCTCCGCTTCTTCTCACTCCCACCTCTACCTCTCTTACTCTTACCATGAGAACCCATATCTCTGTCGAAGATAAAATTGAATCAGTCGTCCATTCTTAAAGTGCAATAAACCAAGTATTCAAAGAGAGTCCCTAAAAGAGCAACATCTAAACCCTAAGAACACTAATTTGCCCTGAAAACGAATCCAGACCCAGTAATTGGTTGAAGGAGCGAAAAGAGAAGCTCCTAATTCAAGTTTCACCAGCAGTAAAGAGCGGAAAGAGAAGAGAATTGCAAACCTAATTGGAGACGAAGATCTGGAATCAGTGGCGTCTGCGCGACGGTGGTGAAGGCGGTAGGAACTTCTCCTCCCCGATAATGGATCGAACCAAGGAGGGTTAAGATTTAACAAGTTTAAGGGAGAATTTCGTCATTCGGACGTCGGTTCTTCTTTCCTTTTTTTTTGTCCTTAAATCTGTTCTTTTATTAAAATCATGCGGATATATGCTTCCATTCGCCCGGTTTAAGAAAAACCACTGGTTAAGAGCAAAATCGGCCGGTTACACAAAACATTTCGTTTATATTTAGCGATTAAAATATATATTTTTTCACCGAACCTAAGTTTGTGGTTGCTCTGGACTTTAACAAACCCTAAGTGAAAAGGCAAAAGGAAACTTTAGAAAGAAAAAAAGGAAACTTGAGTCTCAAACAAATAAGTTTATAAATACCTGTGTCTCGCGTCTCCTATCTCCTCTAGTTAAATACGCAATTTCTCTGATTTTTTTTTTCAATTCTCTTGTTCGATTTCTGTCTGTTTCGAGATGATGATGCTGTGATTCAGAAAGAATCATTCCAGAAGTCAAAGCTCAAGAAAGACTCATACATATACAACGACTCTCTCTGTTCACTTAAAAAGCTACGAAGAAGACGAGAGATCACACACACAAAAGCATCACGTACGTCTCATATAAACGACAGAGAACATTCTTTATTTGTTTTTGCCTGCGATGAGAAGATCTATGTCACTCACTACGGGACCACATCTCACCGTAGAAACAGAGAGAGACGATTCGAAGGAGTTAGAGGCTACACATGTCGCCGGAATTTAAGGCTTCGGGAGTTATGATGTTGGAGGTTCTTTTCGGCGACGGAGATGGCCATAGATTGAGGAAGTGGTGAGATCGTCGGAGATTGCGGATTCGTTTTTCCGGCAACGGTTAGAGATGATCGTATTTGCTCTCTCTTAGAGGCCCAACGGAAACAATTCCGGCCTATCAAACAATTGCCAGGTTAATTTTAAGCCCATTTTCTTTTTAATTTAGAAAATTAATATATTTATACTTTTAAAGGTTTTTTTTTTCTCACTGATTTTTTTTAAAAGCTTTTTTGCAACTTTTATTCAAGTTTTTGTTTAAATTTCATTTTTTAAAAGTTTTTTAAGTTTTTAAAATTTTAAATAATAGAAACTTGGATAATAAATTTACAATATGATGTGAGAACTAACCGGATTTTGGATCCCGTCATTCGACTTAGTCATTGATCGTTAGCGATTCCAAATATTCAACTTGTTTTTGCATTATTATGTAAATTTATCATACAAGTTTCTTTATTTAAAATTTTAAAGTCTCTTTTTTCCCGGATTTTAAATTTTTATATTTACAAGTTTTTTTTTTTGAAATTTTCATTTTTAAAAAATCTTAAAAGTTTTTAAAATTTTAAATAATAGAAACTTGGATAATCAATTTACAATACGATGTGAGAACTAAACGGACTTCAATACAAATTTACAATCCTGTGATTGTTCTTTACTGTTTATTGCCTTTGCCCTTCTTTGAAGTGAAAGCTAATTGAGAATTTCCTTAAAGAATCAATAATCTCATAAAGTTTTTCACTTTTTTATAGTCCATAATTCACTTTTTGATAGGGTTTGTGAGAGTTTAAGGCTTAAGATATTGAGATTATGCCAATCACATTCATATATCTCACTGGTAATCACCAATCATCGGTAATAAGCCATGTGTCTTGATGATCTAAAAGGAGAGTTATCGAATGGAGATGGTTTCCATGGTGCCACAGGCTTCTTCTTTTTCTTCACGAGTTTGATTTCAGAACGGAGCCAAGATTCTACCACGGAAAGGAGGTTGGGTGAAGTTTTCAGCTCGTCAATATCTGTCATTTTCGATAAACGATTCAGCTCACCGTCCTGAATATAGGCCAAATGTGTCGCCCATGTCTCTAGCCCGTCGAATATGTGAGTTGCATATACAATTGTAGCTCCTCTCTGAGTTAACCAATGTGATAAACAAGTCAAAGATATGCAATAATAAAACCACTAATGCACAATAACAAACTCAAGAGAACTCGATGAAACTGTATTTATTTACTCATCTGAATGCTATCAAACCCTGTTCAATTGCTTCTTTTAGAGTTAGAGTTAACAAGTGCTCTAAACTCAAGGAAGTGAAACTATAAAAACAGGCAGAAGTTCTGTTCTTTTGATATTTGGATTTGCAACTGCATGATAAGAGGTACTAGTAAATTTTTTTCATTTTCGGGTCTATTACAGATCACAGACACGCAAGGACCTGATACTAAACAATAGGCAGCCGCAAATATCAACAACAAAAACCAATATGAAAAGCTTGTCCTTGAATAATTAAGCGTAATATTCCAGAGAACTAACCGACAGAGTCATGTAAGCAAACGGCGTATATATACTTGGATCATAAGAGAAAGTAAAGAGGTTAATAGAATAGTACCTGATCACATTCTTCTTTGAAAAATTCCAGCAAATCCATCCTTGCAACGACGTCTAGGTCAACAGTGACCTCGTCGAGTAATAATACCTGTGATCAGAGTATGAGAGATATACAAGAAGTTTGTAAGATCAGATTAATATTAGGGTCGGCAATGATGAAAACACAATCAGAAACGAGGTTCGTTTTTGATTAAAGCCAGATGAGAACATAACTAACTGACAATGAATCATGTGAGATTTTAGAGGATGCAGCCTCTCTGAAACCATATTCTTTTTACCTTGAATGGATGTAAGAGTCCCATGCATATCTGCACTCGCCGTTTCTGCCCATCAGAAACCTTATGCATACGCCATTGAAGATTGATATCAAGAAGATCAATCAACTTTTCTCTTCTCACGGGATCAGTTCCTTCAACTAGAAGGACAAGAAAAGAAAATCTCATTCACACTAAGCCTGAAGAAAGGGGAATAAAAGAGAAAACAAAACAAATTACAGAAAATGACCTCCAAATATCATATGTTCTGCTGAGAAATCTCCCTGGAGAGGAACCTCGCCCTACAATGTAGCAGAAACAAGAAAGTAAATAACATGAGTCGACAATGCAGTTAAGCTATCGTTGATTAGTTACTCTCTAGGCAATCAAATTCCTGGAGGATCTCACAAAAAGCATGAGAAATGGAGGCAGAAAGAACACATGGGACTACTCACAGCTGAACCAACGGTTTTACTCCATGATCCTCCAAGATAAGACAGGTCACCACTGCAAACAAGTTGAGTATCATGGAAAGCCGAGCGGCTAAGAACTTGAACAACGTTCTTTCCTCCCACCATATGCTTTCCAGCCAGAATCTTCAATAAGGTTGTCTTGCCTTAAAAAATTCCAAGCATTAGTCTCCTAGAAAAAACAAAACCAGCCCCTAATTTCAATAGCCTTGAGTAGTTTCCATGTTAAATATCTCAAGCTAATTGCAGTATTAATCACAGGGCGATTCTACAACGATTTTCAAAAACCCCAACCCCAAAAACGAAAGAAACCGGATAAGTATCAGACTAGCAGGTAAATTCTGATATTGCAGGGCAGAGGCATAGGGGGCCAATTGCAAAGTTGCAAACTTTAAATTAAATCAAACAAAAGATGTCTTTAACTCTTTATTCTCGCAGCGCAGAAAAAATAAAGGGCTTGAATCGCTAATCCAAAACCTGACCCCAAGACAGCAAAACGAAAACCTAACCTACAAGGGAAAATCAAAATCGATGATTTTACCAGATCCATTGGCACCAACCAAAAGGCAGCGAGAACCAGCTGGAAGATCGAGGTTGAAGTCGAAGAATATAGGATCCTCAACTTCGTATGCGAATTGCATACCGCTAACTCTAATGGCGTCATCGCCACTCACCGTCGCCTCTTTCTCCGCCATTTTTGCCAGTCTCCAAAAGCTCAATCGGTCAGAAGATAGTAGTAGGTAGGATTAGTTGGTGGACCGACGTTGTTCTCTTTGGTCAAATATGCGGTCATTTAAATATGTTTCGTTCAACGTTAATTCCACGTCATACCAATACTATTCCGCCACGTCATTGCTAGAACGATTTTATCTCTTTGCACGTTGCCACGTCAGTGTGCTTACGACAGCATATCGTGTCGGACTAAAAAAGTACACTTGTTTGTTTTGTAAGATTTCTTGTACATTTATTTGCTTAAAATCATGCAATAGTAAACAGATTTAGAGTTTTACTTTTCTTCAGTTTTAGGACATAAGCAAAACGTAGAAACAAAGATGAAATTGTGAAAAATCCCTTTTTAATATATTAATATCTCAGTGATCCATATGATAATGATTAGTGACAATCGGTAATGTAACAAAGATGATTATAAGGAAGAAACAAAAAAATAAAACAGGGAGGTGGGATTACAAAGAAACACACATCAACTTACCATTAACATACATCAAAAAGACTGTTGGCTGACCACCATTGTTGTCTATTGTCTCGTGCTCTCAAGTCACAAGAAGATGAAGCCGGACTTGTCCAAGAACTTAAATCTTACACTCCATTCATCAGAAAGCTGCCCATCCTGATGCAGCTCCTGTTGACTTGGTCGATCCTGATCCCGCCGTTGAAGGAAGATTCTTCTGCCGAGTATACCCATTCAAGAATAATTAAGAGTAACTTAAGAGAAGAATTAATAAATGCAATTAAGAAGACAAGTTTCTTTACCTTAAGCTGAGATAGATCAGATAGAGGCTCATTCCTGCGTCTTGTGTTATCAATTGATTCCTTGCAGCCATCAGATGCAATCCTTGAAGCGACAGGATCATTTGGAGGAGGCGGTAAAGGAGACCTGGTTATTCCAGCAGCTTTGGGAGGTGGGGCAAGTGCTAGAGGTTTTGGCTTCCCCGTTCCTGAAAGAGCAGCTGAGAGCATCCCAGTGCCATTTGTCGTTGGTTTCGGCTTCACGTTGATTCTTATGGTTTCACCTTCCTTAAAAACCCATCAAAAAACAACAATTTTCCTTTTTCAGATACAGTTTAGGTTCTACAGAGTCCAAATGGCAAGAATTTTCCTTTTTCAGATAAAAGATGAAGTTCAATCAGGTAAAATGAGGGAGACCCTCTTCTCATTTTGGCAAGAAGATATTGATTCCACAGTTATGGTTCCAAGACAAATATATAAAGTAAACAAAACCAAATGAACATGTTCTGCAACTAGAGTGGATGCTAAAAAAAACTTGTGATTCTGAACCATCTATGAAGTCTAAACGAGCCAAATCAAAGACATTTACCAGCATCAATTTGAGATTAGAAAAATCATGAACACAAACACAATGATCGAGAATATTTGAGCCTGGTTATATTTGCTCATCCCAATATCTACACAGAGCATAAAAACTACAAGGATCTACTGACTCAGTGGCAATCTAAATACCACCAAATAACACAAGGAAATTAGAAAATCCAAATTCTGTTTTCACCCAGATAATCAATCTCAGTTGTTCAACCCATATATAATGCATCCAAGAATTTCTCTGATCACTCATAAAAACACCAAGACCAAGCAATTGTTAACCATAGTCTACCAAACTAGAGAAGATCTTTGCAATGCCAATAATGCTACAATCCGATTTGATAGTTCCTTTTCAAAAATAGATCTGAAAGCTTTAATCCAATTTCTCTAAGTTATCTAAATTTCGAAAGCTAGCTTATGAACAGATCAGTTTACCTTCAATCTGTGATTAACGGCGGGATGGATATCAATATGATTATCGCTCTCACTCGTTTCACCTGTCTCCTTCTCTTTCTCCCTCCTCACGTATTTTTCATGATCCGATAACGCGACATTGAAATCAAACGCTTCGTTCCTCTCAGCGAATCCTAGCCCGATAAACGCATACTTCCCTCTCCCGTCATCGATCCTGAGAACGAAATACCTAGACGAATCGAGAGACGGCTCTACAGAGTTCTCCCTCCGTCCAGGATCCACGAAACAAGCCGCGAAAAGATCGCCGGAATTCGAATCCTCGAGACGGATCTCGCATCGATCCTTGCACGATACGACGCGGAGTCTACCAGACCAGATCTTATCGGATTGAAGCCATTCGCCGCACTTGTATCCACCGGATGTGGTTCGCGGCGGGATCTTGTAAACGGAGACCTCACGCACCACGAGAAGTGTATGCTCGAATGTCTCCTCCTCTTCTTCTTCCTCGAACGACATCGAATCTGCGAATCTCAGAAGCTCTACGACGAGTCTCGGAGAAAGACGTGTGTGATCGTTGCGGACTTTTGAAAGCTTTACGAGACCGGAACCTTTTTTTTCTTTTAATTATTTATTTTGATTAGTGTTATCATTATCCTTTAAAAGATTTTTATTTTAATATACTCCAATCATACTATTATTACTAATCAACGTAATCATAAAAGCTAAGATGTGTATGCGAGTGGAAATTTTTAATCTGAAAATTGTTATTGAAGCTTTGTAAAGTTGGGTTATTAGAAGTCTCATCTTTTATTTATTTCATTGACTGGAAAATCTAAAAAACATCAAAGGAAGCAAAAGCAAAAAGCTAATTAAGAAGAAGAGCTTGGTGTCATAGCCAACAAAGTCTCTTGCTGACTAAACTTGATCCTCTTTGCTTCTTCCTCGTTCACTCCATACGACGCTTTGATCACATCCACTGGAACTGCTCTCAAGTACGATGTTTGGCCGCTGAGTGTGTTAATGTAAGCCTGATCGTTTGTCTTGAACGATATCCATTCGAAACCCGTTTCACCAGCGGTTTTCGACACTGCAAAGCCCTGTGGAATCACAAGGATTTGGCCTTGTCCCACTTGCTCATTGAACACGGACTGACCATTGTCGTCCACCACTTGTATCTTGGCTTGACCGCCTGTGACATATAGCACCGTGTGCGCGTTTGCGGTCCATTGTGGCAACACCATTCCTCCCTATCTCCACGAAAGTCCATTATATGACACAAAGAGTGCTAGAATTAACGACTTGTAAAATTGATTTTAGGAGGGGATATATACTTACGCTGTAGAGATAACCTCTAAGGGCGTTAAGTCTGACTAGACGTAGAACGCGGAGATTAAGGCTGTTAAGAGTGCTGATTCTTCCCGCTCGTGTGCTAAAATGGTCAGTCCGTTCTGGATCATCGATATTCTCATGAATCTTAGCCGTGCAATACGTCTCTTCGATGCCATTAGCATTGCCATCATGCTGCCATTCCCGTGGCGGTGGGATGACGAAATGGAGCGGACCATTTGCTCGGATTATGTTTCCTCTGTTGTCCTTCTGGTTTTGAAGTTGCTTAGCTGTCTCGATGTTGATTTTGAATGCTTCCGCGATTATGTTTGGGTCGAAACCGCTGAAAGCATTGTTGCCTGATGGCCAGGTTAATGGTTGTTGTTGTTCTTGCGTTCTGCTCCCGGCTAATTGGAACATCTACATACATGAAGGGTTCACAAAAAAAATGACATGATGTGTTATATATGAATGATGAATCCCTACTTAATAATCACTCTCGATATAGTCATATATAGTTTGCATGCAATATAAATTTGGACTTTCTTGAATTTGATGATTACCCTAGGGACTTGGTCAAGCTGGTTTTCTCTGTTGGTGACATCAAGAACAAAGACAATGACGGCATCGGAATCACCGCGGTTGTACCACCACTGTGAAACTCCGGCAAGCGAAGCAAACACATCTCCTCGCCGGAAATTCTCTAACTTCTGGTGCATGTCCTCAAAACGTCGACGCCGGTCTCCTCCTCCTCCTCTTCCTGACGATCCTTCAATTTCTTCATAAGTCTCGGGACAACCAGAAGCAATCGTCCCCATCACTCCTTCTCCTGCAAACAATCAAAATAAAAAAGAACACTTTTTGAGATTTTTCTATAGTTTTGCGGAAAAAACAATAAAGAAAAATTATACTTTTTAAGATAATTTTTAAGTACTAAGATTTCACAATTTTAGAAACTAAAAACTACACTAGAAGAAGTAAACATTTAGTCTCCAGGCATTAAGATATTATAGGTTTCTATCCGGGATTTCTTGGTAAAAAAAAGGAATAAATTAAAGCAAGTATTATTTATTTTCTTACCTTGGACAACGTAAGCGAGAGTAGGTGGGCTAAAGAAAGCGGGCAAGAAAATGGAATTGGCCTGGAGGGTGATGCGAGCCACCGTCACACCTGCGCATCGGAGCTCAGGGCTCATGTGGTCCCATACTTCCATCTGACCGGCTTCAAACTTGGTCGCCTGAGCGGGCGCGAGGCTGTTTATTTGGCTGAAATGGCATGCGTTTTGAAAAGGCACCTCTTGCTGGCGTGCCTCGCCGCCATGGAAGGAGAGGAGAAGTGTGAGTGAGACGACGGAAAGAAGACAAAACAAAAGCTTATGCATTTTGTGGTTGTGTTTTTCTTGTATAAGAAATTTGGGGATCGGAGAGTCGTAGGGAAAATGGTATTTAAAGGAGGTGGTTACTGGTTAGTGTTTTATTCTGGTTGCATACAAAATTACAAATGAAAATATGTTTAAAAAAATAGAGAAAGAAATCAAGAGGTGTGACTCGTATAATTTTTTGGATTATGAAATTGATTTAATTACCAACTTTTCTATTTGCTTCAATCCATCAGGATGATTTACTAATATCAGATGGTGGAAAGTGCTAAGATATATCTTATGAGATCATAAGATATTTCATGTTCATAACTTAATCAGTAAAAAATTCGAGGTTAAACAACGGATACACCAAGATTGACACATTGTGATAGAAATGGCCACAGGAGTCACATTGCATGGCTATGGCACAGTGATCTTCTAACACATCATCTTGCCATGTAATGCCAAGTGACACATGTACATTCAATGTAATATGAAAGAAAAAATCAAATAAAATGTGAAAACTATAGCATCAATTATAATTTAACAATAGTAAGTTCTTTAATTATAATTTGGGTTTCTACCAAAATGAACTTTTCATTATTATTAGTTAGATAGTGGTCCATATAATCATATTCCTGTTATTAATTAGTGCGTAGCAAATTCCGGATTTGGCTACATATAACGCGATACATGTTACTGCCATACTCCTGCACGCATACACACATAAGTAATCAAGTGCTTTCAGGCTTTCATATGTATATGTAATATGTGTGTCAATATGTTTATAATAAAAATATTAATTGGTGGCTCCGCTAAAAAAATAACAAGATCATGATTAGTGGTTGTAAGTGGGAGAGTGTATTAAAATGTTCCTCGAAATGCGTATGGCGTACTCAGCAGTAAGCCCAATTATAATATGGTTATCTAAGTTAAAATACTCTCATAACGATATTAAATTTTTATTAACCGATTAAAGATGGAAATATTGCAAATCATATATATAACCTCTAAGTTTTATATTTAATAATAAACTCATTTCCTTTGGAATCGCTAAATAAATAGCCTAAAGTCTCGCATGTTAGTATTCTGAAAAAAAAAAATAGATAGTAACGTTTATACAATCCTAATAGATATAGAAATAAGCCCCTAAAGGCGAAAGACTTGAAGATTTTTATTAAGGAAAGAGTTACATGTACATAGTCAACGATCGCTTATATACACGTTCGTTGTTGTACACTAGGCGTCCTAATAAAAAGCTCAAAACAAAACAGTTCCCTTAAGCGTAGAACTTCTTTATACATTATTATTTCATATTACAAACCGTACCAAACCGAACTTTAGATTCAAACGCTATTCCACCACGAGCTCATCAAGCCTTAAGCCCTAGGCCTTCCGTAGCTCATCGGGCTGCTATGAGTCAGTGTGGTCTCGATCGTGCTAAACTTAACCCGTCTAGCTTCTTCGGGAGAGATCTGATACCCGTTGGTTACAACCTCAAGTGGCAAACCTCTCATGACTGAGGTACGGCCCGCGAGTGTATTGATCTGTGCGTTTTCGTTTGTCTTGAATTCGATCCACTCGAACTGTTCGCCTGTGGCATGTTTCATGACCGAGAAGCCTTGTGGTACAACAAGTAACTGTCCGCTAGAGATCTCTTGGTCAAACACTCTTTCTCCGTTGTCGTTCACCATTTGTATATGAGCCTTTCCGTTTGTCACGTACAGTGCCGCGTTTGCGTTTACGTTCCATTGCGGCAGCACCATAGCGTTCTGCGTGCAAGATACATTTTTTTAATTGAAAACGATTAAAAAAGTAGGATATATATATATACTCATTTAAACCCATTGAAAACGATTTAGATGATTTAGAATTTAAAACTCCAAATCGGAGATTTATTAATTTATCTTGACAAATAAAAAAATTGCATATGTCACATAAAATTAATCTAAAGATCTTTTGAGCTTACTTTACGGATGGAGCCACGAAGAGCGCTAAGGCGGAGAAGTCTGAGGATAGGAAGATTGTAGCTGTTAACTGTGCTGATGTATCCGAGCGATGGCTTGTACACGTCAGCATCCGACGGGTCATCGAGGTTTTCGGTGCATCGCATAGTGCACAAAGTCTCTTCTAGACCGTTAGTTTTTTCCTGTGGTTGCTGGCCGCCTTCGCCGCGTCTCAAGGGTGGTCTAATGACGCCAAAAGGTCCTTTGACCTTGACGATGTTGCCACGGTTATCTTGCTGACTCTGGAGCTGCTGAGCCGTCTGAACATTGATCTTGAAAGCTTGAGCCAAGATCTCAGGTGCGAAACCATTGAAGATGTTGTTTTGTTTCTGTTGCTTTCGGCCTTGCAGCCATTCCTGCCCTTGTGGGTTGTTTCCGGCTATCAAAAATGGCTGTAAGCATGAAAATATATAATTGGTTAAAAATTAGTAGTAATCATTTTCTTCAAAGTTATTATCTGAGAAGTTGCCTTTTAGTTTGAGATAACGATTAACTGAATACTAACCAAAAGAATTTTAGTTCTAACTCGGCAAAAGATCTCTTTCGATTAATCAAACGCACAAAAATGTTGAAAAACAAAAATAAGATTTTTTTTGTTTGGTGTTTGGACTTACTCTAAGGTTGCGGTCAAGCTGGTTGTTGTTGTTGGCGAGATCTGCGGCTGCAACAAGAATGAGAGGCTCATTTCCATTGTTGTAGAACCATTGAGCCACACCAGATGGTGTTGCTATGGTGTCACCGCACCGTAGGTGCTCTACTTTCTGGTGCATGTCACGGAACCCTTGACTCTGACCCTGACCTTGACCTTCTCCAAACACCGGTGATTCCATGAACGTCTCGGCGCATCCCGGAATCACTCTTCCCATTAGACCCCTTCCTATTTTATCAAAACCAAAAAATATTATCACACATTTTACAAATAATAAAGCTTTTGTGATTATTAAATTATAATATTAAGAGTGTTCAAGTAACTGTTCATTCGGTTTAATTTTTACGAAACTATGGAAGATAAACATTAGACCCCTTCCCTTCAGTTTTGGGGATTCAGTTATCTGTATTATTTCTTAGATAAACAGTAAATTCTACTAATTTTCTTACTATGATCTATGGAAGAGCCAATATTTTAGTCATTTAAAGTACTTATATATATACTGGACAAAGAAAGGTTAGATTTTATATTAGTTACTATTTTTCTTAAAACCGATAACTATGAGCAACAACTATTTTGGGTGATACACTCTAATTAAATATAATGATTCATGTGGATCTATATATTGTAGTATAGAAACGCACCGTGAACAACAAACGTGAGTTTGCCGGCGTTCAAGAAAGTGGGCAAGTAAAGACCCTGAGGCTCAATGACGAAACGCTCAAAGGCGAAGCCGGAGCAACGGAGCTGGGGTGCATGGTGGTCCCAGACCTCGATGCGACCACCCTCGCTCTTGATGATTTGGGACGGTTCGAGCGCATTGAGTTGATCGAGCTGGCACTCATTGGGCCATTGTTGGGCAGTGTAGCCATTGAAGAGGATCAAGAGTGTCAAAGAGAAAGAGATAATAGATGAGACTCGACCCATTTTTCTTCCTCTTTATTACTTTACTTTTACTTTGTGGGTTATGGAGTTTATGTATTTATAGGAGACTTGTTGTGCAGATCCCTTGAAAAATATTTTTAATACCATAAACCCTAGCTAATTTTTAAAAATAGACTAATGTAATAATCGAAAACGATTAGACGCGTAACATACAATTCGATTAGGTCTGATATGATATTAGTTTTGGTCTACATTTTATTATTATTATTTTTTAACATAATTTATCTAAAGTTTTGTAACAAAATGATGTTGTAGACCAATTTGTTTCATATTCGCTTCAGTTTAGTTTTGGGCTTTTGGCTAATGAGTTATTTAAGAAACAATGTAATCGAATTATAATTTTCGACTTATGGTTTAGATTAATTTGAGACTAATCTGTTTAACGGAAATAGCTCTCCTAATCGGGATGACACTCGACAATCCACATGGATGTATTATTACATATGTTTTCTAGTTTGTGCACTAAACATTTTTTGGATGACATCATATTTAATCAGTGACCTCTCTATGGAGTGATGTGTATTCTCGTTTTGTTTGCTGTTCTACTATATGGAGTAATACTTTAAAATAATAACTACGATTGGAAAATGAGAAGTACTTGAACTTGTAAATGGAGGGAGTAGACACATTTCAGTTTGCATGGCTCCTTAAAGTGCATTTTCTTACACATCACCATCGAATACAGGTTTTGAAAACAGACAACGATGAACAAAAACGACAAAAGAGTTAAATCATTATTTTATCTAAGTTTAGAAAAAAAAAAAAAAAAAAAAAAGAAAGGAAAAGAACACAAGTCTGGAGAGTACACACGTGAGAACCACGTGATGATGTGGCGGACGAGACCGTCGTGACGAGTGTATGGCTGCATGCTGCTCGGATGCCTCCACTTGGATCCTTGTTTCTAAATTTGTTCTGTCTTCTTTGTTTTGTAAATCTACTTTACAATTTTTTTTTTTTTTCTAAACCTACTATAGCAAGGACAAACAAATACGTCAAATTAATTTTCTCAATTCATTTTTTTGAGTATGTAGTGTTACCATGAAATTTTATGCTATTTTTATCAAAAAAAATTGAAATATCAGGCCTTAATTCTCAAGATTTCCTTTCAGACCCAAAAAAAATTAATAATAATCTCAGATTCCCAACATGTATGGGCCTGATTTAGAATTTAGCCCATGATAAGACATCTACAAGACCAGTGTGTAAGCCCGATAGGCCCATGTAACTCTAGTTGGAATTTCATTACTTTTGTTCTCCAACTGCGTGCCGTTTTCACATTAATGAGAGAGAGACATCATGTATTTGTGCCACTCTAAAACAAATTATACAGAACATTTTATTTTTGCTTAACAATTTTATATGTTGAATGCATGAATGTATTTAGGTGTGTATATATAAAACATATTTTCAACAAATTTAGGTACGGGAGATGATAATATTCTTTGGTTATCAACCAATTAATTAGTTTATTGTCTATTTGTCTTAATATGCAATTGTTAGTGATGAGGCAATATAAACTTAAGGGTCTTCCACTCTCCCACATGCCAACTTGTGTGTTCCCAGCTGTCACTTAGTCAGCCTGTCCACTCATTTTGTTCTTTTTACAAAACACACATATATACTTCTAACATACATTACATGCTACATGTCTACGCATCTATATGTATCAATGACTCAATGTATCATTTGTATCTATACTGTGGATTACGTTAATTACGCTATATGTAAGTCATTTATGCTGAAAAGTGTAAACTTAATGATATTCTCTTAAGCTATTCCATCACGAAAAGAAAAAAAATCTTTGATACTACTGAAAATTGTTACAAAATAATTTCTTAAAACCTCAAAAAGTTTTGTATTTTATATTTTCTTAATTCACTTCTAATGAATCTAATGATGCTACTATCTAAAAAAAAGTTCTGACTTGATGGGACCTATCTAGGTGTAGGCTCGTAGCAATACCAAATGTAGAAGGTTTTACGTCTGAGGATTTTTCAATTTTCTCCTTTTCATTCCCTCAAATTCCTATCCCGATTTACGTCCACCTTACACCTTAAGTTGTGTTGTATAACATTATCTTCCATACAATTTTGTATGTAAATTATTGACTCTCGATCCCTATTACATGTGATGTGGGCTCTACCTACGGATCCACCAACCTCATATTTTATTCTAATTTCCTCTCACTAAACGGATCTTAACGGCTAATATATATGTATATGAATTCATATACATAATATATGTTAACAATATCTCTATAGACATTATTTGTCTACAAACGTTTTGTATTGACTTTGCCATCTCATCCCAACTAGATACAACTCATCACTTCAAACACTTAAACTTCCATATAAACCATTCCCTTCCGATCTCACTTTTCCAATCACTCTTCCCACTTCAACTAAGCAAACCAATAATGGCTACCACTCGTCTAACTCTAGCTCCACTCCTCCTCATCGCAGCCGTACTACTCGCAACCAAGGCCACCGCTCAGCCGGCAGCCCCCGCTCCAGGCCCTGCTGGTCCCATCAACCTCACTGCGATCCTCGAAAAAGGTGGTCAATTCACTACTTTCATCCATCTTCTAAACATCACTCAAGTCGGTAGCCAAGTGAACATTCAAGTTAATAGTTCATCCGAAGGTATGACAGTGTTTGCACCAACAGACAATGCTTTTCAAAACCTTAAACCCGGAACCCTAAACCAGTTAACCCCAGACGAGCAAGTTAAACTCATTCTCTACCACGTTAGCCCCAAATTTTACAGTATGGACGATCTCCTCTCCGTGAGTAACCCGGTCAGGACTCAAGCTTCTGGCCGAGACAACGGTGTGTACGGGCTTAACTTCACCGGTCAAACAAACCAAATCAATGTCTCTACTGGTTATGTGGAAACACGTGTTAGCAATGCGTTGAGGCAACAACGTCCTCTCGCAGTTTATGTTGTCGACATGGTTTTGTTGCCCGGTGAGATGTTCGGAGAGCACAAGCTTTCGCCGATTGCTCCTGCACCTAAATCTAAATCCGGTGGGGTTTCCGATGACTCCGGCTCCACTAAAAAGGCACCCTCGCCGTCGGATAAGTCAGGCTCCGGTGAGAAGAAAGTCGGGCTAGGGTTTGGTCTTGGACTTGTTGCCTTGTGTTTGAAATTTCTCTTTTGAAAATTTAATATCAATGATTTGTTTTGCTTTCTATTGATTTTATCCTGCGATTTGAGGTATAAATATGAAATTTGTTAATTAAGTTCCGTGAAATAAAGTGTGAGATTTGTACTTATTATTCTCTCATCTATAGGTGCCTGTCGATGTGAACATTATATGGATAACTCTTTTCTTGGCCAACGCAAAACAATAAATTTGTGGCGTGAACAAACTATTTTGTATACTTAATAATAACTAAAAATTATACAATTGATGAGATGATTATGTTTTTTTTAATTGCAAGTTCCATTCACGACATTTTAACACTTGGATCGAAGGACGTTAGTCTCGCTAATGATGCCTCAGATCCGAAAAAATAGCCATCACATGCGATTACTAGACATATATGGACCATATAACTCTTTTTTGGTTCTGGTATTCATAATAATAACTACCCAGTTGCCACTAAATTATAAATGTAGTCAGGTAAAGAGTGATCGACAGTTTCTTATAATTCATCTTTCACATGCGACTGTTTTCTAAAGATTCTTTAGAGTTTAGACTGTGAATCTGTGTTATATATATAAGTCACAAGTTCATAAAATTGTAAACACTTGGTGACGAAAAAAATATACATGACTTAATGCACAAAATGGGCCTCGTTGAAAAAAATATAATGGGCCTAATGAAGCATATTTTAAATTAATGGGCCTGAGCAATTCGGCATGAACATACTAGAAGATAGTTTGCCAATACATATCCAATTTTCTCAATTCTAAAACCCTAAGCTTCGCCGGCAGCTCCGATCGTGATCTTTCATAAACCCTACCATCGCCGGTGATTAAGAGCTGAGCTCAGGTTCATCTCTCTGCGCTTTTTCCTCCGAAATTTCACTTTTTCTATTCGTATGCTCTGTTTGGTTGCCATAAAGTCACGCAGTGCCTGGTCGTCTTTAAGTTTGATAATCTTTGCGTGATTTAGAGGTAGAATTGTCATTTTGGTGAAAGCTCGTGGATCTGTTCTAGTTGAAAGTTTGTTCGTCATATTTATTCGACGATCTATGGATACTGTAGATTGATTTTATCTTTAGGATCTGTTACCGATGCTTTCAATTTCTGAAGCTTTTCTACGCGATCTTTTCGAATTCGTGTTTCGTTCCAGTTTTTGCCATTTCCATTGACTCTCTTAGTAACACTACTCTTGGATTTTGTTTCTTCTGAAATGGAGGCTTGTGCATTGATTTTTCTGTGTGTGTGATTTCTTATGCGGTTTGGATCTTCGTATCTCAGTGTGGTTTTTAATTCTGTTTTGCTCTTAGGAAATGAGTTTCAACAAAGTTCCCAACATTCCTGGATCTCCTGCTCTCTCTGCCCTTCTTAAGGTCAGTGTTATTGGTGGACTTGGTGTCTATGCCCTCACTAATAGTCTCTACAATGTCGATGGAGGACACCGTGCTGTCATGTTCAACCGATTAACTGGTATCAAGGAAAAGGTTTGTATTTCTCAAACTGACAAGAGTTACTTTTGTATCTGAGTCTTATGAATAGTTGTTTTAAGAAGCGTGACTTTTACTTGGATTTGTGTTTTCAGGTATACCCAGAGGGCACACATTTTATGATGCCATGGTTTGAAAGGCCAATCATCTATGACGTTCGTGCACGACCTTACCTTGTAGAGAGCACCACCGGTAGTCATGACCTTCAGATGGTGCGTTTTGGTTTCTTGTTCTTTTAGCTTATTTTCTCTGTGTGTGTGTGTACAATTATCCATACCAGGCTTTAATTTCAAATGCTGTTGTGGAGCTATATAGATCATACTAAACATTCCTTCTTTTGACTTTATGTTAAGATCCTTAGTTGCAGCACTAAGAGCATGTTTTAGAAAAGTTTGGATGTGGTTTATGGTAATGAATTGTAGATTGATTTTATTAGGATATTACATGATCAATTGTTATCCTTATATGAACTGTGTGAGTGTGTTGATAAATGGTTAAAAAGAAATGGAGAAACGAGAATCAAGTTACACTTGCTTTCAGTAGATTTAGGTAGAGCAAAAAAATACTTGGTCTCCATTTTCTTTCTTAAAGGAGTTGCTGTGTTTCTGATATCTTTCTTGGTTGTTGCACAGGTGAAAATTGGACTAAGGGTTCTCACACGTCCCATGGGTGATCGTTTGCCTCAGATTTACCGAACCCTCGGCGAGAACTACAGTGAAAGGGTTCTTCCTTCCATCATCCATGAAACCCTAAAAGCCGTGGTAGCTCAGTACAATGCAAGCCAGCTCATTACACAGAGAGAAGTACGTATCTCAACATTCTTTTGCTTCAACTTTTTCTGCTCTTTTGTTTATAATGGTGGACTCTGTTTACTCTCTCCTCTAGGCTGTGAGCAGAGAGATACGCAAGATTCTGACAGAGCGGGCTTCTAACTTTGACATTGCTCTTGATGATGTCTCCATCACGACTCTCACATTCGGCAAAGAGTTCACCGCAGCAATCGAGGCAAAACAAGTCGCTGCTCAGGAAGCTGAAAGGGCTAAGTTCATTGTGGAGAAAGCCGAGCAAGACAGGAGAAGTGCGGTTATCCGTGCGCAGGTATAGCATTGTTGATCTTTACTGCAGATCTAATGACATGAGATTATAGGTTTTGGCCTGAAGCATTAGATCTTTTTTGATTCTTTGTGCAGGGAGAAGCTAAAAGTGCTCAGCTTATCGGACAAGCAATTGCGAATAATCAGGCATTCATCACTCTGAGAAAGATTGAAGCTGCGAGAGAGATTGCTCAGACCATTGCACAATCTGCTAACAAGGTTTACCTGAGCTCCAACGATCTGTTGCTTAACCTTCAAGAAATGAACTTGGAGCCTAACCCTAAGAAGTAAAAGAGAAGGAACGAGTAAGTTTTCTTCATTTCTTTTCTCTCTAAAAAATCTCTCCGCCTTGGAAGTAAAGAACGGGTTCGGTGTTTGACCAAATGACCCCTTCTCGTGATTGATTCTGAAAATAGTCTTTAAGCGGACATATTGCCACTAAGATTGGCTTTGGTCAGTATTATTCATCATGTTCAATGAAACTTTTTGTTGATATTTTCCTGGAAAATTGATGAAGTTGAATTTTAAACTTAATAATATTCATATTCATATGATCTGATGATGATCTAGGCCAATAGTTCTTTTAGCATAGGTAACATACGACATGCTTACATAAATATCCGAATATAAGATCCATATACCATCCCTACATAAGACTTGCAACATAATATTTTTCTCGTGTTTGTTTGCTTGCTATTCAATTTTTCTTTTCTCCACTAGTTGCCAACCTTATCTACTACATAAGGATTTGTATTGGAGAGAAGAGAAAATAATATATTGCATACGTATATAAGATTTTGTATGAGCATAGCAACATGGACCCTTTGTATTAAATGACGTCTTGCCGGCGCCACCATGATGGAGACGTCTTGCTGGAGCCACCATGATAGAGACGTCTTTTTCTTTCTTTCACCGGTGAGGAGTTTTATGGGGTGACGAAACTCCGGCGAATTTTCCGGTGACGTCAAATTTTTTAAAATTTTGACCAAGTAAACTCTTATATTTCGATATTTGTTTATAACCGACGGCTACTTTTTATGATGTCATGTATAAATAAAAATTAGCTGGAAACGAGTGATGACCGTTAACCAAGATATTAAAATGTTTTGAGCAATAAATGATTCCAAAAATTAAACGCGTTGTGGATTAACAAAAGAGGGAACGACTTGCTGTTTCGTAAAGTTAAAGGGAGACGTCATGTCGTTTTGTCACCGTGAGGGTCCATCTTTTGTCATTTTTTCGTACTTCTCAGCTGTTTCCTTTTGACGAAAGGAGTTGTTAGATTTTTCCACAGAATTGACCCTTCATCACCTTGGCTTTGTGGAGTTCGTGACGTTTGTGCAACGTTTTTCCGATCATATCGTAAGTAGTTTAACTAATCCTAAACAAGAGCTTCAAATTGTATGTAATTCGATGGGAAAATATACGTTTCTATAGTTTTATGCATGTATCAAAATTCTAAATGACAGCTTAAATCCATAACAAAAGAAAGATGCTCAATGGAAAAAGGCATAATATATAGTTGATGTTTAGGCAAAGATATGTTTCAAGTTCTAACTAGAATATAAAATACAAATTGGTAACTTAATGTTATAGAAAACAAGTCATCTTCATGACGTAATAGAGATGATCTAAAATCTAATGGTCCATACAAATGATTTGCCTTTATCCATAAAACGTAACCTTACGAAGACAATTTTAATTATGACATAAGTGTTAAGCAAATAAAGATATCTGTTGACATCAGCCTTGTCGTAAGCCCCTTACTATGTCTTCGTCATCACTTAGTTTAAAATAAACTATATATCGTGCAAGTCATTGATTTATTTAATGCTACAATTTTCTAAATTACAACATGTCAAAAATGACATTTAAATTAACAATTATATTCTAAAAAAATTGAGTTGTCGCATTTGAGTTCCGACAATGAGTTCGAAATTTATCTTTCACTCATAAGTTAAATATATTTTTAAGTTTTGGATGATTTACACTCAACATTAATAAAATAATCATATGCTTTGTTATAGATCTTTATTATGGATACGGTGACGTGGCTTCGGATATCATGAGAATACAGTTTAGTTTACACATGCTTCGTTGACCCCCAAAGCCAAATGCTCTCTAAAATCCTCTCTATATAAACTCTTTAATAATCCAATCTCTTACCAAACTAACCCAACTACACAAGTCTCTCTCTCTCTCTCTCTCTTTTCCCATCTCTCTCCCTCTCTTTGTCTCTCTAACATCAATTATGCAAAAAGCAATTAGACCATACGAGTCATCGTGGACGAAGACCTTACCGGGCAATAGCATTTTCCTTTCAAAGAATGAAGATAAACCATCATCATCATCATTATCATGGTTAACATCAGCATCACCAAAGCCAACATCTTTAAGCACTAAGAGATCAAGCAACCTAGTGGTGATGGAGAATGCTGTGGTGGTGTTTGCAAGAAGAGGCTGTTGTATGGGACACGTGGCGAAACGGCTGCTACTGACACATGGCGTGAATCCATTGGTGGTTGAGATTGGTGAAGAAGACGACAACAACAACTACGACAATATCATAAGTGATAAAGAGAAATTACCTATGATGTATATAGGAGGAAAGTTGTTTGGAGGATTGGAAAATCTGATGGCGGCTCATATTAATGGTGATTTAGTGCCTACTCTTAGACAAGCTGGGGCTTTATGGCTTTGATTTAATCCTCCTTAATCTAAGTTTGCCTTCTTATTTTTTTCTCTCCTTTTTTTACATTATTTGTTAATATATGTGAACTTGTAAAAGATTGCGATTGGTCTTATCATAGGAAAACACAGAAAATACCAAAAACCTCATCTTTTTTTTTTATTGTAATTAAAACATTATTTAAGAAAAATAAAAAAAATAAAAAAAAGTAAAACAAAAAAAAACATTTTTTAGTGAAATTAAAATAAAAAATCATTATTAATTTTTAAAAATTAGTTTAAGTGCTAAATTTTAAACACGTCGAAAACATGTTGAATGTTGAACACTAAAACTTATGGACCAACTAATGACATGCTCGGTTAATTTTCGACGTGTTTAAAATTTAATAATTAAACTAATTTTGAATAAATTTTACTGAAATTAACATGATTTTAATTTCAAAAACGTTATTTTCTTAAAGTTTAAGTGTTAAATTTTTAAAAAATTTAAGTCAAAATCACTGTTACTTTTTGAACCATGAGTTTAAGTGTTAAATCTATATCACGTGAAAACATTCCGAACTTCGAACACCAAATCTTACGGACCAACTAAGGACAGGATGCCTAAGTGCGGTTAGTTTTCGACGTGTTTAAAATTTAATACTTAAATTATTTTTTAAAGAAAATTTACTGAAATTAACATGGTTTTACTTTTAAAAACATTATTTTATTAAAGTTTAAGTGTTAATTTTTTAATAAAATTTAGTCAAAATCACTATTATTTTTTAAAAATGAGTTTAACTGTTAAATCTATATCACGTGAAACTATGCCGAACTTCGAACACCAAAGCTTACGGACCAACTAAGGACAGGATGCCTAGGCGCGGTTAGTTTTCGACGTGTTTAAAATTTAACACTTAAAGTAATATTAAAATTTTTTTGTGAAATTAACATAGTTTTAGTTTAAAAACGTTATTTTCTTAAAGTTTAATTATTAAATTTGTTTTAAGTTTTAGTCAAAATCACAATTTTTTTAAAAAAAAGAAGTTTAAGTGTTAAATTTCTATCACGTGAAACTATGCCGAACTTCGAACACCAAAGCTTACGGACCAACTAAGGACAGGATGCCTAGGCGCGGTTAGTTTTCGACGTGTTTAAAATTTAGTACTTAAACTCATTTTTATAAAAATTTAGTGAAATTAACATGTTTTAATTAAAAGTAATAATTTTTAAATATTTAAGTGTTAAATTTATTCTAAATTTTAGTAAAATTAAAAGAATTTAAGTGGAAATAATAATAATTATTTTTTAAAATTAGTTTAAGTTTTTAATTTTAGGTTTTGAAAATAGTTTGTTATTTATAGTGAAATGAACATGTTTTAGTTAAAAGTAATAATTTTAAAATGTTTAGTGTTAAATTTATTTAAATTTTAGTTAAATTAAAAGAATTTAAGTGGAATTCATTATTATTATTTTTTAAAATTAGTTTAAGTTTTTAATTTAGGTTTTGAAAATAGTTTGTTATTTAATATTTATAGTGAAATTAAAATTTAGTGAAATAATTTTTAAATGTTTAAGTGTTAAATTTATTTAAATTTTAGTTAAATTAAAAGAAGAATTGAAGTGGAAATCATTATTATTATTTTTTAAAATTAGTTTATGTTTTTAATTTGAGGTTTTGAAAATAGTTTGTTATTTAATATTTATAGTGAAATTAAAATTTTATTTAAAATTTAGGGAAATTAACATGTTTTAGTTAAAAGTAATAATTTTTAAATGTTTAAGTGTTAAATTTATTTAAATTTTAGTTAAATTAAAAGAATTTAAGTGGAAATCATTATTATCATTTTTTAAAATTAGCTTAAGTTTTTAATTTTAGGTTTTGAAAATAGTTTGTTATTTAATATTTTTACTGAAATTAAAATTTTATTTAAAATTGATATGTTTTAGTTAAAAGTAATAATTTTTAAATGTTTAAGTGTTAAACTTATTTAAATTTTAGTTAAATTAAAAGAATTTAAGTGGACATCATTATTATTATTTTTTAAAATTAGTTTAAGTTTTTAATTTATGTTTTGAAAATAGTTTGTTATTTAATATTTTTAGTGAAATTAAAATTTTATTTAAAATTTAGTGAAATTGATATGTTTTAGTTAAAAGTAATAATTTTTAAATGTTTATGTGTTAAACTTTAAGTGTTAAACTTATTTAAATTTTAGTTAAATTAAAAGAATTTAAGTGGACATCATTATTATTATTTTTTAAAATTAGTTTAAGTTTTTGATTTATGTTTTGAAAATAGTTTGTTATTTAATATTTTTAGTGAAATTAAAATTTTATTTAAAATTTAGTGAAATTAACATGTTTTAGTTAAAAGTAATAATTTTTAAATGTTAAGTGTGAAATTTATTTAAATTTTAGTTAAATTAAAAGAATTTAAGTGGAAATCGTTATTATTATTTTTTAAAATTAGTTATTTTTAAAAATTAGTTTAAGTTTTTAATTTTAGGTTTTGAAAATAGTTTGTTATTTAATATTTTTAGTGAAATTAACATGGTTTTAGTTTAAAAACGTTATTTTCTTAAAGTTTAATTATTAAATTTGTTTTAAATTTTAATAATTTTTTAAAAAGAATTTTAAGTGTTAATTCTCTATCACTAAGGACAGGATGCTTAGGCGCGGTTAGTTTTCGACGTGTTTAAAATTTAACACTAAAACTAATTTTTTAAAAATGTTTAGTGAAATTAACATGGTTTTAGTTTAAAAAAATTATTTTCTTAATTCTTAAAGTTTAATTATTATAATTTGTTTTAAATTTTTGTCAAAATCACTATTATTTTTTAAAAAGAAGTTCAAGTGTTAAATCTCTATTACGTGAAACTATGCCGAACTTCGAACACCAAAGCTTACGGACCAACTAAGGACAGGATGCCTAGGCGCGGTTAGTTTTCGACGTGTTTAAAATTTAATACTTAAACTAATTTTTTAAAAAAATTAGTGAAATTAACATGTTTTAGTTAAAAGTAATAATTTTAAAATATTTAAGTGTTAAATTGATTTTAAATTTTAGTAAAATTAAAAGAATTTAAGTGGAAATTATTATTATTATTTTTTAAAATTAGTTTTAAGTTTTTAATTTTAGGTTTTGAAAATAGTTTGTTATTTAATATTTTTATTGAAATTAAAATTTTATTTAAAAATGATTTTAAAAATTAATTAAAATACTGAAATAAAAATCTTCTTAAGAGAGAGAAAAGAGAGGTGTACCTTGGTACTCGTGTTATCGACGAATCAAGAATCTCTGCTTCTATCTCCACCGTCATGTCCCGGAACTTCTGCGCAATAGAATCGTATCACCGTCTCTCTCTCTCTTCGTTATCCTCTTTCCCGCTCTCGTATCCATCGTCGTCTTGGTGCTCTCCTTCGATTGAACCTGCTCTGTTCGATTGCCAAGTCCTTCTTTAGTGTTACTGCACTGGTCCTCGTCTTCACTAACCCTCCCTGTCTCTGTAAATCTTCTTTGCCGCTTTGTTTTCTCTTCGTAATCTCATGAGAAACGGTGAAATTAGGGTAGAGCCGACCTGAAATCGTACTCGATTAACAGAAGAAGACAGAGGATGGAGATCATTCCCGAAACGAGATGACTTCCTCCGACCAATCCTACGGATGAAATCGTTACATAGATCATCGGTTCACTTCAATCTCTGAATGGATCATCTTCTTCACGTACGGTCTCGATCCAGAAGATGGTTTCTAGAGGTATTAATAAAAGAAAAAGATTAAAGATGGTTTCTTTAGTTTTAGTCTCGATGAAAGATGAAAGATCGGACCAAAAAAATCGCAGAGCTTTGCTGCGGAAGAAACTAGAGGTATGAAAAAAGAGAAAAAGATGAAAGATGAAGAATTTTGATTTCACAAGGAAGAATAGTGAGTATTTATAAGCAAACGTTGTTCAATAGAATAAAGGAAAGTCTCTCTATTGTTTCCTTTTTTCTGACGAGGTTAAGAAAAAGGAAATTTCAATTAGGCTGCAAAATAATGGAAATTTGCTCACAACGGTCATATTTGTTATTTCTGCGTAAAATTATTTGAGTTTTAGTGCGTAACGGTCATATTTGTTATTTTTACGTAAAATTAATTATCTAGTGCGTAACAATTTATCATTTCAAGATAAATTAGGTTTCTTATTTGTTGAAACAGAGAATGGGCCGTTGAAATCGAGAGGAGCAAAGTCGGGATCATCTGAGCTCTTTGCAATCGACAAGATCCTGCAAGCCTGCAACTAAGGTCTCTACCGATTTTTGTAGTTGCTTATCTTTGGTTACTTTGTAAAAACACAATTTACAAACTCCTTAGATTCAAAGAAAAACTTTCACTCATAACAGAACACTTTCATCATCAATGATACAAAACAGAACAGAACAGAGCATCTTTAACCATCCATGTTGTTGCTGTCTCCGTTAACAACCAAGAGCATCAAGAAATAAGGAAAGTAGAAGATGTGTCTGAGAAAGCCTTGTCTTGTAGACGAGAAAGCATAAGGAATGATAAGTAGCATCAGGACTACCAAGAAGGCTGAATCTATGGCTAATACAAGATGGGAAAGCCATGAGACATCGCTCACCACAAGAGTGATTCCAGCCACAGATGCCATCATCATTGATACAATAGCCGTTAACAGAAGTGGTAAAGCTAGTTGAAAAGCTTTCTTTGTCAGAAGAGCATCATCACCCCGTTGCGCCACGCCCAAATAAGAGCCATTATAGTTACCACAGAACTGCACATTGCAGTATTGTTGAACAAGTCACAGTTGCTACTAGTGACTCATAAGAGTATTGACACTATCCTTGTATCTTTGCGGATTTTGTTTACGACTCGGTGACATATTCAAGGGGATCGGTTTCAGTCTTTCAGACCATTTGGTGCTCCAGCAGATACCAAAGCCATCCAAGTCAATCTCTGTAACCCAATAAAAGAATGTTATATGAGACTTTCTATACATTTTCCATAGGAATTGAAAAGGATGTGTTTAGTGACGTACCTTGTGCATCAACTATATCTTCAAATTATTTCCGTGACTAAAACAATTTATGATACAAATTTTTTTGAAACATAGCCTCATTCTTTAAAGTGTAAACAGAGAGGAGATCGAGAAGAGGCAGCAAACTCGGGATCATGTGGGTGTGTAGTAATTCTTTACTGAAATCGAACTTACGAAAACAATGATGTGAACGATATCATCTGTGAGCGTAATTGAAGCTTTTTAGCGTTGAGGGTTACTGAGCCGCGTGACACTTAAAATTATGCTTTCACAACCCATTCTTTGACATTTTAGAGGGTAAATAATCTTTGACATTTTATGTGAGAACCCAATCTTGACCAAATTAGTATGGCCCAATATAACCTAAGAATTTAAGCCCGTTCTGTTTCTACTGCTCTTTGACCAAATGGTCGTTTGCAAAAGAACTAAATACAAAAGTCCCAAAACTAGTATGCGTGCTATCATAATTTTTTTTGTGTTGAAATTTAAAAGTATATATTTTAGTTATTAATTTTTGAATTACATATAACCTATATAATATTGTTGTCGATGATGTGTATAATCCATCCGAATTCAAATTCTATGTTGTTAACAGAATCCAAAAAGATTTCCTGAAAGATATGGGCAGATTCTGAATCTTTAAAAAATACATATGCATATATGTGCATAGGAGTATGTAAATAAGTTTTGAGTGGTGATCAATTTTGTAAAACAATAATAATGGTTTTTTAAAAAATTTAAGTTTGAAGAACCATACAAGTGACCGTGACATATTTGATGATTAACCTATATTTGATGAGGCCAACATTCAATCATGAAGCCAATAACATTTTTTTGATTACTATATTATATTGCGAAAAGACAACTTTTTAAGTAATTATCACTAGCTTTTTTAACATGCTTTTTGCGAGCCCAAATGCATCAACGAACCATTATGGATGAAGGTGGACCAAATTTGACCGTTTGGTAGCAATTTCGATATTTTAACTAGTCTATTCTGGTGAACAGAAAAAAAACTAGTCTAATCAAATCTTTATCCATATACGTAACATGAAAAATGCCATATGTCCTCATCATTCAATGATTTGCTGTCAAATAATTCAAGAAAATCATGGAAAATATTTTTTTTTTCTTTATGGAGAAGATTTGTGAGCTTTTAATATAACTTACTTAGCTAAATTATAGCAATTTGCATAAATTTCATGGATCTAGCACTTACATTATCAAAAATTAATTAAAATTTTAGCAAGATGTTTATGTACGAAGCAAGGTATAATTCAAAAACAATAAATTTAGCTGACCAAATATATGTTACGTGCTGCATCGACCATCGTGAAGCATATAGTTAAATTATCACAAAAAATTATGATTATAAAATTAGATACCGTGATTCACGAGAGTCATGTATACCTTCGATCAGTCTAAACCGGAAGGCAAAATCTGTGACCATGGGTATACACGTGCCTATATTAGAATTAAAAGACAAAAGAATTTACTTTATTCGAATTCCATATTAATATTTCTCTAATGTTAGACAAGCCATTACCAACAAAACCAATTGGATCGTTTGAAACAAATAGTGGCCGCTAAAACTAATAAACACATAGAGGCTCGAAGCACAGACTTGGTTAGCTCATACTCAGGTCCGGCTCTATATACAACCGTTGAATAAATAACTATGAAGGCCAAATTTTAGAGAGTTGTGTAAGATCATACATATTGTAACTCTTAAAGTTGGTTTTGCAATATAGGTGCAGATAATTGACAATGAAGATTCGTATACAGAGGAAAATGACCATTTCACTTAATTATGTTTTATCATAATTAACTACCACTTTATCCTATGTTTAGGTATTACTCTCTTTTTCTCGCTTTACACTCTTAAATAGTTTCTATCAACTTTGTGGAAAATGGTTGGAAAGCGTGACTTTATCTTTTAATTACTTTCACGACCCATGAAAAAGGAATCTTTTATATATCCCTTTTTTATTAAAGATTTCCACATATAATTGCATGGAACGTAAACATTTATTTTGGGTAATAAGAAGTTAAGAACGTAATCATTTTGTTTATTGATTCCATAAGTTTTTCATTCTATGAGTTTTTATTAGCTGTAAAAAAATATATGCACTCGTATTTCTAATTTCGTAGCAATTGGAGACAATAAATATGATGATAAATATGTTTGGAGTATTAAAAATTTCCTTAAAAATCAATTAGAAATTTTGATCACAAATTAATTTCGAAAAAAAAATCCAATAACAATCGTGAAATTGCTTTATAAAAACTATCATTTAAAATATATATTAATATTTAAGCAACAATTAATGCATTCCAAGAGTTTAAAATAGAACGGAAAAGGTAAGGTGGTTGAAAAAAAGAAAGATATAGCGCGATTTTGATTTGTAGAATGTCGATATCAATTTGACCGAAAATGTATTGGATTGGTCAAGTCCGAGTAAAAACAAGAAGGCCATTATCATCCACTAAGTGACATATGTATACTTTAAGTCTAATCATATCTCCATTATGTTCTTATTTTTATTTCATATATCGCCAAGTTTCTATGCTATGGTATGGATCTAACCTTTGTCTTCTTTGAAATGTCGTTTATTGCACTACATTTTTATAGGAATACGTACGTTTATTACAATTATATATATATATACACATTTATTCATGGCTTAGTTTGTACTTTTTATTTTTCTCCCAAGAATACGTATGGATTCTAGCTAATGTTGTTTTATGTGAATCCATGTTAATACTTTTTGGTCTATGTTAATATTATTGTACATCTACATATGACCACATGAATAATTGCGTTATAAATATGTGGATGCATCTAGTATCATGAAATGCCTATATATGTACACAAGTTTCAACTGGTGATAATTTTTAACGCAAGTTGCTTACTTAGCTTGTTGGAATAAAACATTGGTATATCAGTTGAATATTTGACTAATTAATGTTTGCAGTAGACTAATCCGTTCTTTATACTACTAATATATACCATTCAAAATGGGTTATACGTGTGTTTTCCCTACACTATCGTGGGTATATATGTAATCTATATAGTATTGCGCTTTTTATGAACCAAAAGCATGTGGTATATCTGTAATGTACCGTCTGGGCTCTGGATCTAAATCTGTCTTATCAATGTTATTCTCTTTGAGTAATCAATAAAGGAAATTTAGAAAATAACCGGTTAAGTAGTCTAGGTCCGGAAAAAAAATGTGCTCCAATATGATGTTGAAATTGATTCTATAATCAGCTAATATCTATAAATAGCTTTTGCCATTTTTAAAATAATCCATATGTGTTTAAATCCATAAGTTGTGTTCAAAAAGAAAAAGAACTTTGTTTAAATATATAAACGACGTCGTCCACCATGGAAACATATGTAAAATTGTAAATGTAGACAGAGAATTATTCTTTACTATATTCGAACTTGTTCATTAATTCTCAGCTATCATCTTGTTCACAATATTATTTTGACTATACTCAAATTACAATTGTATTGTACAAATTCAAATTCAGCATTTCTTTAGAAAATTATATCGTAGGAGCTGTCCAGATACAGCTGGATTTACTATTCGAACTCTAGTTTAAATATGAGGGGCGGGATAGATCAAATTCATATAGATAGATAGATAATCAGCATGGAAATTTATTTGTAGGAGCTCTGCATAAAAAAAGTATAAAAAATTGCCATATTATTGTCATACACGCATATAAACGCATTTCTTTATAGTTTGTCTAAGTGCCAATCTGGTATATGTGAATCTTGATTAATTGATAAAGGGAACAATACTAAATATATAACACGTCTCGAAAACTTAAGGGAATATTCTAGTGCCGCCAAAGTTCAAGAAGAAAAGTCCAAAACTAAAACACTAAATTAATTTATAGGAATCTTAAACATGATTACATTATGATTAAAGTGTTAATTACCTAAAGAATTGGTAATTAAGTCAGCCCACAAGCTGACGACCTCTCTTCCTTCCAAAAATTCACCTGCATTTTGTCAGTTCTCTGTCTCTTCGTACTTTCGATTAATTAACTAACCGTAATTATCTTACTTTTCAGCTAGGGGTAATAAAAAAGCACATTTAGTTTACTTTTGTTTGAAAATCGATATGATCGAGATTTTGATATGGTCGAATTGGTTAACGTATTTTTTTTTGTATTATTACGTTTTTCATCTACAAATCATATATGTATGTATAATATAGGATTTTATCCAAATTATAACACGATAGTGATAATAGACTAATAGTACATACAATTCGGATACATATGCCCTGAATAAAATAGTATTATAATCTACAAGGGATGTTTCAAATAAAAATTTGGTATGAGTTTATAATAGTTATGACTCAGAGGAAAAAAATTGTTAGCTTGCACATAGTTGGTTAGAATTACTTTTTTGGTTCAATCTTTTTTTCTTAATACGGTAAGATTCTATTTTTAAAAATACGTTAGAAAATAAACCATTTTTATGAAAATACTTTAATTTGTAGGGATAAAAAAGTTTGCTAAAGAAAAAGATGGAAAGGGAGCATTGCAAAAAGATCTTTGTAAGAAAAAAGCATGAAAAAGATACTCGTACGTATCTACTAACTTTGTATACTCAATTCCACAAACATGAATTTTTCACATAAATGATTTTTTTTTTTTTTGGTAAACCATGAATGAAAAATTGATATCGAAAATTAACAATTGTGTGAAGGAAAAAAAAAAGAAAAACGAATATTTGAAGTGGGGTACTTGACGGGAAGAGTTTAAAGAAATTTTCACCATACACACTTGTTAGAGCATTTCTTCCACGTTTTGGCAAAGTCAAAATGACTTCTCATAGTTTAGCCAAATAATTTTATTCTGACCAAAATACCCTTCTAACTAAATAAACGTAACTATTCTTTTACTTTCCTCCAGTTATCTTCCAAACAAGAAAGAGAACAAAGCAAATTTATGAACTTAAACTAAAAGCAAAAAAGAAATATTTGACTTTAAATCAGAGAAAAAATAACGTACAACTCCAAAAATCAGTTTTTAATTTTTTTTGTTTTTCTCACATTCTTTCATAGTTCTGATTGACATTTTCTCTCTATATTATTATTGATTAGTTCTTGAAAAAATAAATATTTGGCTTTAAACCAAAGAAAAAATAACGAAAAATTTGAAAAATCAGTTTTTTAATTTTGTTTTTTTTCTCTCACTTTCTTTCATAGTTCCGATTGACATTTTATTTTTATATTGTTATAGACTAGTTTTTGAAGAAATTATATCGAATAATTGATTTGTCTCTGTTTGAGATATTTTTGCCGAATAAAAGCGGATTATCTCTGACGAGTAGAAGCAGAGTATCGCCGACGAGTAAAAGCATTAGAGAAAGTAATATGGCTTGAACCCTACAAAAAAAATATTGGAACCTGATCCAAATCTGGGATTAATTAGATCTCAATTCCAAGTATATATCTCCTTTGATTATTCTTCTAATTTATGTACTTGTAAACTCAAATTTCATTAAAATTTTGAAGAAATCGTTATTCCGTATTTGGTGTATCTTGTCCCTTAGATTTTGTCTGAGTACCTACGCGATTTTCGGCTAGGAAATAAAATTTGTTAACGTAGTTGGAGGTCATGGTCCATTCCAATTGTATGTTATATTATGTGTACATAAATTTTATAGATTTGTAGTAAATATTTGATACTTTTACAAACTTTTTACAACATATCTTATAAGAATAGGAAGAATAGATCCGATATAAGAGGATACTACTATTGTACGATCGAAAAAATTTACCGGTTAGGTTGTTTGGTTTGGACCATTATCATCCAAAAGCAATTTTACAACATATCTTATAGGAATTGGAAGAATAGATCCGATATCAGAGGATCCTATTGTTGTACGATAAAAAAAACTACCGGTTAGGTTGTTTAGTTTGGATCATTATCATACAAAAACAAAGATAAATATAAAACGTAATCCAAACCAAAACATATTTCTATAATAGCGAATGCTCAAGAGAATCATGACAATAGATTTTCGTTTTAAACTCTCCTTTATATTGGACGAAATAAAGATTGAACCAACTTCGTATTCACCTTGCTTGATTTAAAAGAAAACCAAGAACAAATTTTAGTTACCTTCCAATTCCTAAAACATTCAATCGCAGAGTACTGTGTATGTGATAGAACGGTGTACATCTCGATGTACCAAACATAGGAGCGTACACATAATAGTACAAAACAAAGGAGTGTTCAATGAATAAAAAAATAATATTTTTGGGAGAAGAAGAAACAAAAGCAATATGAAGTCCAAAAATCTCTTCTTTTACACGTAGCACTTTTATGAAATTTTGGAAACTATTCATTTTCTAAGATTTTTTGAAAAATCTCTCATTCATCTTCGATTGAGATATAATAAGGCGAGAAACAACACACATTATATTTTTGGTGAGTAGCAACATGCAACATATTTTCGGATTGTCAGATTTCGAGATAGAGAACTATATACAACGGACGCTGAATTAAGATTGCAGGAGAGGATAATCCGGTTAAAGATGACTTCTAAATTATAGTCGTGTCATTCATCAAAGAGAAAAAAAAAATTAAGAAAAAGAGGGTTTTTGATTTGAACACGAGAAATATGAAGCGTATGACACTAGCAGTTCTATTTATTCCCTGTTTAATTTGTGGTAATGTTGAAGTTTTTTTCATTTCGAAATATGTACATGTTTATTTACCAAATATTACTTTCCAAATTTTTAAATTATGTTAAGTCAGATTGGATTTTCTCTAGTTAAATTACCAAATTCAGTAGTACGTACATATCAATTATAAGATTTACAGTGTACGTACATGAAAATATTAACAAAGATTAAATCATATCCTCATTTATTTACTAACTCTCCAACCACCCAGTATGAATAACTATTACATCCTTTACAGTGATTTGTATTTCAAAATTAATTAATGAACATTATAATGCACTATATTGTTGGTGGAGAATAGTTAAGATTCCAAACAGAACCCGTAAACATACTCGATAATGTTGAGATATACGTACATGTATGCAGCCGCACCAAACAACTACATCTTAAAACTCCATACGTGAAGATTGTAATTTAAACCAATCATCTCCTCGTAAAAGCTAAGGAGGACAGTGGTCATAATGTACGTACATATCCTACTATGGTTGAACCGTGTACCATTTACATAATGTTTGGCTTTTAATTTTTTTAAATGAATATTTGTTACTCGTACTTCTGAGTAAAAGATATATACGTACACATGTAATAATGTACGTACATATTTCTTAGTGTTTTGTGAGTAAAATTTGTTGAGATATATTAATAAATTAATACAAGAGCAAAACAAATTTATAATTCAAAGTAAAAAAAAAATTATAAAATAGATCTTAAAAGAGAGAAAAAATAAATTATATAATTCAAAGTACAAAAATAAAAAATATAAAAGTACGGTAAATGTGAAAACAAGAATCTTTACAACGTTTTATTACTTATGGTGGTGTGCACGGCGAGTTAGCCAAAATCTCTATGTTTAATTTGATATATCTTTTAAGTAGAACATTTCTGTTTTGATGTTGTTATTTCTATGTAATTTGTATTTCGAAATTAGTTAATGAACATTTTGTTGTATTATATTGTTAGTGGATAATAAGAAAAGTTTCAAACTGATCTCGTAAACGTACACGATTATAATAAGATACACGTACACGTACATGAAATTTCCAAGAAGTTACATCCTAAAAACCTCTAATTCATTACCCTAAATCACATAAACTCTTTACAACATAGAATATCTTCTCTATTGTACTAACTTTTACTTTCGTCTCATCAGTTGGACAGTAGCTAAATCATCAAAAATTAGAGCATCATCATTATCGAGTATCATTGCCTCACTATTTAACAATGTATAAAATGTACTATACACTTTGTAAGACTCATTCACGGTCATTGAAGCGTTCTCTGATTCAGGTAAAAATCTTCTTTGAGGATCCTCTAATTCCAAACCTCACACCATTATCATTCACTTCATCTCCACCATGCTCATATGTATTCGTGTACGTCAAAGATTCACCATCACATACTTTCTCTTGTACATAGTTAGTAGTGTACATACATTTTTCCAAATAATGTTTTACCTCCCGGTTAGGACTTACATATGGTTGAATATCACAATTCTCTCCAAAATAAACTTAGTAGAATTTAAGTTGACCACCTCACATATCATACATCAGATAAATGTACAGCATATTTTCTTTAACACGTACACACTTACCAAACTTTTTTTTCTCAGCTAAAATTATCATTCTTCTTCTTCTGTGCATTTTCATTCACTAACAACAATAACAATTATATTTCTTCTTTTTCTGTATATCTTTACTCACCAACAACAATAAATACATGAATATCCTTTAAACACCTGCATAATAAATACATGAAAAACAGATGCATCATCACTTATATTATTATATCAATGTGTACGTACATAAGCAAAATTATTATCGTGTACGTATGTCTACGTACATGATATTCTTAATCTGGAATCGTTTCTAACTACATAATTCAAAGAAAAAAAATTATAATTCAAATTTTAAAAAGTTTTGGAATATGGATCTTAAAAGATAGGAAAAAATGAATTATAATTCAAAGTACAAAAATAAAAAATAATTATTAAAGTGAAAAAAGAGAAAAAATGAATGCAAATAAAAGGTGGAGAATAATAAAAAATATTTTTTTAATTCTTTTATTTTTATTTTTGTACAAACGTGACACTGTAGCAACCAGAGTTCTGCAAACAAACTGTACACAATCACTGTATACTCTCATTCAGTTACAAGGGTATTTTTGTCCGAAAATAACCAAATTGCTATTTTATGAGAGCTGAATCTCACTTTGCCAAAACCTGATTTAAAAACATGGATAGTGCTCTGGCCTGAAAATTACCCAAGAGTTTATAATGTCGCATGGGTTTTGTTTTCACTGTCGACCGGACGATTATTCTCTTTTGCATATTTAGGTTTTTAATTTCGTTGTCGTATGTTGTTGGATTTTACCTCACGAGCACGTGCATGGGTACACGTGCATTGCAGGCTTTGTTCTCAACAATAAACAAGAGATGTTACCTGCGCCGTTGGATCTGTTTACTTCTTTGACCACCTCAATTTACGGTCAATTTAAAATCGCAATTATAGAATCAAGAAATCATTAGCTATCAAAATGTACTAACCAGTATAACATGAAGTGTATGTACATAAGTTTTGAGGTCAGACCATCCCAGCCTAAACTAAATCAATCACAGCTATATACACCATGACTGTATACTTATATACGACTTTCAACATATATCTACTAAAAATAACACTAAGAGAAACTATAAGGAGAAGAACAAAGAAGGTAATTTTACCTAAAGACGAAGAAAAAAAAATGAACGGAGAAAATGAATAATGAGATCATCATTCCAAATAGAAAAAGGCAGACATATAAACTTTTGTGTGTGTCATGACGCACTGCCACTGAAAAACAAATAATCAAATATTCAAGATAAATATAGTCAGGTAAATTATATATAATTTCCACCGCCATTAACTTTTAACTAAGAAATATAAAATTAAAAATGGGAATGATATATGAAAGTTTAATTATTTATAAAAATGGCTGCGACAGTTCTTACAGATCAAGGTGCTTGTATATTTTTTTCAAAGAGAGAGGAATATTATTTTCTTATTACACATATGGGCTTAAGTGTGTAGGGTTGTATATATATATAAGTATACGACCAATATAACTTATCTTTTGTGTTTGCCTCTCATTCATAACTCCATCGGATTCTAAGTATTTCTTGTTTTCTCTATCTATCCTTTTTATTCTTCATCTCTTATCTAAAAATTATCTTTTGTAAATCTTCCAACAAAACTTTTGTCCAGAAGAAGACATGACAACTGAAGATCAGACAATTTCAAGTAGTGGAGGATATGTCCAAAGCTCATCAACAACTGATCATGTTGATCATCATCATCATGAACATGACTCCCTTAATCCTCCTCTTGTCAAGAAGAAGAGAAACCTCCCTGGAAATCCTGGTAATAACTAATTAAGTTTAATATAGATCACAAAATTCAACCCTAATCAATAAAGCTTTTTTTTTTTTTTTTTCCTTTCTGTTTGCTGAAAACTCATCTTCCTGATTTGTTTGGTTTTCGATCTTTATTTATAAACATGCATGCGTTCTACTGATTAGATCTTTCGCATGATCCAAAGATCCCGAATTTGATTGTTTATTCGTTCTCTATAGATCCAGAAGCCGAGGTCATAGCTCTATCCCCAAAGACACTTATGGCCACAAACCGATTCCTCTGCGAGATATGTGGAAAAGGTTTTCAAAGAGACCAGAATCTACAGCTTCACCGTAGAGGACACAACCTCCCATGGAAGCTAAAGCAGAGGACAAGCAAAGAAGTAAGAAAACGAGTGTATGTATGTCCAGAGAAGAGTTGCGTCCACCACCATCCGACAAGGGCACTCGGTGACCTTACCGGCATTAAGAAACATTTTTGTCGGAAACACGGCGAGAAAAAGTGGAAGTGTGAGAAATGCGCCAAGAGATATGCAGTCCAATCTGATTGGAAGGCTCATTCCAAGACTTGTGGGACTAGAGAGTATAGATGCGACTGTGGTACAATTTTCTCCAGGTACTTAGTTTATATTTACTTACGTACTAATAGATCTTTACATTTCCTCATCTAGTATCATATATTTTAGTAGCGTAAAAAATATTTTGATCACCTATCTGTAAGCGTATATCATGATTAATTGCATTATATATAGATTCAATTATGACTTAGCTTTCTAACCAGTAAAGTTAATCATGTTTGAATTAGAATATATACATATCTTAAAACTCATACTAAAACCTAGATCTTATATTTTACCCGGTGAATACTATGGTAGTAAAATATAAATCTGTTACCTCAACTAACACTTCTGTACCACTGGACCACACAAACAAACTTCGTTTTATCATGTTGTTTGTAAGTAAAATAAGATATATGTTGTTGTTGGAAGTAGCTCATGTAGGGTCTAACACCAAATAATTTGAAGAGTTTTTTTTTGTATATATATTGGTCATTCTCTGAGCATACGTGCTGCTTGATTTCTTGAATAAGACAGTTTCTTGGATTGTCATATTTTGGTTAAAGTAAAATGTACAACCTTATTTATTTCTTTCCTTAATTGCTATCTATATACATTACATATACACATATAACCCTAAGCATAAATTAGTGAGTGTCTATAGATGATGAATAAACAATGATATTGATCTTATTGGTGTGTATAATTTGTGGACAACAGGAGAGACAGCTTCATTACACATAGAGCGTTCTGTGACGCTTTAGCAGAAGAAACCGCTAGGCTAAACGCAGCCTCACATCTCAAAAGCCTTGCTGCAACCGCTGGTAGTAATCTAAACTATCATTATCTCATGGGCACACTTATCCCATCACCATCATCACAACCACCACCGTCGTTTCCATTCGGACCACCGCAACCGCAACATCACCACCAACATTTCCCTATCCCAACCACCACCTTCGATCATCATCATCATCATCAAGACGTCATGAAACCTGCGTCTTCGCTCTCTTTATGGATGGGAGGAAATATTAACCATCATCAGCAAGTGACCATCGAGGACCGTATCGCACCGCAGCCGCATTCTCCAAACGAGGATTACAATTGGGCTTTCGGAAACGCGAATAATCGCGGTGAGCTAATAACGACGAGCGATTCACTCATTACACATGACAATAATATTAATATCGTCCAGAGTAAGGAAAACACAAACGCGGCTACTTCTCTTTCCGTCCCTTCTCTTTTTAGCAGCGTCGACCAAATTACCCAAGACGCAAACGCTGCTTCTGCAAATATGTCGGCGACTGCGTTACTTCAAAAAGCGGCTCAGATGGGATCGACTTCTTCTACGTCACCGACGACGACGATCACCACCGACCAATCAGGGTATCTTCAGAGTTTTGCGTCGAAAACCTCCGACCAGAGTAATCAGATTGTAGAAGATGGTGGCAGCGACAAGTTCTTCGCTTTGTTTGGATCGAACAGTGTCGAGTTAATGAGTAATAATAATAACGGTCTTCACGAGATCGAGAACCCTAGAAACGGCGTTAGGGTCGTTTCGGGGATTGATGAATTACAGAATTACCCTTGGAAACGTAGAAGAGTTGAGATTGGGAACGCAGGAGGAGGAGGTGGGCAAACTCGGGATTTCCTAGGGGTTGGTGTACAAACAATGTGCCATTCTTCCTCTATCAATGGATGGATTTGAAAACACTTTTTAATGAATTTATTCTATGAATTTTCTACCTTTTTATAAGAACTTATCAAAGCTACTTTCTTTGATTAATTACAAAGATCTAGATTTGTACATTAACTGTTTCACAAGACCAAAATCATAATTTAATTTTACAATCGATTGTTATTAATTATTAGATTAGCGTAATGTACATGAATTATTCTAGATTATCGTGGTTTTCCTTTCTTGTTAAAAATCTAGATTTTTCGTGTTTTCTCAAATTCAATATGATCACGTACGTTTCAAAATTTACTCTTCCAGCAGATTTTGGCTAAATTTAGGTAAACTAGTCTATCCTAGCTAATCTTCTTATTTATTTTTTTCATTTTATAGAGTCTAGACTACACTAGAGACCAGCATGATAAGTTGATAACAATGTTTATATGTAGACTGTAGTGAATATAAGCATTTTCGTTGAGGTAAAGTCTCTTTTTTTATGAAGATTCATGCATATATTCACTATGTGTAGAAAGGTCTTTGATATGCTTTTTATAAATAAGTACTTAATCAATTGTATGTATTATATGTATATATGCCATATAAAAAGAGTGGATCGAGAAGTGGTGGGCACAAAAGAAAAGATGGAGGCTTTTGAGCTCAATAATTCTAACTTAACTTGCAGGGCAATTCATAGTGGAGGAAAACATTAAGAAAATGAAAAATGAAGATTAGATAGAAAAATAAACGATACTAAAAGAGATGTATATAAATAGTGTATGTTTTCATTTTCTTTAAAAGATCATCAGCTAATAATATTGCTAGTGGTCTTGGAAAAGCTTGATGGGCTTCAACTAATGGGCCTTTGATTAGTACGGACCAAATCTTCAGTCGGTCTGTCATCTGTGGGAGATCTTTCTCTGTCTCTCTCCCCAAAGTTCAAATCTTTTCTTAGTATCTTACTGTACTTTCTTCAAGTTTAGTACTTTTTTCTCTACACTAATCGTCCCCGTAGAAAGATCGGAGAAGACCCATTGTGAAATTGGAGCGAAGATATTCAGTGACTCATCACTAGAAAGAAAAGGAGACGCCTTTGGAGGGTTTTCATGAGGAAGCCAACGGACGAGTCGGGTCGGGCCATCCAATTGGTTTACGTTGATGAAAATGGGAAGTTGAAGACGGACCCAGAAGCCATCGGCGCTCTTCAGAAGCTTAAGGGTCCTGTAGCTGTTGTCTCTCTCTTTGGTAAAGCTCTCCATGGCAAGAACTTCATCTGGAATCAGGTTATTTTCTGGCTTTACTTTGGACTTTGATTGAGGGTTTAGGGTTTTAGTATTGCTTTCGTTTGTGGTGTCTTTGATTTGTCCTCTTGACGGATAAAAAACAATGCTTTTGGTTGTGATGATAATTATGATGATCTACCTTAGTTTGGTTCTTAATTGTGGAAATCGTTTGGCTTATTTCTGCAAAATTTCTGTTTTCTGGGATCAATTTTTGCATGTGCTTCTCTCTGATGCATTGTCTTATAGTGATTGAGATTTGAAGTTGAGATTGTCTGATTTTTGAATGTTGATCTATAGCTTCTTAGCAGGAGCATTGGATTTGAAGTTCAAACTATTCACAGGCCATGCAACGGAGATATATGGATGTGGATTGAGCCGGTGAAGAGGATTTCAGAAGATGGCACCGAATATAGTTTAGTGTTACTCGATGTCGAATGGGAAGACTCAAAGGGTATTCCGGTTAGTAGTATTGTTTTATCTATTCAAAGGTTCTGGTCTTTTAAAAGTTTATAAGGTTTACTATAGGGATAAGCTGTCTCATGAAGTGTTAATTGATTTGATATGTTAGGCTACACGCAATAGCCAGATATTCTCCTTGGCTATCCTCCTATCAAGCGTGTTTATCTATGGTCCGGTAAATTACCTATGACTGATTTTTCTTTCTGAAGAAATTTTTCTAAACACACATTTAGTGCTTCGTATAATGAAAATTGCTGCTTCATGTTTCAGACACTTGGTGTAAATGACATTGCACTTGATCTCTCTCGTCTACTTGAGATTAGGAAGCAAGACCACGTTGGAGAAGCTAAGGACAATACATTCGGGCTTGGGCAGTTCTCTCCCATGTTTGTTCAACTTATGAGGGTGATCATCCCCTTATCAAATTACATTCTTAAGGCTTTAGAATCAGGTAGTCTCTGATGTTTCTGAACGATTTTTAACTTCTTTATTATCAGGACATTAACTCAGAAACAGTGGAAGGTGGAGAAGATGTAACTCAGAATAGCAAAGTGGGTTAATCCTTCTTGTCTTTCTTAAGAGTTCTTTTGGATACGAGAAATCGTTTATTATTGTTATTATTTTATTTCCCTAATCAAGCCTTAGTGTTTTTTTTTTTCCATTTCCGATAAAACTTCTGGTTTCTTTTTGTGAATAGCTCGAAAAGTTAAGACCTCAGATTCTCTACGGTATAGATGCCCTCATGAAGTTTGTCTCTGAGAGAGTAAGGCCTAAGCAAAGAGGTGATACCATCATCACAGGGCCACCACTTGCTGGTTTCACAAAGGCGTTTTCTGAAAATGTTAATAACAACATCGTGCCTAAAATATCTTCTTTATGGCAGGTAATTAATAAGTCAATTCTGGTATTTCAGTGTTCTCATCAAATTATTCTGCATATTCTTATGCATCACTCATCTTTATTTGCAGACTGTAGAGGAATTAGAAGGTCGCAGGGCCCGCGATACAGCAACTGAGGTATACATGTCGTCGTTGGAGCGTTCAGAGACTCCTGATGAAGTAAGTTTAAATTCGTGTCGCATTCAACAATCACTTAGACACATTAGTAAACTCAACTATTCACATGATCATCTGCAGTCGATGCTGATAGAAGCACACAATAAGGCGGTTGTCGAAGCTTTGACCGCGTTTTGTGAATCTTCCATTGGAAATGTCGAAGTAAAACAGAAACACAAAAGAGACCTTTGGAGTTTCTTTGCAAAGGCGTTGGAGGTTATCTCTCGCTCTCCCCCTTTATTTATCTCTTTATACTTTTTTGCCAATATGCCAGTTTGCTAAATAGTGTTTTTTGTTTTCAGGATCACAAGCGAGTGGCAAATGTGGAGGCGTATTCGAGATGTTGCAATGCCATAGAAGATATGGGCAAGAAATTATGGGCATTGCCTTGTTCTCATGATGCTAATATAGGCGATATGATCAAGGTGCTCTCTTTTTTTCCGTCTTAAAACTGACTTTTTCATCACAATATAGTAGACATAGTAAAGCCTCATGCAGAGCAACTCTGAGCCATTGGAGCAAATCTTGCTTTCATTATAAACATAGTTGTAATCTGTATGAAACAGGCCCTTGATACCGCAGTTGGGGAGTATGAAATATCCATCAACGGTCCTATGAAGTGGCAGAAACTATCTTCCTTTTTGAGAAAGAGGTTCTCATTATGCCTATATACTTCCACCAATTAAAGATTAATCTTTTATGTTTATGTTTGGTCTTCATGGAAAGATTAACCTCTCTCAGTTCCTAATTGTCAGTATACAGGACATTCTCGTCCATCGCAGAGGGAATCAAATGGACGAACTTCTGTCTGAGAACTCCAAACTTAAGCTACAGCAACATTCCATGGAAAGCACGATGAATTTGCTCAAGAAACAGCTTGAAGGTGGAGAGAAAATGAACAAGGAATATCAGAAGCGTTATGAGAGTGCCATTGATGATTTAAGTAAGCTCTCAGATCAGTTCAAAAACCGTATTCATGACTTGGAAAGTAAGTGTAAGTCAATTCACAATGAACACTCGAACCTCATGGAGGTGCTGGGATCCACAAGACTTGAGGCTTCTGAGTGGAAACGTAAGTATGAGGGGACTTTGGATGAGAATGGCGTGAGCAACAATCGGATAGGGGTCGATGCGTCGATCACTAGGTGCAGTAATAAGTTAATCGATTGGAAAATAAAATACGAGAATACTGTTAGTGAGCAAAAAGCTGTTTCAGAGAAGATAGCGGCAATGGATGAGAGGTTAAAGCAAGCTTCAGCCACAGAAGATGGCATGAGAGCTGAGTTCTCCCGTATTTTGGATGAAAAGGTTAGGCTTTCTTGAATTAAAAGAAACTTATCATATGATAAATCTATAATCGAACACAATAACTTAACCATTTGGCTGACTTAACAGTAAACTGATTAAGTTGTGACTTTGGTTACTGATAGGAGAAGGTAATCACTGAGAAAGCTGCGAAGCTTGCGACTTTGGAGCAGCAATTGGGCTCTACGCGTTCAGAATTAAAGGTGAGCTTCTCTGAAACATTTGAGTCCCTATTCTTAATCTCTTAAGATTCTTGTTTATTTACTGTATTAATCTTCGTGAAAAGACCTTAACAAGCTCATAAAAGCAATTCGATTACTCTGCGTGCTGTAACATGTTTTTGATTGTTGCTTTATTGCAGAAAAGTGTGTTGAAGGTGGACGAATGTTCATCAGAAGCAAAAGACTTGAGACTTCAAATCTCGGCTCTGAATGAGAAATATGAATCTGTGAAATCCGCATCTGAGTTGCTTGAAACTGAGACACAGACGTTAAAGCGAGAGAAAGATGAATTGGACAAGAAGTGTCATTCACATTTGGAAGAACTTGAAAAACTCGTTTTGAGACTGAAAAATGTGGAAAGTGAGGCTTTAGAAGCTAAGAAACTTGTGGATTCTTTGAAAATGGTAGCTGAAGCAGCCCGTGACAACGAGAACAAACTTCAGACATCATTGGTTGAGAGATGCATTGAAATTGACCGAGCTAAGAGCCGTATTGAGGAGCTTGAAAAAATTTGCACGCTCAATAGTGGGGAAGGTGATGCTTCAGCATCTAAGAAACTTGTGGATTCGATGAAAATGGAAGCGGAAGCATCCCAGAAAAATGAGAACAAACTCCAGAGGCTGTTGGAGGATAAATGCGTTGAAATCGACCTAGCTAAAAGCCGAATTGAAGAACTTGAAAGAGACTGCTTGAAGCTAAAAGATGCGGAAAGTGAGGCTGCAACAGTCAAAGAACTAGTGAGTTCGATGAAGATGGAAGTGGAAAGCGCACGAAGCAACGAAAAGAAACTCGAGATGTCGTTGCAGGAAAAGAGCATCGAAATTGACAGAGCTAAGGGACAAATCAAAGATCTGGAGAGGCAAAAGATGGAACTTTCTGAAACTCTGGAGACAAGAGCGAAACAAAACGAAGAAGCGGTTACTTATTGGCAGAGAATCATCAACTCCGAGAAGGCAAAAAACATGCGAGTGAATTTGATGGAGAAAGAAGACTCTTTTATGGTTTCGGATGAAGCAACACCGATGCAGCGTGTTAAGCGTTTGAAGGTAGAAGCAGCAGTGACCTGTTCGGGTTCAGATTTTGCGCAAGAGACCGAAGAAGATACAGTTTCACAAGAGAGCAGGAAAGTTAGGACAATGACCCCGAGAAGATGCACGAGCACGGAAGCTGGAACGTCTTCTTCCACAGGCACGGGGCATTCGAAATACACAATGAAGAAGCTGAGGAGTGAGATACTAGAACACGGGTTTGGGGCTGAGTTGGTTGGGTTAAAGAATCCAAGAAAGAGAGATTTGGTTCAGCTCTATGAACGCACCGTTTTGCGAAAGTGAAGCTGTCTGTAATAACATGAAACAAGGTCAAGTTTCTTGTTCTTGGAACTTTCTGTGGATTTTGATGCATCGAAATGAAAATGGTATTGCAGAAAATAAAAGTATCTTTTTATCACTGATGAGTTTAAGGTTTTTTAATGTCAAATCCGTGTTACGGAGACGGTTGAGTGAGTCCGTTAGAACAAAGTCAACAACTGTAAACGAGCTATCTAGAAAATGACACATATGTACTGGGCCCAATATTCTAACGAGCCGGGCCTTCTCAATGGAGCAATGTATTGCAGAGGGTGCATAAAGAGAATAATAAAATAATATATAGCTTCAGTTATGTTTCTCCGACAAGCTTAAAAAAGATACTAATAAAATAATTGCCGACGATCACGGGACAAAAGCTGAGATAGCTTCAGTTCCACACTAAGCAATCGTCGAGAGAACCATCATGACTCGCGGACTCATGACACATTGGCCCAAAAGTCCTATTATTTTAACTAACCTAATCTTTCTCTTATTTCCAAATTGGACCCACCTATTCTTCGTCATTGCTTTCTCTCTTTAATGTTGTCTAACGAACTATCAATTTCTTTTGTTCTTACCAAAAAATAAAAAAAAAACCTTAAAAAACTCTGAACTCGGATCTATTTTTATCAAATTATTTACTAGTAAATCATAAATCTACTAGTAAAATATAACTTATGATAATCATGGCTATCAAAAACTTGTGATTATCATTAAAATGACATTTTAGAGATCTATTATATAATAACTATATCTCCTTTTACATTATCTAAGCTTTGCTACCACAAAACATGATCTAATTCTGATCTTCATTTTTCAACTAACTCAACTACCGAACAGTGGAACAAAGTCAAAAAGGCATGTGTAAATTATAGTAACTCGTAAATTGTTTTCTTGGGTGCTTCTCTTTTTTGACCAAAAATATATAAATAAAACTAACAAATGCAAAATATTCACCATATGACCCACTTTATTAATTCTTTATAACCTTTTCAAATTTTATTTTAAATCACTCGCCGCGAATGACGAATGTCCCTCCTCAATCCTCGCATGTTTGCTCGGCTCATTTAACTAATTCTTAATTCTATTTATACATAAACTCTCACTTACAATCCTCAAATCCTATAATCTTTCACACTCTCACAGTATTCTCTCTTCATCGATGGCTTCTTTTGCTCTGAAACCCATTTTTTGTTTCATTGCTGTTTTTTGCTTCATTGTCCACAATGTTGAAGCTAGAGAAGGTAAGCTCTTCTTTAGCAAGTTCACTCACATAGATCGGCCTAACAACAAAGAGGTGGCTCTATCTCCAGCTCCAGCTCCCGGACTAGCTCAAGCTAATGGAAGACTCGGAGATGGGTCTTTCGGGCCGGGTTCGGGTATGATTCCTCAAACCAAAGAGTCATGGCCGGTTTCATCTACCACCACAGACGAAGACTTTGAGAAATTGATGGCTACATTTGACGAAGAAAAGAATACTCAGTTACCTGAGGCATTCGAGGAAGAAGAAGAGTCCGAAGATTCGGAAGATCTCAATGAGCAAAAGGATAAGTATAACAACAACAATAATGGAAACACTTACACTACTAATAACAACTATAATGACAATGGGAGAGGTTACGGTAATGACGAAGAGAAGCAAGGGATGAGTGATACAAGGTTTATGGAGAACGGTAAGTATTTCTACGACACAAGAGGTAGGAATTCAGAAAACACCCCTAGTGGTGGGTATGAGAATGCTCGAGGAAATGATCATCCCAACGAGTTTGAAACTATGGAAGAATACTACAAGAGCTTGGAGGGTAGTCAACAAGAGTATGAGCCTTAGAAAGAAATGGTATTTGAGAAAACAAAACACCTTTTGGAGTAATTGTGCAATCTTCATTTACTTGTCTTTTATGAAAAGTGAAACGAAAAAACACTTTAAGTTATACAAATCAAAGCTGAGTTATATTTAGTATACTTATGTTCACAATTTAATGTTTATCTTAAGCTCAATTTATGACCACGATTTTCACCAGTGAGCTTGTGTTAAAAACAGAATCAAATCACCAATGATACCAATTTAAGCACTTTTCAGAACTATGCAAGAACAAAATACAGGAACATAATCTCAAAACTAATAAAAACTGAATCTAATTAATCTCACCCCGCTAGAGAGAGTTGTGTGAACGTTTAAACTAAATAATAACGAAGAGAAGCGAGAGACAGACACCGGTTGTAGTCATTAAGCAGGTAAAGTGACCAATTCATACTCGATCAGAGAGAGATTGTTGCCTCGATTAACCTCAAACGAAACAGGATCCGTGACTTCAATGCGTCCCCATCTGTCAACAACCATTCTCATCGTGTCCTTAAACAAGTCGATCTTCGCATTCCTCAATATAACTGTTGCTCCAGTCTTCATTAGATCAACTGCATTTGCAACCCCAAAAGAATATCATTACTACCATACAAAATTCTCCACAACAAAGAAGGTTTCAAAAGAGGTGAAGAGAGGAATCACATATTGAATAGGAAGTTGTATAAATGTCAAACATAAACACACTAATCAAAGCTTAGACATATACATGTTCATCAATAAACTTATGAAACCCTAACCAAGAGAACTTATGTATATATAATAGATAGATCCTGACCTTGGTCGTTGCGAGCGGTGAAAAGAATGCATCCAGTATCGTCACCGATTAGGCACTCAGCGATACGAGGAGATCGAATTGACTGAGTCAACGAGCTTCTACGAATGGCTGGTTTGACGGGATTCGATTCAAGGACTTTCACGATCAGAGTGTGGCCGCTGGTTCCTGGTTTGAGCTGATTCACCTTTACGAACACTGGCTTCCGTTTCGGCGCAGTCGTCGCTTTAGTATCCGCCGTCATCGACATAGTGTAATTTGAATTTTTAGGGTTTTTCAAAAAACGAAAACTTTGGAGTGAAGAAGAGTCGTTGGTAGATTAGGGTTTTGATTTCTTCACAATGGTATTTAAATGACAAAATTAGAAAAAAATCTTACTGGATTATCTAAATTAGTTAGATTTACATTCGATTCTGAATCTTATTGGTGATAAAAGCCCAAGGCTAATAACCTTTTAAGGCCCAAAGTGCGAGTAGATAGGCCAATCTGAAGAGATGCCGAAGCAACAAAACAAATGGTGCAAAAGTGCGAGACGCAATAATGGGACGTTTAGGGCAAAACATAAAATGACGTCATGAAAATCTTTTCTCTTTAAGACGGCGGGTCAGTCAATCCAACGTGGACATTTCTTTCTACATTTTCTCACTTTGTCCTTTTGTGGGATTACGTCACCCTCTATAAAACGATACTTTTGTCCTTTATCTAAACCCAACAAAAATATGGCCACAAAAAAAAAGAAGGTAACTAAGGCCGTCGCCGTAGGGAAGAGTAAGGAAGTGCGTTACAGGGGTGTAAGGAGGAGACCATGGGGGAGATACGCTGCGGAGATCCGTGATCCGATAAGGAAAAAACGGGTCTGGCTCGGATCTTTTAACACTGGGGAGGAAGCCGCCAGAGCCTACGACTCCGCTGCCAGAGAGTTTCACGGAGCCAAAGCAAAAACCAACTTCCCTCTCCTTGGAGAATATGGGTATGCTTCGGTGACGCCGGTGAACAATGCCCTTTCTGAAACGGCGCCTGATGGAAATGCCAACTTCCTTCTCGTTGGAGACGATGTGAATGCTTCGGCGATGCTGGTTAACAACACCCTTTCTGAAACAGCGTGTGATGGAACACTTCCATTGGATTGTCAGAACTTGTTATCTCCGGGGGTGGCTGAAGCGGTTGCTGGATTTTTCTTAGATCCGTACGATGCTGCTGCGTTGAAAGAGGAGCTTGATCGAGTTTGTCCAGACCAGTTTGAGTCCATTGATATGGGGTTGAGTATTGGTCCTCAAACCGCCGTGGAAGAGCCTGAGACTTCCTCCGCCGTGGGTTGTGAGCTGCGAATGGAACCGGATCTGGACCTTAACTTAGATCCCTAAAGATTAATCTGATATTGTTGTCCTTGAATAAGTTTGTTCTGCATGTATGTCCTTTATCTTTTCTTTTGGCTCTTCTTGTTGTCTGTACTTCTATTGGTTGATTTTGCTTCTAGCGTTAAAACGCTGAAGTACAACCATGAGAATTAAACCTAATATTCTATTATCAAAATAATAAACTATCAGATTAAATCTTTTTTATGTATTAAAAAATGGTAATTGAACTATTTATCCTATCATAATCTAGCCATTGGATTTCGTGCTGACGGGAATGAAGAAGTATTGGTGTCAGGTGGGTGGCACGTGTGCTTTTCGCCGTCCACAGTGACACGTGGCACAACAAGACTTATCTCACTATATACACACGCGCTCTCTTGTATACTCACCAGCCCGAGCCTTGATATAGAGCAAAGGTAAACAATAGATGAAAGAAGAACATTTGTGAAAATGATAGATATTTAAGACCACACCACAGTAACAAACCGATCAAAAATTAAGATTTCTCTTCACAAACAGAAACATTTAACATCGCTAACAACACATGTCATGACAATATGTATATGTATGTAATCTGTGTTTCATCTCTGTGTAATCTTTGTTTATATCAATGACTAGAATCCACAAAAAAGGAATATACATGTTTGTGTGTAATGGACACGTCTCCATATGTACATCTGTCGATCACATACACATGCCTCATATGAACTAATTGCTTTCGTGTGGTGTCCAAAGAAGAACAATTGGAGAACTTGTCACACCTTTTTAGTTTTTATATACAACTAGGATGTGACATACTTTATTATGGAAACGTTAAACAAATATATTCTTGTCTACCAGCACAACCAAACATAACACGTTTGGGAGATGAATAATTCGGAAATTGTGCATATGTATCTACATTCACAATTCATAAACATAACACGTTTGAAGATATAAATATGAGATGAAACATCTTCAAGAAATGCATATCCTATATCCATTATCATTTATAAAACTTGAATAGCGTAAACCGAAAACGCCATATGAGCAATTCAATGATATTTCTATACGTTTAAAAGCTTAACACAAATTAACTATTAACAAAAACCATCCGTTAATCAATATTACAAATGAATGGTGAAATTGCAGTGTCCGAATTCATCCATTAAAGATTAAACAAAGAAAGTATATACATGAAAGGGAAAAATATTTATAGAATTGGTGAAACATTGCACAATCCGAGTCGATATTACAAGTTCAACATATTATTTGGTAAAAATCCCATCAGAAAGAGAAAATTCTAAAAAATAAACGACAATACACAAGACACTTCTGAATTAGCTTCCGTGGAAATTCGTAAAAAAAAGAAAAATCTTCAAAACAAATTTGAACAACAATCTCTCCATGCATTGACCAAACCATTACGAACCGATTATTCTCCCATGATTCATGAATGTGATTAAAACTCCTCCACCGAAATATACATTCTCAAAGTCAGATCTTCCTCCCGTCTTCTCTCCACCGTCAATCTATCAAGTCAAGAGATCATTGACCCATCCAAGATCAGGGTCACCACAAGAACCATCCTCAATGTTAGTCTTCTCCCTAACCGCTGTCATCGCGGTGAAATCGTTCATCTGTCTCCGGCGAGGAGTGAAATCATGGCTGAAGAAGTTCGCCTGAGGTGAGTTAGTTAGGTAGCTTGGAGTGGAAGGCGAAAGAGCAAATTGCAAAGGACTACTTGGTTGTTGGTTTTGGAGATGGAGACGCTGATTGCTCAAACCGCAGGACGAGGCAAACGCGGCAGCTGCAGCGGAAACCGGAGTTGTAACCGGTGACGAAGAACTCGCCTGCAGCGCTTCCGCTAAGCTCATGGAATCCAACGAATTCACCAGCTCGCTCAAAACGTCTTTATAGTTAACTGAACCAGCGGCTGCAGCGGCAGAAACGGCAGATGCGGCGCGGTTCCTCAACCGTGAAAAAGCAGCGGCTTTATGAGCCGGAGACATAGGTGGAGACAGAGACGGAGATCGAGAAAGATGAGACAAATTACCCAAAAGAGTGCTCGTGGGAGAGCTGCTACAAAACAAACAACACGGATTCTTCGCCGCAGGAGACGGCGACGCTGAACCGCCGGAAACGTTTTCCGGAGGAAGAACCCTAAGCTGACGTGGCGAATGAGCAAAGAAACAGACTTTCCTTTTACAGTGCTTGCCATCTTTACAAGCTTCAGTACGGTAACGAATGGGATGGAGCCAACACTCAAAGACTCCATGAGCAAACTCACAATCATCTCCACGGCTACAATCACCACCACGACGAAACTCGGGACAAACCTCACCGGAGTATTGAAAGCGACGAGGATCACGACGGCGAGCTTTCTCACCGGGATGGGCAAAAGGACAATCAGTCCAATCGTGGCTTCGGCTACGAGTGCAACGACGGATCTTGAATTCGAACATCCGGAAATGATCACTTGCGTAAGGATCATCAGAGTCGGAGTCATAACAGTACTCTTTAATCTCCTTGTTATTGTTGTCTTCGTTGTTGAAGTTGTCTTCTTCATGTTCAGATGTGATCTTGTTGCTTTTGTTCCAGTTATGTTTACGCGGCGAACGAGGGGAAGAAGGATCCGAAGGAAAACTCTTGGAAGATAAAAGAAGCTTTCTCGGAGGAATCTCCACCGTTGGTTTCCTCATTTGATGTTCCGTACAAACGACATCCATGATAATATCTAACTTGTTTTTTTGCTTGTGTATGTGTTTTGGTTTTGAGAGATGTGTGTTAGATGAAAGATGGGATATATAATGTGGTTTATATATATGAGATTGAGTATAGATACAGACATGAGAATAAGTTAAAACGTATATTTAAATATTGTTAGTTTTGGATTATTATCATTAAATATGAATTTTGATGAGATGTAATAAGAAGACAAGAGATAAAAAAGTGGAAGGGGTCGTGTGAAGGGTATGGGGGAGAGGGTTCGTGGCGAGAGAAGAGAAGAGTTTTAGAAAGGTTTCATGCAAAGAAGCAGGAGCTGCCTTTCTCTCCTTGCTTCAGACCTAACACATGTGCCTATGATTGCATCAGCATCATCCTCTGTTTCTCTCTCCCTTATCAATATCCATTTACTTTTTAATTTGTTTTTTTGTTAGAATTATAATTGAAAGTATAAGGAGAAAAACAACTAACTTTTTTACAAATTAATTATAAAATATGAATTTGTCTTGTAGCTTGTTACCAAGTGCTTTGTGAATTTGATACCAAAAATAATTTATGAACAATTTATGTTACTGTTTGATAAGTTGTAGTTTGTCAAAGCGATCAGCATTTGAAGTATTATTATTTTATTTTAAGCAGTTTTACTTATTTTTTCGTATATTAATATGTATTTTTGGATTTTAAAATAGTGTTCATTTTTCTTTTATTAAATTTGATCTCTTAAAAGAATATATTTAACAAAGTAACTAAAAAATCATTAAATTTTACTCTTGAATACGTAACTGCCATTAAATAACGTAGTACATAACCGAATAAGTATGATAGAAAATCGATCAATATATCAACTAAATGAAAACAATTAGTTGGTTAAGAAAACAATTAACTGGTAGAAACATTAAATTTGGTTCATCCCCTCGGATTATAGGTTCAATCACGTTTCAAGATCATAAAAGCAACGAAAAAATAATATAGCGAAATTCAAATATAATATTCCTAGCTTGTTTTTTTTAAGAACATAGCTCCGCAACATTGAAAAGTATATAAAGAAAATCGTTCTTCAAAATTTAAGAAGAAATCATTAATTTTAACTTACACAGACCTAAAATTAACTAGTTTGGTTTATAAAAGACCTCGTTTAATTATTTTCTATGAAACAATAATACAATCGCATAATTAGTCTGAATAAATTTTATATACAACTTATGGAATAGATCTTGTATACAACGAATCTAAGAAGACTTTACAACACAGAAAGGATATGCACGAGATTAAATACAAAAGAAGTATAAAAAAATACGTTTTTCTATTTTGTACGCCATTTATCAGCGGAAAACAAATGATTTAATATAACTACTTTTATATTTTCCAGTCTATCTATAATGTATCTAAAAAACGGGTGCATGTGTATGTACAAGTGTCACGTTTTCCATTGGTTGCGTGGCTCTGATGGAAGCAAATACATTTTTGGTTTCTACCTTCACAAGTCTTCAACTCCATAAATTAATTATTTAAATACCAAATTTCCAACTTTTATGTCAAATTAAAAAAATTAAAACCAAGTCCGAAAATGTGTTTTCATTTGGAATTGGATAGAATCACGACAAAAATAAATATACAAATGAAAGCGGTAATTACATTTAAAGTACAAACGACAAATTAACTAATATTATTTCGACGGCAGAGAGAACATTGTTTTTGTTACATTCAGGCATTAATTTCCGGTTTTGAACAAGTTCAATGTTTTTGGACCGGGATTTCATGTTGGTATCTAATGTGGAGGTATCGTCTATGTCCGTACGTAAGTCATTGTTCCACACACCAAAGCTCCTCGAGAGTGTTTTCAGAACATGTAATTGCAAAATTGGTATTTCATATATGGACAGTCTCTACAGAATTTTTTTCCAGATATATATCAACTCATCATTATCATACAAAACTTTTCTTGATATCATTTGATTACTCACTATAGTTTGCAATTTTTTTAAAGATTTTTAATATATCCATACCAAATTAGATATAAATCTTTTTTTTTTTTTTTTTTTTTTTTTTTTTTTTTTTTTTATAGATAGAAATAAATCTTTGTATAGAAAGAGATCTTACATATTTTATTGATATGGTTAATCATTATATTTTGTAAGAAATAAATAATTTTAATTTTATGTTTAGTTTCATTCTAGTTAGATTTTTATATAGAATTGAAAAATGTTTTCATATCCTGAAATTATAAAATCACTTATTCACTGATTAAATATACTATTTTCAATCAAACTTTTTAACCTAAAGAAAAAAATATTTGATCTGTTGCCCAATTTGGAGGGGCAGGATTTAAAAAATATTTTGTATATCTTATATTAAAGAGTAATATATTGTTAATATCTATATTAATTCTAAATTTTTAATTTACATATATTAATATATAGTTGCATATGTAAGCATATCTAGCTATAAAATGACATATTATCTGTTTTTATTGAAAACTGTAAAATTTGATGTATTCTTTGCATTTATATATTGATTACAACCTATATTTAGTTCCTTTTTTAATTTTATTTTATTTTTTCTCGCATTTTCTTCAACTGGTATTTTTTCGCCTTTCCAATGAAAGAGATTTTCCAACAAGTATTATTGTACATATATAAGTACCATGCCATCATCTCTCTTTTTTTAGTAGTACCATGATCTTTAATTTTAAATAAATATTTTTATTACTAATTCTCTAGCTCTCTTCTTTTCACCGTATCTAGTCTTTGACTCGACTCTTCGTCACCATTTACGTTGTTGTCACTAAAACTATCATCGGTGAGTAATCTCAATCTATCTTTCTTCTTAGTGTTTCATATTTTGTGGATATACATCTTTCTGTGTGTTTTTTTGGTATTCGTCATAGAAACGAAAATACTCTGCAAATCCACATAAATTTATTGACACAACTTTTCTTGGTTGGTATTATATAACCATGGATTTAAATATAGGTATAATCACGGTCATTCTTCTAAGCAAATCTCAAGACGAGTTTTTATAACCTAATGCAGTGGCTCACCCTTTAGACTCTCCCACGTTTTTACCTCTTTTTGGCTACGCATGCCTTTCTTTCCTGGTTAATCATACCATTACTGATATTTACGTTTATATATATAAAACTGCAGAAAAATGTTCTAAAGACAAGAGTTTTGTAAGCCCATGATTGTTTCTTTTGAGACTAGATTTAACTTTTTTTTTTCTTTTTTTTTTTTGGCAGATGGATGATACCAACACCGAAAGAAGCATAGTCAACCGCGGACTTCGATTTATTATCATGTGAGTGTCTGTGTTATAGTAAAAAACTAGCAGTCAATTAATTTCTTTTAAAAGACATTGTGAGAATACATACATATATAGAGATTTTAAAGATATCTAGTACTTGGTATTAATTATGTATACTTTTAAGTAGACATACCATTATATATATGATATACCCTGCAGTTTTGTATAGTGAGTATTAATACTTTTCATTTCTCAACCATAAACTCTCATAACTCTATCATAATATATGGCAGAGTGTTCACGGGAGGAGTCTACTCAATGGTGATGCATTCCCTGATTATCATCGCATACACCTGGATAAATGTTCATATTATCAATAAATATGGCTTATATGTCGACGTGCTTGGCTATATGTTTGTAATCTTCGTGATGTGCCTCTGTGTGTTCTTATTTGAAATCAAGTTCAGACTGTCTAACAAGCCGTTGGAGGCCATGGGATTTCAATATAGCTGCGATTTTGCGGGATTTGTCTTCCTAATCCCCATCATATTAGCGACTCCCATCGATAACGTTACGGTTTGGATCTATATATATGTTGGGGTACTATTTGGGTTTTGGTGTCTCTTTTTATTTCTTCCTTCAATTGCAGAACTCTTTCTACTACGTTATGACCCTTTATATCAACCACTACTGGTTTGTGATTGAAATCGACATAACTTTTTATCTCAGTGTCTTTGTAGTAACTTTTTATTTCTTCCTTCAATTGCACAACTCTTTCTACTACGTTATGACCCTTTATATCAACCACTACTGGTTTATGATTGAGATCGACATAACTCCATAAATTAATTATTTAAATACAAATTTTCTAAATTTTAAAGAATAAAATCAAGTCAAAATGTGTTTTCATTTGGAATTGGAATTGGATAGACTCACGACAAAAACAAAGAAGGAAGCTTTATTCAAAGTAAAACTAGTGTAGTACTAGATCCAAACGACAAGGAGATAAACGTAGCTGAAGTACGTAATAAAACTAAACTCATAACCAAACTTAATTATTAACTAGAACAACCAAACTAATAAAGAAACAAGAATCTAGACTAATATTGCCGCTTCCACGTCCTTCTTCTCTCCCCTGCAGCGAAGTATGCACCAGCATATGCCTAGAGAGCCTATGATGACAGCAGCGGGTATGAGTGAGCCAATAAAAACCCACGGACCAATAAAGTAGATAACCGCAAAAAAAAAAAAAAAAAAAAAAAAAAAGTAGATAACCGCTCCTAGGGCCAAAAACCCAGAGACTAAGCTAAGAGCACTTGCAGCAACGTTCCTTGACAAAGTCCCACGCTGGGCCCCACTCCAAAACCATGCGACCTTTGCTCCAAAACCATGCGACGTTTCTTTATTTGGGACGTCCCTCTTTCTCGTCCTTCACTATTCGCGGGCCCCACTGATACGTGGCGGCCCGCGATTGGTTACTTGTTTTTTTTTTTAAAATAAGGGACGGGACACTCATTTACCATTGCACATGGTCTAAGCCATTCCAATTTTCTAGCCAAAGTGGGGCTAGATACATAGGAGTTCCGTATGCAACCAGCAAGCCACAAAAGGGGTACACGAGATAAATGTCAAATCCGAAGAGTAACTTTAATGGCGAACGTGACTCGCAAGTCGTCGTTGGAGCCTGATGAAATCCACGAAATGCTACTGTCTGCGAACTCGCATGGATCTAGCGATCAACTTCCGATCTCCACTTCTCCAATGCTCGAGGAGAAACAGCACATCTTGAAGAAAATCCCAAACCAATCGGTCCCAGCTATCCGGGATGTTGAACAGCCACCCAATGACCCAACGGAGAGGGTTCTGAACTTCGTAACTCGAGCTCATGAGTTTCCCCGATGGGCCCTCGCTAGCGTTATGAAACTTGTTTTGATGATGGAAAGAAGTTGATGAGGAGAGAAACCCATCGGAGAAACTCATGAGCTCGAGTTACGAAGTTCAGAACCCTCTCCGTTGGGTCATTGGGTGGCTCTTCAACATCCCGGATAGCTGGGACCGATGGGTTTGGGGTTTTCTTCAAGATGTGCTGTTTCTCAATCTCATCGAGCGTTGGGGAAGTGGACATCGGAAGTTGATCGCTAGATCCATGAGAGATCGCAGAGGGCAGCGTTTCTTGAATCTCAGGCTCCGACGACGACTTGCGAGTCACGTTCGCCATTAAAGGGTTTCTGTTTAGGGAGAGAGAGAGAGAGTTGAATGATAAATTTTGTTTAGGTTGAGAGGAAATGATGAAGACCCAACTATGATAATAGGGATATATACAAAAGGTTGTTTGTCGTCAAAATTTCAAAAGAATTTAAATATTGAAAATAAATGCGAGAAAACAAGAAGCGTATGACAAAAATACCATCACATATTCCTAACTAATGGTGTGGACGTTTACAATATTTGGACTCTGATGACAATCAAACCCTACCCTTTTTCATTTTTTTTTTTTTTCAAACTTTAGGGTAGTGGTTGTGTCTTGTGTGGTTATATTTTGGAATAGGAAAAAAAACAAGAAGAGAAATATTAGACGTTTCCTCTAAATGAACACCTGTGGGTGAAAGTCGTCCTTTGAATTTTTGGACGACCCGTGAAGACATAGTCAAGTGAAATTACTCGTCTTTCCTAAAAAACATCTGAAGTTAGTCAAATCGATATTAAATATGGGACTAAATATAGATGTTAGTAAGTTTCCAGATGTAATTTGGACCATTTAGACATTCCTATAAAGAACTATAGTTTTTTGTTTTCTTGATAATTTAAAGGTGTAAATAAATATAGTTGTACTCATGGTCAACAAAATTTCTATATGGTTTCCTCGATTAGATACTATACTAATTATCGTATTTCCTTTTATATTTATTCACCTTTCATAAAGCAATCAAGATGAGGTCTCGAATCTTCTTACATTATATACTATACTCGTATTCAAATGCAGATGTTGATGATGTGAATCTCTTTCGAGGGTTTTTATGCTGATGTTTTTTTATTAAAAGTTACAACCATTATTAATGATTTTGATAGAATTCTAATGGAATGTAAATATGTAATGGGATTATGTCAAACATAAAAAAAAAACGATAGTATAACAATGATAAGGAAAAGATGTTAAAAACAAATTAGGTAGATTGATCCATTATCATTTGGTGTCCATCAAATATAATTGGGTAATGGATCAATTCAACCCTTTTAGCTAATGGACTGGACCAATATGAAACTTTTATAGTACTACAGTAAGTAACAAGTAGGCCATCAAATTCTAATTGGAGAGGAAACGACGTCGTTAGGAGCGGGGGAGATAAGCATCAAAACGACACAGTTTAATTTAAGGGGAAAGACATCGAAACGACACAGTTTCAAGGAAATATAGCCGTTAGAGACAAGAGACGGGATACAGAACGAAAAAAGGAAAAAATAAGGCCGTTAAGAGTAAGCCAATTATTCAAAATATATATGACCGTTAGTGATCTTCCTTCTCCTTCTTCTTTTTTAATTCTGATTACAGACAGATACATTCTCTCTGAGAAAACAAGAAAACAAAATAATAATAAAAAACCCTAATTCCCCGCTCCTCTCTCTCTCCTTGTTCTGTGATTTTAGTATGGAAGCAACGGCGGAGGAATCAATTAGTACTCTTGTTACGACGATGGTTGATGAGACGTATGAGTTCTTAGCGCCCCGATGGTTTGATTTCGTTAATGGAGAGACGGAAGATGAGTCTCGCCGAGCAGAGCTCTGGTTTCAATCCGCCTTAAGCTGCGCTCCTTCTCGTTAGTTTCTTTCCTCATCGTCTTCTCTGAATTGATTTCAATTTCGTTGATTCTGATCTCAGAAAGCGAAATCACGAAATCTGAGAAACCCTAATTTCTTTCTTAGGCGTTTGATTTCTTAGATTCTAGGTTTCGGAACGAATTGGGTGGTACTATCGTTTTTCAGATCTCTGGTTTTCGTGAAATTAGGGTTTACTGATTCCTTTTTCTGAGAATCGAAATCAGGAATTGCGTTGATTGTGATCTATCAAATTCAGAAAGTTTCGTCTTTTGTATGTGCAGCTTCGGTTCCTAGAATCAAAGCAAGGAGATCATTCAAGGTAGAGGCCATGTGCAACTTCAATGAAGCTGAAGAAGAGATACCGCTCAAGGTTTTGTTTCAATCAACACTCTTTTATCCATTACAAGCTCAAGAAAAGATCAATTTTTAATCATTCTGGTTATTGCAGGATAATGAGCCATTAGAACCAGTAGCTGCAAAAATTTCTTCACAATCGCAGCCTTCTGAGGCCAAGAGACAAGAAGTTGCTCCTATCAAAGCAAGCACAGTTAAGCCGTCTCGCAACAGTTCCAAGGATGCAGAGGTCAACAACAAGACCGCAGATCCCAGGTTCTTTATCGTTCTTTGGGAGATTGTATCGCTGCCGAGTGAGTCGAGAGGCAATTCTAATGCTCTTTCTTCTTTTTTCATTCAACAGTAATGCGACGACTGAGCGGATAGAAGACAAGGAGAACATTGCTCCTGCTTGCACACCCAAACCACCAATGCAGTTTTCTCTAGGAGGAAAGTCGGTGGACCCTAAGAAGCAGCAAACTGCTAGAAAGATAGCTAGTCTCCTGAAGAATCCGTCTGCACTTAGGCCTAAAAACCAGTCACAGTTGTCTCAAGCCAAAGGCAGTCATCAGAAAAGTGTGAAAAGGTAGCTCACATTCTTAATAACCATTCTGATACCCCAAATCTGGTTTCACGTTTCTCTTGTAATAGTTTTTTGTTATGTGTTGATTGCCGCACTGCAGGGAAACGAGTGTTAACAATATAGCTAGCACTACCAATCTGATTCAAGAAAATCAAGCCATAAAAAGGCAAAAGCTAGATGATGGAAAATCAAGACAGGTGAGCCAAATTGTTTCAAAATCAGCATGATTCACTCTATATCTCACTGGATGACTGAAACTTTTTCCTCCTCATCATTGATTTATCTAGATTCTCAATCCGAAACCAACAACTCTGCTCCACAAGACAAGACATGGTCTTGTTAACACTGGTTTCAACGTATGCCCTTCAGTCACTAAGCACATTCCGAAGGAGAACAGAAAGGTATGTTGTGCTTCACGGTTGCTTGTATAAATCTTCTGTCAGACCCCCTCAACTCTTGTTTTCACTTTTTTAGGTTTATGTCCGTGAGCAAACTGCACCTTTTGTTTCAACTGCTGAATTGATGAAGAAGTTCCAAACAAGCACCCGAGACCTGTCATTGCCTCACGGAAACACTTCTCTTCAACAGGTAATAAACAATTGAAACTCTCTAAATCCATTTCATTTCCTTGGAATCTCTTTGACTAAATTCCAGGATGATGATGTTTTCTTTGTCCAGAATCGACCTAAGCTGACACTGACAAGACCAAAGGAACCCGAATTTGTGACATCCCAACGAGCTCGTCCTTTGAATGTTAAGAGCAGTGCAGAACTTGAAGAAGAGATGTTGGCAAAGATTCCCAAGTTTAAAGCTCGACCTGTGAACAAGAAGGTAATGCATCTAGTTTCACCGAGGTATATTTGTACTACAGAAATAGAAAACAAAACAAAACCAATGCGTCGTTCTGTTATTTGATGCAGATCTTGGCAGCTCCAGCTTTGCCTGCACCTCAAAGAAGTACACCACATCTACCAGAATTTCAGGTAAATAACCTCCCACCCACAGGCCACATCAGAGGCATCACATTAGAACTGACTCATAGCTGAATGATAATGTTTTATTATTCTACAAGGATCTCATTTCTTACTGTCGCAGGAATTTCATCTTCAAACAATGGCAAGGGCTAACCAGCATGCAGAGACGTCTTCTATAGCTTCAACGGAAGTGTCTAAGCAGGTACGGATTTTCACCCCCAGAAAAGTTGTATGTATACATAAACGTCTTGATTTCATGCCATCTGATATTCCTCTGTTTTCCACGCAGCATAATGATCGAAGGCCTCACCTTACTGAACCAAAGAGCCCTGTGCTCCAAACAATGCTACGAGCTCGTCCGACTAAAGCAAAAACTACTGCAGAACTTGAGCAAGAGGAACTGGAGAAGGCACCAAAATTCAAAGCAAAACCTTTAAACAAAAAGGTACTACTGAACTGGTGGAGTTTAATACTGTTTTTTTCATATCTCTCTCTCTCTCTTAATCTAACTTGGAATCACATCAAATCACCCAGATATTTGAAAGTAAAGGAGAAATGGGCATCTTTTGCAACACCAAGAAGCACATAACCATACCTCAAGAGTTTCACTTTGCCACAGATGAGAGGATATCACGACCAGATTCTGTCTTAGATATATTCGACAAGGTATATTTCAACTAACAGAACCACTGTATGCAAATATTCTTTAGTTATTTTCCACTGGATGTAGCGATGTCTGACACAACTTTTAATTTTCAGCTCTCACTGAACTCCGAATCTTGCCATGAAAAGCCTCTACCAAGGAACACTGCTCCAAACCCCTTCAATCTTAAGACAGAAGTATGTGTACAACTAACAACCTCTCTAAGATCCAAAACGACTTGCCACCAATCTTTTACTGACCGTTCTTTTAAAACTACTTTGTGGAATCCAGGAACGAGGCGCTGAGAAAGAGAAGAGATTTTATATGGAGCTCATACATAAAAAATTAGGAGATGAAAAGGCAAGAGTTCCAAAGGCAAACCCATATCCTTACACGACGGACTATCCAGTGGTATGCACATCCTAAACTTCTTATTTTCCTTCCTTACTTTTGTTTTTGAGTTGCAAAAGAGAGAGATGGTGTTGATAAATCTTACGTGTTCCAACTCTCAGGTACCACCAAAACCAGAACCTAAGCAATGCACACAACCAGAACCGTTCCAGTTAGAGAGTCTAGTAAGGCACGAAGAGGAAATGCGAAGAGAATTGGAAGAGAGGAGGAGAGTGGAGAGAGAAGAAGCCCAGAAGAGGCTCTTCAAAGCACAACCAGTTATAAAAGAGTAAGTGACCAGCCCTTTGCCCTTTTACTATTATTAGTTTATCTCCCGAAGCTTTATCAAACGTTTTCAAAATGCTCACAATGGCTTTGATCACAGGGACCCAATCCCTGTTCCAGAGAAAGTACGAATGCCCCTCACAGAAATTCAGGAGTTCAATCTTCATGTAGAGCATCGAGCTGTTGAGCGAGCAGATTTTGATCATAAAGTAAGCATTCTTTTCAGTCATTTCAGCAAACAAAAGAATGCTTCAATAACCTCTGAAATTGACGAATATATTCTACATTGCTCAGATTAAAGAGAAGGAGAATCAATACAAAAGATACCGGGAAGAGAGTGAAGCTGCAAAAATGGTATGCAACATTACACACGCTTAACTTGAAAACAACGTACCCTCATAAACTTTGCTCAAATATTATACATGCCAACTTTGTCAGGTGGAGGAAGAGAGAGCTCTGAAGCAAATGAGAAAGACAATGGTTCCTCATGCCAGACCTGTGCCTAACTTCAACAAGCCCTTCTTACCTCAGAAGTCCAACAAGGGGACCACAAAAGCAAAATCACCCAATCTTAGAGTGATTAAAAGAACCGAGAGAAGAACCATGATGGCTCGACCAACTGTCTCTGCAGCTACCAGCGCCTCTGCTGGTCAGATGAGATAATGTTTGCAGTAATTTTTTCTGAAGCAGAAGCAGCCTGAAATGTTCATGAATGCTTGAACCTACACTTCCTTTGTAAATTGATTCAGTACTGAATTTTCCTGTGTAACCTGTTCTTACTAATATAGTAGCAGCACATTGTCTTATGTATCCTGATTCAAATTTATTAAACTGGAAAAAAAATCTTTAAATAAAACATGTTTTATGTTGTGTCTTAAAAAAAAAACAAGAAAACAAGCTCGAGCATATCAGTCTAATTCATTCACACTATTTGAATCACTTGCATATCAGTCTAATTCATTCACACTGTTTGAATCACTTGCTTCAACCTCTTCTATCCGATTCGCTTGTCCCGGAACGCTACAATCTGAAAAGAAATCCAACAAAGGAAAGTTTCACTGCGTGAGACAAGTTTCTAGATTTAGAATAAATGAATTTATAGACATTAGTAATAGTGAGAATACCATATATCCATGGCTCAAAATGCAATCAACTTTTAGCTTTGACAAGGTTTCATCATCTTGCAGACTTTGCATCTTCTCTGTTGAGGTTTTATTCCCAATTACCCTATCCCCATCTTTAGACACAAACAATTCAACCTCTTCAGCCTTCAATTTCATCTGGCGTGCCACATACTGTTCAACATTCAGATAATACAAGAATAAAGATCCATGTCACTGCAACAAATTTGGTTTCTAACTCTCATCCACACAAGTGGAGACTCCAAAATTAAAATACCAGAGGGAGAGAACTCACTTCGCGGAGTTGTTTTACTAGCAAAGTGGGCCGGCAACAAAGATATGGCTCAAGTAAGTTTAGTAAACCTTCTGTATCCAGCGAGATAAGCTTAAGATGAATATCCAACTGCAGAATAGATTTTTGTTTCTTAAAACCAGAAATTCTTCATTATTTATTGACTGTAAATCATAAACAATGGCAACAAAGATCAATTTCTTTTGTTACCTCGACACTATTACCCTCTAAGCTCCCGAGATATTCCACAAGTCTATTCAAGCGAGCATTCCTCTTACTAATAGCTCCTTGGTTATTATTTCCTTGCCTTGTGTTACTCCTTGTACCGCCTCTTCCCCATGCAAGTATTTCTGAGTTCCACATAAGCACAGGTGATATTCCTCTGCTGTCCCTCTGATGCGTCTGCTCTGTGCCATTACCTGCACAGTTATCGTTGTTGTTTGCATTTGAAGAAGAAGGCTGAGTTGTAGAGCGCTTTTTTCGTTTCCTCAGAAGGATTTCGGCACAAGGCTCATCTGAAGAAGAATCTTTGCCTCTTTTGTTTTGATCATCATCATCATGGGCTTCTGATGTATCCTGTTCCAAATTTCTGCAGTTCCTTCTTCTTCTGGAGCCACTACCACTACGACGTGATCTTGATAAGACCGCTGCGTCTTTACCAAAAGGCTTTCTTTTTGCAAGGGCCTCAGATTGTCGTTGCGATACTTGAGCTATAGATGCTTGAATCTACAAAAGAAGAATAATGATGCACATATCACTTAGTCACCATAGAAGCATTTGATCTACTTAAGTGAGTTAGTCTTATGTTACATGAGAGGCCATGCCTCGGGTTTCTAACCTGCTTATTACGAGCCTCGTCATCTTGAAGAAAAGCCATTTCCTGAACAAAAATGAAAGGCATATATCATCAGTAATCTCTCATAAGTAACCCTTCTCTAAAACTGTTGAAGAGGAAAAGGAAAAATGTTGATGCTTCACCTCCTCCTCAAATTGATCAATATTTTCGAATAAAGTTGCTATTAAGGCATCAAAGTTTGGGTCGTCTCTTAAAGAACGTCGGCTTGCACAATGTTTCCTGCAAGTAGGACACTCATTGTTCCTGAAAATGCATTTACCCGTTAATATAACCTAGAACAAGCTTTACAATAGGCTCCCTAAATAATGCTGAACATGCAAATGGAAGGCATACCCCAATCTCATTGACTTATCAATGCACTCTCTGCAAAACCGGTGGAGACATTCCATCACAGTCCTTGTTTTCCTTATAATCCCTAGAAAATGAAAACCAGTGCTCGCATCAGTTGAATTTAGTAAACTGCACTAATAGAGTTGATGAAAGATAGAGTGAATGACTATGTAAAAACAGGATTATGAGAAAAGTTGCAATCCAAGAACAATCTACAACAAACTAGCGCAATGCGAGATTCATTACAAATGACGACTAGATTTATGTTGGTTGATGAAAGTTACTGGAGCCTATTAGGTAGTAAAACATTCACAATAATGGTGCCTGAGAAGCAATTGAAGCTGATTGACTTTATAATATAAATGTGGAGAAGAGTACCTAAACATATGGAGCATTGCACGTCCCTACGGATATCCGCTAGATCAACATACAAATATCTGCAAGGGAAATCAAGACTTTATCAAATAGCAAAGATCATCAACTACCGTTGCCTACTGTGAGAAGTCTGTCTCAGTCAAAAACTTAAGTTAAGCTAAAAAAGACTAAATCAACACAGGTAGCTTAAGTCAATTGGACGATAAAGCATCTCTAGATCAACCTTGCACAATGTCATATTCACCGTTACTACATATCAAACCTAGGCACTTAAACTGTTCTTCCACGAGAACTGTATAATTTGTAAATTTTGAGAAGAAACACGACAGTACCTATAACATGCAAGCAAGAACCAAACAATGCATCGGATCAATGAAACAACACACAGGTTAGGCTTTAAACCCATCAAAAACAACAGTGAAACCAATCATCAGAAAATTTCAAAAGGGAAAAGAACTGTTACTCTGATTCTGATTGCTCTCCTTCTGAAGAAGCTTGACTTCTTTCCTTAGAATCTGAAACTGTTAATACCAATTAAAGACTTCCATGTTACATACTCACGCATTGATTGATTCATATATCTCACATACGTATATATAAATATATCCACGACTATAAACAAGAGCAAAAAAACGAAACTTTTACCTTCTTCTTCTCCTAACGCTTCCTCAACCTCTGCTTCTACTTGGTCACGTTTCACGTCGTCTCCCTCATCTCCACTTTCGTCCTTCTCATCCATTTTATCCGGATCTTCTTCTTTCTCCACAGCTTCGGGATTGAATCTGGCAGCTTCTGAGTTCAGACCCAGTTGGTCGTCCTCTTCCTCGGCGGCGGAGAAGTTCTTCAAAGAAGGCATTGTTGATTGTTTGATAACAGTGATCTTTGCTTCTAGGAACAGAGAGAAACAAGAATAAAGCTTTGACCTTTATCTCTCCCTCTACGTCTCTCTCTTGTGGGCTCTCTTGTATTTCCTCGTCCTTTGTTGTTTCGTTTCGGTGCCGATGGAAAGAGAGAAGGAGAACAAAGGAGGACGAAGAAGAAAGAGAGAAACTTCTTTACCTTTTAGCATATTTTGTATTAATTTATAATATTTTCTTTTGTTAATTATATTAAGATCCTTGAGAAGAAATAGTAAAATTTATACTAAGATCCTTGTATTAAAACCTTATTATACATGTTGTAAATTCTTCAGCCAAACCTCTTACTTTCTCTTAAATCCTAATCACATGTTTATTTGTTTTTGGATTATATTTACGCATCTAAAAAGTTAGGACTTCCATCATAATTTTTATAATTTTGCGGGATGAAAGATAAAATATGCGTTTCTGAAACGACGCATCTTATCCGATTACCAAACGTAATCCAAATTAGAGGACGTAATTCACTTCCGAAAATGTACTACGCGGCATACTATTGGCCGGTCTCTGCTTGGATATCACATACTTATTTTAGAATTTTTTCCGTAATAGGCAAAATATCAAAAAATATTTAGGAGAATTTGACTGTTGAATATATCATAAGTATTTCTAAACTAATATACAATGTTTTATTTGTTATTACTAAAATGTGTTTTGTAAGTCAAAAACCTATTCAAAACTCTATTTGGTTGCTAAGTTATTGAAATTTAGTGATAATTTGTTCACTATGGTAGATTACTAGTTGCGGTAACTTTGATGATAGATCTTAGTTCAATTTTAAATTTTGTTTTTCTCTCAAATTATTTAGTGGTTGTAGTAAATGATGTGCTATCGTCAAATATACATTGGATCATATAGAAATAATGTAGTACCATTTAATTGATTTTGTCAATAGCTTAGTTCAAAACTACGAAACATTGGAATTGACTACAAAGGATATTGAATTGAAGTAACATAATATTGTCGGCCTTCTTCTCGTGTGTAAGACTTGCCAACCCATTTGCATTATCTCCACACTTGTATGACATGTCACACATGTGTGGGTAATAATAATGTATAACGCATCATAATTCTATAAATAAATCAAGAGTAGTAAAAATATGAAAATTACTTAAACTTTAACATGCCTAAAATGAACAGTGGATCACACAAATTTACCATAAATATACAAAATTTACACAAGTTATTTTCGAAAAAGATCATAAATTATATTGGGCCATAATAAATCGGCCCATTAAGTTCATTATATCTTAGAAGCCTTGTCTTTAGCTTCCCTCTCAATTTCCTTTTGTTTTGTTTGTTCTTCCTTTTTTCTGCAATCGGTCGTCGTCGTTGTGCTTAAACCCTTACCGGAATGGAGCCGCCGGCGAAAGGAACAGTGACGCCGTTAGCGTCGTTATTCTCAGAGGAGGAAGCAAGGAAAGCAGCAAGCTACGTGGAGGAGAAAATCGGAGAGAAGCGAGTAGAGATGAATCGTCTTCAACAGTTCGTCGATGAAAACGACAATCTCATCAATCTCGTCAAGAAGCTTCCCGATCAGCTTCATCACAACGTTATGGTGAGTTTTTATCTTTTCAATTCCTCTCTTATATAGTTCACTTTTGCTCCCGTTTAATGTATCTGATGATTTTGTGTACACAGGTTCCATTCGGTAAAATGGCTTTTTTCCCAGGTCGACTGATCCATACCAACGAGTGTTTGGTAAGTTTCATGATGATTCTATGTTCTCTCGTTTCGATTTCAGTTGTAGGATATATGTAATTTGATTTGATATAGTGTCGTCTTGCTATGAGGTTTTAGGGTTTACCAGTAAGCTATTGAGGCTAGTGTAAATTTCACATTGTTTTCTTTTTTTTTGTTTCACATAGGTGTTGTTGGGTGAGAATTACTATACTGATAGATCATCGAAACAAACCGTTGATTTCTTGAAGAGAAGGGACAAGACTCTGCAGTCTCAAATTCATTCTCTTAAAGCTGAGATTGAAGATTTTCAAACGGAGGCTTCATTCTTCGCTACAACTGCTTCTGAAGCAGCGGTAGGTTTTGTTGAAAGACTGGATCATGTGTTGTTGCCTTGTCCTTTTTCTTGATTCTGCATAATATGCATCTTTTTGTTGTCATTTGTTTATAGGAGGGACTTGTTGAGATAAGAGAAGAGTATGTAGAAGAAGAAGATCTTTCTGCAACTGTGTTTCAGTCAAGTGAAAAAGAGACTTCTAATATTTCTGGAGGAGAGGCTGAAGAAGGTGAACTTGAAGACGATGACTTTGCAAGAATCATGTCCAGGTTGAATGAACTTGAAATGGAAGAAGAACAGGAGGGTGAAGATGGGGGCGATAGAGGTGAAGAACGTGATTCTCCAATAGAAATTTTGGAGGAGAGCCAGCATGATTTGGTGAAAGGAATTAGAGGTGAGACAGACCGTGGTAGGATTGAATATGGGAAACAAGAAACTACCATATCTGTTCCTATGAAAGCTTCACGCCATAGCTCTTCCATTCGCGAACCGAGGGTTGCAGAGGTATTTTCCAAGGAAATTTCACATCTGGGTTCATGTTTATGGTTAATGGTTTTTCCTAATGTTTACTTACTTTTAATCCAGCCAAGAGTCAAAGCCAAAGTTATTCAAGTGTTACCAGAGGCACACCCACACAAAGATATAGATGATCAGCTGAATGTAAGAAAAACCTTTCATTGTGATCTTCTCTTCTTTCATTAGCGTTTTTCAGCTCCTTCTCAGATATTGCCTGTAATTGCATTATGGCAGTGTATCGGACCAATGGCACAATATCTTCCCAAAGGTTAGTGTTATGATCTAAAGCATTTCAGACATCAAGAAAAATGTCAAATTAATATATGCAACACTGAATCATCTTCCTGAAAACGTTCTCTAACCAACATCTACGTTCTTTTATTACCAGGAGATCAATCTCATAGCGGAACTGCTCAGCAAAACGCTGGAACATGGAGAGACTTTCAGGCGACCGCTGGTATTTCCACAGCAAAGGCAAAAACCAATGTTTTAGGACCACAAAAGATTGAGGTATGTGGATGTTATACTATAAGCTATACGTGGAAACCCATGGAAACACCTTGCATTATGCATATATCTTTCTACACAAAACTTAACCTTTTTTTTGCCAACATGGAATCATGCCAACTTCTTTTTTGGGTGCAGTCACCTATAGAGAAGCCAGAGCCCGAGTTTGATTCTACCAAGGTTACATACATATCTCTTTCGCTCAAGTGTTAGCAAGTTGTATAGTTGCTCAGGTAGATCTGATTTTCCTTTAAGCTCACTAATGATCCATCTCGTGCAGGCTTTTACTGGATCAATCGTAGAGCATGCGCATATTCAAGAGACCAGCACACACAGCGATACGCAGGTACTTTGTAACCACACGAGCTACACAACACTCACAAGTGCAGGGAACATGATTCTTATTACATTTTGTTTGTTTGTTTATTATATGTCAACAGTCTTCTGCGTCTCAACCGTCTAAACCAGTGTCAAGATTCAAGGCGCAGAGAAGATAGCTAGTCAGTTCTGTGTACAACTTTTTGTTGAGTTGCCTTTATGATATGTAAGAAGTAAGAACTCATGCAAATGTGTGCATCTTGTAAGCTTACTATATACAGTTAATTAACAAAATCTACATCAAGAAATCTAATATTGTTACTTGACTCTTTCTAAAAAGTCTTGAAGTAGCTTCTCTCTGTCAAATGGAGAAGCTGACAATACCCATCTACTAAATTCCAATATCTCCATGCCTTTAAACTCGGCTAACATCTTGTACTTCTCTCGTTTTTGTTCCCGGTTTGAAGAAGACATATCCTCCTCTTCACTACAACCTTTTCTCTTCTTCTTCTTTCGATCCACACACTCTAAGTTCTCATCACTGTCACTGTCTCCATTTAGCCTCTGAGATGTTGATATTGTCGTCTCTCCACCGTTGATGATGTCTTCATTTCGATGTGCATACACAATGCCTATAAATAGTCACACAAGCCCGAGCAAAGATTTAAAAGACTTATCACAAAAAGTAGTCAATGAGAGATGAGCACAGATCAGTCTTATACTTACCCAAGTCCTTAAGGATAGGTTTCTCTATTTCGGGTTTATAAGAGCACAAGACCTCTTCTTCTTTTTCATCTTCTGAAACACCTGTCCCAAGCAATGATCTCTTATTCTCATCGATGTTACTATCCCTATGCAACTCAACAATATCGCTAGTGAAGAGCTTGTCAGAGAGATCGCGGAACAAATTTGCAATCCCAAATAGTTCGCCTTGAAACTCTTTACAGTCCTAATCATTAGACGCACCAAAACATTAGAAGAGAGAACAATCTCTTTAATGAAACTAATAAATTAAAGACTATACTTTTACATACCTGGACGCCTTCAAAGTACCTTGTCTCCATTTTCCCTGAAACCGCAATGTTTGAGAGCTGTTGTTTGTATACTTGTCTTGTATAAACTAGTTCCTCAAGGGAACCAGCACTCAACAAACGAAAAACCACCACATGACGTTTCTGTCCATACCGAAATGATCTATCTTGCGCTTGCAAGTCATGAGATGGGTTCCAATTTGGGTCAAATATAACCACACGGTTCGCGCTCACAAGGTTTAGTCCCAACCCACCAGCTTTAGTTGATATCAGAAAAACCTGACACATAAAAGCTCATTTGACCATCAGTTCAGAGGTTGGTAAGAATAAAGACAATCTCTTTCAGATAGGGTCGGTTAATAAAAACCTGTTTGCTAGGACTTGCATTGAAATCATCTACAAGAGACTGTCGCAGATTAGTCGGAGTAGAACCATCAAGTCTTGCAAAGCTATAACCTTTTCTAATTAGAAACTTCTCCAGTATGTCCAGCATCCTGTAATTTAGTGGATCAAAGGCTTATAACGACATATATTCTCCTACATTCATCAAAACCAGGAATTAAATCCAAAAACTAACCTGACGGAGTAACTGAATAGAAGTATCTTATCACCCTTTGAAATCCAAGAAGCCATCAACTTCTCCAAAGCTCTCATTTTCCCACAATGTTTAACATCACTCAGGTCCATGAAGCTCTTGCTTGCGGAAATTCCTCCTACTAGATCAATATCTGTCCCAAACACTGCAGATACAAAATCTGCGTCCTTCTTCTGTTTCTCTGGCTCATCTTTTGGGTTAGGTTTAATAAGCTCCAGATGATTGCTTATCTGCTGAAGTTTCAAAAGGCATGGAAGCACCAAGCAGAAAGGACAAGAATCACAACCATCGGGGTTGTCTCGATGAAGGTAACTCCAGATAGTTCCATCAGGAACAATCCTTCTGCAGCACTCTGATTGCTTAAGCGGGCTTCCACAAGCGCACGGATTGTCCTTATTCACAAGGCACTGAATTTCTGGGAGTTGCAGCATTCTTTGATAAACCCGTCTCTGCAATTGACTCATTTGACAAAAGACTACATTATCTTCTTTCCCCATCATGAGATGCCCAATGGTTTCCTCCTTTGTCCTCCTCAACATATACTTACGCAGAAGACTGCCCAAATGCTGTTTCCTCTTATCTGCAATCTGGACAAATCTTTCCGGGGCAGTAGCTCTCTGCCCTAGCTTAAGTGGTTCGTCATAGAATTCTCGGAAATGTTCACGAGTGCCTAGTGATCCCGGTGCTACCCACTCAAAAAGATTGAATAGCTCACTGATCTTGTTCTGCATTACTGTACCCGTAAGACCAATCCTCTTCTTAGTCTTGATCTCAAGGCATGCTTCATAAAGTTTCGATTTTTCATTCTTTAACCGGTGTGCCTCATCAGCAATCACTATCTCCCAATTAATCCCGGACAAAACGGGGCCTTGCATTCGAAACGTATCAAAGCTGGTTACAAGTACCTCAACACCCCGTGCATTGAGTTTCTCCAGAATCATATCTCGGTTTGATCCGTGGTACACCGAAACCTTGAAGAAGCTTGCCCATCGAGAAAACTCACTCTCCCAGTTGTGAATAATCGAAGACGGACAGATTATTAGTACAGGACCCTTATCAGACTCTAAAAGAGACGTCTCACCAGCGTCACCGTCTTTTCCATACACTCCAGCAAGAAATGCAATTGTCTGAATGGTCTTGCCTAATCCCCTGAGTCAAAACTTATTATCAGGGTTCCATTATCACCCAAACATAAACTATTACAGCTACAGATTCAAATGCGCAAGAACATTCTCATGAACAATCAAACCAGAGCCATTTATTGTAACACAAGAAAGAAGAACTCACATGTCATCGCCAAGAATGCCACCATGGTTGTTTTTATAGAGATTATACATAAACTTCACTCCCTCTCGCTGATGTTCAAGCAATCTACAGTTGATAGAAGCCGGTACCTACACCAAATCATAAGGCAAATTCAAATAATTTCCAGAATAACCATAAACATGAGCAAAGCTAAAGACTTTCGTAAGAAAAGAACCTGTATGATCGGAATCTCTCCAGTTGATGACAGCAAAAGTGGTTCATAAGGACCGGAATAGTCAAATTCAGCCCGGCTTAACCCGGGTCTCCCGAATTCAATTGATTTCTCATCGTCTTCATCATCTTCTTCCTCTTCGTCAAACTTGATGTTTCTTTTGTGATCATCTTCGTTACGATCAAAATCTTCGGCTTGGGTTTTTGAGATTTTAGATTCGTGCTTGGAGGGTAGAAAGTAAGAATCATCGAGACGCAGTAGCTGCTGTGAGAGAGACGATTTGGGAGGTTTTCTCGACGGTTCCAATTCTTGGGTAGATGAGACTCGTAATGATGACGATGATGGAAAATTACCACAGGGCTTCAAGGTCTCTTTGAAAGTGTGTAACAACGACATCGCTAATCGATCGTGTTGCGAGAGATCGAGAAACTGAATAAAGTCGTAACTTTTAGAAATTTGAAAACTTACTGGCTGTTATTATAATTAGAATAAAATTAGGGGCTAAAAGGTAAATAAATTATACTTGTGGCAGTAGTAATGGGCCGAATCCGAATAGTATCCAAGAGAAGCCCAAATCGTATAGGGTTTAGGGTTTCTTCTTCGTCTTCTATATATAGCGATCTCCTTATTGTAATCGCCGAGAAAAGTCACCAGTTGTCGATACAACCCAATCTTGTGTTTCTTTTTTATTTCTCTAATGTTTTTTGGTTAATTATTCGATTTTCAAAAGGGTTTGTGTAGAATATGATGAAAGTTGTAAATCGGTGATGGTCGTTTGATTCATATGATCGATAAAATCTCAACTCGCTACGTTCTTTCTGATTCTTACAAAAGTTGGTTTTTTTTTTTTTTTGAGTTCTTGCTTGACGATTTTGGAGAATTCTCTCGACGTTTTTTTTGTTTCAATTGGATTGTATTTTTTGGCATTGAAAACTGTATTACTGGAGATATGATGAGAAATCAGATAAATCTTAGGACACCTTCTGACACAGATTCTGTGTATGAGAATGACATCATATTCTGATCTTCAGTTAATATATTTTTCGTTTCAAAAACAACTTTTTCTGTCTGTTTGAAATTGAATTTTATGTTTTTTTAAGATGGATTACATTAATTCTAAGTTTCTTAAGAATTGGATAATTCAATTTGAATCTACGGTTGCTCTCAAAAGCTGCAATGAGACGATGATTATGATCCTGAGGCAACTAAAATATTACAATTGAACCGTATATTTACACAAGAACAACAATCAATTTAGTATATAATAAATGTAATGAGATTTTGTATATATGTACATACATCGAACTCTATGAAGACTCTTTAAATACAGTACTCTATTCGAACAATCCTAACAAATTCTTATGACAAATCTGACTCAACTGGTTCTGCTCTAGAAAGGTCAATGCTTTGATACATAGTTTGGCTCTTCCAATGAATTCAGCCTTGTGGTGTCTTGTTTGCTTGTCTATTAAGTTCCTGAAGCTGTCTGTCATGTTCTTCAAGCATCTGGTCCACTCTGCTTGGCTGATCTAACGATGGTCCTGACATGTAAATCTTGCTATCACTAGGATTATACTGTACACACCGAAAACACAACAATGTTAGTAAAGCAAAAAAAAACTGCTCTAAAAGTAAAAAAATGAAAAATAGAGATCATTTAACTAACCCAACATGGGTCAATTGGTGCTGTCATATGTCTACTATCCATAGTATCAACTCTATTGTATGCTCGTCGATCTCTTCTTCTTTGGTTCATGACTGGTTGATCTTGTCGTTCTAGTAGTGTTTTGGAGGAGGCCGAGCCCAATAACATCTTCGGGTTTACTCTAGCTGGAGGGTATCTAGGAAGTGCATTCTCCTTCACATGCATTGTTGACTTAGCCATGTTTCGGTTGCTCATCAATGGACCTGAGTGTGAAATTCTCCCACCAGTTTGATTGTTTCTGTTGTGCTGCATATTTTGATAATCAGGAACTGGTCCCTGAGGAGTCCTCTCCTCCTTAAACGACTTGAAACTATCGTTTCTACTCTTCAAATCTTGATATTGTTTCTGCATTTGCCACAAGAGTGATTTGCATTACAGTTACCTCCATGGTCATTGTGACCTTCAAAGCTAGAAACTTTTACAGTTACTTACCTCCATTGTCATTGATAGAGAGTTCTTGCCTTTGATCTGCGGTACAGGTTTTCTCTCGTGTGATATTCTCGTCATAGAGTCTTGCCTCTCTTGTTTCTCCGCTCTCACGGGTTGTTGCCTTTTCGCTTCATCACGCATTTTCGCATCAATCTCTTTACTAGGAGGATATTTTGGTAAGTTCGATGGATCGCAAGCAAACGGCTTGGTTTTGAAGTACTGAAAGAAAAAAAACCCAGAGTTTTGTGACTAATAATGCTTCCATGATCTCAGGAAACCAAACACAGTAAAACATCATGAACCAGTTACCTCACTCTCAAGGGCACGATCTGCAGAGCTCCGGTGATCAGGATCTATGGAAAGTAAAGTCTCTAAAAGCGAAAGAACACTTGCAGGAAAGTCCTTAAACATCTCTGATACTTTCCGCCTATAAGGAATCGCGGTTTTGAATCCAGCTGAAGCTGGTAACTTCTGTTTTCTCCAGTAATTTTCTGTTGGTGAACCACAAAGCTTGAAGATTTTATGCAATTGTTCAACCTAGAAAGATTAAGGGCTACATTTGAGTTGAAGCAAACAAGATGCAACCTGAATTTGGAGGAAATGAAATCTACGAGAATTTGCATACCTCGGTTTTTCCAGGGAGGATTGGTTTACCGGCATATAATTCACCTAAGATGCAACCTGTGCTCCATAGATCAACCCCAACACCGTAATGAGAGGCTCCAAGCAAAAGTTCTGGTGGCCGGTACCATAGAGTGACAACATGGCTAGTCAATGAAATACTTTTTGCAGGGTCGAAAAATGTTGCTAACCCGAAGTCTGCTATCTTCAAGACTCCCTTACTGTCAATCAGTAGATTTGAGCCTTTTATATCGCGGTGAAGAACGCCGCGGCTGTGACAATGTTCAAGCCCACTTAGAAGTTGTCGCATGTAACATTTAACCTAAACAACAGAAACATAAAAGAAAGGGATTTTGAAGCAGAAAGAAAATCTATGCTTTCTACATTAGGTAGTTCAACATTTATGTGCAGTACCTGAGGCTCTGTAAACTTGACACCGGGTAGTGAAGAAAGTCCTAATAGATCATGATCCATGTACTCAAAAACTAAGTAAAGGGACGATGAAACAGGGGCAGTGATCAACCCTTCCAATTTCAGGACATTAGGATGATCAAGCCGTCGCATTACTATGATCTCTCTTGCCATAAACTTAACACTTTCCATATCGTTAAGATCAAACCGGACTTTTTTTAGCGCAACAATCTTGTTATGAAGAAGATCGCGAGCTCTATATACGCTGCTATATGTTCCTTGGCCAATCTGCATCCATAAATAAAGAAGGTTATATCAAACAAAAACAGGATCTGGATCAAAGAGTGTTAACAAAAGAAACTTACTTTCTCCAGTTTTTCAAAAGTATTTGCTCGGCGTGGAGCCCAATCCACTAGTGCCTCACCAGCAACCGTGACCAGCCAAGACGGCCATCCTGCTGCCACTTGCTTCCGCTCTTTGTCCTTTGGACCAACAATGCTTGGATCCCTCTTTAGTTCCCGAGGAACCACTCGAACCGAAGCTTCAACCTCAGGTTTCTCTACTCCCTTCTCAATCTGATGATGCTCAGAAAACATACTGGAACTCAACTTATCGGATTCAGTCAACCGAACTTTGGAATCTTTACTATTCCATCTATCTAACCTAGCTTTTACAACCTTTGGATCAATCTCCAAGTCCGGGTCTACAACAGCACTAGAGGCCCTTGTCAATTCCTGATCATGCACAACTCTATCCATATGATCAACTATCTGAGGATTCTCTAATATCTTCCCATTCTGATGATCATGAAACCTACTTGAACTAAACACTTCGGATTCAATCAACCTAACTTTAGCATCTCCCCTGCTACTCGATCTATCAAACCCACTTTCCGGTTGGATCCAATCATCTATCCTCCTCGACGAATCAATCCGCGAGGAACGTTTCTCCTCCGATGACTCTTTCAGTGTTGTTGACTTTCTTCTAAAAGGCCTATGCCTAGAATTTACGCAACCCATTCGCAAGCTCTAGAACATGAATCTATACACATAATCATACATAACCAATCAATAGAAAAATCTAACCTTTATTCACAATCCAATCCATTCGCTTCCCTAAAATCTAAACCCTAATTTCAATCCACTCAGAACAAACACACAACACCACAACTTCAACGGCTCAGCGGAAAAAAACCCAGTTCACGAAAACCAACAAGATCGTGTTTTTAAATTCTTCTTCGGAAGACCCACGCACACTGTTAAATCCCCCAGAACAGAAAACAGAGATCAGAGTGATTAGAAACGGAAAAATCAAAACTTTCGCCGGAATTCAGTGAAGGAATCAGGAGAAACTGATGAAGATTGACTTTAGGCAAAGCTTTGAATGGAATAAAAAAGGGTTGCGGACGGAAAATTGAAAGCAAAGGGGAGATTTTTATTTTTTCGGTTGTAGCAGATTTGACTGATTAAACGATTACGTAGAGTGAGTCACATCATCGAAATGTATAAACGAATTCAAAAATAATAGCTAAATGTCAATAACCAACTTAGCCGCCTTTCGTCGACCAAAGTTAGATTTTTTTCCACAACTCTCTCTCAGTCTCTCCATTCATGAAATTCTCTTTTAATTTTATTTTTTAAATGTTCAGTTTTTATTATATGTGAATTTAATGGTTATGAGCGATTGTTGTCATTATTCAGCCTATTCAAATAATTGTATCAAGACTTGTTTTAGTCAACTTTTTTTTTTTAGGATTTGTTTTTTAGTCAATTTTTAAATGCTAGATAAAATTGGTTGAAATTTTTAAAATAAATTGATACCAATGAAGTTCTTATAATTTAAATTGAAACATGAGAATTAAAAAACAGTGAAGAAAAAAAATATAAGAAATTAAATCAATCACGAATATAAAAGAAGTTCAGAATTGTGATAGGATCAGATATTGTTTGACTGAGATAATTTGCCAAATACATGTGCACACGCGTGTTTTTGTATAATGTAGAGAATTTATTAAATACTTTAATCTACTTGGCTCACACGACAGCACGATGTCTTTAGAACTAATTTATTTACTTCTTTTTATTAATTATTGTTTCCCCACTTTTCAAGTGTATAAAGAACATCAATAGGATGCCGACACCTTCATCGGCATGCGGTGTTGCCATCGCGACCGTGTTGTATGGCAAAATTCGACTCCGTTTCCGGGCATGGGATCATGAACAAGAGGATTCATTGAATATACATCAATAGAAGACTAAAAACTGGAAAAGTAACAAGGAAAATTATTTGTTTAATGTTCTCACAAATTCTCAAAGTCGTGTCAACTTATATATATATTTAAAAAAATTTGACCATAACGGCGCTTAAACTCCATAACAAAGTCGTTGCGATCGTTAGTACGTGAAATTGTTACATATGTCAAGTGAATTTAGTTAGTACGTTAAACTGTTTCATATGCCAAGTGAATCTTTAGTATTCCTAATTTCCAATATATTACTTGGAAGATGCATGGTTTGCCAAACAATACCACATCGATATCCAATTTTAAAATATTTGATTGCAGATTCTCAGCTTATATATATGTATAAAGACATCAATAGGATGCCGACATCTTCATCGGCATGCGGTGTTGCCATCGCGACCGTGTTGTATGGCAAAATTCGACTCCGTTTCCGGTCATGGGATTATGAACAAGAGGATTCATTGAATATACATCAATAGAAGACTACCAAAAAAAAAAAAAGACTACGAAACTGGAAAAGTAACAAGGAAGATTATTTACCTTATTTATTTTATGTTCTCACAAATTCTCAAAGTCGTGTCAACTTCTATATTAAAAAACGTTTGACCTAAACGGCGCTTCGACCACATAACAAAGTCGTTGCGATCGTTAGTACGTGAAGTTGTTACATATGTATTCCTAATTTCCAATTACTTGAATCTTGAAAGACGCATGGTTTACCAAACAATACCACATCGATATCCAATTACAGATTCTCAACTTATATGATTAGTGTTCCATTTACTGTAGATAAATGCTTAGAGAATCTCATTTGATGGCTAGACGCAAGAATATTAAAATCTATATTCAAGAAAAGAAGCTAAGACTTCCATAAGAAAATGACAATCGCATGCATTCAAGAATTGGTTAGCGGGAAACGTCAAGCAGTTTCGTTCCTTCAGAGTCTTCTTCATAAAAGATAGACAAAAGAAAACAAAAACGAAAAAAGGGAAATTATCATTTAAAGGTTAGAATAAAATAAATAGATGATTCTTTTATTTTAGTTTGTCGGCTACTAATAAGCGTAGAGGCGCACTATTAAGCCAATCGCATTTTAAAAAGGAAAGACAAATCGCATTTGTTTGTTTGTCCCTAACTTCTAATATATACGACTAAACTAAAAAGAGAAAGAAGATTATGCATTACGTCTTAAACAGATTTGTTGATGTAAAAAATGGTATACACAGAAATCGCGTTTCGTCATTAGTATTAATTTCATATTTCCGAGAGGAGAAAGAAATAAACGAAGAAAGGAAGAAAATAGTAATTAAGTGATATTAATGGAAATAATAATATTTGCTCACAGTTCACGCAGTTTCCATGTATATTCATTTGTTCCTAATTTCCATGTCTGGTCTCTTTTGGGGAAATCAATAAATAAAACGACATTTAAGCGCGTGTTATCCACTACAAGCCTCTAAACTACCGAGTGCACAACACGCGCTTTTACATGAGAGTGGGACTCACGTGAACTAATCTATTTCCCCCAAATCTGAAGACTTTCCTTTTATTTTTTACTCTCTTCTTCTTCAGCTTCGGACAAATCTCAAATCACGGAGATTTCAATTTCCCACACAAGAAAAAATAACCCTCAATCAAAAATCTCAATCAGATCTCTGATGATGGATCCAACAGGATCACCAAGAACATCGAATGGCTCTTCTTTATCTCCTCCAAGATCGTACCTTATCTTTATGCGAATCATGAGCAAGAGACGGACATGGGTTTGTCTCTTTGTAGCTGTCTACGCGATTCTCTTGGCTTCCTCATGGAACTTTCTCACATCTGTACTTAGCTGGTACAAGCTCCAGTACACGTCATCGCCGTCTCCGTCAAGATTACCGGCGGTTTACGCGTCTGTGGTGTTAGGAGCTGTGTTTGGAGCCATGTCGATGGTTGCGGCGGCTGCGGTTGCGGTTCCGGCGGTTATGGTGATTTGGATATCGGTGGTTGTGTTGCTTGCGTTTTTTGGGAAATCGAGAAGGGTATTGGTTGTTGAAGCTCGTAAGATTACAAGAGAAGTGTTTGGATTTGTGTTTAAGGTTCTTTTGAAAGAAGGCAATGTTGTTGCTGCGGTTTGTGCTGTTTTGGGTTATTTCATTCTTATTAGAAAGGATTTTGATTCGATTTAGGGCTTTTGATTTTGGGATATTTTCTTCCTCTTTTTTTTTGGATTAGGGGTTTTTCTTTCTTTCTGGAAATTTGACGATTATATTGAAGAAACTCTTTTCTTGTTGCTTCTTGTTTAACTTATTGCTAATGTAGCAATGTATATGTACAATTTATAAACGAAGATGTTCTTGAATCACTATCATTATTATTTCTTGAAATCGTGTCAAATTATTAAATTTTGGCGTAATGTTTGCTATCCATTGGTGGGTTCATGGTATTTCTTTTTGGTAAACCATAACAGAAATCTAAACTGAACCAACAAAAATGAACAAAAGAATCCAACTACCAATTCATGCATTTGTCAAGTTTTTGAATACTGCATGTTTAACTAAATCATATCTTATCCATTATTAACTACGTTTAAATTGTCTAAGGTATGGGAGATGAGCCAAAAGTCCAAGACATAATTAGAACTCTCTAGTCTTATGTCCCACAATGAATTAGGACCAGTTTTTCTTCCTCTCAACTTTTCAGAAAATGATGGCCCGTTAGGAGACATTCAAGTACATTGGAAGAACCAATTTGAATCAAATGATACCCAGCCCAAGAAGAATTAGAAAGAGAAATTAAGAGCCCAAGTTAGCCCAATTGAATTCTGTTGAGTTTACTCATTTTGCTAAATACTACTTCATTTGAATATTGTTGAGTTAATTCTTAACTTGAACCGTGATCCTTATTACCCTTTACCTTATAGTACCGAAACTTTCAGTCGATTACAGATTATCCGTTACGTAGAATTTTGGCAATGAGAGCAGAATTCTCCAAATTCTGAGTTTGCAATTTGTTATAAAAATTTGATTTTGTTGATGTTTAGTCTTTTTTGTGTGTGTACATGTGTGTGTGTGTGAGTGAGGTTGGCAAAAAAGGAAAAAATAACATACTTTGAGATTTGGCACGAAAACCAATAATGATAACAAAAACCCATCTATACGGATAAGCATGAAAAAGTGGAGCTGATTTTAAATCTCAAATTTGTTGGAACAAAAGGTAGCAGTCGTGTAAATTTTTTTATAACTTATAAATATCCTTAATCCAACACAAACATAATTATAAGTCATACTGATACAGAAACTTTTGTATATTCGTAGTCAGTTTTAAGAGTCATCAAAACCCCTATACTGGTCGTCGTTTTACTGTTGTTAGACAGGAACACGTTTCGGGCCTTGCGTTTTCCAGAAGACAAAGAGAGATCTGCGCAAGATGTATCCAGCTCCGGTTCAGTGCTGGCATTGGGATCTATAATTGAATGAAAACTTTAGAATTCAGTTTGCTGATATTGCTGCGTTAATTTTATTATTTTATTTTATTTTTTTTTGAACCAGAAGCTATATCTAAGAGCAACATTATTGGGAGGTGCTTAGTTTTGGTTCTTAGTAAATTTTTTGGTTCTTAGCCCAATTTTTGACTCTTAGCTAAGAGTCATTCTTTAGCAAAATCATCAATTACACCTTTAATTTTAGGGATTATTGTCTAAAATGCCATTTTTTTTTGAAAAACTTACGAAAATGCCATTTTTTGAATAGTTTACGGATTTTGCCATTTTTAACACTTGAAAATATACGTATTTATGATTTTTTTTTGCAAAAATACGTACTTTATAGTAAATACTAAACCCTAAGAACAAATAGAACCGACTAAACTCAAACATAACGAGTAAAACGCATGTTAAATCACATTTTTGGAACCTAAAAAATGGCAAAATCCACAAACTATTCAAAAAATGGCAAAATCCACAAATGCCATTATGAAAAATGGCAAAATCCGTAATTAATTCTTAATTTTAATATCTTTTGAGCTAAGAACCAAGTTAAGCACCTCCCAATAAAGATGGTCTAACACGGCAAAGGTTTTTAAGGTACAAATAAAGAGACAAAAGTAGAAAAAGCAACAATAAAACATCGTTATTCGTGAACCTATATATCCGTTGTGTCATAGCAAAAATATGTTGCAGGTTTGATTATTTCAAAAGATGTAAGTTTTGCCAAGTCAAATTAAAGCTGTGTGTTAAAAAAAAACAAGTCAAAAGATGTAAATTTTTACTCTCGACAAGTCATAACTGTGATGCTATTAAATTTTTTTGTTCTCTTTTATTTGAAAAATCAAGTTTCTGTCAAACCCTAACCCTACCTTAACTCTAGTCACCTGTACTCGCTGGCGGCAGGCCTTTTACCAAAATGCCATTATATCCATTACTTTTTGTCACAAAAATGCCTTTTTTTTTTTTTTTTTTTGGTGCAAATCACAAAAATGCCATATATGATTAGAGATTCTAACTGTGATCTTACTGTTACTTATATGCTTTTTCTACTCGTGGATAGAAACAAGGGTTTATTATTTTCCATTTGACAGACTTTATTTTCTATCAGATTTAATTTTAAAAAAATATTAGTTAGTATCTGCTGGAAAGCAAAATAAATTACGAAACCATTTGTTCTTAAAATAAATTTACTTATCAGATTGAGTTTTTCTCATGTCGGGCCAAAACCTGGATGTGTAAAAATCTTGTTTCATTATTCAGTCTTAAAGATTGCAACCTTTGACCATGGGCCGGCGATAGTGGAAATGTAGTCTCGATCGATGCATCTCACAAGCAAACCCTAACTCTATGCTCCAAAAAAAAAAAAAAAAAATTTGCTACTATATAAGTAAGAAAATTTGCATAATATCATGCGTACCAAATATGTGGTGTTTTAAATGTCTCTGTGACTTATATGACATTAAATTTGGGGAACAAGTCAATTATAAATTGAAGTTTTTGTGATATTGCTAGGTTATTATACAATGATAACGGTAAATGTAGCACCAATTTGTCCCTCGTAAATTGGCATATGTATCATAAAGTTTGTCTGCTTTTTTCAATACATTTCTAAAATTGTCCGTACGTACATATATTAATTATTTCAGTGAGTTTTTATTATTATATTTAATATACCTGTTTATACATATATACTTAATTCGAGTTTAGAATAATTTTGTATTTGTTCAAATATGTTGTGGTTAGGGATCCATATGTCCAGCTAGTAATCTTGTCTCTTAATTGTGGGATACATGTCATTATACTAGCTATATAATATACAGTCGGAAAAAATCAAAAGAAAACAAAAACTTGATTATCACATATATGCCCTTTTTTTCAAAATATGCAAAGCCCGTTTCTTCTGTCTTTAATTATGTCCCGTCTACTTTTTCTCAGGATTTTCACAGAGGGTCACCTTCTCGATCTCTAGTACGTTACACCAAAATGGAAAGATATGTATATGCATAAACTTATTCATTTATGTGACTTTAATTTCGTGACAGAAAATTAATGTTTATATGGGCTTCGTATCTTAAAATAAATTAGTACATACTATTAATTGGCACATTTTACCATATTGTAGGTGGTTTCAAGCTATTGACTGGTGTTTAAAAACTACTATTATAGATGGTAAAATGATTGTTATCATTTGATTTCTAAAATGATCAAAAGATTAAACACAAATTTTTCGTGCAAGCATATTTTTCTTACTTTTTAAAAACTGAAAATACTTTCTATTCCTTTCAAGCACCGAAATGCACAAAAAAAGAGACAAAATAGAACATTTATGTCTGGTCAAAAAAGAAATGTATCAGTAATTTTTGATGCGTTTAGACTATATAAACAAATAAAGGACACAAAATTTATGATCAATCATTATATTTCGTAAACTTATAATATGCACTGGTGTTGATGACAACTAATAATTTTTATTTTTATTAATAAGATTGAAACTGATAAAAATTCTTCCAAAATTAATATTCTTAAAAAAAATATAATCTCAACCAAAAATAATTAGCTAAATACCGAAAATACATGAGGGCTTGTGTCAACCTAAAAATTTGGTTATCAATTAGTAAGAAAAATTAGAAAGTAGGAGAAGTTGATCACGTGATAGAGTGTGAGTCGAATTCGATCACCGAGTAATGGGGCCCCCTAAAGATTTTGTTACTCTGGCTGGACATTATATTAAATAATCCCAATGTTTTTAGTTTTACCCTTCTTCCTTAGCATCACTTCCTTTAAGTTTTGTTGTCTCCATTCTCTCTTGTCACTGTCATTTCTCCACAGAAAGGTATATGGACTATGAAAAAAATGTTTTCCTTTTGAAATTCTTTCTTATTTTTGTGCGATTTGTTGTTCTCAAAAGAGTGTTTTTGCCATAAAAAAGAACGAGATTTTGGTGTCAAAAACACTTTTGATGTTATATATAAAAAAGACAGTGTTTTTGCCTAAAAGCTCACTTTTTTCTGTGGTTGTGTTCATTTGTTGTTCTTGGAGAAGTTCAGAACACGCTTTAGCATGATTGTAGTTACAGATTGTCGTTCTTTTCGTTTGTTGATGTTGATTTGGAATACTTCTACGCTGTTAAACTAGAGATTTTGGTTCCCGGTGGAAGTTTGTGTTCTTTGAGGCAGTTCGAAGTGATTTGTGTCAAATCTATGTGTAAAAAAAGGTTACATTCATGAAATTCCAAAGATCAAGAGAGTGTATTTGCCTAAAAGCTCACTTTTTTCCGTGGTTGTGTTCATTTGTTGTTCTTGGAGAAGCTCAAAGCGTTAGAGATTGTCGTTCTTTTGATTTGTTGATGTTGATTGGGATAGTTTTATGCTTTTAAACTAGAGATTTTGGTTCACTGTGGAAGTTTGTGTTCTTTGTCTAAAAAAGGGTTTACAAATTCATGAAATTCCAAAGATTAAGAGTGTGTACTTGCCTAAAGCTCACTTTTTTTTCCCTGGTTGTGTTTATTTGTTTTTCTTTGAGAAGTTCAAAGCATGCTTTAGCATGATTATAGTTAGAGATTGTCGTTCTTTTGGTTTATTGATGTTTATTGGAACAGTTTAATGCTTCTAAACTAGAGATTTTTGGTTTCTGGTGGAAGTTTGTGTTCTTTGAGGCATTTCGAAGTGCTTTGTGTCAAGTCTAAGTGTAAAAGAAAAGGTTACATTCATGGAATTCTAAAGATTATTAAGCATTACAGTTTTACTACATGTAGATAAAAGATTAGATACGGAAGAGATCTAGTTAATCTTGATTGTAGATTTGATAGGTTTGGGAAGCATTTCTTCAGTTTGATAGTATTTTTTACTCATCAATAATTTGTGTCCTTGTTAATTTGTTGCTTTTTTTTTTACTATTGTTTGTTTCATATAGTCCTAATGTAATTTTACATTTTTTGACACATGATTTTGGATTTCTTTTCTTTTGTAGGAAATGGGGAAAAACGAGTCAAACATAGGTGGCAAACCTAAGACGTCAAAAGGACCTAATGAGCTTAAGCTTGAAGCCGCGGCTGCTAGGAAGAAAGGCCCAAATATCACACCAGTGACTCAAAGTGACGATGGGGTTAGATCAAAACCATGTTACTTAAATTGCAATATATATAAGATGGTATATAGATTTAATTACTACTAACTAATTATTTTTATTATTTTAAAATTTTAAAAAAAAAACTCAAGAGGTAAAGGTAAATAACTGATTTTAATTTCCTACCAAAAAAGAAACTGATTTTAATTTATATATACAAATATGTTACTATACCGTCAAACTGAAGAAATGGTTGTATTTTATATCTATATTAGTTTGATTATTTAAATTGTTGTGTTTTAAAACTGTAGTAGTTTGATTATTTAAATGGTTGTGTTTTATATCTCTAAACTCTATTTGACCTCACTTTATATGTTAAGGAATTTGGAGATGGAAGCAAACTATCCAGAGATTACAGAGGTGATCCAGATATAGTTGACAAAGTCCTGAAGCAAAAATTTGGTAACTTTTTGTTTTCTTATTAGTTGTTTATAATAATTATATTTATATTTGTGTTTGATTAATGTTTATTTTTTGATAATGTGTAATTAATATCTACAAGTAAATATCTGGGTTGATAAAATTAAAATTGTGACTACCAATTGCAGAGATATGTTGGGCCATCGCATTGATACGTCTTCTCCAGGCTATTTACAACATAACTCAAGATAACATAACTAACGGCAAAAGCTTCCTTCATGATGACCTCGTCGTGCATTTGAAGACGAAAAAAAATCCAGGCAAACGACCGGCGTCGTTGAAACTTCAGAACCTTAAAGATGCTATTAAACATATAGCAGTTAATGGATTGCTTAAAATTAAAGCAACGGGAGTTACAAAGGTACTTGTAATTCAAATATCACATAGTACTTTGTTTTAAAGATACACTTCTTTCTTGGGTTTGTTACAAACTAATTAGTTTCATTTCTTTTCTTCTTTTTATGATTTGAATGGAGGCTGGGAGCGAGATTGGATATCATGGCAAGTGGAACTTTTCAATGGAGAAATGTCCTTCAGTGGATTTCATCAAGTCCAAAGTTGATATCTCTCCAGTTGTCATATCGTTTGATATAGCTGACGAATTCCATTTCATTGGCAATGTTAGTAATTAAGAAGTTAAATATGATCTCTGTGATAGAAGTAATTAACTGGATCAACTAACTATTTTTTTTTATTGCTTTCAGGGTATCTACAAGGTAAGCGGCGTAGATATAGAAGATGGCGAAGTAGAGGGGCACGCAGTTCTCATCGTCGGCTATGGCTACACCAAAGACAATCGACTATTCTTTTTGATTCAGAATAGTTGGGGAGAAGATTGGGGTGTGAAAGGTTTTGGACGAATCTTCATAGATGACATGTCCACGACCACACTTGTTTATCCAAATATCTAACTTGACCAGATTTGGGTCAGGCCTAGTTACTTGAGAGATTCGATTCTTTTTGGTTTTTGTCTTCTTATTCCCTAACTGTTACTAGCAATGGGAACCAAGTATTTTCATTTAAACGTTTTAGAGACACCTCTTCTGGCATTTTTAGCCTTGTTCACTTCTTTTTCACTTATAAATATCTTTTTCTTATGCTCAAATCATTTGTTTTTTTTTTCTTCCGATTATGTCACAACTTATTGATTATAATAAATCTCCTACATCCACTTAACTTTAACTGAACAAATTAAATAGATGAGATTAGCTTCACGGATTTAGTAATATACCAACTACTTGGATACAATGAGATCTCAACAAGAGTATGAATGGCCAAAGAAGAAGGCAATGCCAAATATATAAAGGTCTCACTCTTTTTTAAATAATTTAACCCCCAAAAGAAACCTTACACAAACATAAATCGAGTTCTGATCATAAAAGTTTTAGTCCATAGGGCATCAAGAAAAAAAAGAAAAAAATTCATAACTACTTAATCTACCTGGCCTGGGCATTGGGAACGCCCAACCACACCATCAATCCTGCAATTAGAAAAAGATAACACATATCATTCGAGTAACTTTATCGAATAGCGATTATAAGAATCATATATGATAATAAACAGAAGCAAACACAAAGATACTCGAGGTTAAAGACGAGGTTGAAAACAGAAGCAAACACAAACACAAAGATTAAAGTCTTGAACACATATATATATATTTCAAGCAAACAATGATTAACCACATACAACAGTGAATATAATAATCTCTCAAGTCTCAACCATTACATATAATTAGTAATTAATTAGGAAGAAAAGAAAGAATGAATCACCTTAAAATTAAGAGGGAGCTGGTCTGCAAAAGATGGGATGAATGTTTCTTTGCCATGCCTTGCGCTCAGCCTTAGCTTGATACTCCACAAGCTCTCCATGAGCTGGAGACTCCTTAGCCATGAAAGTAATATACGCTTTGATTCCGTAGCTCATTTGCACCACGACCCTCACGATATGATCAAGCGTAACAGTCTTATTCTCTACTTGGTTGTATTTGGCAATAGCCACATTGGCCATAATCGTCATGTACTCACGCCCCGTGAGGTTTGGCTTGAAGAAGTGGGCATCCAGATCGAGACCGCGTAATCCGTAAGTAAGATATTTAGGCATCTTATCTTTATCCACTTTGAAACCCTGTAACCACCGCACAATTATACACAAGATTCAAGCTTTTTACCAAGATTCAACTTTTACGAATTTTTTAGGGTGAATCAACAAACCTGGCTCTCGTGGTAATGGCGCGTGTATCGACGTAACTCAAGTTCCTCTTCATCCTCGGGAGGCTCATCAGGCGACTCATAGTCTGAGCCTTCGAAACTATCAAAACCCCAAACCTGGTCATCGCTTTCACTGTTTCTCTCCTCTTCCTCGCATCCTTCATCCGGTGAAATCGTTTCGGCCTTGCGTTTTCCACAAGACGAAGAGAGATCCATCATCTCGGGCTCGGTGCTCAAACTGGGATCCTCCATGGATTGAGTAAACCCTAGGTTTCGATTTTGTCGATTTCAATTTCAGCAAATCAGGGCACAGAGGAGATACAATCTAATTTCTAATTCCCCATTGCTAATGCTAACTTTACTATTTACGATAGTGCCATCTCCTTTATTCTGTTTTCCTATTGGTTCACAACCACACACGCCTTGTGTTATTTTTTTAACAGTAAACCAAACGACGCAACAAGTAAGAAAAAAAATCAGAGTAAACCAAAGCAAACCAATTGTACTACCGATCCAATCCGAGCTATACAAAAATTAAAAATAAGTCAAATCAATTTGATTGTGTCCGATTGAACTATAACCAAAAAAAAAAAAGAGTCTCATATAGATATTGGAAGGATAAAAAACAAAAAAGACTCATATATATTGGGCTTTATGGGCTCAAGTATCGCGCGACTTCATGAGTTTTCGTAATGCGTGTATAACTTTTATTGGTTAATATGGCTAAATTTACGCGTAAAGGATAAAGTCTCTACACTATGTAACATGTACCGGAGAAACAGAAATCTCTAAATTTTGGCGTAATGTTTGGGTTCATGGTATTTCATTTTGGTAAACCATAACATAAATCTAAACTGAACCAAAAAAATATCCTTGCAACCAAATGAACAAAAGAATCCAACTACCTATTCATGCATTTGTCAAGTTTTAGAATACTGCATGTTTAACTATATCAGATCAGTTTACCCAAAAAAAACTATATCAGATCTTATCCATTATTAACTACGTTTAAAGTGTCTAAGGTATGGGAGATGGGCCAAAAGTCCAAGACATAATCACCTATAGTAGTCTTTAGAACTCTCTAGTGTTGTATAGTTTGTAAAGGAGAATATATCATTGTTTTCAAAAGCCTAATGGAAAAAGTGGAATCAGACAGGAAACTATGCTTGCGTTTACAATTTGTTAAATATTTTTTTATTGAACTAATTACTAAATAAAAATTTTTTTTGTGGCTTTTATATATTTTGCCATTTTACTTAAATTTTTTTTTAGATTTGCCACTTTTCAAGATTTAAAAACACAATTTTACACATTATGCTTGTTTTTTTTTGTTCCATTTTTATTAGGGTTTAGTGTTTATTATTAAGAATGTATTTATAAAAGAAAATCACAAATGTATTGATTTTGAAGTGGCAAATCCAATTTTTTTTAAGAAAGTAACAATTTAAAAGATTTGGTTGACAAAGTGGCATTTTCAACAATAATCCCTTTTTTTTTCTATTGAGTTAAAAACCAGATAAAGGTCTCAAGATCTAGGGTGTATGATCAATCCTGCAATTAGAAAAAGAGAACACATTAACATTCGAGGACCTGTATGGAATATCGATTATAAAAATCATATGATAATAATCAGAAGCAAACATAAAGATACTCGAAGTTAAAGACGAGGTTGAAAACAGAAGAAGCAAACACGTACAAACACAAAGATTAAAGCCTTAAATACATATACATTTCAAGAAAACAATGATTAACCAGATACAAAAGTGAATATAATAACCTCTAAGTCTCAATCATTAGTAATTAATTAGGAAGAAAAGAAAGAATGAATCACCTTAAAATTAAGAGGGAGCTGGTCTGCAAAAGATGGGATGAATGTTTCTTTGCCATGCCTTGCGCTCAGCCTTAGCTTGATACTCCACAAGCTCTCCATGAGGAGACTCCTTTGCCATGAAAGTAATATAAGCTTTGATTCCATATCCCAGTTGCACCACGACCCTCACGATATGATCAAGCGTAACAGTCTTATTCTATAATCAATAAACAAGTTTCATATAGTTACTTATCGGGAAGATATAATGATGATATGACACAAAAAAACTAAAAAGGGAAGAATTTGTAGTAGTAGTACTAGCCTCTACTTGGTTGTATTTGGCAATAGCCACATTGGCCATAATCGCCATGTACTCACGCCCCGTCACGTTTGGCTTGAAGAAGATGGCATCCAGATCGAGACCGCGTAATCCGTGAGTAAGATGTTTAGGAAACTTATCTTTATCCACCTTGAAACCCTGTAACCCCCACACACACAAGACCAACAATTATACACAAGATTCAAGCTTTTTGACCAAGATTCAAATTTTACGAATTTTTTGGTTTGCAACAAACCTGGCTCTCGTGGTAATGGCGCGCGTATCGACGAAACTCCAATTCCTCTTCATCCTCGGGAGGCTCATCAGGCGACTCGTAGTCTGAGCCTTCGAAACTATCGAAACCCCAAACCTGGTCGTCGCTTTCACTGTCTCTCTCCTCTTCTTCGCATCCTTCATCCGGTGAAATCGTTTCAGCCTTGCGTTTTCCACAAGACGAAGAGAGATCCGCGTAAGATGCATCCATCACCACGGGCTCAATCGTATCGTCATCACTGGATTTGGGAACCATTTTTTTCCAAGCAAAACCCTAGAATTCTAAGACTCGGACAAGTTGTTAGCCAAGACGACGATAGGCCCAACTCCTCCTTCTAAACGTGGCTATTTACAATAATGCCCTGGTGTTTCAGTTTTCTTGTCTTTTTAAATATATACAGTCATTAATTTTATTTTAATTTGGACCAGAATTAATAAGTGGATACACGTTTAGTCATATATAGAGAAAATAGTGTAAAATCACGTTTAATTTATTTGATTTGAGATCTCGGCTCGATACATCTTTAAAGTACGTAATTACACTTTTAAGGAAACATAAATCTCGATAAGTAAAATAGTGTAAAATCAAGTTTAATTAATTTGATTTGAAACCTCGTCTGGATGCATCTGACATTCTAAACCTAACCCTAATCCTAGGCAACACTCAGACTATTTACATAAATGCCATTTTATTATTCTTTTAAATTAAAATCCCATTAAAGGTTCTATACGACTATGCTTGTGCTTTGAAATTCTGTTCTACACGTGGATAAAAAGAATTCACCTTTCCCATTGACACATTGGACAAACTTTTCTATTTTCACTTATTAATTAGATTTAAAACTGATGTTTGTGAGTAGAATTGACAGGCGACAAATTTATAATTGATTTGAAGAGAGGTAACATATTGACCAGAGAAACCTCATCAGTTGTCCCATCGAAAAAAGTCGTTTTGTTTTGATGAGAGATCAAAAGCTAATATTCTCGAAGAAATTGATCTGTCTACCGATGATAAATACAACAACACTTCCGAGGTTACTGATCATGTTTGCTATTTAGGTTTTGTAAGCTATCATATCCACTTTAATGATGAATTGAAAGTGAATTTTACACAAAATTAGAAGTTGTTTCCTTTGTTTGTGTCATTGATGATGGAGTGCATTATTAGTTGGCAGAGTTAACAACATCGAAATTAAGCCCACAAACATAGCTAGGCTGATATATAAAACGATTGGTCATGGCAAAAAATATCAATTAATATTTTGTAATCAAGTTAATTTTGTAGTTATCCTTCAAAAATGATCGAAAGTAGATTTTACATCATGTTAACAGTGCTTTAATTAAATACCAAATACACATTTTTGTACTGATCATATGATTTTAAAATGATCAAAAGATTTAACACAAACTTTTAGTACAAGCATGCAAATGTGTCTTAGAATTTATGGGGAAAAAACTGAGTTTCTTTTTATTCGGTATTTCGTTTCAACATGGAACATTTTGTGTCGAGTGAAATGCAAAAAAAAAAAAAAAAAAAAAAAAAGTGGGACAAGGACAACATGGAACATTTTGTGTCGAGTGAAAAATTATTGTATTGCCGTAAAGAAATTAGTTTGAATTTGGGCCTTGTTATTTGTTTGATGCTTTTAGACTATCCAACAAAAATAAAGGACACAACATTTCCAGTCTAGGTTAAAATGCAAACATAGTATGATGAATTATTATCGTTGCTAAAACAGTAATTTTAACTTTACTAGATTGAAACTGATAAAAAAATTTCATTTTTTTTTTGTTTTAAGATTATAAATTAACAAATAATATCAACATTTTTTCAATTTGACCACCAAAAAAAAACTATATACCGTAAATATACATGAGACTTGTAACCTAATTTTGATTATCAATTGAGGAAGAGATGTTTGATCACGTGATGGAGTGTGAGCTGGTCAATCATCATCAAGTAATACACGAACTAAACATTACACGATTAAAGGTCTTCCAACTTTTCAATTATATAGGTTCATTTAAACTATAAGCCTTACATAAACATAAGTTCAATTCTCAATAAATATACTTGATAGGAGGGAAAAGTCTTTCTCTCACTTAGTTTCTCAACTCTTGACAACATCAAGCTTAATTGCATCACTTATCTGCAATTAGAAAAGAAAAGCACATATCACTTATTGGCAACTAGAACATAACAAACAGAGATAATCCATAGAATGGGTCACTCAATAACATATTTTGAAAGCGCACATAGGTAATACTTAGATTCAACAATCTTCAATCACAAACTGTAAGTCATTCTAGTTGTCTAACATGAGTTTATATTATATAAAAAAAATCGTAGCATTTGATGTCAATTTCCCAGTTGATGCATCAGCTAGCTAGCACACAAACCATAGTTTTTAACTAGGGATAAAAATGCAGATCAATTCATGTAGAGTGACAAAATCTACCTAGGAAGAGAAAGACAGAGAAACTGAACAAGAGATTTGAAGAAAGTTTCTCATACCTTTCTTCGGTGGGCAGAGGATTGGGTAAGTATCTGGCAGGAATAGGTTTCATGGCAAGAGCTGGTCTGCAGAGAATGGCATGAGCATTTCTCTGCCACACCTTCCAGTCAGTCTTGGCTTGATACTCAATGAGATCACCTTGAGGAGACTCCTTAGCCATGAACGTCACGTAGGATTTGATTCCAGAGCACATTTTAACCACGGCCCTCACAACATGGTCAAACATGACATCGGTTTGATTGTGTTGGTTGTACTTGCTAAGAGCCAACTTGGCCATATTGTCCATGTACTCACGTCCCGAGATGTTGGGCATAAACTTTTTATCGAAATCGAATGGACGACACCCATGAAAAGATCGATCTGGAACTATTTCACTATCCACCTTGAAACCCTAAACAACAACCACCATTATTCTTAATTAGCTAACGCACATCTTCCAATCAGCACAAATATCAGAGAGAGATGAAATTAGCATACCCGGCTGTTGTAAAGATGGCACAAATACCGATTCCATTCAAAATCCACATCATCATCACTCTGCTCGGATTCATAGTCTGTATCATCGAAGCTATCGAATCCCCAAAGTTGGTCGTTTTCGCAGCTGTCTTCATCTTCGTCCTTTTCCTCCTCCTCGTCTTCGCTCAAATCAACAGAATCCGCATCGATCTTGCGTTTTTTCTGAATCGAACCGCTATCCTCACTCGACGCCTCCGTGGATTCCGTCGTCTCGCGCTCGCTGCTTTTTTCTCCGTCAGTCATGTCGCCGTCGCTTAGATTCGTAGCCATTATCGAGAATAAAACCCTAATTTCCTCTCACAGAACGTCTCTGTCTTTTTGGTATCGCGATGGAAATAAATATCTCCGTGGCAAAAATATATGACCCTCCAAAAACTTGGTTATTACACTAGTGCCATCGCATTAACACCACTCAATTACTACTCCTTTCTTTTTTTCTTTTTTTCCGTTTTGATCAAAAAAAATTAATTTATGTTCACGATGAGGCTTTATAATTTTGTGGTAACTATAGTTTGTGAAAAATAAAGGGAAAAAGATATCTAGCTACACGAAGTATGGTACAATACATAGCCACACATCCGAAGTTTAAAAATGTATCTCTAACTACACAAACTATATGTATCACATTCCCACATATACGAACTATATGTAGTCATGTCGCCAACATCACAAACATTTTTTTCCGATACATTTTTCGCCGGAATCCGGTATTGACCAGTTTGACCGGCGTTGACCAACATAAATATTCAATTTTTTTTTTTTTAGTTTCTTAATATTTAGAAAATTATGTTATTGAATCATTTATAATATTATATAATTAAAAAAATATATACAATATTCAATATAAAAATATTTTGTATATATATTCAATGTATAATTAGTTAGTTTCGATAATTTCAAAACTAAACTAAAAATAAAATAAAAACCAATTAGGTAAAATAATTGTAAATATGAAATTTTCTATACTCTCTAGTCTAATGTTTTTTGTATAATATGTTGTTAATTTTTGTATCTAAAATTATTACGAAAAATTCTTTTAATAATACAAAAACAATTAACAACATATTATAAAAAAAACTTTAGACTAGAGAGTATTTAAAATTTTCTATTTATAATTATTTTACCTAATTGGTTTTTGTTTTATTTTTAGTTTAGTTTTGAAATTATTGAATCTAACTAATTATAAAAATCAATGCATTGAATATATATACAAAATATTTTTATATTGAATATTGTATATATTTTTTTAATTATACAATATTATAAATGATTCAATAACATAATTTTCTAAATATTAAAAAACTAAAATATTTTTTTTTTTTTAATATTTATGTTGGTCAACGCCGGTCAAACTGGTCAATGCCGGATTCCGGCGAAAAGTGTACCGGAAAAAAATGTTCGTGATGTTGGCGACATGACTACATATAGTTCGTATATGTGGGCATGCGATACATATAGTTTGTGTAGTTAGGGATACATTTTTAAACTTCGGATGTGTGGCCATGTATTGTAGCATACTTCGTGTAGCTAGGTATCTTTTTCCCAAAAATGAATAAGAGATCTTCTTGTTTAATAATTTGAAAGTACAGCTGTATATTTATCTTTTCTCTCTGTCTTCTGATAAGCTGTTTGGAAATGAGAGAAACATCCAACATGTAATAAAACGTTGATTTGAGATTGGTATCATTTCTTACAAACCATGTATCAAACATTTCAAAAATATTTCTTACAAACCATGATAAAAATAAATAGTTGAATTTTTACGTTCCAAATTTTCTAAGTACGCATAAAGTAGATGAATCCATATCGATACACTTGGTCAAACATTTTATTTAATATCACATATTGTTGTTGTTATTATTAACACTCCCAAAAAAATCACAAAACCTGACTTAAAGAAATTAAATAAAACAAACCTAATATGATATCACTAATTATTTTTACTCATTTAGGTTATCAAGAAAAGCAAGAAAATAATTGAACATTAAAATTACAAAAATACATATTTTCTATAAAATTTATATTACTTGATTCATGATTTTCGAAGAAGAAAAAGATCGATAACATGGTGTGGACTGTGGATAGAAAAAAATGAGCAAAAAAATGTAGAGAACCAATGCAACTGAACCGGCGAAAAGCTCCGGTTATCTGATCGCAAAATCTCGGTACTTGGCCGCAAATTGGCAACCATCCCGTGTTTGCGTTTCCTCTTTTTCCCACTTGTGCCACTGCCACCGCCGCTTATAGCTTGACGTCAGCAGCATTGTCACCATCTTGACGGTTAATTTTACAATTTCAAATAGAAAATGATTAAACACATTTATCGAAGATAAGCAATAATCCAATAACTAAGAACATAGAAGCATCATGAATTCAATGCATATTTTAAAGTAAAAATAGGTTTTAGTATTAGTTCATTCTCCTTCTTTCATATGAATTTAGATAAGAACCCTCACCAAGGATTGGCAATTCCAGTTGATGCATCTAGAAGCACACAATTTCAATGTTTTTCTTTTTAACAATTATTGGGGATAACACAACTACTGACAAAATCTACCTAGGAAGAGGGATAACGAAACTAACTAAACAAGAGATTTGAAGAAAGTTTCTCATACCTTTCTTCTCGTGTTTAGGAGTCGGTGGGCAGAGGATTGGGTAAGTATCTGGCAGGAATAGGTTTCATTTGAAGAGCTGGTCTGCAGAGAATGGCATGAGCATTTCTCTGCCACGCCTTCCACTCAGTCTTGGCTTGATACTCAATGAGATCACCTTGAGGAGACTCCTTAGCCATGAAAGTTATGTAAGATTTGATTCCAGAGCACCTTTTCACCACGGCCCTCACAACATGGTCAAACATGACATTGGTTTGATTGTGTTGGTTGTATTTAGCAAGAGCCAACTTGGCCATATTGTCCATGTACTCACGTCCCGAGAGATTGTGCAGAAACTTTTTATCTAAATCGAATGGACGACACCCATTAAAAGATCCTTTTGGAACTATTTCACTATCCACCTTGAAACCCTAAACCATTAATTCTTAATTAGCTAACAGATTCTTCTAACGCACGTATTCCCCAATCAGCACAAATATCAGAGAGAGATAATGAAGAGGAAATTTGCATACCCGGCTCTTGTAAACGTGGTACAAATACCGATTCCATTCAAATTCCACATCATCATCACTCTGCTCGGTATCAAAATCTGTATCATCGAAGCTATCGAATCCCCAAACTTGGTCGCTTTCGCAGCTGTCTTCATCTTCGTCCTTCTTCTCCTCCTCCTCCTCCTCTTCTTCTTCGTTTAAAACAACAGAATCCGCATCGATCTTGCGTTTTTTCTGAATCGAACCGTTATCCTCACTCGACGCCTCCGTGGATTCCGTCGTCGCGTGCTCGCTGCTTTTTTCTCCGTCAGTCATGTCGCCGTCGCTTGGATTCGTAGCCATTATCGAGAATAAAACCCTAATTTCCTCTCACAGACAACTTTGTCCGTCCTTTTGGCATCGCGTTGAAAATAGATATCTCCGACGCGAAGATATATGACCTCCACAAACTTGGTTATTACACTAGTGCCATCGCATTAACGCCACTCAACTACTCATTCTTTTTTTCTTTTTCTTTTTTCCTTTCCATTTTTTCGTTTTGGGCAAAAAGGTTTAATAATTTGAAAGTACAACTGTATTTTTCTTTTTTTTTTTTTACTGAAATGGCTCAATAATATTTGTGTGGATTTTGGTCTATAATATTTGTGTGGATTTTGGTCTTTCTTTCATTTCAGAATTATGGTGACTTTTCTTTTAAGAGATCTATGCAACAGCGAAATATTTTATGCCAAGAAATTGGACTGGTAGTTACATATAGTTTGGTTTACACATTTATGATCGTCCACTCTTGAGAGTTAAAAGGACAAACTCACAAACTTATAAAACTGAAAAAGACATCTAGATTAACGAGTTGCGCAACTTACATGGATAATTAACCCATAAGTGGATTCTTTTAAAGATACACGTATAGTCATATATAGAGAAAATAGTGTAAATTAAAATCAAGTTTAGTTTATTTGATTTGAAACCTCGTCTGGATGCATCTGACATTCTAAACCTAACCCTAATCCTAGGCAACACTCAGACTATTTACATAAATGCCATTTTCTTATTTTAAAATTAAAATCCCATTAAAGGTTCTATACGCTAGCGCTAGGCTTGGGCTTTGAAATCCTGTTCTACACGTGGATAAAAATAATCACCTTTCTCATTGACCCATTGGACAAACTTTCCTATTTTCACTTATTAATTAGATTTAAAACTGATGTTTGTGAGCAGAATTGACAGATGACAACTTTATAAATGATTTGAAACAAACAGTTATAAGACCATCCGCAGTGGTGTAAGTGTGAGGGAGGGGTGTAAGATTTTTTTTATTATTATAATTTAAAGTGAGAGAGAAAAGAGAGAGAGAAAGAAAGAGAGAGAGAGAGATAGAGTGGCTTACACCCGAGTGTAAACTTACACCCGGATGTAAAGAAAGAGACAACTTTTATATTATTTCTGTATTTTAAAATAATGTTTACACCCGCAAGGATACTCCACTGCGGATGCCCTAAGAGAGGTAACATATTGACCAGAGAAACCTCATCAGTTGTCCCATCGAAAAAAGTCGTTTTGTTTTGATGAGAGATCAAAAGCTAATATTCTCGAAGAAATTGATCTGTCTACCGATGATAAATACAACAACACTTCCGAGGTTACCGATCATGTTTGCTATTTAGGTTTTGTAAGCTATCATATCCACTTAACCGATGAATTGAAAGTGAATTTTACACAAAATTAGAAGTTGTTTCCTTTGTTTGAGTCATTGATGGAGTATGTTATTAGTAGGCACAGATAACAACATCGAAATTAAGCCCACAAACATAGGCTGATAAAACGATCGATCAATTTTGTGTGGTGATCATATTTTTTTTCTTGTCAATACATGCATCTTTTCATTTATTGACAAATCACATGAATTGACCCGTCGAAAGCAAAAATAGATATTGACCTCTTTTGACCGAGGATGATAGAATTTCCTGTTTAGGAGTGGGTTTGCAGAGGTTTGGGTAAATATCTCTCTGGAATAGGTTTCATCTCAGGAGCTGGTCTGCAGAGAATGGCATGAGCATTTCTCTGCCACACCTTCCAGTCAGTCTTGGCTTGATACTCAATGAGATCACCTTGAGGAGACTCTCTAGCCATAAAAGTTATGTAGGATTTGACCCCAGTGCTCAATTTCACCACGACCCTCACGACATGGTCAAACACCACATTGGTTTGATTGTGTTGGTTGTACTTATCAAGAGCCAAATTTGCCATATTGTCCATGTACTCACGTCCCGAGATGTTGGGCAGAAACGAACCATTGAAATTGAATGGACGAAACCCTTGAAAAGGCCGATCTGGAATGATTTCACTATCCACCTTGAAACCCTAAACCATTAATTCTTAATTAGCTAACGCACATCTTCCAATCAGAGATAAGAGGAAATTAGCATACCCGGCTGTTGTAAACGTGGCACAGATACCGATTCCATTCAAATTCCTCATCATCATCACTCTGCTCGGATTCATAATCTGTATCATCGAAGCTATCGAATCCCCAAAGTTGGTCGCTTTCGCAGCTGTCTTCTTCTTCGTCCTTCTCCTCCTCGTCTTTGCCTAAATCAACAGAATCCGCATCGATCTTGCGTTTTTTCGGAATCGAACCGTTATACTCACTAGACGCCCCCGTGGATTTCGACATCTCTTGCTCGCTGCTTTTTTCTCCGTCAGTCATGTCGCCGTCGCTTGGATTCGTAGCCATTATCGAGAATAAAACCCTAATTTCCTCTCGCAAAACGTTTTTATCCTTTTAATGGCATCGCGATGAAAATAAACTATATCCGACAAGAAAATATATGACCCTCCAAAAACTTGGTTATTACACTAGTGCCATCGCATTAACTCCCCACTCAATGACTCAACTACTTCTCATTCTTTTTTTCTTTCGTTTTTTCCTTTCCGTTATTCCGTTTTGGTCAAAAAAGTTTAATTTATGTAAGTGATGAGGCTTTACAATTTTGAGGTATCTATAGTTTGTGAAAATAAGCGAGATGTGGGCTTAAAGTCCCTGACTTCATCAAATAGTAGTCTTTGGATCTCACTGGTCCTTGAATCTTTTAAGTAAAAAGCCCAGCAGAAACCACGACTTTTCGCTTTCAGTCTAATATAATATATAGAGTGATTTATATACTTAGAAGGAATAAAATTATGGCAATAGAATTGATCCTCTTTTTGTAGATGGACGATACCCGGAGAAAGAGAGAGAAGATAGAAATTTTTTCTTTAACCGATCAAAATAAATTTGGTAGCTATTTCAAAAGAAAATGACAACGGGAGAGATATCAGCTTTGGATTTCGTCAGCTTCGATATATGATCAAGTCATTAAAAGGAAGAAACTAATTATTTTGTAACAAACCCGAAGCTAGAATCACAAAAAGAAAAAGAAAAATGTGTATTGAGAACCAAAGTATATTATGTGATATTGACACGCTAATGATTTATTACAACATATGATACAAGTACAACTATACAAGAGCACCATATATTCTACTAGTGGTATAGACTGATAGTACACACTCTCTGATATATAATAATAAAAAAAAACAAAATCAATATGGCAATTCTGTAAATAGTATATATATATTGTTCCTAGAGTTAGAGCTAGGGTTAGGGTCAGTGGCGGAGCCAGAAAATCTATTCATCGGGGTCAAATTTTTTTTTCTTTCTAAAAGATGCATAAAAAGTAGCTTTATAAGTCGATATACTAAAAGATGTGAAAGATGTTTTCTTGTTTCCACCGTCACACGATCAAAGATTGATTAAAACACACAAAAAAGAAAGAAGAAGAAGGTAAAACGTTTTAGATCAGCTCAAAATAATGTTAAAATATTATATTAGTTCATATTAATAGGTTTAATTGTAGTAGATTTACTTAAAATAAATTTTATTAGGCTAATATTATCTATAAGTACAGTGTAATTATTGTGTTTGTAACATAAATTTTTTTTTATAGGGATCAATATTTTTATTGGATTGGGGTCAATAATTTTTTTTATATAAAAAATCAACTATTTTTAATAATTTCACCGGGGTCAATTGACCCCTATGAATCTTCTCTCCCTCCGCCCCTGGTTAGGGTTTGAGTTGTTTGATTATGAATTTGTGAGATGCATCGAGGTGAGATTAAAATCATATCAAATTTTGATTTTACATTTTACACAATCAATGTAAGTCCAAAACTTATCCAAATGATCAATAAGTTTCGAATTAACTAGATTTCTTTTCTTAATTTTAAGTTAAATTTTTATTTTTTATAAAAAAAAATTGATTGTTAAATTTTTCTCATAAAGTTTAATAAGTTACTTTAGCTAGAGAACTTGACAATAAGCTACCGTTGTTTACTTGTTTAACTCACGCAACTTTAACGTGAAAAAATGATGAGAGCACAGTTTAACACGGTGAAAAATATGAGAACGTGGATTGACGTATATATCCAATAAATTTACCTGAAATGATCAATTAGCAACATATGACTCATGATGTTTCATTATAGATTTATTTTACTTTATTTCTGTTTCTCGTGACCTTAAAAACGTTTTTGCGTATAACTTCTTAATTCGAATTCTGAATTGGCTTTCTAAGTTATAAAAGCTTCTAAATTACGCTAGCCCACTATATTTTAAGTAGTTGTAAGACTTTTTTCTTAAGTTAATGACTCATATTCAATTAAAATGACTCATTTCCTACAAATATCTATATATACATGTGTTCCTATTGTGAGCATTTTTTCTCTCTGGCTCTGGTCTTGAATCTATATATAATATTAAGTATATCTTTTATATATTTATTATGCATGTCATACAACGTAGTATCTAGAAAATGAAGTATGTCTACATGCACTACAATATAGCATTATAGCACACATGTTCTAAAGAACATTGGTAAAGTAAAAAAGAGTGACTGTTCAGTAATTACAGTAATTATTTATTACATACGAAATGGAAATAATTAAAATAGTCCAAGCCGATTACGTAATCTCCTCATCGGTATGTGCCCAGAATCGTACATCCAAATAACACAAATTGTGAGAAAGGCAGTAGCCAAAGCTGATACTAGCACGTCAAGGTCATAATAATTAAAGGATCAATGTTGAGAAGCAAACGCCAAAGAGCAGGCTCAACATAATACTATATCGGGCTCTTAGTGGAAGAGATTCGTCCGATATTTCTTTCATGGATGATGGGGACAGCCGGACAGCGTCAAGGCAATTAACGACGCGGTTTCCTCTTTGGTCTTAACTTTAATAAAAAAGTAAAGCTAATCTTACGTGTTCACCCGTCGATCAACCTAATACTTAGTTTCTCGTTTTGTTCCATTTTTTGTTTATTTTGTAGGTAGGTCTTCTGTACCATTCAATTCTTATTTTTAATTTAATGACGAAAAATCCTTAACAAAAAGAAAAGGAAAATAAAATGAATTCCTGTCTTCATATAACATGCGATCAATTTACTGCTATATGTTTCTTTTCTTAAAATCGAGTATATCATCAACCCAACATTTACAAAATTTATATAAACCCAAAAACTTCTATAGCATGGTCTAGTTTTTTTTTTTTTTTTTCCCCGGCCACAATTATATTTTGTATAACTCAGCGATATATATGTACAATGGTAAATGTGGTTGACAGATGTTATCCACATACGGTCCATTAGTGAATAAGTCATCTAATCATAATACACTGAAAAAAATATTACGTTTAATGCAAAGAGAAGTTTAGGTTTTAGATGGTCGAACAAACAAATTACTTTTTCCATAATTAACTAGCTTGTCAAAAAAATTCAATAAAGTAGACTCACCTTGACCTTGTATTAAAGCGGACGCAGAACCGCGTGAATAATCTGCTGTTTAGGGCAAGGTGAAAGTTGAAAAGAAAAATCATTCATCCGAAATGGGTCTTCTCGCCACGCATAGTAAATTTACGCTGTTTACGTAATTAATTTGATTCATTTTCAATAATATACATATAATATCGTAGACGTTATAGTATAAAATTATATAGTGTTACATAAACAATAATTTCGGATTAGTAATATTTATTTTCACTAGATTGAAACTGATGTGAATTTTTTATTTTATTTTTTAAAAATATAATATTAACTATATACCGTAAATGCATTAGGCTTGTAAACCTAGTTTTGTTTATCAACTAAGTAGGAAAATATAGAAAGTTAGAGATGTTGATCATGTGATCGAGTGTGAGTCGATCGATCATATGGAGCCCACAAAAGTTTATTTAATAATCCCAATGTTTTTTTTTTAATTTAAATAGCCTTCTCCCTCAATCCTCATTACAGCATCATTTGCTTTTCATTTTCATTCATTTTTTTTTTTTATCAAACTTCATTCATCTTCTATCTTAGTATTTTCTCCAACAAAAAGGTATCTGAGATTATGAAAAACATGCTTTTTCTGAACTGGTTCTTATTTTTGTGTGGTTAATTGTTTTTAAAAAGATATTTTTGTCTAAAAGCTCCACTTTTTTGTTCTTTTGGGTGTGAGTTCATTTGATGTTCTTGGAGAAAACCAAAAGCATGGTTCTAAATAGCGTTTTTTGATCCAAGAAAAACTAGAGATTTTGATTTCCGGTTGAAGTTTGTGCTAGTTGGGTGTGTTGTGTAAATTATTTGGTGTAAAAAAAGGAAAGAGCAAACAAATCTTGTAATTCGTTTGGTTTTACAAGAAAAAAATAGAGATTTTGGTTTCACGGTTGAAGTTTGTGCTATCAAAATGTCCTTTGATTTTGCATTTTTTTATTTTAATTTGTAATTTGTTTATTTTGTAGAAAATGGGAAAGAACGAACCAACTATAGGTGGAAAACCTAAAACACAAAAAATACCCAATGAACTTAAGCTTCAAGCTGCATCGGCTAGGAAGAAAGGCACGAGCATCACACCTCAAATTGATGAAAACGCGGGCTTTGAAAAAATACATTACTTTAAAGTGCAATATTTATGTAAGCCGATAGATTTGATTCTTACTAACTAATTATTTGATTATTAGGAGTTTGGAGACAACAGTTCCTTGTCCAGAGATTGGAGAACTGTTGCGACGATACTTGGGATTGTTGTTGCTCAAAAACGAGGTGAAGAATTTTATATTGCATAATTTTTTTTTTCTTTTTGTAATTGTAATTATATATATTAACATTTACAAGTATCAAATATTCTTTAAATGTTACAGAAATATGTTGGGCACTAGCTTTGGCGCGCCTTCTCCAAGCCGTATACAACGTCAATCTTGAAGATAAGAAATCATATTTGGAATTCATGCACGAAGACCTTCTACAACATCTAAAACCAAAAGAAGTTACCAGCAAAGTAGCAAGTTTAGAGCTTAAGAACATCAAAAAAGCTGTCGCTCATATATATCAGAGTTGACGGATTACTTACGGTCAGTAGCACTGCAGGAAGTAACAAGGTATTTATAATATTTATATACTGTTGAAGTTTGTATTGTATATTATGCAAATATGCGTTGATTATTAATAATAAATTAATATTGCGGACTTAGGTCTATTGGTAATTAGATCATGATCAATTTATTTGGTGTTTATTGACAAAATATAAATAGAAAAAAATGTAAACTGTGTTTTTATAAAAGAAGAGTTAATAAAAGATCTGATTGCTTTGTTATTTGAAAATAAATTAGGCAGGGGGCTCGGGACATCATGAGAAATGGGATTTTTAAATAGAAGAAAATGCTACAGCCGAATTTATTAGAGAAAAGCTTGATTTCTCACCTGTAGCCATCTCTTTCCACGTAGCTGATAATGAATTCCAGGCAATTGGGAAGGTTGGTAACAAAAAAATCACTACGTACTAGTAATTAATAGAAAATATCCATCCCACTCTGACTCTGCTATTGATTGATTTACATGTGTAATTTTAATAACTCTACACCAATATTTCAGGGAATCTACAAAGTCAGAATTCTAAAGGCAGAAGATGGGAAAAAAGTATCATCTCACATGGTTCTAGTTGTAGGATATGGTTACACAAAAGATGATCATAAACTGTTTTTCCTCATCCAGAACAGCTGGGGAAAACTTTGGGGCGTGAATGGTTACGGCCGCATCTTCATCGACCAGAACTCGGGAGCTACTGCAATTTATCCATGATTTCATTGTGGTTGATCAAAAGTCTAAAACTATAGTTGTGTTTTGGTCGGATGAAAGTCTGAAACTATATCCCTCTTGTGAATACTCTACTACTTTTGTTGATCACTTTCTTTATCTTTGAGTCTTCAAGATATTACTGCTTTGGTAATTTAGAATATCTTTGAATGGGTAAATAATTGTGTGGATTTTGGTCTCCCTTTCATTTCAGAAAGCTTTTGCTTCTTCTAAGTAAATTTGAAGTGATAAATTATGGTGACTTTTCTTTTAAGAGATCTATGCAACAGCAAGATATATTATATATGCCAAGTAACTGGACTGGTACATATAGTTTGGTTTACAAATTTATGATCGTCCACTCTCGAGAGTTAAAAGACAAAACTCACAAACATATTAAACAGAAAAAGACATCTAGATTAACGAGTTTCAGCTTACAAGGATAAACCCATAAATGCTTTGGCTCAGTAGATTACAACAATAATAAGAGGTCTTAATGCTTTTAATTAAATAAGTTTCTAATTAAATCCATTACAACAGCATAACAAGCTTATAAGTTTTACAACGACAACTCTTTTGACTCGGTTTTTAGTCATGGCAACAATAGCAGGATCCGCATCATCAATCTGCAATCAGTCGAAACAAACCACATCCTTTTAGTTAATCAGATCGTAATAACAAGTTTCCCATGTTATATACCAATATAACCATTGCTTTACAGAACATAACAAAAACGCAGACTGAGATTGTAGAGATGCATCAAATAATTATCTTCCAAACTATTTTTTAACAAGCAGGCGAATATGATGCTCTTGGCACATCATATATTATACTTTCATATGAAAGAAAGTAGAGAGGACGATAATAAACATGGATCTACAGATAAGTAGGAAATATATAATAGATACCTAACTGTCTCTGTTCAGAGGCTGGTCTGCAGAGGAGTGGATGGATGTTTCTCTGCCAGACCTTCCATTCAGCTTTGCCTTGATACTCCACAAGCTCTCCTTCAGGGGACTCCTTAGCCATGAAAGTAATATATGCTTTGACCCCACCGCCCAATATCACAACGGCCCTCACGATATGGTCCATCACCAAATTCTTCTTCTGTATATAAAGCAAGACAATTCCAGTGATCAGCCTAAGTTAGATTATAAACTTATATATATTTTCACATAGCTAGTTAAACAGAGTGGATGACACGCAAACTAGCCTTTGTTTCGTTGTATTTTGCAATGACCACTTTGAGCATGTTTTCCATGTACTCCCGCCCTGAAATGTCGGGGGGACTAAAGTAGGCATCAAGGTCAAGAGGATTAAATCCACAGTAAATTCGATCCGGATTCGTCGGAAGGTAATCTCGTGGCACATCGAAACCCTAAGTAATTAACAACAATGACGATTAATAGGCTTATATATATTCTTAGTGATATACTTGAGATTAGCATCATATATACCTCGCTTTTGTGACATTGACGCAGGTATCGCCGCCAGTCCTCAGTGTCTTCAGGATCAGAATTGCATTCAAAACCCTCAAAGCTATCAACATCCCATTCTTGATCGCTTTCGATACTGTCCGTATCCTCAACTTCATCTTCATCTTCATCTGCCTTCTCGTCTTCGTCTTCCCCCTCGCTTGCCGCAGAAATCTCGGCCTTTTCCAGAGCCAAGAAACCAAAATCGGTGGATAGTTCCATGGATCTCGTCCTCCCTAGCTCGATATTTGCTCCTTCAATCGTATCGACATCACTGGATTTTGGATCCATTTTTCCCAGGTAAAACCCTAGAATTCTAGGACTCGGACAAGTTAGACAAGACCAAAGCACAACAAATATTTTTAACACGTTGGTTTTTCTTTTATATATAATTAATATTAAATTTAAATATATATTTAAGGGAAAAAGATACCTAGCTACACGAAGTATGCTACAATACATGGCCACACATCCGAAGTTTAAAAATGTATCCCTAACTACACAAACTATATGTATCGCATGCCCACATATACGAACTATATGTAGTCATGTCGCCAACATCACGAACATTTTTTTCCGGTACACTTTTCGCCGGAATCCGGCATTGACCAGTTTGACCGGCGTTGACCAACATAAATATTAAAAAAAAAAAAATATTTTAGTTTTTTAATATTTAGAAAATTATGTTATTGAATCATTTATAATATTGTATAATTAAAAAAATATATACAATATTCAATATAAAAATATTTTGTATATATATTCAATGCATTGATTTTTATAATTAGTTAGATTCAATAATTTCAAAACTAAACTAAAAATAAAACAAAAACCAATTAGGTAAAATAATTATAAATAGAAAATTTTAAATACTCTCTAGTCTAAAGTTTTTTTTATAATATGTTGTTAATTGTTTTTGTATTATTAAAAGAATTTTTCGTAATAATTTTAGATACAAAAATTAACAACATATTATACAAAAAACATTAGACTAGAGAGTATAGAAAATTTCATATTTACAATTATTTTACCTAATTGGTTTTTATTTTATTTTTAGTTTAGTTTTGAAATTATCGAAACTAACTAATTATACATTGAATATATATACAAAATATTTTTATATTGAATATTGTATATATTTTTTTAATTATATAATATTATAAATGATTCAATAACATAATTTTCTAAATATTAAGAAACTAAAAAAAAAAAAATTGAATATTTATGTTGGTCAACGCCGGTCAAACTGGTCAATACCGGATTCCGGCGAAAAATGTATCGGAAAAAAATGTTTGTGATGTTGGCGACATGACTACATATAGTTCGTATATGTGGGAATGTGATACATATAGTTTGTGTAGTTAGAGATACATTTTTAAACTTCGGATGTGTGGCTATGTATTGTACCATACTTCGTGTAGCTAGATATCTTTTTCCCTATATTTAACACCTTAACCGTGGCTATTACAAGTACACTTTTAAGATAAAACAAGACAGATTAAAAAAAAAGTTGTAATGAAAACATCATATGAAATTATACTTCTGTCTTGATGTTTAATCAAAACATCATATGAAATTAAACAACATTCCTTAATTTCATATGAGTAATCATATCATCATTATATGTTGCTAACTGCTCATTTCAAGTTGTTTTTTTTTTGGAAATGTATATAAACAGAAGTTCAATTCTCATAGATATCATATACATAAACAAAAAAAATTACATAATTTCATATGATCAATCATATATATCAACACTAATAAATTAAGTCACGTGTTTCATGTAATATATTGTTATTTGTCAGTATCTATCTTATAATCTAGTAACATAACTTTAAATATAATCTTATCTTATAAATTAATGATGATATGATTAATCATATGAAATTATGACAAGTGACTTAATTTTACTATTAATTTTACATATATAATATTTCTTAATCTTAAAGTAATATTTAGATTTTTGTAAATAGTGCTTGACATGGAAACATATCATAAATTCATAATTTAATAAGTTTACAATATATCACATAGTTCTATTTTCTTAGCAAGATTTATCATACGGATTTGAATACAAATAGTGACATAACTATATCACTAATACAAATAATAATCATACTAAATGTTTTTTGGTCAAACATTTCTTTATCGATGTCACATATTTTGTTATTATTAACACTCCCAAAAAAATCACAAAACCTGACTTAAACAAATCAAATAAAACAAACCTAATTTGTTTATAAATAAATAATTTTTTTAATCGTCTTTTCCCTGGCATATTTGTAATAGTTTTGAAGTGATCAAGAAAAGCGAGAAAAAAACTGAACAACATTAAAATCACAAAAATACACACGTCTCTATAAATATTTAGCCTTGAAATTTATAGTACTTGATTCACGATTTTCGAAGAAGAAAAGGATCGACAACATGGTGGATAGAGAAGATGAGCAAGAAAACGTAGAGAACCAATGCAACTAAACCGGCGATTAAAGCTCCGGTTATCTGATCGCAAAATCTTGGTACTTGGCCGCAAATTGGTAACCAACCTGCGTTTGCGTTTCCTCTTTTTCCCACTTGTGCCACTGCCACCGCCGCTGATAAGCTTGACGTCAGCAGCATTGTCACCATCTTGACGGTTAATTTAGCATTTACAATTACAAAATGATTAAACACACATATTTATCGAAGATGAGCAGTAAGTCAATAACTAAGAACATTACAAGTATCATTATTCAAATATTTTGTTTTATTTTCCTAAAATGTTTATTATCATTACTGTTATATATAGATATATAAATGTTTTTGAATTGTCAACATAGTTAGATTAGATCTTTTATCTAATTAATACTCCCTCCGTTTCAGTTTAGTTGTCGTTTTAGGATCAAAATTTTGTTTCATAATAGTTGTCGTTTTAGGTTTTCAATGCAAATGTTTGGTGAAAATTCATGTTTTGTCTTTAATGTTTTAATGTTTTGACCAATGAAAAAATTATAAAATATATTAATAAATGGTAAAACAAAAAATTTAATGATTTTCTTAATTTGTGTGCGAAAACCTTAAACGACAACTAAAACGAAACGGAGGGAGTAGTAAATTAAAATAAAATACAGCCACCTGAGTTAATAATTAACATAAGCTTGAATCTCGATTCTCCCTTGAATTCGAATTCAATAGCATGAACACTTATAAGCCACTACTAGTTACATGATGATAGGAATGTCTATTTCAGTTAAACCAATGCGTACCTAATTTTTTTTTTTTTTTTTGCGTACCTAATTTTGGTTACGCTCCAGAATGTATTTTTGATACCATTAGTTAAAAAGAAAGAAGTTGAAAGTATAATTAATTACCAAGTCCAACACAACGACGAACTTCCACAATAAACTCTCCTTTGGAAGAAACAGAACGAGAAAGCTATAAACAGTCACAATCGCATTTGCGATCACGAAGTACCTGCCATACACACATGAATGCATAAGTACTTATCATTACAATACATATATATGCTTGTCTAAATCCTAATTAAACACGCAAAATAGGAAAAACTTACTTAAACGCAGCCAAATCGCTATACTTAGCTACTAGGGAGATGACGAAGAAGGAAGATCTTTCACGGCTGGTGATCATTGCGATAACCGCTCCTAATGCGGCACAAAATGCCGCAAATCGCAGTACCAACCCACCCAATCTCTGCGTTAACTTCACCATCACGTTAGTTTTTTTTGGATCTCTGGAGAGTTTAAACTGTAGAATTGAACTATGGAAGGGAAAAGGAGAGAGAGATAATTAGGAAAACAAAATCACGAAATATAAACCAAAGTAAAATGAATATCTTATTGATGTGTTGGATGGGTTGGTTGGGTTTTCTTCAACTGTCTCCACCGGTCATGCAATATTTATTTTTTGTTTAAAGATATTTAAAAAGCCAAAGAATAATTAAACTAAATTTGTAATGAAACCATGGACATTTTTCAAGCTTATATTCTTTAATTACTATAGATTAATTCGGTATTATAAGCTTATACAACTCAAATTTCATTTTGGAAAAGGATAATTCCTAATTTGATGACATCATAAAATGAACAAAAAATCTGTTTTGAAGTGTTGTCCTCACTTAGGTGTACCCTCTGGGTTGTTTAGTCTGTAGTTAATGTATTAATGATTAGCTTTGCTCGTTTTATAAGAAGAAGAAATAATATTGAGTTTCTAGTCTTAAAACTTGCGTGGCTACAGAAACTGGCTCAAAAGGGTTACAAAATTTATGTGTTTGCTTCAACCATGTAGAACTCACTTGACCCAAGACATGATCTATGTATCTGATGTTATCAAATCGCAGCCAGAAGTCTACCTCTTTGCTTCCTTTGATCCTCATTGATGATCCGTTCATTATAAAGTTATGACAATAGAACAACTATTGTGTCCCAACTGGTTCTGTTGTTAGCACATGCTGATGGTGTTTCTGCCTTTACGAGTTATGGACCTGCCCATTCTTAAGCGGCGTCCTGTTAGTGAGTCCAGTAGTATGACCAAAGCTTCCTCGACTGCATCAGCTTGTTTGTCTAACTCGTAACTGCTTAACTGTGGGAGAAGACTAAGCTCAGATAGGAGTCCAATTGCTGCTGCAGCCGTGCAGGTCCGGTCCCATGATGGTTGTGGCCTGTAAGTCAAAGATCAAATGATGAAGGAGAGCACTATTGTGGGAGAGAGATTGGACCAGGAACATGAGTAATTTAGCGGTTTGAGACTATTTTTACCGGAGTTTGTGCATTGCTGATGCACCGGTTGCAAGAGATATACAAGGAAGATCTTCATCTCCCCATACTGACTTTGCATGATCCTACAGATGAGTTCATAATTTAAGCATCTTTCGTTAAGGAAGTTCTTTAGAAAAAGGAAAAAAAGATGAAATCCATGTACAGTGTGATCAGCATGTACCTTTAATCGCTTGAGCATTGCAGCAGAATTGTTCCACGTGCCATCAAGCAGAATGAAATGCAGAGTTTTATCCTCATCTGTCTGGGAAATATAGAAAGTGTAGAGTTCGATGACCTTTCAGTCTATATCCTTACACAACTTAATCTAAGAATTTTTCTGTTTGAAATAAGCAACCATAGAAGAACAGAGAGTCTATAGTCAAAACATTGCAATCTTTACCATGGATGATCCAGGATTTTCTGAAGCCAAACTACCAAAAGCGTCTTTAACCGAGAAAGTTAATTCCGAGTTGTGGTTGGGATAGAGGCAACGGACTTGGTTTTTTCCTGAGCATCCATCAGTACAGAAGACAAGTCTTTTAGCAAAATCAATTGAGTGACATCGATTTAAGGTTAAACAAATGCATCTACACTAAGACTAGAAGAATCAACTACCTGCACGCTTGAATTCATTCCACATGATCTCTTCATCTTCAGCTATTCCAAAGACGCAGAGTGTAGCTGATTGGACGCCAAATATCTGCCACAATAGCTTCCCTGTGTTGTTCTGGCGTAGGAAATCCTGCCAACAGCTAAACAGCATATCAATACATAGGAATTGGCGACTGGAATAGCCAAAACTAGTGGGTGAAATACCAACCCTAGGATGCATATACAGCCAAAAACGTATCCGTTTCCATAAACCACATGGCTTGACATATGAACACATGCAATCCTCCATAGCAAGCCAACACTGCATATTCAGAAAATGTTTCGCCTCTTAGGTATTGAGTTGTTATTCATGGCAAATACAACAATTCAAGAACAGTAAATGAAGTACCTTCTGGCATAAATAACCCCTGCTCCCGAGCAGCCGACAAGCAATCTGTCGAGCAGAGAAAAACAGAAACTTTTTCTCCGGGTCATCTAATGCTTCATATGTAGCCCTATGCTTCTTATCTTCGTATGCACCAAACGGTCCCTGTGATAGTTGCACAGAAGTATAAGTATTAATAAGCTCACTAACATTTAAGAGCCAAAAGATCAAGTCAATCATATAAACGAGAGGAAGAAACCACTGGCACATAGCACCACATTCGTAACCATAGCTCAAATCAGGAACGGCGACTCTCTAACTTAGCTTACTACTGGTTTGAACACAAAATTACAAAAACAGATTCATAGTTATCCAATAGAAAGCACTAAACAATCTAAGCATAAACGTAACAAAGGAAACAAGCAACGAGGTTTCATTCATCACGATAGTCATCGGCATTTACCTGTAACTTGCCACCATTACCACCAAACTCTATCGGAGAATCCAATTTACACTCCAGAACTTTCAGATCCTCCACAATCTGTTTGACCGCGGCTGGAAGTGGAGACACCGGACCCCATCTCCGCCACTCCTCTACCGAGATGATTCCGTCATCACAACCTTCGAATTCCCTCGGCTGATAACGAGAATTAGCGGAAGTCATAAGCAGTCTCCGGCCAACAGCTCCGAGATCACGGCGGTGAAACAGTAGAGACGGAGAGAAATCGAGTACTGATGCTCCGGCGATATAACGCATCGTCTTTACTGTATCGAGCAATATTAATTTTATTTTACAGGTAATTGAATAATCATGGGCTTTAATGAAACCAAGGCCCAGTAGGCTTAGAGCTTGAAAGGTATTTAAGAATTTATGTATTTAGATATAAATATTAAATAATAGGGAATTTAACGAGAATAAATTAAATTATATTAGCTCTAACCATATTGTAAAGAAAAAACAAAAAAGATTGATCAAAATCAGTCGTCTTCTTCTATCTCTCATTTTCGATTTTTTTTGTTATCTTCTTTCGTCTGGATATCATTACATTTGGGACTCAAGAAGAATCGAAAAAAATCTTGATTTCTCTCTCTCTCTATCTCTCTATCTCTCTCTACACAACAATGGCTGCTTTCACTTGTACTTCCAGTCCGCCGATTTCAATCCGGTCAGAGATGAGAATCGCTTCCTCGCCGACGGGTTCCTTCTCTACTCGACAGATGTTCTCTGTGTTACCTGAATCCAGCGGATTGAGGACTCGCGTTTCTCTCTCTTCGGTTTCGAAGATTTCTAGGGTTTCCCGATTACGACGAGGCGTTATCTGCGAAGCTCAGGAAACTGCTACAGGAAGTATGTTCTCTCGTCTCTGTAAATCTGTTATTTTTCGATAATGCCTTTGTTTCTGTGAATTCGTATTGCTTAACTCTCATGTGGGTCTCTTTTAGTGTCTATGAATGACTTCCCTGTTGAAAATTAGTGGTTGGTCTGGGTAAAATTCTGCAACTTGGAAAAAGTAGTGAACTTGGAAGACAACTAGAGAAGGTTTCTTTGGATTTGAACCTCTGTTATATTTATGAATTTGCACAAATTAGGATCTCTAAGTATCTATATGTTTTGTTATCCCTTCATTCACAATTCTAAACCCATAGTAGTGACCATTGATGTTGGTTTTTGCTGTTTGAAACATGCAGTTCCAGTGGTCAACGATTCAACATGGGAGTCTCTAGTTCTCAAGGCTGATGAGCCTGTGTTTGTCGACTTTTGGGCTCCATGGTGTGGACCTTGCAAAATGATTGATCCCATTGTCAACGAATTGGCACAACAGTATGCAGGGAAGTTCAAGTTCTACAAACTTAACACTGATGATTCTCCTACTACCCCTAGCCAGTATGGTGTTAGAAGCATCCCAACTATCATGATCTTTGTCAAGGGTGAGAAGAAGGATACAATCATCGGTGCAGTGTCTAAAACCATTTTAGCAACCAGCATCGACAAATTCTTGTAATCAAGTCTAGTAGTCACTGTTAAAGGTCTCTCTTTTCTCTGTATCTCTCAAGTCTGAACCTTTTACCTATCTACTCCCCCACTCATCACTGTTCATCTAGACTTGTATAATAATATATATGATGTCTCAGATTTTCAGAAATTGAGTTTACGATTTTATGTCATTTTTACCAATCTACACGGTTTGAGGAGACCAGGTCATAAGGGATAAAATTCTAATCTCTAACTAACAATATTGAATACAATTGCAAAACTGAGATAAGGTCAGACCATTACACACACAAACTTACAAAACTTTGTGATGACAAAAGTTTCATCTTTAGAACCTTAAGGATGTTCTTCTAATTTCTTATTGAAAACATTGAATAACATTGCATAACTGAGACAAGGTCAAAACATTACACACAAACTTACAAAACCTTGTGATGATAAAATTAAAGTCTGATCTTTTGAACCTTAAGGATGTTGTTTATAACCAGAATAAAAGTCGCTTAATCCTCTTCATGTCATCAAGAGAATATATCTCTCACATTTATAACTCTACAGAACCTACAAAGTTACTCACTCTGTCTCTGTGCACAGATTCTCTCTCTTTTCGAATCTGTCTCTCTGTTTTTGCTTTGTAAAGTCTTCAAGTCATTCTCACTTTTTCTAACCTGTTTTATTGTTTTCTCAGTTTTAAACTTGCTCTTTACGATGATCAAATATTCATTAAGTTTTAGGATTAGTCTGAGAGTTTAGAGTTTAGAGAGTTTAGAGTTTAGAGAGTCTGAGAGTTTAAAGCTTATCAAAACTTACTTACTCTTTTTGTTCAGGAGATTTAAAGTGAAAGTAGCACTGATCAAGACTATGAAGTGTGACATTAAATCTGAACCAGGGATCACATCACCCACTGGTTTCCTATCAAATCCAAATGAGTTGACTATTTCCAAAGACAATGATGATGAAGCTGAGATTATGAATCCAGGGATTTTGTGTGCAGTAAGAGCAGGTGACAAAGTCTCCCTCCTGAAAAGGATAAAAGATGACGTAAAGGTCACTCAACGACTCGTAGACAATCAAGGGAATTCAATACTTCATATTGCTGCTGCTTTGGGCCATGTCCATATAGTGGATTATATAATCTCTGAATTCCCAAATCTTCTACAAAAAGTGAATCTGATGGGTGAGACAGCTCTTCATGTTGCAGCCAGAGCAGGCAACTTCAATATTGTTGAGATTCTTGTTCGATCCATTACAGAGTCTTCTTTGTACGATGATTTAATTGATGCTAAAAGCAAGAACGGAGATACTGCACTACATGCTGCGTTGAAAGGAAAACATGTTGAGGTGGCTTTCTACCTAGTAAGTGTGAAGCATGATGTATCATTTGATAAGAACATTGATGAAGTATCTCCATTATATCTGGCTGTAGAAGCTGGATATCGCGAGCTCGTGCTTAAAATGCTTGAATGTTCATCTTCATCCCCATCTAAACTAGCTTCGATGTTGAGTGGGAAATCTGTTATACATGCAGCAATGAAGGCCAATAGAAGAGGTTTGTTCCTATGTTGGTTCAACCTTGTGCGCAAAGTTTTTTACATGTTTTAATTCTTTCTTGGTGTTTGCTTTCGCAGATATCCTTGGTATTGTTCTTAGACAAGATCCAGGACTTATTGAATTACGCAACGAAGAAGGAAGGACATGTCTTTCCTATGGAGCATCAATTGGATCTTATGAGGGAATTCGTTATATACTAGCAGAGTTTGACAAAGCAGCTTCACACCTTTGTTATCTCACTGATGATGATGGCTTCACTCCAATTCATATGGCAGCAAAGGAAGGACAAGTCAGAATCATTAAGGAGTTTCTTAAACACTGTCCTGACTCAAGAGAGCTACTTAACAGTCAATGTCAGAATATTCTTCACGTTGCTGCCAAAGCTGGTAAGTCGAAAGTTGTTAAGTATATTTTAAAGCTTGATGAAGGGAAAAGACTGATGAATGAACAAGATGTCGATGGAAATACACCGTTACACCTAGCCTCCAAACACGGATACCCGATGGTTGTGAATATGCTTACATGGAACGATGGTATTAACCTCACAACACTCAACAATGACGGCTTTACTGCTCTAGATATTGCTGAGACAATGAAGGACAATAATACTTACGTACTTTATAAGGTATGTCAAATTTGAAGATTCATGTAGTTGATGCTAAACACATCCTTTTAAATTCCTATGGAAAATGTATATAAAGTCTCCTATAACTTATTTTTATTGGGTGACAGAGATTGATTTGGATGGCTTTGGTATCTGCTGGAGCACCAAATGGTCCGAACCCGATTCCATTGAATATGTCACAGAGTCGCATACAGAGTCCAGAGAGATACAAGGATAGTGTCAATACTCTTATGGTGACTGCAACACTCGTAGCAACTGTGACCTTCGCTGCAGGTTTGACATTACCCGGTGGTTACATGAGTTCTGGTCCAGATTTAGGCATGGCTGCATTGGTCAATGAGTTGAATTTTAAGGTATTTCTGTTGTTCAACAACATTGCAATGTGCACTTCTGTGATTACTATAATGGCTCTTATTTGGGCACAACTGGGTGATGCTCTTCTGACAAAGAAAGCTTTTCAACTGGCTTTACCACTTCTGTTAACGGCTATTGTATCAATGATGATGGCATCTGTGGCTGGAATCACTCTTGTGGTGAGCGATCTCCCATGGCTTTCCCATCTTGTATTAGCCATAGATTCAGCCTTCTTGGTAGTCCTGATGCTACTTATCATTCCTTATGCTTTCTCGTCTACAAGACAAGGCTTTCTCAGACACATCTTCTACTTTCCTTATTTCCTGATGCTTTTGGTTGTCAACGAAGAGAGCAACAACATGGATGGTTAAAGAATGGCCTGTTCTGTTCTGTTTTGTATCAATGATGATGGATGGTTAGTGTTCTTTTATGAGTGAAAGTTTGTTTTTAACAGTTTTTGTATCTCACAAGTTTGTAATTGTGTTTTTACAAAGTAACCAAAGATAAGCAACAACAAAAATCGGTAGAGACCTTAGTTGCATGATCTTGTCGGTTGCAAAGACCTCACATGATCCCGACTTTGCTCCTCTCGATTTCAACGGTCCATTCTCTGTTTCAACAAATAAGAAACCTAATTTATCTTGAAATGATAAATTGTTACGCACTAGATAATTAATTTTACGTAAAAATAACAAATATGACCGTTACGCACTAAAACTCAAATAATTTTACGCAGAAATAACAAATATGACCGTTGTGAGCAAATTTCCATTATTTTGCAGCCTAATTGAAATTTCCTTTTTCTTAACCTCGTCAGAAAAAAGGAAACAATAGAGAGACTTTCCTTTTTTTTTCTATTGAACAACGTTTGCTTATAAATACTCACTATTCTTCCTTGTGAAATCAAAATTCTTCATCTTTCATCTTTTTCTCTTTTTTCATACCTCTAGTTTCTTCCGCAGCAAAGCTCTGCGATTTTTTTGGTCCGATCTTTCATCTTTCATCGAGACTAAAACTAAAGAAACCATCTTTCATCTTTTTCTTTTATTAATACCTCTAGAAACCATCTTCTGGATCGAGACCGTACGTGAAGAAGATGATCCATTCAGAGATTGAAGTGAGCCGATGATCTATGTAACGATTTCATCCGTAGGATTGGTCGGAGGAAGACATCTCGTTTCGGGAATGATCTCCATCCTCTGTCTTCTTCTGTTAATCGAGTACGATTTCAGGTCGGCTCTACCCTAATTTCACCGTTCTCATGAGATTACGAAGAAAAAACAAAGCGGCAAAGAAGATTTACAGAGACAGGGAGGGTTAGTGAAGACGAGGACCAGTGCAGTAACACTAAAGAAGGACTAGGCAATCGAACAGAGCAGGTTCAATCGAAGGAGAGCACCAAGACGGCGATGGATACGAGAGCGGGAAAGAGGATAACGAAGAGAGAGAGACGGTGTTTCCATGTCTGAGATCATGACAACGTCGCCGGAGGATGATCGATTAAGCTTTTTCAGGTTACTCATTCTCTTCTTTAACATTATTATTATCTTTGGTAGCTGGTAAAGTTAGCAATTTCCTTCGAGGGTTTAATATTTTGGTGTTTAGGGTTTTGTTGTTTGTCTTTGTCGTCTCTAAGAATATCAAGAATCTGGGTATTATCTTGTTTCTATGACCAAAATTGAAGAACTATAAAAGTTATTTTATTTCTCTGGATTACATGGTGATCATAGTTGTCATTGCTTTGGTGATCGATGATGTATGTCGAATTGTGTGATTTGTGTCTTGTTTTTATTTTTCTGTGTGTGAGCTAACTATCGTCTCTATATCTCCAAGAATTGACCTGAAATCAAGAAGTTGAGGGTTTTTTCGTGTTCTCTCTGATGGCAGATTTTCGATAAGGATTCTATTGCGCAGAAGTTCCGGGACATGACGGTGGAGATAGAAGCAGAGTTTCATGTTTCCATGGATGATCGATTAATCTCTGTGTTTCGTCGATAACACGAGCACCAGCCACCAAGGTACACCTCTCTTAATTTCTTTTTCTCTCTCCTCTTAAGAGATTTTTATTTCATATTTTATAAATTTAATTAACTTTTAAAATCATTTTTTTAAATAAAAATTTAACTTCACTATAAATATTAATAACAAATATTTTCAAAACTTTAACAATTAAAAATTTCACTTAAATTCTTTTAATTCTACTAAAATTATAAAAATGTTACACTTAAACTTTAAAAATATTGCTTTTAAACCTTAACATGTTAATTTCACTAGTTTTTTAAAAAATTTAGTATAAGTGTTAAATTTTAAACACGTCGAAACTAACCGCGCCTAGCATCCTGTCCTTAGTTGGTCCGTAAGCTTGGTGTTCGAAGTTCGGTATGTTTTCACGTGATATAGATTTAACGCTTAAACTCATTTTTAAAAATAATAGTGATTTTGACTAAATTTTTTAAAAAATTAAAAACTTAAAATTTAAAAAATAACATTTTAAAACTAAAACCATGTTAATTTCACTAAAAATATAAATTAACAAAATATTTTCAAAACCTAAAATTTAATACTTAAAAATAATTAAAAAAAGTAATAATAATTTTCACTTAAATTCTTTTAATTTTACTAAAATTTATAAAAAAATTTAACACTTACACATTTAAAATTTATTTCAATAATTTAACACTTAAAACCTTTACCATGTTAATTTCAATAATTTTTTTAAAAGTTTAAATGTTAAATTTTAAACACATCGAAAACTAACCGCGCCTAAGCATCATGTCCTTAGTTGGTCTGTAAGCTTTGGTATTCGAATAAAAATAAATATTTTCAAAACCTAAAATTTAATACTTAAAACTAATTAAAAAAAATAATAATTTTCACTTAAATTCTTTCCATTTTACTAAAATTTATAAAAAAAATTAACACTTAAACATTTAAAAACCTTTAACATGTTAATTTAAACAAAATTTTTAAGTGTTAAATTTTAAACATGTCGAAAACTAATCGCGCCTAGGCATCCTGTCTTAGTTGGTCCGTATGTTTTGGTGTTCGAAGCTCGGCATGTTTTCACGTGATATAGATTTAACGCTTAAACTCATTTTAAAAAAATAATAGTGACTTTGACTAAAATTTAAAACAAATTTAAAACTTAAACTTTTTAAAAATAACATTTTAAAACTAAAACCATGTTAATTTCACTAAAAATATTAAATAACAAAATATTTTCAAAACCTAAAATTTCATACTTAAAACTAATTAAAAAAAAGTACTAATAATTTTCACTTAAATTCTTTTATTTTTACTAAAATTTATAAAAACTTTAACACTTCAAGATTTAAAAATTATTGCTTTTAACCTTTACCATGTTAATTTCACTAAATTTTTAAAAGTTTAAATGTTAAATTTTAAACACGTCGAAAACTAACCGCGCCAAATCATCATGTCCTTAGTTGGTCCGTAAGCTTTGGTGTTCGGATAAAAATATTAATTAACAAAATATTTTCAAAACCTAAAATTTAATACTTAAAACTAATTAAAAAAGTAATATTAATTTTCACTTATATTCCTTTAATTTTACTAAAATTTATAAAAAAATTAACACTTAAAGATTTTAAAATTATTGCTTTTAACCTTTACCATGTTAATTTCACTAAATTTTTAAAAAGTTTAAATGTTAAATTTTAAACACGTCGAAAACTAACCGCGCCTAAGCATCATGTCCTTAGTTGGTCCGTAAGCTTTGGTGTTCGAATAAAAATATTAAATAACAAAATATTTTCAAAACCTAAAATTTAATACTTAAAACTAATTAAAAAAAATAATTTTCCCTTAAATTCTTTTCATTTTATTAAAATTTATAAAAAATTTAGCACTTAAACATTTAAAAATTATTGCTTTTAACCTTTAACATGTTAATTTTTCACTAAATTTTAAAAAAACTTAGTTTAAGTGTAAAATTTTAAATACGTCGAAAACTAACCGTGCCTAGGCATCCTCTCCTTAGTTGGTCCGTAAGCTTTGGTGTTCGAAATTCGGCATGTTTTCACGTGATATAGATTTAACGCTTAAACTCATTTTTTTAAAATAATAGTGATTTTGACTAAATTTAAAACTTAAACTTTTAAAAAATAACATTTTAAAACTAAAACCATGTTTCACTAAAAATATTAAATAACAAAATATTTTCAAAACTTAAAATTTAATACTTAAAACTAATTAAAAAAAGTAATAATAATTTTCACTTATATTCTTTTAATTTTACTAAAATTTATAAAAAATTTAACACTTAAAGATTTAAAAATTATTGCTTTTAACCTTTACCATGTTAATTTCACTAAAGTTTTAAAAAGTTTAAATGTTAAATTTTAAACACGTCGAAAACTAACCGCACCTAAGCATCCTGTCCTTAGTTGGTCCTTAGTTGGTCCGTAAGCTTTGGTGTTCGAATAAAAATATTAAATAAAAAATATTTTCAAAACTTAAAATTTAATACTTTAAACAAATTTTTTAGTTTAAGTGTTAAATTTTAAACACGTCGAAAACAAACCGCGGATAGGCATCATGTCCTTAGTTGGTCCGTAAACTTTGGTGTTCGAAGTTCGGCATAGTTTCCACGTGATAGAGATTTAACGTTTAAACTTCTTTTTAAAAAATAATAGTGATTTTGACTAAAATTTAAAACAAATTTAACACTTAAACTTTAAGAAAATAACGTTTTTAAACTAAAACCATGTTAATTTCACTAAATTTTTTAATATTAGTTTAAGTGTTAAATTTTAAACATGTCGAAAATTAACCGCACCTAGGCATCCTGTCCTTAGTTGGTCCGTAATCTTTGGTGTTCGAAGTTCGGCCTTGTTTCACGTGATATAGATTTAACACTTAAACTTATTTTTTAAAAATAATAGTGACTTTGACTAAAATTTAAAACAAATTTAATAATTAAACTTTAAGAAAATAACGTTTTTAAAAATAAAACCATGTTAATTTCACTAAAACTTTTTCAAAATTAGTTTGAGTGTTAAATTTTAAACAAATAATAGTGACTTTGACTAAAATAAAAAACAAATTTAAAACTTAAACTTTAAGAAAATAACGTTTTTAAACTAAAACCATGTTAATTTCACTAAATTTTTTAATATTAGTTTAAGTGTTAAATTTTAAACACGTCGAAAACTAACCGCGCCTAGGCATCCTGTCCTTAGTTGGTCCGTAAGCTTTGATGTTCGAATTTCGGCCTAGTTTCACGTGATATAGATTTAACACTTAAACTTATTTTTAAAAAATAATAGTGACTTTGACTAAAATTTAAAACAAATTTAATAATTAAACTTTAATAAAATAACGTTTTTAAAAATAGAACCATGTTAATTTCACTAAAACTTTTTCAAAATTAGTTTAAGTGTTAAATTTTAAACAAATAATAGTGACTTTGACTAAAATTTAAAACAAATTTAACACTTAAACTTTAAGAAAATAACGTTTTTAAACTAAAACCATGTTAATTTCACTAAATTTTTTAATATTAGTTTAAGTGTTAAATTTTAAACATGTCGAAAACTAACCGCGCCTAGGCATCCTGCCCTTAGTTGGTCCGTAAGTTTTGGTGTTCGAAGTTCGGCTTATTTTCACGTGATATAGATTTAGAGAAATTGTTAAAAATGCCCCTTTTTCAATGCCCCTTTTCAAAAATGCCCCCTTTGAGAGTCCATTTTTAAGTTTGCCCTCTTTTAATTTTTAATGACCATTTTACCCTTATTTGAAACAAAATTAGGTCCACAAAATACAAAATATTTTTTGGCGGGAAAAGTGATCCCGCAATTTTCCCGCCAAAACACTTGTAAAAAACCTTTAAAATACCTTGTAAAATTTTCCCGTAAAATTTTTTCCTGCCAAAAAATTTTCCCGCCAAAAATTTTGTTTTGCGGGAAAAGTGATTCCGCAATTTTTTTTTTTGGCGGGAAAATTTTTAGCGGGAAAAATTTACAAGGTATTTTAAAGGTTTTACAGAGTATTTACAAGTGTTTTGTAAGGTTTTACAATGTATTTTAAAAGGTTTTATAAGGTATTTATAACTTGTAAAACCTTATAAAAAACTTGTAAAACCTTATAACTTGTAAAAACCTTATAAAATAGCTTGTAAAATCTTATAATATCTTATAAATACCTTGTAAATACGTTGTAAAACCTTTTAAAATACATTGTAAAACCTTATAAATACATTGTAAAAAACCTTTAAAATACCTTGTAAATTTTTGGCGGGAAAATTTTTCCCGCCAAAAATTTAACGCCAAAAAAATTGCGGAATCACTTTTCCCGCAAAAAAAAATTTTTGGCGGGAAAATATTTTGGCGGGAAAAAATTTTACGGGAAAATTTTACAAGGTTTTTTAAAGGTTTTTTACAAGTTTTTACAAGTGTTTTGGCGGGAAAAATTGCGGGATCACTTTTCCCGCCAAAAAATCTACTTAACATTTTTGAAGTACAAATTTGCTCAAAGCCAATCGGGTCGGGTTATTAGTGAGATTTTGACCCGGATTTTTTTTTGACCCGACTCAATAGCCAATCAAAACTTTCGGATTCTTTTAAATGAGAGTTTCCAAAAAAAAAATCAAGTAATTCGACTAAATATTCGGTTAGTTACATTCCTAATCTACCAAATCCTAACAATGTGTAAATGACCCGTATTAAACGTTATACCTATAGTTATGGGACTTTCCTAAAACATTAGCAAAGATTTCGGAGTAAAATATTGCCATTTAATTAATTAAAATATTGCCTAATTATATTCTCTAAATCTCGACTAATTACCAAACAAATTTTCTAAAATATATGATCTAATCTAATCCTAACCATAAATTACTACGCAATATCCTAATTTTGCCTAAATTCGTGAATCATTAATTTTGATAAAAATCAAGAAGATATGATAGTTAATATATCCAATATTTTTTGCTTCGGCTCCAAGATTTTCGAGCCAAAAACCCTAACATTATACTTCACTATAAATATCAAACCTCTCTATCATTTCTAACGCATCCAGCAATTCACAGCAAACGACTAATACCTTTTTTTTGTTACAATGTCTCAATAGTCAATGAGACGTGTATAAACGGGTTTAGGAATCGAGCCTTCAGGAAACCCCAATGCGATTTCCACACCTTGAAGCATCCCAGCTCTAACTTTCTATGCCGTGACTGTTGGGATGTTTTCCTATGAGGAAAAGAGGAAGGAAAACCATTTTATTTCTATATTTTTACATTATTTTGTATAGCTTTGAAGAAACTAACCTGAGAAACTTTGTTTACTACTGAAAAAAGTCCAACAATGTGGAGTTCTGCCATTTTCAAGCTTTGCAGAGTTATTTTCCATCGAAGACAATGATTCAACTCTTTTCACAAAATCTGAGGATCATCAAAAACTGCTAAAAGATTTAACTCAGATTTAGCTCAAAGAAACTGTGATTTCGTATAAATTAACATACTATTCAAACGCATACACACGAGTATAGATTCCGTCCTAATCGATAAAACAAAATAAATATTATGATCTAAAACAAAGTCTGAGAATCTAACCTTCTAGAATGATGATTTATGTGTTTCTGACCACGCATCGAATTCGTATAATTCTTTCCCGGATTAAGATAATCGATGTTTTCGTCTCCAGTCTTCTTTTTGTGTTGGATCCTTCACTCATGTCTACCTTAAATCATTGTATCCGTCTTCTCTTTGCAATAATTCACACCCAATTGAAGAAAGATAGGATTTGCATTAATTTCAGAAATTATACAGATTTGTGAACGAAACATATGAAGAAAAATTGATTGTAAAAGGGGTATGACTTACCGGCGATCTATAAAGGTACAACTAAATCGATGTGAATTACATAAGTCTCCAAGAAATCCCCGAGAAGGATCTAATCGGCGAAAAGAGATTATGGAAGAACATCGTTCCGCATGTTGTAAGAAACGTCTTTTTGTCTAATTGCAAAACTCATCAATTTGATGATCACTTGATAAAATTGGAGACGAGAGTGATAGAATACTTAAGTGAAACAATTGATGAAGCAATTTGAAGTGAGAAGCTGATGAAAGATCTGATCTTTTGGTTTTGTGCCTTTTGTGGTTGCTTATTCAGATTTGTTGAAGGTTGAGTCTTCGATTAAGCTTGCAATTGAGCAAGAGAAGATGATTAGATATGAGAGTGAGAAGATGATGATGTAGAACAATGAGACTAACAAGTAGAGGAAGAAGACGAAGTATTCGTCATTGGTCGCAAGAGAGAATCGTGGGAAGAAGAAGGAGAAAAGACAACAAAGGGAAGTGGATTTATGTTTCTGTTGTTTTGGGCTAATATGACTAATGGGCTGTTATGTTTTTTGTTAGACCCAAGTGAAAAAATGTGTAATATAGAGTTAAATCTTAAGTACTCCAACTTTTTTTGTTTTGTTGTGAATTATGTTTTTTATATAAAAAATGTTATTATCAATATTTTTGACTTGATAAACAAATTTAAATGATCGCAAATAATGTGATGGAATGGGTTAGGGTTTTCATATATACGATTATATAGTTTTTTACGGGTTGGTCTTATAGTATATTATAAGTAATGGGAAGATATAAAATAGCGTAAATTAATAAAAAATTTATTTATTGAAAATATATAATGTAAACAGAAATCAGATACCAATAAGACATAGGAGTTTGTTCTTGGTTATGCTTCAGTTGTGCCCAGAGATCAATTGTAATAATTATCACGGGACGGAGTTATATGACGGGACGGGTTTGGATCGATATTAATATATGACAGTATACTACGGATAAAATCTTATAATTAACAATCAAAATACAATTATACAATATTAAACACGAAATATAACAAACAATATTAACTGAACAAATACAAAAATTTAAATTTTTAGTTACACAATGAAACCCCGAGGTGTACCGCATGGTAAATTCACCATATAAAAACCAAATACTGTTACACTTAAAATATCACAGAGTTACATCTTATTAAAAACCGTACAGAATCAAACTTACGTTACGGTACCAATAAAACGAAAAAAATTAATACATCAAATTCATCCGTTTATAACAAATTAAAAAAAAAAAAATTTACCCGCGGTATACCGCGGGTCATATCCTAGTATTTTGTATTTTGTGGACCTAATTTTGTTATATTTCCTTATATATTTGTGATATCTTTTATTATAAGAAGGGTAATTTAGTCATTTTGTACATAAAAAGGGGTATTTTTAAAAATGGACAGCCAAAGGGGGCATTTTTGAAAAGGGGTATTAAAAAAGGGGCATTTTTGTGAGTCTCCCATAGATTTAACACGTAAACTTATTTAAAAAAAATAATAGTGACTTTGACTAAAATTTAAAACAAATTTAATAATTAAACTTTAAGAAAATAACGTTTTTAAAAATAGAACCATGTTAATTTCACTAAAACTTTTTCAAAATTAGTTTAAGTGTTAAATTTTAAACAAATAATAGTGACTTTGACTAAAATTTTAAAAAAATTTAACACTTAAACTTTAAGAAAATAACGTTTTTAAACTAAAATCCTGTTAATTTTACTAAAATTTTTTAATATTAGTTTAAGTGTTAAATTTTAAACACGTCGAAAACTAACCGCGCCTAGGCATCATGTCCTTAGTTGGTCCGTATGCTTTTGGTGTTCGAAGTTCGGTCTAGTTTCACGTGATATAGATTTAACACTTAAACTTATTTTTAAAAAATAATAGTGACTTTGACTAAAATTTAAAACAAATTTAATAATTAAACTTTAAGAAAATAATGTTTTTAAAAATAAAACCATGTTAATTTCACTAAAACTTTTTCAAAATTAGTTTAAGTGTTAAATTTTAAACACGTCGGAAACTAACCGCGTCTAGGCATCCTGTCCTTAGTTGGTCCGTAAGCTTTGGTGTTCGAATTTCGGCATGTTTTCACGTGATATTCATTTAACACTTAAGTTTATTTTTAAAAAATAATAGTGATTTTGACTAAAATTTAAAACAATTTTAACACTTAAACTTTAAGAAAATAACGTTTTTAAAAATAAAACCATGTTAATTTCAGTAAATTTTTTTAAAAATTAGTTTAAATGTTAAATTTTAAACTTTAATTCTGAAAATGAAGATGTATGAATAACAACTCTCTTCAAGTTTCTTACAATGATTGATCAAATCAAACCTTGTAACTTTATGTTGTGTACAACCATTTTTTAAACTTGTTTAAAGCAACAGAATTGTCATAAAACTTAAACGTGTGGGCTATTTCATAATTTCGAATAATTTCTAAAAGTTGCCGCCGTCACTAAACACAATCACCAAAGGAGATACCTTCTTCGCTCACACCTTGCGAATTTAACGAATGAATCAAACATCCACAAAATCGAATCTTGCTACAATGGAAAAGGGAATTGTAGTAGAGCTGATTAGAGGGTCGACCAATTGGACAAAAGTTGTGGAAGATATCGTGAAGTTGGAGAAGAAAACGTTCCCTAAACACGAATCTCTCGCTCAAACTTTCGACGCAGAGCTGCGCAAGAGAAACGCCGGTGTGCTATATGTGGAAGCCGACGGAGAAACAGTGGGCTATGCTATGTATTCTTGGCCATCTTCTCTTTCCGCTTCCATCACCAAGCTCGCAGGTATAGACAAACGTCCACCAACTGTTCGATGAAATTACTTTGTATGAATTTTGCTGGGAAGAAATGGAATTACTTGCCACACTCTACTGAAATCTCTTTTAAACCGTTTGATAAATTAACCTGTTGGATATATATCTAATCAAGGACTAATGATTCTAGTAAATTCGGGAGCTTTCAATAGATATTCTTACAAGACAACAATTTTACGTTGTTCTAGCTTTGTTTTTGCATGCTAAGATTAATGAAAATAGACAAGAAGTCAAGAACTCGTTTGGAATGTTTCTTATCAGAAAAGTTAAAGAGCTTAATCATCAGGAAGAATGTATCTCAAGTGTAGCTTTTTCCTTTTATTTTGGATTTTGTAGTGAAGGAGAATTGCAGGAGACAAGGCCATGGAGAAGCATTGTTGAGAGCAGCTATCGACAAGTGCAGAAGCAGAAAGGTGCAACGGGTTTCACTTCATGTCGACCCCACGAGAACTTCTGCCGTGACTCTGTACAAAAAACTTGGGTTCCAAGTAGACTGTCTGGTGAAAAGCTACTACTCTACCGATAGAGATGCTTACAGAATGTACCTAGATTTTGATGACTCCATTTAGCAAAAAAAGGATTCATTGGATTTGGCTGGTGAATGATATGCCTTGTACTGTTGTACACACTCATTGATTACTTCTCTACATCAATATATGTCTAGCAACTTCTTCATGATATAGAAATGATGCCTTGAATACTTTTTAATCGTTTTGATATTAGGAATTAGGAAACGGTGTAAGATTACAGGTTGGGTAAATATTTTATCATCGGTGGTCGACCAAAATGAGAATTAGCTTTTGATAGTGTTTAAAATTGGTTTTCGTATTATATAATGATATTATGTTTTAATATATATAATAATATATTATGTTTTAATATATATAATAATATTATGTGTTGTTAATATCAAAAGCGGGGATAGCTCAGTTGGGAGAGCGTCAGACTGAAGATCTGAAGGTCGCGTGTTCGATCCACGCTCACCGCATTCTTTTAAAAAATTTAATCAATTTAACGACATTGTGTTAAAGAATTAGGTAAACGACATCGTGTTAAACAATGGCCCATTATGAAAAGATCCACGACACGACCAAACCGCATTCTTTTAAAAATTTTAATCAATTTGAAACCGTATTAAAGAAAGGCCCACTATGAAAAGGATCCACGACATAATTCAACAACTCCGTTCTCGCCGGTGTTAACCACTTAGTTATTCCGATCATCAGATAATTTTCGAAGAGAGAAAGATGTTAGATTCTCTTGATTCCTATCGAAAGGAATCTAATTAGTTATATTTTACTCGGGAGGTTAGTCGTGTCTCAACAGTAACGATTCATGTCCCCAACTCAACTATGGAGCAATTTACGAATCATCAGTCTAATTGTATGTGTCTGCAGAATCAAATTCGATTATTCACTCTATTGAACTTCACTCGAATATATTGTTCTGATTGATCATACTTATGGTACATGTCACCAAACATAGTAATCTATATGAATTTGCATATCAAAAATCTTAATTTCAAGCCAAACCAACAAGCTTCTCGCTAACCTCCCACAGTTTCTTTGCCTTCTCTGCATCACTTGCTTCTTTAGAGAGCTGATTCTCAAACGATGACGAGTTATTGTTCCAGCTCCAATACACTCCTGACTTTCCAAGACTAGGGTCACTCACAACCTACACAAAACCATAGCCTCAGTATCAATCAAGATTCAAGAATCTGTTATACTTATTAGAAAGGATTTGCAATGCATACTGACCTGTGCTAATCTTTTCCCAGCTTCCTCTTCAGATACATAACCTTTGGTGATATACTTCTGAAAAGGCGGAAAAAGAAGCCGAAACAACGGTATGTGTTCTCTGAACAACCCTGTTGTAGCAATGCAACCAGGGTAAAGAGAGGCAAACGTGACTCCGGTTTCCTCGTGGTAACGTCTGTGAAGCTCCTGCATTGTCAGCATATTGCAGACTTTGCTGTCTTTGTAAGCCTTTGCTCCATCAAACTCTCCTCCATCTATCATTGAACTGTTTTGCCCATTCAATCCAGATGCTAAGCCTCTTAGGTCACCAAGGTTTGCCTTTGGCGGTACATTTCCAGCCAAAGTATTTGTGTTTCCTACAAGAACATAGAAAATAACATTCATTGTTTGAAACTAGGAACTATCCTACGATGGAAATGGACTAGTTGTCTGTTATTTACCTGTTATAGATCCTACGATGATCATACGTTTTGATGGATAATCAGATTTTTTCAGGTCATCAAGAAGCAATCTTGAAAGAAGAAAATGACCAAGATGGTTGGTTCCAACGCTTAGCTCAAAGCCTTCAGCTGTAAAAGAAGGTTCTTTAGCAGTTGGTTGGTAAACCGCGGCATTGCAGACAAGAACATCGAGGGGTTGTTCTGTTCTCCTGAAATTTTCAACGAACTGCTTCACGCTTTCAAGCGAAGCAAGATCAAGATGCATCACAGTGTAATCTTCCTTAGACATTCCTACAGATCTCGCTGCTTTCTCGGCCTTGAGAAAGTTCCTACAAGCCATGATCACATGCCATTTCCCTGTGTCTGCTAAAGCTTTGGCTGTAGCTAAACCTAAACCAGACGAAGCTCCAGTGATCACTGCAGTGCCTTTTCTCTCAGTCTTCTTTTGCTCCGGCGATGCCTCGCTTGCCGGTGGCGTGGCTGTAACTGTCTGTGCACGAATACCGGTGGAAAATCGCGGTTTTTGTCTTCTCTGTTCCTGCAACGAAACAGAGTAAAAACCTCAGGACATTTTCGATATCTTTCTAAGTTCTTTTGAGAATTGAACATCGTATAGGGTAATTGATCTTACCTTGATGGTTAACAGTGTGGAGATCTTGTCAGCTCTAAGATGGTTGGCAAATGAAGAACCAGTTAAAGTCGTCTCCTTTAGAGAAGCATTGAATTTGCCCTGCAAAATCACCATGGCATTGAGGTAAAATCCTGAGAAATTTCTCAATTTTATCGAAGAAATTATAAACAGATGAACTCATTAGTGAAAACATACCTCTTTTTGGATTGAAATGGATGAAGGAAGAAGAGAATAAGCAGCTTGGAGAGCCATTGTTGTACGGAACTGAAGGTGCTAGAGTGTCACAGTGTCTTCGAGTTTCGCCGATTTGAGGAGCGACAAAAGATAAGGTAGTATTGGGTTAGTGACACGTGTCTTCCAAGGTAAAGCTTTTCCCTTAACCAATCAGATCACTAGTTTCAGATTCTTCTTCTATCCCTCGTTTATTGGGCCTTGAGATGGGCTTTGATTTTATTTGTTTGTTAACTCATAACTGATCTGATCACCGTTGATAGGTGAACTGTAATGAATCTGGACCGTCCAAATGTGTCAAGAATAATTTGGTGGAAGAGAGAAGAAGGCGGCAAAACTTAACGGTCAATGGAGAAATTGGAGAGAGAGAACAAAACAAAAAATGAGAAGAAGAAAAAAAAAAACACTTTTGGATCACAGCTCTCTTCATCTTCTGCAATTTCTAAAAGTTGCAAAATTCCAATGAAAATTTCCATTTTTGCCTCTCTATTGTTTTTCTTTCTCTTCTATTTTCTTCTTCTTCTTCTATTTCTCTTTCCTCTTCCTCCTCCTCCGTCGTCCAGTTTCTAGACCAACTCCTCCTCCTCCTCCAGTGCTTGTTCCTATGCCTATAACAGGTAACTTTCCTCATCATCTTTTTAATCAATCATATCGATTTGCTCGTGAAATTTGATTTGATTATCATTGATTGCAAATTATGTTTTTTCAAGGTAATTGCATTGCCAAACTTTACATAAAAAAGTAATGAAAAGAAAACATCCTTTAATTGCGCTATTATGTTAGTTACAACTTCTAGAGGCACCTTTTTGTATCCAATTATACCAAAAATTTGACTAAGTGAAAATGGAAATGATGATGAATCTTTGAATATTTAGAATCGAATACATGAGCTAATACATATATAATCATTAATTTTTTTTTTTGGTGGGATCATTTACCTTTTTTTTTTTTTTTGGTGAAATTCATTTACCCCTTTTTTTTGGTGGGATCATATGTTCTGGTAATGTTAAACGCAAACATATGTCTGAAAACGTGTGCAGGTAGAGGAGGATGAAGCGTGGGAAAGGCGAGAAAAAGGCAACAAAGAGCCGCGATGGCAGCGGTCAAGTAGTTCCGCTCACGTAATAGCTCAACTGGCTAAATATATGTTTTAGTGAGTATATATTGCTAGATATCATAGGGTATATTGACACACCATGTAAATATGCATGTGATTAGTTTATTAGATATATATTTAGATCTATCATCTCATATATGAATATAAATGTTTATTAGTGAACCAGTGGTTACAGCTACGGGTATGGTTGGAACAAGATCATGGATAGGAGGGCTCTTCACACGCTCCAATAGACGTCAAGAAAAGTCAGTCGAATACACTTTGTCTCCTCTTCAGGTTAGCATAATCACAAGTTTCATATATCATCATAAATATAATTAAGACATTAGAAATAGTTTGTAACACTTTTGTACTTGTAATCACTCATACACATAGGAGGAAAGACTTCAAAGGCTACAAGATCGTATGGTTGTACCGTTCGATGAGACACGCCCGGATCATCAGGTAGGTGAAATTCACTTTATCATTAAGATGTTTAACAGTGAGCAAACAACATGCAGATATATTGTTTTAGCTATAAGAATTCTGTGAAATATATCTGCGCGATTAATGGCAGGAATCACTTAAAGCATTGTGGAATGTCGCGTTTCCGAATGTTAATCTCACGGGTTTAGTAACAGAACAATGGAAAGAAATGGGATGGCAAGGTCCCAATCCATCTACCGATTTCAGGTAAGATTATATCTGTACTAAACTTATTGCAAAAAAGATGTATAAGACATCTTAAGGAACAATACTTAGTGTTGACGCATGTTTTGTAGGGGTTGCGGATTTATTGCCCTAGAGAATTTGTTATTTTCTGCAAGAACTTATCCGGTAAATTACTCTTTAAAACATGTTCATATATATAGTTGTTTTATAATCATGTTTTGGGAACTTCTTTACTCCACAAAATGTGTTTATACAAATAAAATTGTGAAGGTTTGTTTCCGGAGGCTATTGTTAAAACAAAGAGGCGACCGGGCAAAGTGGGAGTACCCTTTTGCGGTGGCTGGAATCAACATTTCCTTCATGTTGATCCAAATGCTTGATTTACAAAATAATCGTAAGTTTGTTAATCTGTTACCATTTTATTTCTCATACGATTTCAATTTGCTTTAAATTTGTGTTTTGTTTGTATGCAGCAAAGCCAAAATGTCTTCCAGGAATGAATTTCCTCAAACTCTTAGAAGGTAAACAATAGGAATATGTTCTTCTAAACTAAATAAAAGTTGATTTCTAAAAGTTAGTAGTGTAGTATGACGATCGCTAAATAATCAAGAATCATATTCCAATAATTAACAGAAGACGAGAACGCATTCGATGTACTATACTGTATAGCTTTCGCAATGATGGATGCTCAATGGCTTGCAATGCACGCTTCTTACATGGAATTCAATGTATGTCTTCTCAATCAATCTATCTTCTTTCTCTTTTCAATCTTTTTTTTTGAGAATTAGTTCTTAAGAATTGTGTGTGTGTATTTATTAGGAAGTATTACAGGCGACTCGGAATCAGCTAGAGAGAGAGCTTTCTTTGGATGATATTCATCGGATTCAAGATCTTCCTGCATACAATCTCTTGTTCCAATAGAATTTTTCTTTTTGTTATTTCTTAGTTTGATTTCGATTTTTATGTTGTACATTAAACTGAATTTATGAACGAAATGAAAATGATAATCAATGAAATGAAGCAAGAAAAATAAAAATAGAAAATGAATGATTATGAACATATGTACTGTAATATGATGCATCATTGTTTTGGTAACATTGATGATGCTGGTGTTGAAATTATGAAGTGGTAGTGGACTTTTTGACTTTTGTACTTTGAAAAATCAACTCTCTTGTCTGTCTCGTATTATGAATTATGAAATATTTTGTCGGTTCTTTTAATATACTCCTAAGAGAGTGGTTTATGGTTGATTCATTTTATATGACATGATACAAATTAATGTACACTTTTTCATTTATTCTGATAAAAGATCTTCAGACCAAACTAATTACTTCGATTGTCCTTGTCGGCATTAGTTTGCTAATCCTGCCTGACCGTTATTTTGATAAAATTCGGTCTGATTTATGACCTTTTGGTACCTTTATAAAATTAAATAAAAATAAGATAAGGTTCTTACGTGTGCTTTGGAGGTCGTAAAAATGGATATTTTGATCTTATCCATTAAAACAAAACTAAAGGGACATCACTTTTGAAACCTAACGTAAAGGATAAGATGCCTTACCACCACATTTCCATGATTCCTATTCAATTCGAATTATCTTTTTTAATCTTTTGTTTCTTTTTTACAAGTCATTTCGATAAAATAATGTGATGAAGCCTAGATCAATCCAAAACTCTACACTTTTTTACAATTATCTAGGCAGTGATCTGTTTTCTGTAAGTAACTAAAAAAAAGTTTGGCATGTCTCTATAAAATTTGGTGGAGAAACCAAACAGTACATGAAAGTCTATGAAAGTCAAACTTCCAAATCTTTTTTTGTACCCACATATATTTGACATTTTTGTCATAAAAGGTCCCAACTTTATTCATATCAACTTGGATGATTTACATATCCAATATATTAATTAAATTAGAATTACATTCGATCAATTACCCTAAAAGATTTGTTTTAGGATCAATTTCTTATAAAAAATGCTGTGATGAAATATCTGATTTTTTCCTTGGCAAAATTATTAAAAGTCTAATAGAAATTTAAGAGTCAATTTATTTTTATATGGATTTAAATTTATGTTAAATCAATGTGAAAAATGTTAAAAGCATATGAGTATGAAGTATGAACATATACACCTTGAAATAAAAATGATTGAGCAGTTTCAATAAATAAATTTTGAAAAAGGAAAATTAATTAACTAACATGACTAGTTCGTTAATAATTTTGTCTCAGGCCATTTTACTTCCGAAAAAGAAAAATTAATTAACATGACTAGTTCGTTACATTACTATTTCAGTAACGGTACTGAGGCACACTCAAGTTCTCTCTCCACCATGTTTCAACTTATAAGAAACAATCACTCTGTTTTTAACAAGCAACATCAATTACTCTGTTTCAACAAGCAACAAACTCTATATACGACATATACTCTCAAAGGTTAGAAGACTCAAAACGCTATTCTAACCAAAACACTGCAAAGCGAATCGCTCGATTGCGTTTTACAAAACGCAAGCGGTTCCAGAACAAAGCAAGAATTAGACTATATATGAGGAAGCAAGCAAACATCATGGTGTCATCGAACCGAGTTTTAGCCACGATGAGTCATTGACATACTGCAGAAGTAGTTGAAGTCATGATGTTGGACCCTAAGCTGTTTTAGCCAAGAATCTGCAACACTATAAAGCGAAGCCAATCTCTCTTGATCATCGTGGTCCTGCGAAAGCCAAACATCGCCTTGCATCTTGTAAGTAGCCATCCCAAATGGGAGCAGAGTTATATCTTCCCCTTCCCTCCGCACCCTCTCCTTGTCCCCACCATTTTCTTCCGGTTCCATATCTATGATATAACAAAGTATTAAACCCGATGATCACACCGACTTAAAGGATAGTAGATAGACAGAGAGAATCTGCACCTTGGAAAGAAGAGGAAAGAGTGTGATAAGTGAGGAAACAAGTGGATAAGTCTTTAATGGTTCTTCCCATTGGTATATGGTAAATCGGGTACCACGCTACCGACATCCAACTTGCTGGAGAAAGATCAACGCTTCTCAACGACATCAATCCCGGGTATCTTTGAGCCAATTCATTGATCTGGAATAAAATCAAAACATCATTTGTGAAGCTTATTCGATGGGATCAGGTGAACTAACGGATGGCTACATAACAAGGTTTATTATGTACCTTATCCATCAGAGGAACTCTGGTATAAGGAGCTGATCTCTCAAAGTATTGGAGATAAAGATAACCCAAACGATCATTTGGATGCAAGAGCGTGTTGTTCTCAAGTCCTTCCTCAGAGACACTCTCATCGCTACCTGAATCGCTAAACGGATCTCTACCCTCACATTCCCCATCTTCAGACTCTTCCCTAATCAACACAACACCAAACTTAATCAGATATCTTCAAGAACTCATATATAATAAACACATTCTGCAGCTCCTTGATAACCTTATATGCTTAACCAGAAACCACAATCTATTCAAATTTAATTCTAATGATCAAACGTTTCACCAAATTCATCAGAAAGCAATAAAGATATCAAATTTACAATGAAAAGACAATGGTGGATCAAACAAACCTTAATCGGATCAAGGAGGAATGAGAGGTGAAAATCTGGATGGCAGAGAGGTAAGGAACATAGTATTGAACAAGAGATTCTCCATTGGTAATATGAATAGGGACGCTAGCTCCATAAGCGCTCCATTCATCATAACAATCCCACAAATCACTCAACCTGAAAAACTCAACCTTTTCTCTCTCCCATGGATGCCACAATCGATTTAGGGTTCTAATCTCCGCCTGCAAATTCCCAATTAACACCATCAAACCAATATTGAAACAAATCAAAAAGAGAGAGAGAAAGAAACGTTCACAAACCTTGGGGAGAGATTGGGGTGGCACTAAGGGTGTTATGCAATGAAGGAATCGATCAAGATTCGATTTTTTGGTTGACCCTTTACCATTCACCATGATCGTAATTGAGAAATATTATGAAGGTTTCTTCTTCAATGGAGGAGAAGAAAGAGATGGGCTTATAGAGAAAGAGGCACGCAAGCGAGTTATTCAGATATCTGAGCTTTGACGTTATGTATGGAGGCTGAATTTAAGGGACAAGCAAAACCAAAACCAAAAAAAAAAAGATGGATTCTTTCAAGAAAAAAATGTATGGAGAAAACGATTACAATCGAGAAGACAGACAATGAGAAAGCAAGATCGAATATTGTTTTCTGTTTTTTTTTTTTTAAATGTGATTCTCTAAGAAAAAATTGAAGCCACGCGTCGAGATTTCTAATCTTGAAGTCAGATCAACCGAGAGAAGGTAAAATAAGAATAAAAGGTAAAGCCATAAAATGAGCGAAAATAAAAACACAGAAGAACAGAGAAAAGAAATTCAGAAGATTTTTGAATGAAAGGAAAGAGATTTTCCCGGGAAAGTCAAAACTTTTTCTCGGGAAATTTGGTTATGAGATTGAAAAGAAAAGAAAAACGATTGCTTTACTCTCTCAGACGATCGTCAAACAAATGGTTTTTGGTTTTTGTTACAATTGTGTCTTCTCGAGATATTTGGGTTTTTAAGATGATTAAAGAAAAAAGAAAAAAAGACAGGTATTTATAAAAATAAATAAAAATCAGAGAAAAAGGGAAATAAAAAAATAGATAAATCTTAATTAAGTTTGACCGATTTTCCTCGTCCACTGCCTCACCACAGCTCATTGTTTTCTTCACGTGGTTTTGTTGTTATTTATAAATCCATTCATATCCAAACTTTATGTATGAATTCATCTTATAAATTTGGTTAGTTCAATCATTTTATTAGTTATTATATAGAGTGATCAAAGTATCGTTTTTACAAATTATTTTCATCAATCATATTTGTATACAGAATTTAATGATTTGGTATCACAATCTAGCGGATTAAGTAACCTATTTAGCTGCTTTTAATTTGTTATCCAATTTGTAAGAATTGTAGTAAGGCTGGATCATTTTAGATTCATTATCATCTATATATTATATATATATATATATATATATATATATATATATTTAATTATCTTATAACTCGCGGATAAAACCTAATCCTGTAACCGGTATGGCTTAAATTATACTATACTATATAGTCTATATGAGTATATTGCATTTGGTGAGGTGAGAGAATGTTGACTTACAAGATTATTGGTATAACTGAATAAAGTTGACACGAAAAAAGTGATGCAAGGGTTATTAACTATTGACCAAATAAATAAATTAGGCGTAATTAAACAGCAGTCAGCAGCAAACACGGTTATTATTTTCTACACCCATCAATTTTAAGTTCTTAACGTATTGGAAAGGTCAGTCTAATGAATGGTAGGCTAGTATACGATGCACACGTGTAGTTATTAATTACGTTGGATATTACTTAGTACTATCTAAATAGAGTAACTAGTTTATGGATGACACACTACTCTAAATACGAAGCCATGTGGTAGTTTACGTGTGGACCTGCACGTGATATGTTCGTATGCCGTGGAGTTTGTGGTCGGTCACTTAAAAAATTAAAAGGATCAAACTACACACTTTGTGGGCTTTGTAGATGGGCCATAGAAAAGGCTTTTCATAAACTTTAATCTTTTTAGTTTGATAAGCATTTAATGCAAAAATGTAACTTAGGGGAGTTTCTAATGTAATGTATTCTCTTCTAATCAAAACTAAAGAAAGTGTAAACAAATTTTCTAGGAAAGTATATGCCACAATAGAGAGTTAATCGAAAATCGAAATTATGAGTTATGATACGAGAATTACTCCAATCATTGAGAAAATGGAATTCGATATCACTAGATAAGTATCTCTGATAAATGATAATTAAGTAATTATCATGCAGGACATTGATAAGTATTTTACAGGAAAAAAAAGGCATGCCAATTCAAGTTTCTCTTCTGAAAATAAATTTTCATTAACAAGAAAATGGAGGAGAAGAAGAAATTGTCAGGTCTCACTGCAATTTTTCATCTTCCTCTAGAGAGAGCCTTCTCAGCAGTTTCCATCTCTTCAAGAATCCTCGCCTTCCTCTTCGCCGGAATCGGAGCCGTCGGACCAAAACTCACATAATGACCTGAAACAGCATTCAACGCCGAGTATATATCCCGGAAAGAAGCTTTTCCGAGAAGAGCTTTCTCTTTCCGGTACTTAGCAACCCAAGAATTCGACGCTTCTCTCAGCTCCGCCACCGCATCAGCCACATTCGGATCTGTCTTCTGCATCGAAAGCGTACTCCTAACTTTACTGATCACTGCCGATGTATCTTTTATATACTCTTCATCTTCAGCGGCGGAAGCTGGCGCCGGAGCTAGAAACGTAATCGATTGTGTTAGAAGCGTGGATGTTGCCGCTAGGGAGAGGAAATCGCGGCGGAGGAGGTGGTTGCGACGTGGAGGAGGAAGAGGCGGAGATACGGAGGAGGCGATGATGGTGGGTTTATGTGGCGGAGGATTGGGTTTGAGAAGAGTAGCTGTCGCTGAAGCTGATGCCATTGTCGGAACTCGGGGAAAAGGTGTAAGAGAATGAAAGAGTTTTGTTGAGCGTTAGTAAATCGGGAAAATGAGTTTGTGAGTGTTGGTTTTTTGACACGTGTCCCTTATCTTCTTATCAAGATTGTATGGTTTTTGAGGATGACACATGAAGAAGAGCCAAGCAATGGGCCTCACTGCCAGGTCAAGATTGTTTGTTTTAATTGTAAAAGCCCAAATAAGATAAGGCCCATATTTCTAAGCCCATAAATTTGATTGTTTTTAGATCTTCTTCATGTGTCATTCTCAAAAACCATACAATCTTTGACCTTATCTTCTTTGATTCATGCGAAACAATTCTGATCGAGAGAGAAGAAAGACTTGTGATTGCTAATAAGCTTTCTAATTAAATCGTCTTTAATTGGCCAAGTGTGAAAAAGGGAAGAAAAAAGAAAAGAAAGCTAAGGCCTACGTGGGAACTCCGTGAACGATTTGTCAACAGAACTAAATGGGAAAGAAGCTTTAAACTCCAATCTAATTTTACACATTTATATTCATGATCTACCAACCAACCTGTCCTTTCGTTTTTTATTGTGAAAACTACAAATGCAAAAACAAAACATATTAATAAGAAATGTTTGGATATTATGATATTCTCTAAAAACATGAATATGATGATTACTCCATACAAGTGATAATAAATATTTAAACATCGCATTTACATTTCTATTTGATTATTTATCAACCATATACTTGGCTCTCATTTTCTTTAATGAAATGTTTTTGTGGGTGAAATTCAGAGACTTTCATTGAACATAAAAATAAATAACGAAGTGGGGATTAGTATGTGGAGAAAAGTTGAACAACTCATCTGTTTTGCAAACTTTGCAAGTGTCCATTTATTTCTCGTCTCTTTTGTCGTCTTGCTTTTATTAGGACACCACAAAAAAGAAGTTGACTAAATAAAAAGCTAACCATTTTATTTGTTTGTAAAAGATTAAGCTAACCTTATACATTTTACCTAATCAAAGTTGTGCTTTTAAAAAATTAACTATCAAAGTATTAACACATCTCAAAAACAGGACATAACCTCATAATTTATACTAATATATCGTCTAAATTTCATGTTGATGCAAAATCAAGAATGTATGCAAAGTTATATTTAATTCTTTTCATGATATGAATCATTAATTACATTTACAAAAGTTGATATTTGGATTTTCATTTTCATCTCCCTATATTTTATGTAACAAGAAAATAAAAATAGGAAATTTAGGAAAGTTTTGAAAATGATTAAATAGCAAAGCAAGTAAGCTTTGATTTGATCTTTCATGAAAGAAAGCGAAAACCAGAAAGATTCTGTGGGGAAGCTCTCTTTTTTGTTTTCTTTATCTTCATTTCTTCTTCTTCTTCTCCTCTCTGCTTCTTCGCTTTCTTCAATTAATGAGATCTCACCCATCTCTCTCTACCACTACTACAACTACTCAATCACTAACTCTCTCCTTCTCTTTCCTTTCTCTTTCCATTGTCTGATCCTCCAAAGGTTCATGATCCCCCAAAGGTTCGTTCTTTTCCTCTGACTTGCTCTAATTCCTTACATTTTTGCTTGTTTCTCTCTGTCTTGTACTGTGTTCGAGTTTCGTAGGATCTTTCTTCTGATGATTTTGGTTTGTTCTTTTCTCTCTTTTGTCACTCTGCACTTGTTTGGGTTACAGAGAAACTTTATCAGATCCATTTATCTAAATCGGGGTTCTGAAAAGTGAATCGCTTTTCCACTTGAAAAGTCCCACCTTTTTCTTTTGAGGGTTTCATGTATCTATCTGTTTAATAGAATCTCCACTTCAATGTCCAATTCACAAGTTATAGCCACAAAGAAAGTTCGTTTAAAGAATAACGAAATTCCATGTTTTATACATTTACCAGAATCTGGGTTTTCACAATTAGGGTTTCGTTATGCTTCAAGGCCTGATTGCTGCATTACTATATAAGATGATCTCTTTTGCTTTCAGCTCTCACTGTTCAGCTAAAGCTTTGGGGGGTTTTGCATTATCAGTTTTGTGTCTCACTGGAAAATATTAAAGGTTAAAATTGATCATTAAAGGGAGTAATTTTATTAAAAACTGCAATGAAATGAAATGTATATGTTTAAGTGAAGAATTTTGGTGGAGGGTTTATGATCAGACTCTTTAAACAATGATTCTTGAAAAATCTCTTCACTGTTAAGACTTGTATGGAAACTTGTTTCATCATTTTATCTTGCAATTTCCCCCATAACAATTGTTTTGATTCATGTGCCTGCCTATATGGGGAAACTCTCTGTTATTGATTTGTATGTTTTTCCGTTTTCCTGTCTTTTTTTTGATTAATTTATTTGCAAAGATTAGTGAAAAGTGAATATACTGTATTACAAAACATGGAGCTATAAGAGTCTTAAGGTTGGTCCAATGCCAAACAATCAGGACAGGCTGTTTAGTAATATGTACATATATTCTATTGCTAAAGATCACATGCTGGGTTTTCTTCTTTATGACTTGTTTGCGTCTGCTTTTCTTTTTTGGAACTTTGCATTAAACTAATCACTAATTCATTTTTCTGCAATGTTTTCAGCTCACGGTCCATGCATCATCATTGACCAAGATTCGAAGAAAAGGTTTTGCCCACAAAGAGAGTATTTTATACAGAAAAAAGAAACTTGTGTGAAAGCTCTTTGATTTGACCAAATGTGTTGCTAAAGCCTTTACATTGGGGGATCTGGTTTTGGTACAACAAGAGAAGTCTTTTCTCTTCTTTTTCTCTATCTCTCTGCGATCAGATCCATAGTGTATGCTTGCATTGACCAATGGGAGGTTGTATCTCTAAGAGTTCGTGGAGCAATGAAGAGCCTATGCATCGCCCGTGTCTCGGGATGGGATGTTGTGGGAGCAAAATGGGGAGGAGAGGTTTTTCAGACCGCATCGTTTCACTTCATAACTTGGTTTCTATACCGAATCGGATCATTGGTAACGGAAAGAGCAGGAGTTCTTGCATTTTCACTCAACAGGGACGCAAGGGTATTAATCAGGACGCAATGATTGTGTGGGAAGTGAGTTTCTTCTTCTTATTCTTCCTCAATGATGCTTATTAGAGCTTTTTGTGAAATAAACAGGATTTGGTGTTTTTTTTCTTAGGATTTTATGTCGAAAGATGTTACCTTTTGCGGCGTGTTTGATGGACATGGTCCCCATGGTCATCTTGTTGCTCGTAAAGTGAGGGATTCATTGCCTGTAAAGTTGCTGTCTCTCCTGAATTCTATTAAGTCGAAGCAAAATGGATCCATGGGAACTCGTACAAGCAAATCCGATAGCCTAGAAGCTGAGAAGGAAGAATCTACTGCGGAGGACAACTTGAATTTCTTATGGGAGGAAGCTTTCTTGAAATCATTCAATGCTATGGATAAGGAACTGCGGTCCCATCCTAATCTAGAATGCTTTTGCAGTGGCTGCACGGCTGTTACAATCATTAAGCAGGTAATTTAGACAACAAAAGATCTCTTCTGTTTCTTGGGTTCAAAATCTGTTTTCCTCAGGATTTCCATTGTGTTCCAAGTATCGGTTTTGATGTGTATTGATTGTTTCAGGGGTCAAATCTATTCATGGGAAACATTGGGGATTCTCGGGCGATACTTGGATCCAAAGACAGCAACGATTCGATGGTTGCAGTTCAGCTAACAGTTGACTTAAAGCCTGACTTACCAAGTATTATGCTTTAACAACATTTTGTGATATTTGCTCTAATCTCTACTTTTATTTTCATTTTGTCTAACTTCTTAGATATTATTATTTGTAGGGGAAGCTGAGAGGATCAAACAGTGTAAAGGTAGGGTCTTTGCACTGCAAGACGAGCCAGAGGTGTCACGAGTTTGGCTACCATTTGATAATGCTCCTGGATTAGCCATGGCTAGAGCTTTCGGTGATTTCTGTCTGAAAGACTACGGTGTGATTTCGATACCAGAGTTCTCTCACCGTGTTCTTACAGATAGGGATCAGTTCATTGTCTTAGCCTCAGATGGAGTAATGCACTGAACTTTTAAAGTGTCTTCTAAGAATTATCAAGATGAGTTTCTTTTACTGATGATTCCAACCTTTGTTTTGATAGGTCTGGGATGTGCTGAGCAACGAAGAAGTGGTGGAAGTTGTAGCATCAGCTACAAGCCGGGCATCAGCAGCTAGACTCGTGGTGGATTCAGCTGTACGCGAATGGAAACTTAAGTACCCGACTTCGAAGATGGATGATTGTGCAGTTGTGTGTTTGTTTCTAGATGGCAGAATGGACTCAGAGTCATCAGATAACGAAGAACAATGCTTCTCTTCGGCGACAAACGCAGTAGAATCAGACGAAAGCCAGGGAGCAGAACCGTGTCTTCAGAGAAACGTCACAGTCAGATCATTATCAACGGATCAAGAAAACAACAGTTACGGTAATGTGATTGCAGAGACTGATAATGCAGAGAAGCAGAAGACGGTAGGAGAACAGAACTGGTCAGGACTAGAAGGTGTTACTCGAGTGAACTCTCTTGTTCAACTTCCGAGATTCCCTGGAGAGAAACCTTGAGACATGGCTTTTGATTGTTTTCAGAACTGATTTTGGTCAGGAAAAAAAAATGTCTTCTGCTCAACATAATCTTCTTTATTGCTTCAAGTGAAATGCCTGAAGCTCCGAATATGGAATCCTTAAAAGTATATGTAAATGTCTTAGGTCTTTAGTCTCTCTGCTTGATGATGAACTCTTGAAAAAGATTAAAACTTTGTGTGAGATAAGAAAGGTTTACACAAACATAAAAAAGGTCCCACCGAGACTTGAACTCGGGTTACTGGATTCAGAGTCCAATGTCCTGACCACTAGACCATGGGACCATTTATTTCGATTGCTCCAAGTTCCTTTAAAAATGAAAACTTTGTGTTCGAGTACTACTATATGACCAATGTCGCTGCCGCACCGGCGGCTTGAAGAAATTACCGATGCGAAGATTTTCCCGGAAGCCCTTTTCTGTAGCTCTTCTGAATCGTCCGCATTGTTCTTCACAATCTCTCTGTTTTTACAAAAATGGCGACTTTTTGTCGGATGATTCAAAGTGCTTGCCTTTATCAAGCTCAAGGACGAGTGTTAGGTGGGTGTTCAATAGCAGCTCACTTCCTCCTCCCGAATGGATAGAACCCTTTAACGATGTCTCTGATTTGGTGAAATCGACTCGTAATCTCCAGTCATCTCCATGGGTAAGCCAAATTCTCAACCTTTTAGATGGTTCAGATTCCATGGAATCGAATCTAGATAGTTTCTGCCGTAAGTTTCTTATCAAACTATCGCCCAATTTTGTTTCGTTTGTGTTGAAATCCGATGAGATTCGCGAAAAACCCGATATAGCTTGGAGTTTCTTCTGTTGGTCTCGTAAGCAGAAGAAGTATACGCATAACCTCGAGTGTTATGTCTCCTTGGTTGATGTATTGGCTCTGGCAAAAGATATTGATAGAATTAGGTTTGTCTGCAGTGAGATTAAGAAATTTGAGTTTTCTATGACTGTTTCTGCTGCGAATTCTCTGATTAAGAGTTTTGGAAAGCTTGGAATGGTGGAGGAATTGTTGTGGGTTTGGCGCAAAATGAAAGAGAATGGGATTGAGCCGACTTTGTACACTTATAACTTTTTGATGAACGGATTAGTGAGTGCGATGTTTGTTGATTCGGCAGAGCGTGTTTTTGAGGTTATGGAAAGTGGCAGGATCAAACCAGACGTTGTGACATATAACACAATGATCAAGGGTTATTGTAAGGCAGGGCAAACACAGAAAGCTATGGAGAAGCTTAGAGATATGGAGACGAGAGGTCTTGAGGCTGATAAGATTACGTATATGACTATGATCCAGGCTTGTTATGCAGATAGCGACTTTGGTTCTTGTGTGGCTTTGTATCAAGAGATGGATGAGAAGGGAATTCAAGTCCCGCCTCATGCGTTTAGCTTAGTGATTGGTGGACTTTGTAAGGAAGGGAAATTGAATGAAGGTTATGCTGTTTTCGAGAATATGATCCGTAAAGGGTCTAAACCAAATGTAGCTATATATACTGTTTTGATTGATGGTTATGCGAAAAGCGGAAGTATTGAAGACGCGATAAGGCTTTTACATAGAATGATAGATGAAGGGTTTAAACCGGACGTGGTAACTTATTCCGTTGTCGTTAATGGTTTGTGTAAAAACGGGAGAGTGGAAGAGGCATTGGACTATTTCAAGACTTGCCGGTTTAACGGATTGGCTATCAATTCGATGTTTTATTCTAGTCTCATTGATGGTTTAGGAAAAACGGGCCGAGTAGATGAAGCCGAGAGGCTATTCGAAGAGATGTCTGAGAAAGGATGCACAAGGGATTCATACTGTTATAATGCACTGATCGATGCGTTTACAAAGCATGGGAAAGTCGATGAAGCGCTAGCCCTGTTTAAGAGAATGGAGGAAGAAGAAGGTTGTGATCAAACGGTTTATACATACACAATACTCATATCCGGAATGTTCAAAGAACATAGAAACGAAGAGGCGTTAAAGCTTTGGGACATGATGATCGATAAAGGCATAACACCAACCGCAGCTTGCTTCAGGGCGTTATCAACTGGGTTATGTTTGTCGGGAAAAGTGGCGAGAGCTTGTAAGATACTGGATGAGTTAGCTCCAATGGGTGTGATTCTTGATGCAGCTTGTGAAGATATGATAAATACATTGTGTAAAGCTGGTCGGATCAAAGAAGCTTGTAAATTAGCTGATGGGATAACAGAGAGAGGAAGAGAAGTGCCAGGGAGGATCAGAACAGTGATGATCAATGCATTGAGGAAAGTGGGAAAAGCAGATTTAGCTATGAAGCTAATGCATAGCAAAATTGGGATTGGTTATGAGAGAATGGGTAGTGTTAAAAGACGTGTCAAGTTTACGACTTTACTTGAAACTTGTTTTGACTCTGACTTTTAAGAATTGTTTGCGTTTGTTTATATCTTCTTCATGTGTAGTTTCTTGACAAAAGTTTGTTTTTTGGTTAACAAGGTTTTCTCAAGTTTCATCTGTACTCCAAACGACGTCGTAACAAAAACGTAACAATTTCCTTTTCTTTTTGGTAACATGTATAAAAGAAATTTCCATTTTTATTGATCGAGTGATTTCCATTTTTTTAATATAACATGTGTATAAAAGAGATTTCCTTTTTGTTTTTCCGAAACGACCTAACATCTTTCTGCTTATAAATATAATCGTAATCTCTTTTTTCTTCTTCGAGAGAAATCAAAATTGTATCTTGAGTGAGAAAGTTCTAAAGCAAGCATAGCTTTTCGTGTTCTTCTAAAGCTTTGAATCGCAACTATTTTCGTGTGAATCTTCAATCACCCGTATGAATTTATTTGTCTCCGCCAACTTTTACTTTTAGTCGATTGATCTCGACGATATTTGTGTTGACTGAAGATTATAGATGCAGATCAATACACATAAACAAATACGTTCACGTTATAGAATAAGTAACAAATAGGAAAACCAATTGTTACAGAACTGAAACTTACTTTACGATCTCTTCTCTCTTTTAGTAAGAACAACGTATTGATTGATAGAGGCTTGCAATTGGCAATCTCCTAAGACAGAATTTAGCCCCTACTGTGGTGTACGTAGCTTTGTGTAGGCTTCTATCTTTAGGATACAACTATCGATCTCTGTTTTAACACCGTACAGAGACCCTAGCAAACTCTACTTTGAGATTCTCTGAAATTGATTTGGAGAAGAAGAAGATGAGAATCAATCCCAATCTTTCTCTCCTTTGTTTCTCTTGTATTGTTCTTCTCTCTTGTCTCTCTCTGTCCCTATCTCTCTACATCGTCACGTCTCTTATATATTAATGAAGCGATGTTTGATCCAAGAGATGCTTCTCTTCTCTCAACCGGTGTATCGGTATAAACGTAACCAAGAGACGTGATGAAATTTGCACAAGTAGAAGGGTATTTACATAAATACAAATGTTTATGTAAATAAACATGTTTATATAAAATAAACACCAACAATACCCCACATTTTCTTATTCAAACATATAAATACCCCACATTTGAATAGAAAATAAGCTCCACAATATCTGAGAAAATAGAATCATTATGCATCGGTTAAGGTGTCTTTTAGACTTGAACCTTTCCTAGTAAACACTTATCGGATTTACTTTGTAGGTAGTGAACTCTTGTCTTGAACTAACCACGTTTGATAGTAAACCGAGACAATAAGTGAAACACATAAATTATCAGCTCATTTCATGTTTATACGGTTGTGTTCATTTTGGTCCTGAACATATCCCGACTTCGTGAGAGCTGTAGAGAATTTAGCCATTTCAATTCTCATAGGTGCGACCGCGACACCACTCTCATATAGGTAACATTAATTAAGAATAGTCCATTCTATTCCACTTAAAAAAAATATTAATGTTATTAAGAAAAATATTCATCCCTTTAAACATCAATGGAAATACATTTAACTTCATAGGAATAAGTAATATGTATATCTTTCTTGAGTCTTCCTCAGCCAGTTTGCCTCTTGAACCTAAACCATGGGATCTCCAATGTTGCTAGGTAAGGTTTCCACCAAGTGATGACTCATTGTGTTGGCTTTAAACCCATTCCCCTCGAAGTGTATACGACTTGCTTTTTCGGTAGGCCTTTAGTCAAAGGATCAGCCAAGTTATCCTTTGATCTAATATAATCCAATGCTATCACTCCATTGGTAAGCAATTGTCGTATTGTAGCATGTCTCCTTCGAATATGCCTTGACTTGCCATTGAAAATTTTATTTTTCGCTATATTTAAGGCAGCCATATTATCACAATGGATACATAGTGCAGTTACCGGCTTTGGCCATAATGGAATATCTTCAATAAAATTCCTTAGCCATTCGGCTTCTTCTGCAGCACTATCTAGTGCGATAAATTCTGATTCCATTGTAGAACGTGCAATACACGTTTGTTTAGATGATCTCCAAGACACAGCTCCACCACCAAGTGTAAACACATAACCACTTGTGGATTTACTATCCGTACTTCCAGAAATCCAATTTGCATCACTATATCCTTCTATTACATGAGGAAATTTAGTGTAATATAGACCATAATTAATTGTATGCTTTAAGTATCTCAATACTCTAACCAAAGCATTCCAATGTTCTCTATTTGGATTACTTGAATATCGACTTAATCGACTTATTGAGTAAGCCAAATCTGGTCTTGTACAATTTGTAATGTACATGATGCTTCCAAGAATTTGTGTGTATTCCAACTGAGACACACTTTCACCTTCATTCTTGGAAAGCTTGCACGTTGGATCAAACGGAGTAACCACCGGTCTATCATCAAAGTGACCAAACTTCTTTAGAACTTTCTCCACATAATGAGATTGAGTAAGTGAATACCCATTTGGCTCTCTTTTAATTCTAATTCCAAGAATTACATCAGCCAATCCCATGTCTTTCATTTCAAAATTGTCACTCAACATCTTCTTTGTGGCATTGATAATGTCTTTACTAGTTCCCATTATTAACATATCATCCACATAAAGACATACAATGATCGTATCCTTTTTAGTTTCCTTAACGTAGACACACTTGTCACATTCATTTATTTTAAAACCATACGATCTCATTGTATTAAAACCATAATGGCTAAATTCTGTCTTAGATTGTTGACTGAAGATTATAGATGCAGATCAATACACATAAACAAATACGTTCACGTTATAGAATAAGTAACAAATAGGAAAACCAATTGTTACAGAACTGAAACTTACTTTACGATCTCTTCTCTCTTTTAGTAAGAACAACGTATTGATTGATAGAGGCTTGCAATTGGCAATCTCCTAAGACAGAATTTAGCCCCTACTGTGGTGTACGTAGCTTTGTGTAGGCTTCTATCTTTAGGATACAACTATCGATCTCTGTTTTAACACCGTACAGAGACCCTAGCAAACTCTACTTTGAGATTCTCTGAAATTGATTTGGAGAAGAAGAAGATGAGAATCAATCCCAATCTTTCTCTCCTTTGTTTCTCTTGTATTGTTCTTCTCTCTTGTCTCTCTCTGTCCCTATCTCTCTACATCGTCACGTCTCTTATATATTAATGAAGCGATGTTTGATCCAAGAGATGCTTCTCTTCTCTCAACCGGTGTATCGGTATAAACGTAACCAAGAGACGTGATGAAATTTGCACAAGTAGAAGGGTATTTACATAAATACAAATGTTTATGTAAATAAACATGTTTATATAAAATAAACACCAACAATTTGCCGTGGCGGTGGATGAGAGCCCGCAGCATGCGTCGATCATAATCTCCACAAACCCTATCGCCGGAGAGAAGAAGGCCTAATCGTCGTTCACAATCACAGTCCTCCTTATTTGCTTCAATTAGGGTTGATACAGTTATGACTCAACAATAATACCAATCTCGTAATCCTCTCTTTCTTGACCTGTAAGTAATCTCCAGAATCCTCTCTGCTTTTCTTTATTTTCATCTCTTTCTAAGTTTATTATTTATCCCTCTCAACCAATATTGACCCCTTCTTTGTTTAATTCAATTTCAGCCTATTGGAAATTATCGCCTACTAGATTTGGGGACAAACACTATCATCAACACTACTAATTCTCTGTAAGTTATTTCTTCTATTATTCGTTCATTTTTTAATATAATAAGATAGAAAATGTTTTTGTTTTAAAAATAAAACTAAGTATTTTTAACACTAATTTTTTTTTATTTTACATAATGTTTTTGTTTAAAAAAAAAACTAAGTGTTAGATTTAAATAGCTTGAAAACAAGTTGGGCTTAGCATCCCGTCCTTTTGGTCCGTAAGTCTTGAGGTGTATAAGTTCAATATGTTTTCTCGTAATTAAAATTTAACACTTAGTTATGTTTTAAACGGTTTTCAAAAATAATATTTTAAGTAATTTTTTTTTTTTTTATTTTAAAAAAAAAAAAAAAAAAAAAAAAAAAAAAAAAAATTATTTTACAAAATGTTTTTGTTTAAAAACAAAACTAAGTGTTAGATTTAAATAGCTTGAAAAAAAGTTGGGCTTAGCATCCCGTCCTTTTGGTCCGTAAGTCTTGAGGTGTATAAGTTCAACATGTTTTCTCGTAATTAAAATTTAACACTTAGTTATGTTTTAAACGGTTTTCAAAAATAATATTTTAAGTAATTTTTTTTTATTTTACAAAATGTTTTTGTTTAAAAACAAAACTAAGTGTTAGATTTAAATAGCTTGAAAACAAGTTGGGCTTAGCATCCCGTCCTTTTGGTCCGCAAGTCTTGAGGTGTATAAGTTGAACATGTTTTCTCGTAATTAAAATTTAACACTTAGTTATGTTTTAAACGGTTTTCAAAAATAATATTTTAAGTAATTTTTTTTTTATTTTACAAAATGCTTTTGTTTAAAAACAAAACTAAGTGTTAGATTTAAATAGCTTGAAAACAAGTTGGGCTTAGCATCCCGTCCTTTTGGTCCGTAAGTCTTGAGGTGTATAAGTTGAACATGTTTTCTCGTAATTAAAATTTAACACTTAGTTATGTTTTAAACGGTTTTCAAAAATAATATTTTAAGTAATTTTTTTTTTATTTTACAAAATGCTTTTGTTTAAAAACAAAACTAAGTGTTAGATTTAAATAGCTTGAAAACAAGTTGGGCTTAGCATCCCGTCCTTTTGGTCCGTAAGTCTTGAGGTGTATAAGTTCAACATGTTTTCTCGTAATTAAAATTTAACACTTAGTTATATTTTAAACGGTTTTCAAAAATAATGTGTTAAGTAAATTGTTTTGATTTTTATCTTAAAGTTTTTTATTTTACAAAATTTTTTTGTTTTAAGAACATAAATAAGTGATAAATTTAAATACGTTGAAAACAAATCTAATTTACCATTATGTCGTTAGGATTTTATTTGGTCCGTTATTTGGTGTCATTAGTTCAACATGATTTCACATGATATAATTTAACATTTAGCTAAATTTTAAAGTTTGTAGCGAATAATGTTTTAAGTTAATTTTTTATTTTTTAACTAAAACTTTTTTGGTTATATAAAATGTTATTATTTTAGTGCTAAATTTAGCAAATAATAGTGATAAATTTAAATACGTTGAACACAAACCTCTTTGGAGAGGATGGTTCCTTTACTGAGTTGGACCTCGGAGAACCTTCAGGCAAAAAGTTGGCTAAAAGACAAAGCTATTAAGACCAATTCGGCAATTCTTGATCCTTTTGTGGTTGGACCAGTTTTTAAAATCAAGATCTTAAAACTTGTTGTTTTTTTTTTTCCCTTTCTTGTGCTTGGTGTGTGATTTGCGTGTAAACATGTTAGCACGTTGAGCTGAAACATTATAATATTGACCTGTGACTTTCTAGTCACTAACCACAAATTTCGGATTCAAACTTTACATGTGCGTTAGAGGGTTTGTAACCAATTTGAATCAAACCGTTGAAAAACTCAACCGGAATTCTATTACTAGTGAACTAAATCCAATTGAAGCCTCATAAAACCGAATAAAATTCAGTAAACCGATCCATAAACCAAAATGTAAAAAATAATTCCTGTTGAATAGGTGTTGAAATTTTGCTGAACAAAAACGAAGCGAGCACCCTTTAAAATGCCTTCGATTTCTCTGGCGCCATTGATTTAGTTTTCTCTCTCTGACTACAAAGTGCCCATTCGTTGAAACCATTTTCTTCCCATTTTCGATTTCTGTCAAAATTAACCAACGACCTCCACAATCTCCAAAAACTCTTTCTTGAATAAGTTTCTTGATCTTAAAACAAACGATCTCAAAGAATGGCACGACACGATCCTAATCCATTTGCTGATGAAGAGATCAATCCTTTTGCGGTAAAGAGCTCTGTTTCATAATGATTGAATAGAAATGTCTGATCTTTCTGTAATCTTTATCCATTTGATCTCAATTTATAATGTTGTAGAATAATACAAGTGTTCCTCCTGCGAGCAACTCTTATCTCAAGCCACTTCCACCGGAACCTTATGATCGTGGTGCAACCGTTGATATCCCTTTGGATTCTGGCAATGTATGATATCTTTAATACCTTCTGCATTTTGCCTTTCATGTTTACTCAAAATCTGGTTAGATGAAACGGTAAATTTCATTTTGCTGATTCTGTTTGAAGGATCTTCGAGCTAAAGAGATGGAACTTCAGGCTAAGGAGAACGAACTGAAGCGGAAAGAGCAGGTGATTTCTGGTTTTCGAGTCTCTTGGGTCGATATCCAAGCTAATCTTGAGACCTAAGTTTCAATGTGGATTGTTTCTAACAGTCTTTTTCTTCTTGTAATGCAGGAGCTTAAAAGAAGAGAGGATGCAATAGCGCGAAGTAGTGCAATCTTCTATATATGATATTCTACATCTTCCAATGACCTTTTACGGGTTTTTGTAGCTAACCTGATATGGTTGTTTTGGCAGCTGGAGTTGTCATCGAAGAGAAAAATTGGCCGGAGTTTTTCCCTATAATTCATCATGACATTCCAAATGAGATTCCAATTCATTTACAGAAGATCCAATACGTCGCATTCACCACATTGTTAGGTATGTAAACCGCCTTAGACCGCTGCAAAAAATCCAGACAAAAGTTAACGGTAAATTCTTGAACTATGCAGGTTTAGTAGGATGTCTCTTGTGGAATATTGTGGCAGTAACTGTAGCTTGGATCAAAGGAGAAGGTTACCGTTTTTACCCAAACGATCAGATTCATGATGGTATTTCCTCTGACCATGTTGATTCATCTGATGTGCTTTGTTTTGTAATTAGGTCCCACTATATGGCTTCTCTCAATCATTTACTTCATTGCTGGGGTACCTGGAGCTTACGTCTTATGGTACCGTCCTCTTTACCGAGCTACCAGGTAAAAACAGCTCTCTTAGTATATGCTGGAACTTGCTCGGGAATACGATGAATTGTGAAAAGATATATGAAATGAGTAAATAATACAATGAGTGTGTACCTCTTGCAGAACTGATAGTGCCCTGAAGTTCGGAGCTTTTTTCTTTTTTTACGTGGTAAGAAAAACCGCATTTCTATTGGTAGATTTCCTCTGCATTAAAGTTTTTTAAGAAGACATGAGAAAATAAACCCGTGTCTTGCACTTTTTAGTTTCACATCGCGTTCTGCGGCTTTGCTGCAGTTGCTCCACCAGTCATCTTCCAAGGAAAGTCTCTCACGTAAGAGTTTTCCATCTATATGAAAGCATTAGAACCAGCCTCTAAGTTTTACAATTTTTAACCATTCTTCATTTCATGAAGATGTTATAACCTTTTGAGTCTTTGATGAGCTCCATCTGATTCCATGTACTGTTGGTTTTGTGGACAGAGGTTTCTTGCCAGCACTTGAGCTTCTAACTACTAATGCTGCAGTCGGGGTAACTAACCATTCTGCTCATTTACAAGTACTTTACTTCGGATTGTGAGAGTATTCTTACCTAATTTTCTTCCTTTTCACCCTCACAGATAATGTATTTCATTGGTGCTGGGTTCTTCTGCATCGAAACACTTCTCAATATCTGGGTCATTCAGGTTTCTCAACTTCTTCTACTCCATAATTTATCAACACTGTAAATCACTTCAATCCATCTGTTTTCTAACCCATGACGTGCAATAATCGATTTTCAGCAAGTATATGCATATTTCCGAGGGAGTGGCAAAGCTGCAGAGATGAAGCGTGAAGCTACAAAATCGACCTTGATGCGTGCACTATGAAGAAAACACTCTTCACCAGAAAATGTATCAGTGGCGGCTTGAGGTTAAAATCTTGAATCATCCACAAAACATTTGACTCAACCCTTTTCTCTGCAAAGTCTAGGCTGGCAACTGTTTTACGTTTGAATTACTTTGTAAAGACAAATCGCTTACATGGGGACCTCAAGGCAAAATTATGTGGTTTAAAGTTGTCAAAACCATTTCTTTATGAATACTAGAGCATGATCCCTAGAGGGACACGAATATTTATAGCTTTCTAATGAGCATCAATCCAGCTCTGTCCAACAGTCTTTGCTACTCCTCGTCTCACCATTAACTTACGAATCTTGAGTGCATCCCCATGGCGACCTATCGCCTTGTACATGTTACTGAGAAGAACATAACTCATGTGGTACTTTGGTTCCAACTCCATCATTCTCTTTGCAATCCGCTCTGCAATACTGGAGGCATCTGTATTTGCAGCACAAGGTCCAAGCAGAACTCCCCACAGAGACGCATCATTTCTACACTCCGCTCTGTCCAACAGATTCTCCGCTTCTTCAAACAAACCTGCGCGTCCTAGAAGGTCGATCATGCAACTGTAATGCTCGGTACCTGGTTTAATCCCATAACTCTTAGCCATCAACGCAAAGTAATTCCGTCCCTCTTCAACCAACCCTGTATGACCACATGCAGTGAGAACCGCGATAAAACTGATGTAATCAGGCTTTATCCCCTTTTTAACCATATCATTGAAGAAACTAACAGCTTCTTCACCTCTTCCATTCTGAGCAAGCGCAGAGAGCATAGCGTTCCACGTTATCATGTTCCTAACTGACATCTTGGAGTAAACACGACTAGCATAATCAATGCACCCGGATTTCCCATACAAGTCAATTAAAGCCGATTCTACAATCACATTACCAGAACACCCTCTTCTCACGTACTGGCCATGAATCTCTTTCCCAAGTCTTACTGCCGCCAAACCAGCACACGCCTTAAGAACAGTGCCGAAACAGTACAGATCTTTCTCTTCCATCTCCCTGAACATCTCAATTGCTTTCTCATGCTCTCCATTCTGACAGTATCCCCCGAGTAAGGCAGACCAAGATACGGTGTTCTTCTTAGGCATCCCATTGAACACTTGCCTAGCCTCCCGAACTGATCCACATTTACCATACATATCAAGAAGACTACTCTCAACCACCACATTGCTACCTATCCCATTTGTAATAAGCTTCCCATGAATCTCTTTCCCTTGCTTCAGCCTTCTCAGATTACCACAAGCCGTTAAAACAGTTCCAAATGTAGACCCATCAGGCACCAACCCTTTTCCTCTATGCATCGCGTAAAAAAGCCCCAAAGCTTCCTCGTACAAGTCGTTCTTCGAAAACGCAGAGAGTACAGCTGTCCAACAAATAACATCTGGTTCAGGCATTTCATCAAACACTCGGCGTGCATCTACTGGTTCTCTATTCACACCGTACATATACGCCAATGTGCTAGAGATAACATGGTTCCACTCGAACCCATGAGTAATAACAACACCATGGAAACACCTCCCTAGCCTAACTTCTCCAAGCTCAAAGCAAGCCTTAACTGCCGAAGACAACGTAAACTCATTCGGCTGCAAACCAAAACTCACCATCTCCACAAACACCTCAAGCGCCTTAACGTGTTCTTTACCGGCAACGTATCCAGACATCATCGAAGTCCACGAGATCGCGTCTTTGACGAACATTCCATCGAAAACTCTCCGAGTCTCCCTCATATCAGGTCCCAACTTGAAGTACAGAGAGAGCAAGCTGTTCCCAACGTTCCGGTCCGTTTCCAGACCCGATTTGACGACATGGGCATGAAACTGAATGCCGTGGATAAAGGAGAAGACTGTTCTGCATGTTTGTAAGAGACACGCGTAGAGATTCGACTTCGCAGAGATCTCAGACGAGTGTGTTGAGTTTAGGATCCGAATGGCGTCGGTGAGCTGACCCAATTTACAAAGCTCCAGGATCCGAGATTGTTTCGTCGGAGCAGAGGATGAAATTGACGGCGTCAGACACAGAGAGGCGTGTTGACTGAATTGGCGCTTGAGGATGAGATTCATCGGAGACACCACAATCACCGGTGAACTATTCTTCCAAGTTCGGTACTTTTAAAGTTAATGGAATATTGAAAATTAATCAAATTGGTAAATCTATTAATTAAACCAAATTTGATAGACAAATAAAACATTTAAATTAATTTTGTAAGAAAAAACAAATATATTAAACTGAAAAAAACAAATATATATAGTCAAAAGATAACCATAAGCACTAATAATTTTGTATCGATTACGATGTTTATAAGATATATGATCAAATTCTATAGTATTCAAATATTATAAAAGCACTAAAATTAAAATAAATACGAAAAAACAAAATAAAGAATAGGAAAAAAAGGTCGGTGGAGCCGTGGAGGGAGAGAGGAACGGGTAACCCTAATTTGGGCAGTGGCACTACCAACAGAGCCAAGTACTTTACTTTGCTCTCAAAACCCTAACGTATCTGCGATAAACCCTCGCGCCTTTGCTCAAATAGCTGCCTTTATAACTTAGCCGCCACTTTTACTCTCGCAAGTCATGTTCTTTCACTTTCTTGCGCTGGTTCTTCTTCGCCCTCTCTATTCTTGCCATGGTTGGATTTCCCCCTAATCCAGCTATAACAGTTAAAGAAGAGCTAGCTTTGCAAGTTGTAGTCGATCAAGACCCCAAGGTAAAAACTTTCAAGGACTCTATTGATTTCCCCTCCATCGATTCCTATCTGGATTTCGATTCCGTCACTTGGTTGGGGAGTAATCGGAACATTGAGGAGTTTAGCATAGAAGATACGGACTTTGATTTCTTTGAGGACGGAATGGAGATACCTCAAGAAGGCGTTGTTACTGTTAGCGATGTAATGCGTCCTGAGTCGATTGAAGTAAAGCCTGAGCTTTGTGATGACATGTCTGGGGAAGTTGGTGTGAGTTTGGTTAGGTCTGAGCCGATGGTTGAAGTAAAGCCTGTGCTTTGTGATGTCATGTCTGAGGAAGTTGGAGGGAGCTCAATTAAGTCTGACTCGATGGTTGAGGTAGAGCCCAATGTTTGTGTTGAGATGTCTGCAAACGGTGGGGATGAACCAGCAGTGAAAGATTCAGAACCGGTTGTTTCTGAAAACACTAGGTCAATGGAAGGTGAGACTGAGCCAGTTGATGTGTCTGATGCGTCTGTTGCGTGTCCTACCATGGATTTGGATGAATCAGGGTTGAAGAAAACAGATGAGGGTTTGGCTTGTTCTATTGAAGTAGGGTTGAAGAAGGTAAGTTTGGCCATGGATGATGATGAGAAGAGTGACGGGGATAAGGGGAAAGCTGATTCTGTTGAGTCTGAAAGTGAAACATCGAGCTCTTCTTCAAGCAGTAGTGATAGTAGTAGCAGTGAAGAAGAGGAGAGTGATGAGGACGAGAGCGACGAAGAAGAAAATAAGAAGGAAGAAAAGTTTGAAGATCACATGGTTATGGGGAAAGAGGGTGATCTAGCAGGGGAACTTGAAGAGGGTGAGATAGAGAATTTAGATGAGGAGAGTGGGGATGACGAAATTGAGGATGACGAAGATGATGACGATGATGAAGTGAATGAGATGGTTGCTTGGAGCAATGATGAGGATGATGACCTCGGTTTACAAACAAAAGAACCTATAAGGTCAAAGAATGAGCTCAAGGTACCTATGCTTCAGCTTTTCACATTTCATAGCTTTGTTTACTTGAAAGAAGTACGGTCCATTATCTTTGTAGAGTACTGATTAAATATTGCAACAAGAAAACTATATACTGTCCGCAAGCTATTTGGCATTACCTTAGAAGCCTTCTTTTTGTTGAGTAAATTTTGAAAGATTTTCCCCTTTTTAACTCTTGCAGGAGCTTCCTCCAGTTCCAGCTGTGGATGTCACTCTGGAACCACATCATGCCACACTTCCTGTTGGAGTTGTTCTTTCGGTAAATTACAATTTATCTCTACTTGTATGCTATTGCTTCTCTGATTTATGTCTAGATAATCCACTGCTAAAAGTATACCCGTGTGATTTGTGATTTTACAGGTAATGAGCACACAAGTAATAGTTGAGGGAATGGAAAAGCATAGTCCTTTGACTGAAGGTTCTATCCTTTGGATAACTGAAAAAAGAACGCCACTGGGACTGGTGGATGAGATCTTTGGACCAGTAAAGTGCCCTTTCTATATTGTGAGGTTCAATTCAGAGAGTGAAGTGCCAGAAGGGGTTAGTCAAGGGACACCTGTCTCATTTGTCGCCGATTTCGCTCAACATATTCTCAATATCAAGGAACTGCAGAAGAAAGGTTACGATGCATCTGGTGATAACGACGAGGAGATACCAGACGAGCTAGAGTTCTCAGATGATGAAAAAGAAGCCGAATACAGAAGAATGCAGAAGATGGAAAAGAGAGGAATGATGAATGACCAGAAAACGGGTAACACAAGGAACAAGAAGAAGAAAAACCGAGATCTCGGAAGGCCTACCAGCAGTTACTCAGGGGAATGGACAGAGAACCAGGGATCTAGTTCCCTATCCTCAAACCGTTCTGATCCTCAAATGGGTGGTCCGCTTTCAAATCTTGGTCCGCGTCCTCAAATGGACGGGTTTCCTCCAAACAATGCATCATGGAGACCCCAGAGTAATCAGCAGAACACATATCAGCTTCCTCCTATACCTAATCAGATGGGAATGCCCAATCTAGCCCCAATGCAGATACCTTTCATGGCAATGCAAAATCAAAATCAAATGATGTTCCAACCGAAGTTCAATGGTGGCCAGATGCCAATGCCAGGTGGACCTGGAGGCTTAAACTTCTTTCCAGGACAGGCTTCAGCGCCATGGCCTGCATTGGTTGGTCAGAATTGTTTCAACCAACCATTTGGGATGGGCCGCGGTATTCAGCAGCAGCCATTACCGAATGAGCTGAGTTTTAATCTGTTTTCTCAAGGTCTTCAGATGCACCCGCCACAGTCCCAAATGCACCGGCCACAGTCTCAAATGAATCCACATTTCCAAATGCCACCACAGTTCCAAACCAACCCGCAATCTCCAATGAACCCGCAGTACCAAATGATGCATCGACCACAGTCTCCAATGAACCCGCAGTTCCAAATGCAACCACAATCTGATGTGCGACCACCACAGTCACAAATCCCGCAGTCACCAACAAATCTGCAGTCCCCAATGGAATCACAGTCTCAAGGGTTCAGCAGCGGGCAGTCTTCTGAACGGGGAAGGGGCTTCCGTGGTCGTGGGAGGGGTCGGGGTCGCTTCGGACGTGGGCGAGGTCGAGGCCGGCAACAGTCTGGATGAAACTGTTTTTGTGAAGCATATTGATGTGTGCCATAGACAGACTCTATTAGTTTTGTATGCCAGTTTTTTGACTAAAAAAAAAACTCAGCTTATGATTTATGATCTTTTTTCACTCATTCTCTAATTGCTAACAGTAAATTTAAATTCAAACTTTGATCTTTCTTTTTCTTTCTGCTTACCAAAGTCAAACTGGCTATAGAGTATAGAGTCGACTATATAGTCTCTAGTCAGTGAATTAAGCAGCAGGCAAAAGAACAGTTTTTTTTGTCTCGCCGTTAATTTCGTTACTTATCTAACGCATTCTTATCCGTTGATTATGCCACGTGTACGTCATCGTTTGTAAAGGGTGTGAGAGTCGTACATGATCATTAAATTCCCTACTGATTGATTGTGATTTTGCCAACAATTATTAAAGCTTAACGCCACGAAATGTTTCATGTTTAAATTAATTGCCATGTCTCTCTGTCTGTCTCTCTGTATCTCTCTCTCTTCTTCCCCGCGTCGATTTCACATTTTCTCTTTTAAGACAGCTTTGAATCTAAAGACAATTTCAGTTTCTTTTTCTTCAAAGTATTGAAATTTCCTCTCTTGCCCAGTTTTGAGTTATTGCAATCAGAAGTTTAAACACTTTTCCTGTCTCTTTCTGCTACCCTAATTTATCTTCTTAAAGCGTCTGTCTCTTTCAGCGGACGTGTCTTGTCTCTTTAAGGTAATTTCAAGACTTAAACTTGAAGTATCTCTCGCCTTCTTCTGCTGTCTGTTTCTTTTTTGAAATCGATTTGAGATTAGATCTGACTCAGCTTTGGACTAAGACAAACCTTTTCTCTTTGCATGCCATAAAAGACATTGCTTTCGATTGCAGATTCCGTAGTGGATGTTCCTTTTTTAATCTCTTTTTTTATCTCTTTTAAAAAGTCCTCTCTTCTAAATCAATTTTTTGCTGAACTTGCCCAATTCTGAAACTTTGTTGCAAGTCTCCTCTTGGTCTCGGTTCTGAAATCAGATTTCTTTGCTTACTTTGGTACAAAAGATTCGGGCTTTGATGCTTATTTGGTATTTTAAAACAACTTCGATCGCCTGTCTGAACAAATCTGAATTGGGTTTCTTGGTTGGATAGGATAAGTGGTTAGGGAATGAGAAAATTGTATAGGAAGCTGGTTTCATTCAGAGACCCTTTTGCTAGGGTGAAGAGACATGTTAGTTCACACTCAGGGATTAGAGCTTTCAGCGACAGAAAATGGATATTCCCTTGTCTAGCAAGCTTGATCATGTCGATTACTCTCCTGATTTTGTTAATTTCTGGCCAATTCGACGGCTTCTTTGGGGAAGAAGATCAATTACCATTAGATGTTGTTTCAAAGTCTAATGAGTACTTTGTAGAATCAGATTTCAAACAATCTTTGAATTCGACAGCTCATGTTAATTTAGGGCCTCCTAGATTAGCTTATTTGATATCGGGAACAAAAGGCGATAGTCATAGGATGATGAGGACTTTACAAGCTGTGTACCATCCTAGAAACCAGTATGTTCTGCATTTGGATCTTGAGGCTCCACCTCGAGAACGGATGGAGTTGGCGATGTCCGTGAAGAGTGATCCGACTTTCCGTGAAATGGAGAATGTTCGTGTGATGTCTCAGTCTAATCTTGTTACTTATAAAGGCCCTACAATGATTGCGTGTACTCTTCAAGCCGTTGCAATTTTGCTGAGGGAAAGCTTACATTGGGATTGGTTTCTTAACCTTAGCGCCTCGGATTATCCTCTAGTAACACAAGATGGTTAGTAAAAGAATGCCCTTTGCATACATATACTCTCTCTATAATGCTTTAGTAGTCTCTCATTTGTTTCATTTGCAATTTTGGTTCCTTCGGTGACTTATCATCCTTTTGAGCTTCATATTTAGTTGTGACTTATAAGTTTGGCTTTACTTTCCGTTTCTGTAGATTTGTTGTATGTCTTCTCAAATCTGTCTCGGAATGTCAATTTCATCGAGAATATGCAGCTCACCGGATGGAAACTGTAAGTAGAACCATGCTTTATTATTCGAGGCACACCGAAATCTCAAAGCATGTGTAGTTTACTTGGGACTTTCTTAGCAGGAATCAGAGGGCTAAATCAATCATTGTTGATCCTGCCCTATACCTATCGAAGAAATCCGATATTGCTTGGACTACTCAACGACGATCACTTCCAAATTCTTTCAAGCTATTCACCGGTTAGCTTCTTGAATCTCACAGTTTCATTTATGTGAGAAAGATAATGAACGTCCTGAAGATGATATATGTCTTAATTCTGCAGGCTCAGCTTGGATAATGTTGACTCGGTCTTTCCTCGAGTACTGCATTTGGGGATGGGATAACTTCCCAAGAACAATACTAATGTACTACACGAATTTCGTTTCCTCTCCTGAAGGATACTTCCATACAGTAATCTGCAACAGCAAAGAGTTTGTCAACACCGCGATTGGGCATGATCTACACTACATTGCTTGGGACAGTCCTCCAAAGCAACACCCTAGATCTCTCTCATTGAAGGATTTTGACAATATGGTCAAGAGCAAAGCTCCATTTGCACGCAAGTTCCACAAGAACGATCCTGCGTTAGACAAGATCGATAAAGAGCTATTGGGACGGACACACCGGTTTCCACCAGGAGGATGGTGTGTTGGGAGTTCAGCTAATGGCAATGATCCGTGCTCTGTGAAAGGCGACGACTCGGTGTTGAAACCGGGACCTGGTTCTGAGAGGTTGCAGGAGCTTGTTCAAACACTTTCCTCTGATGAATTTAGGAGAAAACAGTGTTCTTGAAGTTATCTAATGATAACATTGTATATTGTTTTGTTTGATTATAAATTTTGGTTATAGAAATTTCTTCGAAACACATGAATCAAGGAAGTGGAAGTCTAGAACAGTTAACAAGATCCTTTTAGGCTTCTACTGAGAACAAGTGAAGTGGGCTTTTATGGGCCGAATAGGGTGAGTGAAGTGGCATTGATATGGCCATATTATAGGGGACCAAAGAATAAGGCCCAATTAGCTTTTACAGCCGAAAATAAAAAAATTCGCCGTTGCCGGGGATCGAACCCGGGTCACCCGCGTGACAGGCGGGAATACTTACCACTATACTACAACGACTTTGTTGCTGGTTTGCCTAAAAAACAAGTTTATAACCAATAACATCTTCCGTATTTTTTTTTTATTTTTTTTTTATTTTTTTTTTATCTTCCGTATTTCTTAGTCCAGCTTACGTTGTTTCTTGACGCCAACAGCCCAACACCGAAAGCTCCATCTCCATGTCTTCCTCGTACGCGTCGAGTTGCACTAAACTGATCTCTCTCACCAAACAATTAAGCTCTTACGCGAACCAAGGAAACCATGAACAAGCTCTGAATCTCTTTCGTCAAATGCATTCTTCTTTCGCAATACCTCTCGACGCACACGTCTTCTCACTCGCTCTCAAATCGTGCGCTGCAGCTTTCCGTCCTGTTCTCGGAGGATCAGTCCATGCCCACTCCGTAAAATCTAATTTTTTGTCAAACCCATTTGTGGGATGCGCTCTACTCGATATGTATGGTAAATGCTTGTCTGTTTCTCATGCTCGTAAACTGTTCGACGAAATTCCTGAGAGGAATGCTGTTGTGTGGAACGCGATGATTTCGCATTACACACATTGTGGGAAGATTCAAGAAGCGGTTGAGCTGTATGAATCTATGGATGTTATGCCAAATGAGTCTTCTTTCAATGCTATCATAAAGGGTTTTGTTGGTACAGAAGATGGGTCTTATAAAGCTATTGAATTCTATAGGAAGATGATAGATTTTAGATTCAAGCCTAATTTGATTACGCTTCTTGCGTTAGTTTCCGCTTGCTCAGCCATTGGGGCTTTTCGTTTAATAAAAGAGATTCATTCATATGCTTTTAGGAATCTGATTGAGCCGCATCCGCAATTGAAAAGCGGGTTAGTAGAGGCGTATGGGCGGTGTGGATGTATTGTCTATGTGCAATTGGTGTTTGAGAGCATGGCCGATAGAGATGTGGTTGCTTGGAGTAGCTTGATATCCGCTTATGCACTTCACGGTGACGCGAAATCCGCTCTCAGAACATTTCAAGAAATGGAATCGGCGAAAGTAACACCTGATGACATTGCGTTTCTGAACGTGTTAAAGGCTTGTAGTCACGCTGGTTTAGCCGATGAGGCTCTTGTTTACTTCAAGAGAATGCAGGGAGATTACGGTTTGCGTGCAAGCAGGGACCATTACTCGTGTTTGGTGGATGTCTTAAGCAGAGTAGGGAGGTTTGAAGAAGCTTACAAAGTGATTCAAGCTATGCCTGAGAAGCCAACGGCTAAGACATGGGGGGCTTTGCTTGGAGCTTGTAGGAACTACGGCGAGGTTGAGCTCGCAGAGATTGCTGCGAAGGAGTTGTGGAAGATAGAGCCAGAGAATCCGGCGAATTATGTGTTGCTGGGGAAGATATATATGAGTGTTGGAAGACAAGAAGAGGCAGAGAGACTTAGATTGAAGATGAAGGAGAGTGGAGTGAAGGTTTCACCTGGTAGTAGTTGGTGTTTGTTCAAAGATTGACATATTACTATGCTCATGAAATTTTTGTAAGCTCATACACATTTTGAAATCAAGATACTAGATTATTAGCACTTTGGTCTTTGTAACAAGTCAAGATAAGCATAGATGATGGAATTTGAAATTTGTAAGGCCTGGCATATTTGAGCGGCTCACAAACGTAAATTTTGAAACCAACTGGATTTATATGCGTTGGGCCTGTCAATAAACCAACGGGGGCAATTTCGACTTTTCGGTATAGAGAATTTAGGCTAGGGTTTTGACCAGCCCCGTGAACCTCTTGCTATTTAGCATCATCTTCCTCCTTAATCTGTTTCCTACAGTTAGAATCGATCTTTAGATTAGGGTTCTTCTTCAATCGCTAAGGGTTTTATTATATATCTAGTTATAGGTTCTTCTTCAATCGCTAAGGGTTTTATTATATATCTACTTATAGGTTCTTCTTCATAGCAGGAGCCTCCCGGGCTAATCTGATAACTAAGGTACTTGAGGAAGTAAGCCCCAAAGCTCCTGCTAGATTATTTTGCCGTTTGTGTTGCAGATTTGCCTTATTCCTTAGGCTTTTCTGTGTCAAAAAAGCGGCTATATATCTCTTTTCTATATGTGTTTTGATTTGACCTGTTTTTGTTGATGGAATCGAATAATGTTTGTTTTGTTTTGGCAGTGATTATAAACTTACCCGCGCTTCTGAGATTAGGTCAATGAAGCATATACGGTAAATACATGGTTGAATTTCTTAATATGAGCCCAAAGTTTTCTTCTTTTTGTTTTTCTGAGATTGTTTGTTTGGCAGTGATGATGAATTGTAACAGCTTGATACGCCAGTTCTGCTTCAGATAATTCTTGATTGAAAAAGCTGTATTCTCATCTGAGTCTTTAATTGTTGAATTTTTTTGAGTTTAGTGTTTTTGAAAATATGGGAATGTCGATGAGGATCTAATCCAATCTTACGAGGTGCAGTGGAGCTGAGACCCTGTTTCCAGGGAGAACCCCTTGGCAGAAGCTGCAATTTCTATGACCTCTATGGATTTTACTGAGACTTTAAGTAATTAATTTTCTATTGAGTTTAAAAACTATACACTTGCACTTGTATCTTAGTGCTTGTAGTCTGAAAAAACTCGTAAATTGCCAGTGTTCTCATCAGCTTCCGTCTCCTTTTTAACCATGAGACTAGAGTTAAACAAGAACACTACATTTTTCTCTTTCAATATTACATGATTTTTTTGTTTTCTTGTTTTGAGTTTCTGGTTTCGGACCCAAGATCAGGTTGCCCGTATTCATGAGATTGGAGATAATTATTGAACCATATTCAGGACGTTTGTGGAATGTTGGGACTTACTAATTGAGGTTGTGTTGATCGGTAAATGTTGTTGCTACAAGTTATTGGATGAGAAAAGGGCTGCTACTTCTCGAATTTCTTGATCCCCTGTTGTAGAATTGAGGCAAATACTTCCATTTTCTTCTTCTCCAGTGCTATTCCAATCTCAACTCCATTACTACCGTCTCTGGACTCTGAGAATGCAATAGAACCACCTGTTTCTATGTGCACTATCTCCATTTTGCAGGGCTTTCCTAACCCAAAATCCATATCATACAGTCCCAATTTCGGAGCTCCTGCAATTGAGGTTGGATAACGAGACATGACCCATTTACGTACTCCTTGTCCCCAAGTTGGTGCTTATCTGAAGCAGCCAAAACGCATTTTTCTCCTAGCAAATCTCGTTTCTTGACTGATATGATTCCAGGGGCCATACAGTTACCAAAGTATGTTTGTGGTATTGGTTCTGAGTACTTGAGACGATTCCTGCAATCCACATTGATCATCAAGTGAAAGACTTCATCTTTGTCTTCCTCCTTAGCCTCTGTTTCACTGTCTGGAACAAGTGTCTTCATCAAGCTTACCCAAATGAAAGCTAGAGCTACCACGAAGGTAGAAACAGGAGATTGATTCTCAGACTGCTCTTTAACCCAGCTCTTGAGATTGTCTATCTGATTCTGGCTCATGGTAAAAGTAGCTCTAACCATGTTCTCAGGCGTAACATGTGAACTGTTTTTTTCCAGAGTTTTGGCTCCAAAACCGCTCCAAATGTCCTGCGCCTACCTCTCCTGGGTCCTTGATCATGTTTCTGCAGCTGTGAATAAGCAAAGGGGGTAGATGAACCGTGGCAGGATCTTTGCCGTTGGATTTGGTCAGTAACATCCAATACTTCATGAAATGACTGAAGGTGACTCCATCTGTTGCAACATGTGTAGCTGAGTTGCCGATACAGACTCCAGCTCGAGGGAAGATGGTGACTTGCATCACCATTATTGGCCGCATCTGAATTCCTTCTGGAGAGACATGAGGAGGAGGTAACTTGGGCAAGACGCCATGCAACACATTGATATCTTTAGAGGAATCAGTTATCAGTTCTTCGAAGCCGGATTCAGTAGACTCTGCTACGGTGAAAACAAGAGAGTCTTCGCCATCGTTGTACTGCAAGTATGGTGGGTCGGGACGAGGCGGGATGATCAGTTAACTTGCGTAAGGGAAGAATGTTGGAGAGTGATGGAGAGTAATTGTTTGAGGTTGGGTACAAAGTCTTTGAGGAAAGATTTAGTTGAGTTTTGGTAAGAGAAGAAGAAGAGAGACTCGGCGAGTGGGAGTGAGCCACGGGGCATCGAAGAAGGTGAGAGGAAGGGTGGTGTCGAAGAAGGTGAGAGGAAGGGTGGTGGATGGAACGGTGCCCTTTGGGGGAGAGATGTAATAGGTCTCGATGATGTTGGGAGGTTGAAGATTGGCCATGGTATGATTAAGTTTTGAGGAAATGAGTTCATATTTGTTTTTGATAAAAAGGAAAATGAAACCACCGGGCAAGTGAAGAAGTTTACATACTTTGGTCAAACGCTCTCATGTGCCCCAACCTCCACAACCACCGATGGGCTGAATTGTTTTACTTTGTTCACAAAATTTTAGATTGGGTTTCGTTATTTTATTAGGCCCATTAAATAGAAATCCTAAAATGCTATGTAATCTCTGTCTCTCATACGCTCTCTACGTTCTTTGCTTCTTCGTATACTTTGATCGATCTCTCGTTTGTAATAAAATGACACAGAGAATTTAACGAGTTCAGGTCTCCAATGTGGAAACCCTACATCTCGCCGGGGACTTTTACCCCGGAAAATCCACTATTTTCTCTTTCACCGGAGTTACACAAATAATACACCAAACCATATTAAGTAAGTTTTGTCATCATACTCAACATAAACTCGACCTTCTAATACTTCTCTCTCCTCTAGATTGTGTCTGATCTTTCGTCAACCCAAGTTAGATCAATAAACTCATAAAACCCCAATGCGAGAGCATCATTAGGATTGTCCATCAGCACCATCATATCATCTTCTTCTTGCTGCTGTTGTTGCTGTTGAGTAACGTCACGGTCTTCTTGTCCCTCCAGAAGTGTCATCGCAAAATCATCAGCCAAACCGATTAAACCTGCAGCCTCTTCTTGCACTTGTTGGTTCGACATCATCATGACGACGTTATTGTTGTTGTCGTTGTTCTGCATCGGTGTAGGAACCGGTATCTCTTCTTCTTGCTGTTGTTGTTGTTGTTGTTGTTGTTGGGTAACGTCACGATCTTCTTCTCCATCTAGCAACATCGACTCAGGGTCATCAGAAAATCCGGTTAACTCAGCCTCTTGTTGTTGCTCACAATCTTCTTGTCCCTCTAGCATCGTCTCAAGCTCATCAGGAAAATCAGTTAAGTCAACCTCTTCTTGCTCCTCACGATCTTCTTGTCCCTCTAGCATCGTCTCAAGCTCATCAGGAAAATCGGTTAAATCAACCTCTTCTTGCACTGATTGGCTCTGTAAGATGTTGTTGGTGTTCTCCGCCACCTGAGTCTGATGAGCTTGATGGTTAACGCGTCTAATCTTGTTGACGTTCTTCTTTTTCTTGTATCGGATCCGACACAAGACCAACTTTTGGTGCTCATCACGCTTGTGAAGAGAATACTCCTGCATCAGCCAATCTGTCTTGACAAGCACTCCATGCACTTTCCTGTGGTACGTGAAAGACTGCTGGTAACCCATCACCCTTTCATGTCCGTCCATGATCTCTTCTTTCCTATCGTTGCTTCTCCAAGAGCCGCCTTCGCTTCCTTCTCTTCCGGGTACCTTCCGTTGCACGCTTGAACCTCGTTTAGTCAGCGGAACAAAGTAGTACCACACCTTGTTCTTGAACAGAGGATTGTTTACGTGAGGAAGAAGCCACGGCTCGTCGTCGTAGACGTCCATAGTTGTTATGAAACTGCTCTGCTTCCTCTCCACCATGTTTCGAAGATAAAACCTCACCAAACCTAGATCTTTCGGAAGAAACCGTGATCCAACCGGAAAAGACTTCATATCGATCCTGTGGATTCAAAGAAGAACTAGCTAAGGTATATATAATTCCTAGGTTAAGTAAATCTCTAATTCGTCTTGTAATAATGCTCTGTGAAGGAGAGGGTGATGGTGTGTGATCATGAATATATAGACTACGTCATGGGCCAAACGGATTTTCTTTTGTCAGCGATTAAACTAATTTTTTTTTGGAAAGAATAAGACGGTTATAATTAAATTTATTTGGTTATTTGAGATGATAGTTAGATAGGATTCGAATCTATAATATGCTTTTTTGTTTTGTTTATTACAGATTCTAACCCTTAGATATAGAATCTATAATATACATGAGACCATGAGGATTACATTAGATTCGAGATGTATCTACTAGAAAAAGATCCATTTCACAAAACGTGATCGATACTAGGGATTTTATATATATATATATATATATATATATATATATATATATTATTTTTTTTTTATTTTTTTTTTGGGATTTTATATATATGATTATCTTATATTAGTTTATTTTATTATTTGTAACTAAAACATCTTTTGATTGATATATCTTCTTTTTTTTTTCCCTTTTCTTAAACATTCATTATCATGTTTAAACTATATAATTAAAAAATATAATTACACGCTAGCTCTTTTTTAATTTTTTTTGGTCAAGCTGGTTTATAAAAGGAACAATATCCATTCCACAAAACTTGGCTATTGAATGAACATATTATATTCATATATATATGGGGCAAATACAAATAATCCATAAAATGCCAACTAAAATGAAATGATGATTAGAAACAGAACCTAGTATATCACCTATAGTAGTAGGCTAGGGCCTAGGAGCATCACCGGACCGGACCCTAAAAGTCATAAGAACCGGTCCGGGTTCTATACATTGAACTTGAACCTTATGATGAAAAAAAACAAAATTAAACTTGAACCTTATTGTGATTAGCATAATGCCGTAAACCGGCTAACCATTTTGGGCCTAATTTATGTTATATTATTTGGGCTATAAGCCCGTTGAGAAGGATAAGAGTCAATTGTGTTCTGTATTCAAGGCCTGATTCTATTGCTCTCTTTGACTTGACTTTTCAAAATTAAGTCTCAATATCTTCCGGTTCGACCAACTAAAATTGGAATTTTAATTTCGTGTCTGGTTTGGTTTTCGGCTAATAAATCAAAAGTGGTTTTGTCTGAGAAGAGAAACAAAACAAGGGACTGACTGTGTTCCTTTTTCTTTTAACTGAGCCGTAAAACAAAAAAGAAGCGGTCAAAATCAGTGGACGACGACGACTTCTTATCATTTAATATCTCTCCATCATCTTCTTCTTCAACATCAAATCCAATTCGGATCAAACATGGCTTCTCACTCGTCGACTCTCCTCTCTTCTCCTACCTTCGCTCCCTTCTCCTCTCATCGTCTTCATTATTCTCCCAATCTCTCTACTCTCAGATTCTCCCGTCCAATCAGAAATAAACCCAATCTCGCCTTGCGATGTTCAGTCTCAATCGAGAAAGAAGTTCCCGAAACTGAACGACCCTTTACCTTTCTCAGGGATTCTGATGACGCCACTCACTCTTCTTCTTCTTCTACTTCTTCCGTCAGGGCTCGTTTCGAGACTATGATTAGGGCTGCTCAAGATAGTGTTTGTGAGGCTATTGAAGCTATTGAAGGCGGTCCTAAGTTTAAAGAAGATGTTTGGTCTCGACCTGGTGGTGGCGGTGGAATCAGTCGTGTATTGCAGGATGGTAATGTCTTTGAGAAAGCTGGTGTTAATGTCTCTGTTGTTTACGGTGTTATGCCTCCTGAAGCTTATAGAGCTGCAAAGGGCTCAGCTTCAGATCAGAAACCTGGTCCAGTTCCGTTCTTCGCTGCCGGAGTTAGCTCGGTAATGAATCTCTCCCTTCAATTTACGATTTTTGGGGGTTTTCATGTATCATCATTACGATTTCTCTGTGATTCTAGGTTTTGCATCCCAAGAACCCTTTTGCCCCAACTCTGCATTTCAATTATCGATATTTTGAGACGGATGCTCCAAAGGGTACAGACTAGATTCTAAGTGAGATTGTAAAGTTGTTGTCTTTTGTTTGAACAACATCATTGATTTGCCATTTTTTGATGTGTAGATGTTCCTGGAGCTCCGAGGCAATGGTGGTTTGGTGGTGGCACTGATTTCACTCCTGCTTACATCTTTGAAGAAGATGTCAAGCATTTCCATTCGGTATTAAGACTTATTCCTTGTTCTAAAGATATGACTGAGCTTTGTGATCATGGGAGTTGAGATTATATATGAATTTGTCTTTCTTGTTGTAGATTCAAAAGCAGGCCTGTGACAAATTCGACCCTTCCTTCTATCCCCGATTCAAGAAGTGGTGTGATGACTACTTTTACATCAAGGTATGTTTTGTGAGATCTTAAGCAATTTCTGGAACTGAAGGCCTTAGCTCTAGAGTTTTGTTTAGGGATGTTATCGTAAAATATGAGAGGGTAGAACCTGCTGAGATAGAACTTCATAAGCCTATCGTTAGTGTGAGGGCATTTAATTTTTTTTAGAACTCTTTGATCTTGCTTGCAGCACCGTGATGAGAGACGAGGACTAGGAGGGATATTTTTTGATGATCTTAATGACTATGATCAGGAAATGCTTTTGTCATTTGCCACTGGTAAGGGACTGATTGTCCTTGATCTACAACAAACGATTAACTATAATTGGGCTAGTTTCTTGGTAGAGACTAATTTAGCAATTGGAATTCACAGAATGTGCAAACTCAGTGGTACCGGCTTATATACCTATAGTAGAGAAAAGGAAAGACATGGAATTTACAGAGCAGCACAAGGCATGGCAACAGTTGCGGAGAGGGCGATATGTCGAATTCAACTTGGTACTAGTCTTTTTCTCTGTTTTCAGTCTTATCTCTCCAATCTTTTGTTATGAACCTTGTTCACTAATGTATTTGTAATGATGGATGGAAAGGTATATGATCGTGGAACGACATTTGGTCTGAAGACAGGAGGACGAATAGAGAGCATTCTCGTCTCTCTTCCGCTTTCAGCAAGATGGGAATATGACCATGTAAGTTATTTTTTGATATGTGAAGACATAAATTCATTTGAATGTGGCAACGTAGTAATGGTGTTTGTGAGTACAGAAACCGGAAGAGGGAACTGAAGAGTGGAAGCTATTGGATGCTTGTATCAACCCGAAGGAGTGGATCTAGCCTGTGTTTCCCATTGTTTGAGACGAGCGAGTTTATTTCCATTGTTTGATGTAAGTTTTGAGCAGCTTTAGAGGATTAGATTACTGAAGAGATGGAGAAAGAGAGTGTGTAAAAGGTCAGGTCATACTCTCGTCTTGTGATGTGCATGTTAACATGCTCCTTTATTTCTTTCTGATGGCAATGAAGAAGACAAACTAAGAGCAGTGTTGTTAAAAGTCAAAACTTACCAATGCAAACAGTTTGTTTCCATTGTTTCTTGCAAGTTTTGAAGACAGCTTTAGAAGATTAGATTACTGAAAAGAAAGTCATACTCTAGGCTTGTACTGTGCATGTTAACATGCGTCTGTTACGCTGTCGTTTCGTTTCTTTCTTTGCGATGGCAATGAAGACCAACTAATAGCAGTCCAAACTTATGATCGCATACATGTTTATCGACGGACTCAATCCAATTCATATCGTCAAGAACCCAAAACAAAAACTTATTTCTGAAAGTTTTGAAATTAGAGCTTTACCAAAAGAGAGAGACATGGTGAAAGCCCAGTCCAGTGATATAAAGCCTCTTTAGCTGTCATAATTTCCTTTTCTTCTCTCTCGTTATTACGCCCTGAATTAAATAATCTTCAATAGTATATAGCAATAAAATTTCTGTTTTTTCTCTATAAATAGTGTTTAACGCCTGTTATTAATACTTTAATCTATAAATAGTGTAAAACTGTACCACTATTGATGTCAAACACATTCAAAGCCAAATAACATCCTTAAAAAGAAAAATAAAATAGATTCACTTGTCTTATTGTAAAAAGAGCTAATAATGAAACGCCAAAAAAAGAACTAAATATGTAATGAAATTCATCAATTTTTTAGTTTACTTTAATGTTTTTGTCTTATTCATTACACACTAAGCATGGAAAGTTGCGGCAAAGAGTTTTATCGACCGTTGCACAAACGCCTTTTGCGTGTTACGCTCACCACGGCCCACATGGCCTCGTGGGGCCCATTTAGATAACTTTCGTATCTATTATCCGAACATAATTCCCAAACTACCCCTGTTCATAGCTCCATATATAAAATCTCGACTACATATTTTGATGATACCTATATGGCTATAAACATTGAAATACTAAAAAAAGTTCCTATATGGGGAGGAAATCAGAGCATAAATATTCTCTTTGACTTTGTTTAAGGAAATTTTCTATAAGAAATCGTTAATTAAGAAATAAAATAATTCGTTTGAAGAACGAAATCGGCCAGTCAAAAAATCCAAATACAGGGGTGAAAACGTCATTTAAGGAGAGAAACAGTGTAATTCTGCCATGTCATCCGCCGCTTGACCTCAAGGGTATTTCCGTAAATTAACAACGTTGCTGTGTATTCCTTAAATACAACATGTGGCATTATACGATTGGTTAAGGCAGTTAATGTCAATGATAAAAGACTCTGAACTCTCAAGTCTGAAGACAGAAGAATACTAAACTCCTTAAAACTGCTCTCAGGCGGAGAAGAAGAAGAAGAAGAAGAGATACGGCGCCGTTTATCTATTTCTCTGTCTTGGTAAATTCGGAGTCTCTGCTCTTTCTGTTGCTGAAGATGAAACTAATCTAATAATTCAAAGAGTGAGTCTTTGATTTGTATTTTACTGTTTTGTGTTTTTGAGTGGAGAAAGCTTTAAGAAGAGTGAAAGTTGGTGATGGACTCATCAAAATGGTGGTGGATTGGAAATCACAACACCACAAATTTCTCTCCTTGGCTTCATTCTACTCTCTCTGGTAAATTATTTCTGTCTTTCGGTTCCAAGAATTTTTATTTTATTTATGATTTTATTCTGCTAATTTCGAATTCGAATTGTTGATTTTTGTTATATGTGTGTCTATTGATTTCAAAGGTCTTACCTTTTTTCTTGATGAATTTGTGTACTAAGAGTCATTAAGCTTTGTTGGAGAAGATGATCCTCTTTTGGTATCAGTGATAAAAGTGTTTAATTTCATCGAGATTTGACATGGTGAATTTTGGTTCTGCTAATATCTAAATCCAAGTGTTGATTTTTGGTGTATGGGTCTTTGGTTCTCTCAAAGGTTTTACCTTTATTCAGTGTTCTTGTTGTAATTGGGTTACAATAGTCGAAGATGATTCTCTTTTGGTATCTTATCTTTGGTTATGACTTTCTGAGACTAAAAAGGTCAAAGTTTAGTGATACAAGTATTAACTTCATTGAGATTATGACATGGTGAATTTTGATTTTGTAATTGAAGAATTGGATGAAAAGACGAAGGAAATGCTGAGAGTGATTGATGAGGATGCTGATTCTTTCGCCGCACGAGCTGAGATGTATTATAAGAAAAGGCCTGAGCTTATAGCTATGGTCGAAGAATTCTACCGTTCACATCGCTCATTGGCCGAGAGGTACGACTTGTTGAGACCCTCTTCTGTGCACAAACATGACTCAGAGAGTCATGAGAAATCATCAACTTGTGATGAGTCTTCTTGGTCTGAGGCTTGTGAGACTCATGAGGAGTATGCGGAGTCTGAAATAGATAACGGTGAAAGCAAATGGGTCGATGAAGGTGAAATTGATGGTATTGTCGAGGAAATAGAATCATCGCAAGTCGAATACGGTGAAGCTAATGGAAATTATGAGATGATGAAGGAAGAGATGGAAAGGCTGAGAGAGGAGAATAAGGTTTACAGTGAAATGGTGACAGAGAAAGATGAAGAGAAGAGAGAAGCTATAAGGCAAATGAGTGTAGCAATACAAATGCTTAAAGAAGAGAACTCAGAGCTAAAGCAACGTCTTACTACTGTTGTTGCAAGACGTAACAAGGAAGGTGGTGATTCTCAGAGGAAGCCATTTGAGTTTAAGAAGATTAATCTTGAAGGGTTTTGGGGGAAAGTGGTAGGAAATTGGGTTCTCCCAAACACAGATTCTGCTTCTAGAGAGCTCATGACTCTGTAGAGAAAACAGAGAGGTGTGAGTGATCAAGAACAGAAACTGAGGAACTTTCTCTAAACATCTTTGTACTCTGTGACAGGTAGGGTATACTCTCAAGTAGTTACTGTAAGGTATCATAGGATTATAGTTATATAGCTAAGTCCATGGGTGTTTGTTTTACTTTTTTTTTCTGTTGTTCGTATTTTGTTTATTTATGTTTTTCTTAAAAATCAATTCTTTTGTTCTTTATTATCTATAAGTTTTTTTTCTGTGTACTAAATGGTTATAATAATAAGTTAAGTTTTTTGGACAATGGCCATTATTTCAGATTCTGATAGTAATTCTTTTATATGATCATAAGTCTTGACCATGAAAAACACAAAAATGAGCGATATTCACACAGAACATCATGAACAATTTTTTCATCTATCAACAGAAATATATAACAACTTACAAAACTATAGACTTTTGGCTCTGACTATGAGGATAAGTAAATTTGCGTCGAGCGTCGACGGTCGAGTGATTTTTTCTTCTTAATTACACTAATAGTAGTATTATCGTTTACCAGTGACTAATTCACAAACTTGCACGAAACAGAAAACATGTGGGGTCAAAACGTAAACATAAATAAAGTCAGTGGTCTTTTGTGGAATTTTATGTAATAATAAGAAAATCGGAGCTGATGTGGTTATTTATTTCCAAATTGCAGGACAGTCTGTCATATTTATGTTTTTACCACTAGAATTTCCTTATATTTACGACACTACCCTTATTTCAGTGTCCTCTACTAGTTGTCACCGAAAACGACCACTCGTTATGGATATAAATTCCACGGTCAACTAGTATAGTCGTATTTATTTCTATATCTATTTCTCGATTTACTTACTCTTTTTTAAAAAAAAATTAGAAATCTTGAATTGGTCATTGGATTCTCCGTTCCTAAAAATAAAATAATAGATTAGATTAATATAGGGTCCATTAATAACAAATATAGTTATTTACTTGTTACAAATAGGATTGGATTGATTTTTAATTTAGTTGTTTGGTGTGAAAACGATAAGTTGTTTATATTCAGTTTTAAAAACGACAGTTTGCATTTGGAGTTGGTTTTGGCTAAGATTGAAATGTCCAAAGTCCAAACCATCTCTGATTCTCTTCAATGGTGTAATATACTGTTGTCTAAAACTAAAATATACATTACATAAAATAATTTAAATGCTAATAGCCGTGTCCAAGTGTATTGTCAAATACTCAAATCTCAACTGCTCAAATGTAAAAGGTTTTTCTTTTTGTGTTTGTAACTTTGTATGTTTGATTTGGACCTTTAAACAAACCTACACTTTTTTAATTTATAGAGAATTGAATTTTTACATTTTTAGTCATCAAAATGTATTAATATCAGGTGGAATTGATAGAAAATATTAGGATAAAGGTATATTCAACTTAAACAAAATACTCACTTTTATTAAACCAAACGACAAGAAAAAATCCAAAAAAATGTCTAAACATAAACTAACATTTTAAATTTAATGCAGGAAAACTGAAGAACTGACAGCTATTTAAACATAAACAAAAAAATGCCAGCTTATTTCACACCTCCATATTAAAAAAAAAAAAAAACTATTAAAAAAAACGCGGGTAAAAGGAAGGATAAAATAGTAAAATTCGGCATTACAATCCCATATTCAGACAAAACAATCCGAAAGTGTTCCCCTGGCATCCCACAGGCTCGCCTTCTTATTTGAACAGCTGTTTTTTTTTTTAAATGGCAATCTCGTAATTTAGTAATAACGGCGAGCCCAGATTTAGTCCGTATTTTAATTTAACCACTTTGTCATCCATAAGTTACTTCTCCCAATTTTTTCTTATTATTATTTTTCAAGAAAAGAGAGTAAACAAATAAATATTCAGGAAGAAAAAGCCTGTAGAGAGAGAAGAAGAAGACGAGGACAACGACGACGAAGTCAAGAGAGAGAGAGAAACAATGGCGGAGGAGACGATGGAGAACGAAGGGAGGGTGAAGCTGTTCGTCGGACAAGTTCCGAAGTATATGACGGAGATTCAGCTCCTCACATTGTTTCGGGAATTCTCCATCGTCGATGAAGTCAACATCATTAAGGAGAAGGCTACAGGAGTTCCCCGAGGTTTTTTTATTTTATTTTAATTTTTACTCTGTTTTGTTTTCTCCAAAAGAATATTAATTTGGATATCTTTTTTTGTTTTTTTAGAAGTTTTTCTCTGTTTCGAGGATACTTGGAGATGGGTTTTTGATTCGTATGATTTTGGATTCTGAAAACCCTAATTTTCTCAAATTTCTCTATGCCTCCTCTGTTTTCTTTTTCCTCCTCGTTTAAATTTGAACTCTTTTTATTTTCTTTTGGAAGTTTCCCCTGTTTTTGATTGTGCGTAATTTCTTCTTTGATTTTTTTATTTATTTTGAATTCTGAAAACCCTAATTTCTTCTGGAATTGTTGTAGGATGTTGTTTTCTGACATGTCCTTCAAGGGAAGAAGCTGACAAGGTGATCAATGGTTTTCATAACAAGAAGACATTGCCTGGGGTAAGTCTTTTCTTGTTATCATTCTTTCCATTTCTTGAAGCTGTTTTGCTTCATTTTCTGGGATTTTCTGATACTTGAATCTGATGTATCTGTACCTTAAACCTAGTTGATCTTAGTTGCACATTATTCAAGCTGGTTGGAATCTCGAGATTGCTTTTTCTTCTTTTTATCTGTCTCGATCTGCATTGTACTTGGTTTTTGTCCCTGTTAATTTTGCATGTTCTTGGCTGGTTATATATCATATATCCATCGAGTTAAAATCATGAATCTGATTTGGCTGGTCAGAATCTGCCCTATCAGTTATTGGAATCTGATGACACTAGTTTCAAATCCTCTCTAGCTGATGATTTCTTCAAACCCAAGAAACCACATTGATTCACTATAGATGTATGTATGTATGTACGGGTCCCTAAAACGTGCAAGATGCAAAAAGCTAGAACATCTCTTGGGATGATATTATAGGAACCCAAATATATAGCAAAGAAACTTTTGCTTCACTGTGTTGACTTTTTGTAGATTGATCGCTACTATTAACTATGTTGTGCCCTCTTGGTGAGAACTTTATTCATCTTGATAATAGGGCAAATGAAAACTTAATATTCAATCATACAACTGAAAGTGATCTGTAATCTTTGCTTCTTTCGATCTTTCTGTGGCCCGTATCTGAAACATTAGGATGTTTATCGCTTACGTACACAGTGTACGGTACACTCTTATCCCTCTCTAGCATTATTGCATTCACTTTCTTATGATATGTTTCAGGCATCTAGTCCGTTGCAAGTTAAGTATGCAGATGGCGAGCTGGAAAGACTAGGTACGCAAAATGCTTCTGAGTGATGGGGTCTAAGTACCAAAAGAGTTTTTTCTTTTTCTTTCGAAAGTTTGGTCGCATTTTGTTATTTTTGTATACCAGTCAATTTGATGGATGTTCTTGACTGTTCTTGCAATCCAGAGCACAAACTTTTCGTCGGTATGCTTCCAAAGAATGTCTCTGAGGCTGAAGTCCAATCCTTATTCTCCGAATACGGAACCATTAAGGATCTACAGATTCTAAGAGGGTCTCTACAAACTAGCAAGGGTATGTCCATCATTCCCACTTGCTTATGCATCTTTAGCTCTCTATACCAAATTTTTGACTGACTTTTAGGTTCATTTGATATATTTTAGGCTGTCTGTTTCTAAAGTATGAGTCTAAAGAACAAGCGGTGACAGCTATGGAAGCCCTCAACGGAAGACATATAATGGAGGTATGTCCTTACTACAACTTGTCAAATATTCTTTTCACTTTATAAAGACTTCTATGGAGAGTGTGACAATACCACATTCTTTTGCTTCTTCTTTTAGGGAGCAAATGTTCCTTTGATTGTCAAATGGGCAGACACAGAAAGGGAAAGACAAGCCCGAAGACTTCAAAAAGTTCAATCTCATGTCTCCAAAAACCCCTCCATGTTTGGAGCATTACCTATGAGTTATGTTCCTCCCTATAATGGATATGGCTATCATGTAAGTTCTTGTTTTCTCATACAAAGTTCTGGACTTACTTTTTCCACTTTGAAAACTGTAGAGATTGGTGTGTTTCGGTTGCTAGATTTTTTATTTTATCCCCAATTTATGGACTGTATAACAGGTACCTGGAACCTATGGGTACATGCTACCACCTATCCAGACTCAACCTGCATTTCACAATGTGATTTCACCGCACCAAAGTAACGGAAGAGCATTGCAGGGAACTGCTTTGACCGAGTCTGTCCCACCACGTTTGGCCGCCCGTAGAAACTTCCCAACGGCTCTTGGAAATTACGGTTACCATGGCCTTCAATATCCTATGGCATTTCCTAGAGGGATGGTACCTCCTCGCCTTCCTTTAACCACAGTTTCACCTGGAATTTCTAACAACGGCACATCGATACCTTCCTCGCTTCAAACGGAAGGTTTAGTTAGTCCCAAACAAGAACAAAAAAGAATTTGATGTAAGTATCTAGCTGTTATGTGACTGATATCTAAAACAATTTCTTTGATGTTCTCAGGACCAGCAGGTGCGAATCTATTTATTTATAATATACCACGGGAATTCGGGGATCAAGAACTCGCAGCTGCGTTTCAACCTTTTGGTAAAGTTCTAAGCGCCAAGGTGTTTGTAGACAAGGCCACTGGTATAAGCAAATGTTTCGGTAAGCTCTTGCTTTTCTTCCTCTATCAACACCATGTTTTCCCCAAGACTCGATTTAACGGTTATGTATCCCTTCTGTTGCTGCAGGATTCATTAGTTATGACTCGCAAGCAGCTGCTCAGAACGCTATTAATACAATGAACGGTTGCCAATTAAGCGGTAAGAAATTGAAAGTCCAGCTTAAGAGAGACAACGGACAACAACAACAACAGAGTAACAAACCGTTATTTAACGGTTTATTAAACTCGTAAAAACCACTGACATCTCTTCATCATTAAGAGTTCGCGGGCAGAGCGGGGCGGTTAACGGCAAATCCGGTTTAGACATTAAGATGGATCTTGATGGAACTGGAGAACAAAAATTGTTGGCCGTTATTAACTAACATTTGCCAATTTGAAAAAAGCCCAAGTCTGATCATGTGGGTCAGAAATTCTCAATCACTCAGAAAAGCTGTATCTTCCTGCAAAAGGGATTCTCCTCCACTCACTCTTCTTCTATTTTTCTTTTCTAAAATTTGCGTCACTACAATTTGTAGTTTATGTTGTCTGTCATTGATAAGTTCATGTATAAATGTTATGATTATTAACCATTCTAAATTCATTTATTAATCTTGTTCATTCTAAAAATACCGTTCTTGAAGACTTCTTAAAAGAAAGTTTGTTTGTAGTTTTTTTTTTTTCCTAAAAATTTGGAGGATTTCTCTACCCTTGCTTTCTCTGTAACATTATTGTTGGGCTTCTGGTCTCCTATGTTAACATCGGAGACAATAAGAAACTGCATTCTGCATATGTACAAAATGTTGCAATATTATAAATTAATTGATAAAAATGAATTAAGTAATGTTGACTGCTTGACTACTGTAATGTTCTTCCCAAATTTCTTACATTAATGCAAATCTTTTTGTTTCACTTTCATATATTTTCCTAAATACCAACTTATGGCAAAAACAGGTGCATGCTATAATTTTAAACGGTCCAAATTTCATTATTTGGTAATAAATTAAGTTTTTATATTAAATCTCAATATACAGCTCACATGTTATTATTTGGTAATTAAAATTAAAGGTCCACATTTCATTTTAAATTTTAAATAGTCCTAATATATTTTAATTACTCTAAAAATCAATAAAGGGTCCACAATTCATTATTTGTTAATTAAAATCATTATTGTCTCTTATTTGGTATAATTGACTAAAAGGTCAACAATTATATTTTATATAAACCACTCTGTATTATTATTATTATTCTTCTTTTGGCAATAAATATATTTCTTATAAATGGGAGGTCCACATTTCGTATTCAAAATTTAAGAGGTTCAATAATTATATTTCATTATTTTTACAGTTATTATATTTTTAAATAAATTACAATAAACATACAATTTAATTAATATAATAGATTGAGTTTTGGGAAAGAAATCTAGCCATTAGGAAAATTAGAGATATAATGTATTTGGAAAATTTTGCTTAAACCTTAACTTTATCATTTAAAAATAAAATTAAAACATTAAATATGTAGTCTCATATCTTGTGGTAGCCGTGTTAATATGTTACCGCCCGAATGCAAACCTACATTTTGTATGTTGTTGACAAAAATATATAAATATGTAATTTTTTTATTATAAACCATCAAATATTTTACCGCCCAAATGTCTATTTGATAATAATTTTGTTCGATAGAAAATATATACGTAATTTTTTTTATTATAAACCATCAAATATTTTAAAAAGTTTAAATCCTAAACAAGGAAATTTAGTTTAGAAAACACGCGAAACAAATACGGTCAATGCAAAACAAACAAAACATAAACATAGTAACATACTCAACAAAAAAAAAAAGTGAGACTTAAAATGTATAATAATTTCATCAATTTTCCTATAAAAACATTGTTCGGGGATTCCGTCGATAAAACTATCAAATTGGAGGAAACAATATACAAAGAGTCCTAAGAACAAGTGTGCCGCGCATTTTTAAAACGCTTCGTATTTCTATTACCATTTTGTACTAGGAAAAAATTGTTGAACAACGACCAGCAAACGAGGCAAGAAGCGCCATTCAAAGACTATAGCGTGGGCCTTTTCGTAATTTCATTAATCGCTTAGCCGTTGGACACCATTGCCATTCAAGAAATTCGTCGGAGTCTAAACTTCATTATTTGCTTACCAAAACTAAAAAAGTTTAGGCTATAAAATGGAGACGAAGGCGATTGGATTTCACCACCTTTCTCCACCACAAAATCTCAATCTCCAAAATCTTAATCTTCAAGATCTGTGTTCTTGTGTGTTATGGCTTCTCAATCGTATTCGTATCATCCATATCCATCTCTTTCTTATGAATCGATACAGACCTTTTACGATACCGATGGGGATTTTCCGGGACCTAGATGCGGCCATACTCTCACGGCGGTTTTTGCCAACAATTCCCATCAGCTTATCCTCTTCGGCGGCAGTACTACTGCCGTCACCACCCATGACTCCTCCTTACCCGAGATCAGTAAGATTTATCAGCCGATTATGAGTTAGGGTTTTGAGATTTCGAGATCCTCTCTGATCATGATGGTTTTGTTTTTCTAGGTTTAGAAGGCGTCACCAATTCGGTGCATTCTTTTGATGTTTTGACCAGGAAGTGGACACGGTAATTGAGGATTTATCTTTGGTGTTAAGATCTTGATGTTTCTTTTAATTAGGGTTTTTTCTTTTCTTATTGATGATCTCTTTAATTTGTAATAATTCGTAATTGTGTAGGCTTAATCCGGATGGTGACGTTCCGTCTCCCAGGGCTTGTCATGCTGCCGCTTTATATGGTACCTTGCTCCTTATTCAGGTGATTGTAATGATCAATTTATCGGATTACTCATCGTGATTGTCCGAGAACATAGATCTGGATTGATTTTGTCTTAATTTCATTCTCTTAGCATCTTAACTAGTTTACATGTAAAGATATATGGACAATTTGGTTGCTAGAGTCTAGGATCTAACACATGAGCATGTCGTTGTTTTGTTGGCAGGGTGGGATTGGTCCATCGGGGCCTTGTGATGGAGATGTCTACATGCTTGACATTACTAATAACAAGTGGCTTAAGTGAGTTTTTTTATGAATTAATTTATATCATTGCTAGATCTACTGTGTTATACTGAATGTTTTACGCATTTAATCTATGTTCAGGTTGCTGGTTGGAGGGGAGGCTCCAAGCCCTCGCTATGGCCATGTTATGGATATAGCTGCTCAGAGATGGCTTGTCATATTCAGCGGGAATAATGGTATGAATATCTATGTTTTTCGCTTTCGTTTGGCATTGATGTATTTATCTTAGCATAGATCATACATATAGTACAACCATAAGTAATTAAGAAAACGTATAGATGATATTAAACCCCTCAGAAACGATCGAAAAAATTCCTAATCTATATTTGGCATTTCAAAATCATCTTAGCGAAAAATATGGTATCTTTCAACAATGTTTTCATTTACGTTTCTACGAAGGAACTTTTTGGTTATGATTATTCTATTTTATTTTGTAATAATGTCATGTTTAAACATCCTAAACGAGTTTGTTACTTTTGTTTATGGAGTAGGAAATGAAATTCTTGCTGATACATGGGCACTGGACACGCGTGGATCATTTACGTGGGACAGATTGAACCCATCTGGCAATCAGCCAAGTGGGAGAATGTTAGTAATTTAGTTGATTTAAGTAACTACTGTAACACATTTTGGTTTGAGTTATAACTCTTCATTGTTTAACATTTTGGTTTAGGTATGCTTCTGGTACTTCTCGAGAAGATGGTATTTTTTTGCTCTGCGGTGGAATAGATCACTCAGGAGTGGTATAATATTTCTTCCTTAAAGATTACATAAATTTGTGTATATAGGACAATAGAAGTTTTAAAAAGTCGAAGCTCTTGTTTACTATAATAGCCAACTTTTGTTTTTCCAATCTCTTTCATTGAACATATATATACACCCTAATGCTTGCCTTTTCCAGACACTGGGAGATACCTACGGGCTGAAAATGGATAGCGTTAGTCAGTGTGCTTGGAGTCCTGTTCCAGGTGTAGCTCCTTCACCGAGATATCAACATACTGCGGTGAGAACCAATATCTTGCTCTAATCCTATCTTTTGTAAAAATTTCCTTAACTTCATTGTCTTTCTTATTAGGTTTTTGGAGGTCCAAAAATGCATGTCACTGGGGGTGTACTGAATAGGGCTCGCCTAATCTATGGTGAAGCTGTTGCTGCTGGTAAATATCTAACGGCTGTTTTCTTAGTAGTATTAATATTCCATGCGACTATATATCTATCTTTTCTGCTTTTGCTTTTGTTTCTTAAATCCTTTTTTTGGAGCTTTAATTTAACCAATGGTCACATGTTGGGTTCTCCTTCATTTATGGAATGTAAAGCGCATAGAGAAACTGAGTTTGATCCTTATCATATATATAGCAGACTTAGTAGTGGATAATGTTATGGAATTTTTTTTTTCTTCTTTGCAGTGCTTGATACTGAGACTGGTGAATGGTTAGATGCCGATAGACCAGAGACCTCTACGAGTGGCGCATATAGACAAATTCAATATCAACTTATGCGACGTTATCACCATGCTGATGCATCCTTTGGTACCCACATGTATGTGCATGGCGGAATTAGAGAAGGTAATCATGAAAATTTTAAATTATATTGACACTAGAATTAAAGGAAATTATTTGTAATTTTGTTTTTGATATGGATTTTGCATATCTTAGCACTAGTCAATTTGACTTTTAGGAAGTTTGAAGATTTCATCTTCTTTGAGTTAAGGGAAAGTCACAATCTTATTTTTTGTAGATGTACTGCTTGACGATTTGCTAGTGGCTGAAACATCCCAGTCTTCAAGTCCTGAACCAGAAGAAGATAATCCTGAAAATTGTAAATTCTTGACACTAGAATCAAATAGGAAACTATATAGTTTTTGCTTTTCATATATTATTAGTCCTATGGATTTTGCATATCTAAGCACTAACCAATTTGACTTTTACCAAGTTTGCAGATTTCTTCCTTGAGTTGAAAGTAACAATTGTTTATTTTGACAATTGCTTGAATTTTATTCTCGTGTAGATATGTTGCTCGACGATTTTCTAATGGATGAACCTAAGCCTTTAGGTTCTGAACCAGAAGCGCCATCCTTTATAAGAAGAAGGTCTATACTCTTTCACACTTCTTTACACTCTTTGTTCGTCTGTGCTTAAACCCTATCTAGGTTGTTTTAACATTACAAATCCTTCTTTCTACAATAATGATATCAGCTTAAGTGAAAGTGCGATGGAGAGATTGGCAGAGGAATATAACTTACCAACTATAGAAAATGCTTTTTATGATAGTGAAATTGAAGGATATATTCCACTTCAACCGGGAGCTGTATGTGAAATTTTCTTTTATTCATTCACTCCTCTTTCTTTCTTTATATAGAATGTTATATGTTAATAACTGAGTACTGGTTGTGATTTCAAAGGAGACGGTTGAAAATCAAGGTGGCTTGGTGAGAACTGTAAGCTTGGATCGATTTGCGAATGAGAGCCAGCAGACTAATAGTTTAATGCCACAGTTCACCGGACAGAATTCTACTCAAGACTTGCATAAAAAGGTATATATGATATTTCTTTCAGCATATTTTCCCATCTTCATGCACTTAAACACGTTGCTTTGCCTGGCAGGTCATTTCGACTCTGTTGAGACCTAAAACCTGGACGCCTCCTGCCAACAGAGAGTTTTTCTTGAGTTATTTAGAAGTCAAGTATTTGTGCGATGAGGTGGAGAAAATATTTAAGCATGAACCAACACTTCTTCAGCTCAAAGTTCCTATCAAAGTCTTCGGCGATATCCATGGACAATACGGGGATTTGATGCGTTTATTTCATGAATATGGATATCCTTCAGTGGAAGGAGATATCACGTAAGTTCAAGCTTCCTAACATGTTTTTACTGGTTTTGAGTTTTGCTCATGAATATTAGTCACTGAACCAGTTGTTGTGTGTGTGTGTCTAAATAAATATATGTCTTCATCAGGCATATAGACTATTTGTTTTTGGGAGATTATGTTGACCGAGGACGACACAGCTTGGAGACCATCATGTTGCTGTTTGCTTTGAAGGTAAGATACTTAATCTTATATCTTAATACTTTTTTGATGTTTATTTGTTCAATCTTCTAAGATTGCATGTCTCTTATGTGCAGATTGAATATCCGAAGAACATCCACTTGATTCGTGGAAACCATGAGTCTCTTGCAATGAATAGAATTTATGGTTTTCTTAAAGAATGCAAAGAAAGAATGGTACGTCTCTTCACAGAATATATTTTCTCCTTGTCATGGCTAATTAATGAAGTAATATATATACTCTTGTTCTGTACGTTACCAGGGCGAGTCCGATGGGTTCGAAGCATGGTTAAAGATTAATAAAGTTTTTGATATTCTTCCGCTTGCTGCAATTCTCGAAAAGAGAGTTTTGTGCGTACACGGCGGAATTGGGAGAGCAGATACGGTCGAACAAATTGAAAAGATCAAAAGGCCGGCGTTCCCGGACACTACTGAATCAATTGTCTTGAAAGACATCTTATGGTAAAATATATAACATCCTCTCAACTATTTCTTACTTTTTTTTTTCCAAGCTGTGTAATAACATTTTTTTCTGGATAAACAGGTCAGATCCTACGAGGAATGACACTGTTTTGGGTATAGTAGCAAATCCCAGAGGAGAAGGTGTTGTCTCATTCGGGGTTAGGCCTTTTCCTTATTTTTTTTATTTCTTCACTTTATTAATACCATTTTTCAGGCTCAACAACTAATGCATGTTCTTGTCCTTATCTACGCAGCCTGATGTAGTCAAGGCATTTCTAGAAAGGAATAGTCTGGAGATGATACTTAGAGCACACGAGTGTGTTATTGACGGCTTTGAAAGATTCGCTGATGGACGGCTTATAACAGTCTTTTCTGCTACAAACTACTGTGGTACGTTTGTTATGTTTATAGAAACTGATCATTTCTTTCGGCATTTGCATAGGCATGTGAATGAAAAACATTGTGTGTGATGAACAGGATTGGCCGAAAATGCGGGAGCAATATTGGTAATTGGTAGAGATATGGTCATTTATCCTAAGATGATTCATCCTAAACCTCCTCCCATCTCATCTTCAGAAGAAGACTCTCCAGACAAAGCAGGGATGCAGGTAAGCTTCCTGTTTCTTTACCATATATATGTTGGGCATATGAAACATGTTGAGGTTTTAAGTTATGTGTGTTGGACTCAGGAGCTGAACGTCGAGAAGCCGCCTACTCCAGCTCGAGGGGAGTCTAGTGAATAAAGGCAGAGATTTGGCATAGAGAAGCTGCGGTTTAAGAGGTTCATTTGCAAGCTGCACAAGTGTACTGGAGACTGATCGATCATTGTTGTTGTCCATACCCTTTCTTATCTTTTTCCAACTTTTTTTTTTCTTTTCCTAATTTAGTATTGGTTGAGGACCATTTTAAAAGTAATTTTCTTAATAGTTAGTTTTGAAAACAGTTGATTATAGTAGTAAATAATTAGTTTCAAAATAAGTAAAACATCCCTTTTCAAAGAAAGGAAAAAAATGTTAATTGCCTAATTTGAAGGGGTTTTGGATGTTTACTTACCCTAATAAATTATTCTTTGCAAGATTTTTTGTTAGGATTTATAGTTTGAAAACACTAACTAGGATTTATAGTCAAAGCTTGAGGAACTTTTGCTTAAACATCACATTATAAGCATCAATGAGGACGATTACTTTTCCTTCTTCCTTGAATTCCTAGTTTCTTTCTTTCTATCTTTCCTTTAATATGCTCAGCTCTTGTTTGGAAGACAAGTTGGGCCGAGTATTAAAACATCATTAATTGGGCTAAAAGGACATCAATTATGGCCCACTTGTTGGCCTTCAAATTCTGTAAAATCTATAAATAAATAAATGAGTTAAAAAACTGTGGTAAAATATTCATCCCATTATCCTCACAGATGAATCCATTAAATATTTTTGTATCGTATATTTCTAAGAGTATTACAACTTCACTACAGTGATTTCTTATTCGGTGGAGTGTTAACATCAACATTGAAGACTATATAACATTCAAGAGAGCTCCATTATAAAGTTAAAAAAAAAAACTGTTAATTTGGTTAGCATTTTAATAATATCTTCTGTCTCTAAAGAACAAAAGAACCTCGTCCCCTTCAAAGTCTTAAAGAAGCTACCAGCCCAGAGGCCAAAACCATCACATTCATTTTCCCTTTTTTGTTCTTCCTTTTCATATTTTTTCCTAGTTTATTCAAACTTTCATAATTTTAAAATATCTTTTTTAATAAATGGTTGAGGTTGAAACTTAAAAGCATTTACATATTTCCCATTCCATTATCATTACGATTGTGTTCATAAATGTTTATATTTCTCAAATTGATCACTCATTTATTTTCTTATTACAAATTTTATTTCATTTGAACTGAAACTGATTACTCATTTCCCATTCCATTTTTTTTTTTCATAAAACGAATTTTAAGTTATTATTTTTCTGAACTTTTTTTTTTGGTTAACAATATATCATTCATGAAACCTTTTTTGAACACTCTTCAATAAACCAAAACCATCACTTTCCAATTTTAAATACGGAGAAACAGATGGATAGTGAGGCAATCTTCATCCTCACATAAATATAATCCTTATTCCAAAGACACTTCTACACACCAAACTCTAATCTTCATTCTCACCAAACGAATAAACGAATCGTTTTTTTCCTTTAAAAGTTTTTTTAACACGTTGAAACACTCTGTGTTCCTCAAAAACTATATAACCAAAAAAAAAAAAAAAACATAGTATTATATAAGAAAACGTAATTTTACCAAACTACCCTCGCCACTCGCTGCATTGTGTAGTGGGCCTAGTCTTTTGTGGGCCGGCCTTAAGCGGACACGGCGTCTGTAACGGCGGCACCATACAGTTATACTGCAGACACAGCGAGCTGCTCACCGGAATTTCCGCCGCCGGGCTTATCTGTATTCCCGTCAAGAAGTTATGCTGCAGATACAGCGTCTGTATACTCGCCGATAACAACCTCTCCACGAAACTAGCCGGAACTTCGCCGGTGAAACGATTGCTGTTTAAGTAGAGATTCTCTACGCTTGAGAGAAGCGGAGATATCCCGCCGGAGAATCGATTGTAGCTGAGATCGACGGTTGGGATCGTTACTTGATTTGCCGGCTGAATCAATCCGTAGAAGAAATTGCGTTGTAATTGAAGGTTTGTGATCGGGAAGGCGAAGATTCGACCGGGGATTGTACCGGTGAACCGGTTTAAGCTGAGATCAAGGTAGTTAAGCTGGTTTAACCGGAGTAAAACATGGTCTACCGGTCCGGTTAGCTGATTCCAAGCGAGTGAGAGGTATTGTAGCGACGGAGGGAGAGACGCCGGAGAGATTGAGCCGGTGAGGCTGTTGCGTTTGAGATCGATTCGGGTTAAGGTTTGTGAGAGAAACGGTGGTATTGATCCGGTTAAGTGATTGTGGCAGAGAATCAAATTGGAGAGCTCCGGTAAGGATCCGATTGACGGAGATATAGTTCCGGTTAACTGATTGTAACTCAAATCCAGTGTTCTAAGTCCGCGAACCTCGCCGATACTCGCCGGAATCTCGCCGGAGATGAAATTCCGACTGATTGCGAGAAAGCGGAGGTCTTTAAGCTGAGAGATTGTTGCCGGCAAAGCACCCATGATTCTGCCGGGGACAATGGAGAGCTCCGTGAGAGCAGAGAGTTTGCCTATAGCTGGGTCGATCCGACCCGATAAACCGGGTGACCCGGCTCTGGGATCGCCGAGATTGAGAGAAATCACTTTATCTCCGTCGCAGTAGACGCCGGCGAAGCCGCATGGATCAGAAGTGAAATCCCAAGACTCGAAGAACTTGGAACCTGGCAAATCATCGAGCGATTTACGAATTGCTTGCAGAGCCAAGAAATCAACTGGGTCCAGAATCGCCTCCGTGAAGAACCCGAATCGAAGCAGGAACATTAAACACCATATCAACTTGGTAAAGCTCATCATCTTCTTCTTCTTCTTCAGACTTGGCCGTTACAGGTTCAAGAAACAGAGACTATATATATACAAAAGAGAAGAACAGAGACAACCTGTAAAGCACAGAGCAAATGGGTATTGGTTTCTGATTTCTCGTGAGAGGGAAAGTCTCTGGTTTATGTGGTGGAAGTAAGGTGTTCTCGTGGGAGCTTCCGTGAGAGCTTTAATGGCGGATTATCAAACGATTAAAAAAGAAAGGTTTATCGAGAGAAGAGAAAGAGTAAACAAAATGGCTTGAGAAGGAAGCCAAAAACCAAGAAATTAATATTCTTCGTCTGTTTCTTCTTTCTTCTTCCTTTTTTTTCATATAGAGAATATACGAAGATAAGTATATATGTTAAGTCACTTATCAATCAAGTTTGTAATCTAAACTGTATATTCTAGATTATCTTTCTCTTTGTATAAATAGAGTTGTACTCACATCATAAATTCATAATCAATAAGAAGAATATACAGTTTAACATACATATGTATTCTCTTTCCTCTTTGTTCTGCTTTTTTTTTTTACTTCTTTCGTGGCTTGTGGTAGAAGACGATGATATGAAAATTTAATGAAAGTCGGACAAAAAAAACTAATTAGAATGCTAAATTAAGAAATTTGGGTTGTGTCAGTGAAAACATGGAAAAAGGTGCCTTTTTTTTAGCTGTGGTTTTTATGGGGAACAGGTAATTTGGTAAAACGGCTGTCCGAGCCTTAGGTTCGGAAAGAACCAGATTAGGTTCGGTGAGAGAGGTGCCTAATTGCTAAAGTGTGTGTGTTGGGGTCTTCTCGTCACGTGAGTTTTGTGTGCGTTTCAGTCTTACTGTTTTGAGTGACAGCTTGGACGAGCGAGACTTCCGTGACACGTCAGCTTCCTGGTTCGATAATTACTTTATTGTAACTTTTCAAATATATTTTGCTCGAATTTATTAATAACAAAACGTACTTTTAAAAGACAAAATCAGCGTTACAATTTTGATCTTCCTGATATTTAACACAAATTGTAACGCATATCGTATGAAGTTTAACTTACAACAAAATTAGTAATATTATAATATATGGTTAATTAATTGGTCAATGTAACTGATGAAAGTTTAGTCAAAAAAGCAAAACGAATCCTCAATTTTGAAGTGTGTCCTAGTCTATCTATCTAAGCTTTACTGTAGTATCTATCTACTTCCAACAAATCTTGCGACCAAAAGTGTATTTCACAGCTACTAAATGTTTGGTTTGCCATAGCCCATAGGGCTTCTATCGAAAAAAAATGTTTCCTAATCCGACTCTTTGCATAAATCAACAAATGCTTTGACAATTGTTTTCACTCGTAAATGTTTATATATGAAGAAATCTTTGATATTTTACGAATAAATAAAAATGAATATGAGAAAGACGTAAAAGCTATGACAGTTTATAAATAGGTGAAAGAGAAAAAAAGATGCACCAACTGTATAATTTTTATTTTCAAAAAAAAAAAAAAAAAAACTGTATAATTTTTACAAAGGTAGCTGGCAAATGGTCCTTCCATTCCGTGGGCGTAAAGGAAGATAATTGGTAAAAAAAGTTGGACAATGCATAAGAGATTGACTTTAAAAAAGGCAAAAGAAAATAAAAGTAAATATAGTAATTTTATTTCTCTAGTTTTTTTACTCATTTGGGTTTTCACAAAACTTGTTGTTTGTATGTAAAACCTGTATGAATAGAAGCAAAAAAAGAAAGGAATAGGAGCTTGGACCACAAGTCTTAGCAAACAACACATGCATAAGATGGTCAGGTCAACATTTATAACGCTTACCCAATTTTAACACTTGTTTCACTACATACGCAAGCAACAAAATAGCTCGATTAATTCCTCTACTGTACAAGCTTTTGCCTTGTGTTTATTAGCAGATTCATCTCTACTTTTGATGTTATATACATGTACATTAGTTTCATAAGTGTAACTACCATTTTCTGAAAATAATTAAATCATAGCGTACATAGAAATACGTTTCAAATAATGATTTCGCTCTAGTCATTCACATATACCAACCATGCATAAAATGATTTAGTATTCATTCTAAGAGAGACTAGGTGGTGGACCAAATTAGATTTATAAAAAGAAAACTTGGCTTTGCAAGAAAGCCAAAGCAATAAGTTCCAATCACAATGAACAAAATTAAAAAGGTCTAAACCCTAAGATGGTCCCACTACGAGACAATTAACACACTCGTTTTGGGACTCTGTGTTTGTTTGGTGTGTCGTCGTAGAAGGTAAGATCACTAGCTAGTAACCGATATAAGATTTTCTTTGACTTTTGAATCAGTCTAACGAAGAACCCTAAAACCAACCATGTTATATATGGAAATTAAAACAAAATAAAGAAAACATCGGTTGAAAAGAAATAATAATCTAAAAATGATGAAGAGGGATAAGATAAAATGATGGCTATACAGAAAAAGATTTGTTATTGTTACACGCCTCCATGCCTTCAATTTATGTTTCATTAGTCTCTTTCACTTCACATACTCGTCTCTTTAAACAAAAAAAAAAATGCTTCATCAAGTGATTACCATCGACAATTCGACACATGGCTTCACAATTTTTGATTCCACTTATAAACAATCTATGATTATTCTTCGGCATTTTCTTTTTAGTTTCGTTCCTAGTTTGAGGTAATTCGGACATTATATTAAATACATACCTAATCCATTCTCAATCTATTGTCACAATCATGTCCTATAAGCCTTATAACAATAATGGTTGATAAAAGAGACCATGGAATCGTTATTCATAATTCAAACAAATCATTGTTGCTTAATCCACACATAATGAAATCGCCTAAAAGTGCTAACTAGTACCATTTTACTTTACGGCTTAAACCAAAATCATGAACTCAATAGAGTAGATCAGATTCAGAATAATGCTGAGAATTCTAAGTCATGATGGTCAGAACAAAGGCTCCAAATGGTGGTTGCATTGTGACAGGAATACATATGGACATGTCTAGTTATAAACTCAATTTTTACTCTTAGAACTCAATTAATAGTCTAAACAAGTCAGGGTATCTGGCCAGGGACAGTGTTGCTGAACCTCATTAATCAAAATAGAACACAATAACAACAACAACAACAAAAAACTACAGAGGAGTGTCGGTTTCATCGTGTCATCAGCCTTGTACATTTGCATAATTCGAGAAACGCATCGGTCTAGCTTATATCCACTTGAGGAATTGTACCACCAGCTTGGAGGATCTGTTGCTCTAACTGCAACAACATTACATAACAGAAACAGAACTATGAGAAGTAGCAAAATGGCTCAGTAAAACATTGCAGTAAAAGAATTCACGAGCAGAACAAGTAAGTTTCCGCAAAGTTTAAAACGCACATTAAACAACTCCTGAAGTTTGGTCTTTAACATCTTATATTCATAATCCACCTGCTGCAAACACCTTAAACACCTGATCAATTAGAAGAATAGTTTTCTCATATAATGAATTTTAGAGATCTAAGAACTTTCTGCATCAACAAGCTAAAAAATACACTGGAGAAAAAGTGACAACTTGTTTTAAAACAACACTCACCCTTCACGGTTCTGAACATCGCAACATTCCTTGAAAGATATACACACATTTTTGACCCTTTTTGCACCAACACTGTGTACAAAGCAGAGACTGAGCCATTAAGTCAATGTAGTTCGGCCTCTTAAAAGTAGATAAGTTATATGAAGCAGTGTTCAGCGTGTCTTCGAAAAACATTGTGATATACCTTGAGCTACTACCCTTGAGTTGATGGACACCTGAATCTAGCTGTTTGAAATCCACATTATCTGGCTGCTCCCTAATGTGATAATAAACTCATAAAATGCTGTCATGAATGAAGCTAAACACCTCAAAAATAAATTAATAAGAGAAGCCAAAGAGAGTAAGCAAAGAAAAACTTACAGGGATGTAGACATGGTATTTATAAGCTTGGAACAATCGTCAAAGAAGAGAAAGACAACTTCAGATACAAAATCAGGAGTGCCTTCATCTTGCAACTTTCTCAACTCAGAGAACTGATTATCCAGAAATCCCTTCAAATAAACAACAAAAATACTATACATCATCTTGAAAACCCACAATTTCAAATGCAACACAACACTACACCTTAAGCTTATCTAAACCCAAAATGATCTCATTCCACCCCAATTGAGAAAATCGATCTAGGAAGAAAAGGGTTTGGTTATTAGCAACGAACCTGTTGATAAAGAGAAACGATGTAGTCTTGAAATTGTCTCTGCAACTGAGCAACGACGGTGGTGTTCATGGCTAAAGTTGACCAAGAAACAGAATTGTACAGAAAGATGGGTGAGAGCTGTTCAAAACATACAAATAGTACCATCGTCAAATTAACCACCACTTGTGATTGCGATACGCTCTGAGATTGACATTAGACATATATATCATCACTAGATAAGCCAGAAACAACAATGGAGACGGTGAATTGTATTTCTAGTGTTTCTTTGAAGAGACGATTCTGAGATCCATCTAATCAGAGATTCTTGAGCTTAATCAAAACAGATCAACAACTAGGCGAACAGACAAACTTCCAACTTGGGATCGTCGAACTAACTCAGAGATTTGAAAATCATAATCGGAGGTGAATTCGTCGACGACATACCCCAATTCCGTCGAAGATAATTGCTTGCAGCGACGCAGAGAGATGATGAATCTGATCGGAGCGTCAAAGCAGTTATTCCACGTTCCGTTGACTCATTTTGACTAAATTATCTTCGTTTATATGATTAATCACAGGGAGGGTTATTTATGTAAATGACCATAATGTCAATTTTTTTTTTTTAAGGATAAATGACCATATTGTAGGGATTAATCAAGTAAATAGCCATGCATGATGTTTATAAGCAAAAGACGCTTGATTAATTAAGGTGTTAATTTTTTATTTTATGGATAAGAAATTAGCATGCGTTCTCCGCAAAAGAGTTGAGAACTCATCCTGTGAGTCTAGGTCTGGGATCTACGTAAAACTGATGGTTCCCATTATACCATGCTTGCTGGATGATACATCAGATAAATAAACCAACTGTTACATTCTAGACCTTCTTCATTTAACCATGCTTGCTGGATGATACATCAAATAAATAACCAATCTATATGCAAGAACAACACCTATAACCTATATCTCACCTAGACCAAACCGGTTTAACTAATTGAAATCTCTCTACAAATTCTCCCCCTTTTCCTCATCTGTGTATTGGTGTAAAATCACAACCATTGCATTTAATTTATCAAAAATGGATTCTTGTATCCAAGAACTTCATTTCTCTCACCTCCATATCCCAGTCACGATCAACCAGAAATTTCTTGTACATCCATCAAGTCCAACACCTGCAAATCAATCTCCTCACCATAGTCTCTATCTATCAAACCTAGATGATATAATCGGAGCACGAGTTTTCACTCCCTCCGTTTATTTCTATCCGTCAACCAATAATCAAAAATCTTTGGTACTGAAACGACTTCAAGATGCTCTTGGTGAGGTTTTAGTTCCGTATTATCCACTCTCTGGTAGGTTAAGGGAAGTGGAAAATGGGAAACTGGAAGTTTTCTTTGGAGAAGAGCAAGGTGCGTTGATGGTGTCGGCAAATTCTTCAATGGCTTTAGCTGATCTTGGAGATCTTACAGTGCCAAATCCAGCCTGGTTACCACTAATCTTTCGAAACCCAGGAGAAGAAGCTTACAAAATCCTTGAAATGCCGTTACTTATAGCTCAAGTAACGTTTTTCACCTGTGGTGGGTTTAGCCTTGGCATTAGACTCTGCCATTGCATCTGCGATGGTTTTGGAGCCATGCAGTTTCTTGGCTCATGGGCAGCTACGGCAAAAACCGGAAAATTGATTACAGATCCTGAGCCGGTTTGGGATAGAGAGACTTTCAAACCAAGAAACCCTCCAATGGTGAAATACCCACATCATGAATATCTTCCAATTGAAGAAAGATCGAATTTGACGAACTCCTTGTGGGATACGAAGCCATTGCAGAAATGTTACAGGATATGCAAAGAGTTTCAGTGTCGGGTCAAAGGCATTGCTCAAGGACAAGACTCAACCTTAGTTTGCAGCACGTTTGATGCAATGGCTGCACATATATGGAGATCATGGGTCAAAGCACTTGATGTGAAGCCACTCGATTACAATCTCAGGCTCACGTTTTCAGTCAACGTACGAACAAGACTCGAAACCCTAAAGTTAAGAAAAGGGTTTTACGGCAATGTGGTGTGTTTGGCCTGTGCAATGAGCAGTGTCGACAGTCTTATCAACGATTCTCTTTCTAAGACAACACGTTTAGTTCAGGAGGCGAGACTTAGGGTTTCAGAGGATTACTTGCGGTCTATGGTGGATTACGTTGAGGTTAAGAGGCCAAAGAGGTTAGAGTTTGGTGGGAAGCTAACGATAACACAATGGACCCGGTTTGAAATGTATGAGACTGCGGATTTTGGATGGGGTAAACCAGTTTATGCAGGACCAATTGACTTGAGGCCTACGCCACAGGTTTGCGTGTTGTTGCCTCAAGGAGGAGTTGAGTCTGGTAATGACCAAAGCATGGTGGTTTGCCTTTGCTTGCCTCCTTCTGCTGTTCATAATTTTACTCGGCTTCTGTCTTTAAATGATCATAAATAAGTCAATGATGCGACACAAAAGTCATAATCACATGATTTAGTATTGACTTCAAATTATCACTGTCATGATTATTAAAAATAAGAGTTGATATCATTCCAATACTTATGAGTACTCAAAAACATATCCCAGATCAAACATAAGTCACATAACAAATTACCAGAGAACGAATTCGAATTCACCATAATCACTTAAAACAACAGGAGATACCAAAAAAAACCATTGGTGTAGTTTTAGACCAAAGTGTTGATCGCCACATGGATCAAACTGTACAAACGATTAGGGCTCACTAGTAGGGTTTAAAACAACATGGAAACCCCAAATTCGAAAATATTCATTTTCTTTTCCGTTCAAGGTTTTCAACCACGCCCCAACGACACCCATATTTACCAAACTCCCATCTATAAAAATGTACATAATTTTTGGCATATTTGCGCAGCCATATCTTATATAAAAGAAGAAAAGGGGCAGGAAATTATTACCACCAACTCGGAGGAATTTTTTATATAATATACAAACTCCAGAAGCCTTCAGGACTTCTGAACTATTTACCTGTTCAAATACAAAAAATAGGAAGAGAGCAAAGATATCAGCTTCTCATTACTCGCTTAGACAACAAAGCATCATAAAGGTGTCTAGAGGATTCACCGTAGAGAGACTCGAGGCCGTGATTGTGGTTCCGAGAGAGATTTAATCTCCTACAAAGGAAACCATACCATATACCATTTCGTCTCCTTGTAGTTTCTCTGTGTTGTTGTTGACGTTTAGATGATGGCCATTAGTAACTTCATCTAACTTCTTTTTCAGGTGTTCTTCTTTTGGATCTGCTACTGCTTTACAGTGCTCCTCATTCAAAGCAAAACCAAAGCCCATAGAAGGTTTTCCTGTAGAGAGTATCTGTTCGTTGACAATACTATCGGTGTGAATCGGTGGTGTGGTAAAGCCATTTGTGGTCCTGGTTTCTTTGAGTGTAGAGAGATTGGCTGTTACGGGTTTCTCAATCCACCCATTTGTGTTGTTCTTCTCTATTTCCTTGTAGATCCCATTCACTGTTGGGTAAAGGGCTAAAGAAGACTTGAAAGAGTTGTTCATATGATCCGAATCACGGAGATTCTCCATCTGTTTCGTTGAACCTATTTCCATTAAACCAAGTGGTTACATCCACTGTGGCTCGAAATAAAACGACCCTAGATTTCGATCTCTTCATTCGAGAATATTTTATCTTTAGAACTGAGAATAATTAATTATTAGAGAAAGAAATAATAATTTACCCTCTTCAGAACTTTCGGCGGACTCGACTGATCCTGGCTTAGAGTGACAGTTGATAATATCTTGGCATATTTTTCCATTAGCTTGATGAGATCCCGATGCGGATGTGTGATAACATTTCATGGAAAACCTATGTCAAACGTTCCATGATTCAAAGCATAAGATATACAGATCAAAGAAAACGTTTGGAATATAAAAGAGAATATTTGGAAAAGAGGACAGGCTGTAAATAATCACAAGTTCGAATTCTTGTCCAAGTAGAAACTTTCATCAAGCAATGCACAATACAAGAAGACAGCAAGAAACGCAGAAATTTTTTGTCCAACATTTGTGAATACCTGTCTTCCAATGTTGCTTTGGTGCTGTGGAAATGGTCAAAAACTGGCAGCAGCTTTTTCTGTTTTATTTCAAGTTCATGAGCCGGAACCTTTTCTATCTCAAACTCTCCACCAGTGGAACTACTATCTCTTGGAGAATCCATAACATGAAAAGAAATCTAGCAACACATCAAGAAAGTACGAATCAAGAGACAAGTACAGTTATATCAAAGAAACGAAGAGTTTTTGACAAAAAAATACCTTTGAATTTTGCCACACTGGTAGCATCCCCGAGGTTACCTTTACCTCAAAGTTAGAAAGATGGCAATGTGATCTTTCAGGGGGCTTCTCAGAACAACTTTTCAAGTACTTATCTTCACCAAAATGGCTGTTGATGTCAAGGGAAAGACATGAAACCTCATGGCTTGTCAAGTTATTTGACACTGTCTCTAAATCATATTGCTTTTCAGTGATACTTTTGGGAAGTCGTTCCTCAGTCTCCAACCAGTCAGACCTTCTACATACATCCCACCACTGAATAGGCTCAACTTTGACCCTCAAGTCATCTTCCTGAACTTGAACATGTGATGTTCTTTGCACTGTCGAACCATTTTCAGGTGATTCTGTGCAAACTGATGGCAGAAGTTCATGCTGCACCACATGGCCTGATGGAGTATAGACTAAGATATGCTCCAACGCGTTAGTCCGGGAATTCAGCTGATGGTCTTGAGTGACGGATTTATGAAAAACAGCAGCCACGGCACCCGATGGTACAAAAACTTTTCCAGTTGCAGCAGTAGCAGCATTGCTTACTGTGTTAAGCCACCCAAAACTGCTATACTTTATTCTGCTTACAACAGAAAGGGCAACAGCTGGTGGTGGCGGTAAAGACTGCTGATTATTTGACAACGATTGAGTAAACCACCATGGCAAGGATGAAGCTGGAAGTCGGGTAGGCTCCTCACCCTCAGCGTCGCTACCAGACGAGTTTAAAACGAAAATATGACAAGTACCCTTGGATGAAATAATAGCCACCCACTGACTCTGCTGACTAAAGCAAATGTCCTGGACAATCTGTTAAAAAGAGCAGAAAAAATTGAATCAAGAAAAGAGAACATTGAAAAGAAAAGGACATAGGTCAAACCAAAAGTATACTTACAGCTGAAGTGATTCCTCTATGCAGTTTGAAAAGATGCATATGAGAAGATTCCCACTCATAACTTAGGTCACCAGGTGCATTATGTGAACGAGATGGCATGATCTGAAAGACATTGATATTGTTCCCACACACTGAAGCAGTAACCAATAGAGTTCCACTAGGATCAAAACAAAGTGCTGAGATAGGACTCGTATGGGCCTTGAACTGTGATACTAAAGCTCCAGAAACAAGATCTTTAACAGCAACCTGTTGGACGAACATTCAAATAATATCACAATCTGGCAATAACAAAAAAATTAGCAAGAGAACAAATCTCAAAGTAAGTGATTATTGATTAAGATCTTTGGTTCAGGTACCCAGCTAAAGTGAAAACTTTGTACTTTGAAATATATCAGCGATGCTTTAGTAATGACTGCTAGACAACTCTAGTGTAAGAGAATAGCATGACTCAAGAATTGTTCGCAATGTTCAGATCCAGAATAAAACTAACCATTCCAGCATTCTCTGCATCAGATCCAGTAACCCCACCAACTTTCCAGATTGAATTTGGTGATGCTGGAGAAGTAGATCCATCAGGGAGCATATCTTGACAGTATTTTGACAATGTTTTGTATCCCATGTCCCCCAGGTTGATTAATCCATTGGCTAACTGCTTGCTGGACTCCATGGCATAACGGGCCATAAAACTACTTCCACCTGATGATGAACTTGGGCTGAGACTGGGTGAAGACGTGAAAGTCTGTGGACTTAGGCGCCCTGTTTTCATGGTCATGGAACTTTTGGACGCATATGCTAGCCACCTTGGACCTACAGCCATTGGACCATAGCCAACATTAACCCTGGTTGTCCCTTGTCTCACTGGCTGGGGAACAGGATAGGTTAGAACACTGAACTTATTTTCCAGAGTAAGTGCGTCACAGCAATATATCTGCACAAAACAAATGGAAACCATCAGTGTAGGGCATAAGAACAAAAGATAAATCTGTTATACTTATAACACTACAGATAGAAAAACTACATTCAATACAAGCAAGGTTCATTTGGTCTCAAGACCAACTACCAAACATTTCCTGGCCAATCATCTAAGATAAAGTACTATTGGTATGGAAGAATTTTATAATAAAGAATCTGAATTTCTTGAACCGCACTATTACTCACTTGATTCGCAAGGCCAACAGCGACTACTCGGGAGCTGCATCTAATCATGCAAACAGATGACCGAAATCTCAGGACATATACATAACTGTGGGACCTAAGGGAGTAAAAGCGAACAGTGGTAGGATAATTGATGGCATCCCCGGCTTTAGAGTCTGATTTACCATCTCTTGCTAATGAACCATTCTGGGAAAAACTGTGACCCAAACCAGTGCCAATGGTGTCATCCCCAGCAACAACCAGCAAAAGAGGATGTGAGTTCCAAAAACCCACATGATCACCAGACCTTGCAGGTAATGGCTGCATCTGTAAGAATGAAACTGGACCACCTCGTTTAGAGACGAGTTCATTAAAATTAGAGGCATCCTCAACATCAAAGACTTGAAAGCCATTCTGATAACCGAGTAAGAGAACATGTCTGGTAACATGTTGACTCAGTTCAAGAATGCCAAAGCCAGCCCATGTCACCTGCTCATGCAAGAGGGGAAAAAGGAGTTGTTGACTCTCCATCAGCAGGAAACAAGGGAAGAAAGTGACTACCAAAAGAAAGATGCAGAACAAAGAAACCTGGGTTATACATTTTAAGAACCAAAACGAAAATTTTATGGCAAAGAAAAAACATATCATCACAGAAGCTAAATGAGAGATGCACAGAAAAAATAAAAGAGAATAGATGAGACGCAGGCCATACTTTTCTAACCTAGAATTGAAAATATAGCAAAACCCATTTCAAAGACGGTCAAAAGGGAAAAGGAACTAGACACCTAATACAGAAATTAACCAACCACAACCAACAAACTCAACACATAATTTCACATCAGAAAGAAGCACTAGCAATTTTTTACTAAACCTATGTAATCTTCTGGACACAGCAGCTAAAGCTAGACTATGAGATGATGAAATAAACCCACCAACCATCATTCCACCAAATGTTTCAAAACAGGAAATAATCCCAAATACGTCTTCGCTTTAAATGATCTAACAAAATAGCAAAATCCAACACAGTACACAACACAAAAGCAAGTATACAAACAGTGACTGCAAAAGAAAACAAAAATCAAGGGACCTGATCTTTATCATCTTCAGCAGCGGAAATTGAAGCAGCAACGGAGGCTCCAGCGGAACGAACAGACGACGCAACGTTGGTGGCGTTAGCCGATACAGTTTTGAGGCAAGAAGATATAATCTTAAAGGAATTCGGTAACAAGCCACTGTTCTTCCCTTTCCCCTTCTTCATCATCTTCTACTACCAAACAAACACCTAAGAGACGAGTAACAAACTCACAACGAAACAAATAAGAAAAAAAACGAACATCGCTCCTTATTTATCTCGATCATCAACCGCCACCATCATCACCGTCCACCAACACCCCCGATTCAACCACGGAGCATATCCTCCAATAACCACCGACGAACAGATATAACATCCGATGATAAAATCCGATGGAGATCTCTCTCTACCGATAAAAAAACTCTGCGTAGTGTTTGACTTCAATCAAAAGCTCTCTCTCTTAATGTTTTTGTTGTCTTCTCGACTACTACTTCTCTCTTACCCGTTCGTCTTTGATTTTCGGAGAAAGCGATTTCAACCTTAAGCCAATTTTTTCCGCCATTTTTTTTTACAGACTTATCATTTAATTTAATTTAAATAATAGTATATGGATAATCATCGGTTTCTTCTTACTTTATTTTATTCAGTTTTATACGGCCCGACTTTCCAACTTCTTTACTTTTTTTTTTTTTTTTTTTTTCAATTTTACTTAAGATAATTTTGGATCGGATTTAATTAAAATTTTAATAATCTCCACTTAAACCGAAAAATTAATTTGTAGAACCTATCTCGTTACCAAATATAAAAAAGTTACATAGCGCTAATCTGCAGCGTAATGGTCAAATCTGGTTTACCTATAGTCAAATAATACTCTACTTTATTGCTCTCCACATAAATCAAATTTCTATACGACCATACAATACAAACCTCATATGTCAATTTCTTGTGTTGTTGTTAATGATAACATGAAAAAACATTAGAATTATCTAAAACAACAAGTTTCTTTTAACCAATGTATCTTCTAAGCAATTTTATAAGAATGCTAGAGATGATCATCAATTTCGAAGAGTTTTAGGCATATCAACATAATCACAAAACTCTGCTCCTTTCACTACAGACAAATCAAACAAAGAAGCAGTGAATGCATATAAAATAAAGAATCAACAAAGTTGCACTAGCAAGATCTTAGTGCTTCACCTCCATTTACACTCTCTCGCTTCACATGACTACTTGTGTGCATACAAGAGCAAACCTCCGTTTTTCAAGCTGGAACGAGTTGCTTCGATCCCGACCAAAGGCTAATAGCCTATCAGTATGTATGTATATTATGTGACTTGTTGTTGTTGTCTGCTGCTATATTCTTTTTCCAAGAATCCAAATGTCATCTTCAGACGATCCTGCAGATTTACTAGGATGTTTTTCGTCACCCTTTTCTGATGTCTAGTGCTCTTTAGCCATTCAATCCCAAAGTATACTCGCACATATGTTGTCTTTGGTTTTGACGCCGATTCTTCCATTTGGTATCTTAGATGGAGATTAAAATAGTCACCCAGTGGGACTCCATGGAGTGTCATGACCTCTTCGACAAGCCACCCATTCTTCTCTGGCACTAGGGTCTTTTGCTGTGTACTGGTTACTTCTCCTCTATAACGTGATATCCGCTTATCTCTGTAGTATGTCTGCCTCTCATACACATCATCCTTCTCTGACTCCCATGGGCTGCATGAATAGCTCTGGCAACCCGCTCTCTCCATAGCCTTTCGATCCATTTCACCCCCACCAAACAACTCCATAAAGAAACTTACCTAGAGAGTTATCATCATAATGATGCGTAAGACAATTTCAAAACTCATATACATTTCCACACCACAGTTGCTTTACCAATGAAAGAGAAGAACTCACCGGGACAGGGAGAATCAAAGAGAAGACCTCAGAGAATCGCACGTCATCAACACCCAAGAACAGACCACTCTCTTCACTTTGGAGTTTCTGCTCTGATTCCTCTTCAACAGCTTGCACTTTCTGCTCTGGAGTCAAGGATTTTGCTTTCCACAGAGCCATTATTGTCCTATAAACGCAAAAACAAGTACAAAAGTCTATATAAATCTTATCATAATAAGTGTTCATTTCTACTAAGGGTGTAACTCTTGATAGTTAGTCAATAGGCATCCACGTCTAAACATATCTAACAAAAGCAGTTGATACTACAGGAATAGTACCGATTTTCATATTCAGATGAGAAAATGGGCATATCCAAATTAAACTAAGCATTTGATTGGGGCACAGAAAATCTAGTAGGACGTTCATAAAAGCACGCACGCATATAACAAATATTAGGAAAGACTTATCACTTACTTTTGTGCCACATTGAAAGACACAAATGAGTGGAAATGGAACTTAAGCCTGCCTTCCTCATCATGTGTCTTTGCGCCTATCCTCGCGTCCATTCCTCTATTTGGTCTGAGAGTCATGACAATAATGGGACTCCCCATTGAGGCAAGAGTGGGAGGAAGCACTTGAATATCCTCTATATCTTCCCACAGGAAAAAGAATTTTGTTTTGTTACCAAAAAGGCTTGCATAAAACCCAACAATTCTTGCAGACAGGAAAAGACGACCCTGCAGAAGCAAAACTTAATTACATGTGTTATAATCTCTTCATTGCTAAGGAAAAAAGCTGATGATGAATGCGGTTGAATACTAAAAAAAATGTGATGTACATCAAGAGCTCCTCACCTGCAAAGGCATTTTCCGCTTTAAGTGACATGTGAAGTCATTGATTAGAAATTCTTCTTGTGGGAGACTAAAGAGCTTCTGAAAAGCTGAATTTGTTTGAGGAGACCGCACATTAATCTGAAATTTCGATTCAGCAGATAAGAACGCGTAACAACACTACCAGTTTATATGTTGATTGAGAGAACAAAGTAGTAGCCACATACCTTCTTGCCCACCTCTTTCTCCATCTTATTTAAATAGTCTCTGACAACATCTCCACCTCCTGTATGATCCAAGAAAATCCTCAAGTGCAGTTTGGATTGACAAGCCTGAGCCAGTTTCCCTTGAAGTGGAACCCAAACATCCGCTAAATCAGATATATTAGATCTCACAAAGTTGATTTCGGCATTCCCCAATGAAACAGCTTCGTCAAAAGGTCCATCGAAATCGAAAACTTCAACATTCAGTACAGAAGGAGGATCAGCCATCGCATCAAATTCAAATATTTCTGCACAAACAAGATTCCAACCCTCAAAAAACTTATGATGACAAATCAAAGAGTTGAAAGATTCAAGAATTGAAGCAAGACCCATCTACCACTAAGATTGAGGACAAGACCCATGCTACCACTAAGATAACTGGACTTAAAATAAACCATAGAGCAACCATTTACCATTCCACTGAGGATTAGATTTCTGGAACTTGATGGAGCTGGTTCTCGTCTTTCCATTGGAAGTAAATACAATATACGGATCACAATGCCCGCTTGGATCTACAGCTGCTAGATCGACACCCTCAATTAGAGCAACAGTTAGCAACCAACCATCTCCATGCGCTTTGATGCCATGATCACTGCCTATAATTGGATTTGACAGTTAAGGATCAGTCGGATACACACATCAGGCTTCCAATGAGAGGCCACAAGACAGAATATGAAATGGTAGATGATGTATCTTCATGGATATTACCTTTCTGTTTTCTTGCCTGCATGAAACGAGAAATCAATTGCAACACTCTTTCGCACTGAAGAACAAGAACCCCACTAACAACAAACTCCCCAATTGAATCCGGTAAATCAAGGCCATTAAACTCAAGCCCTTGGATTGCACTGGGTATGGCAAACACAATATGGATAAATACATAAATACCAATCAAGAAAGTGGAGAAGACAGTGAAATTGGCAAAATATTGTACAGCCAATTTCCAGTCTGATTGAGGCTCAGCTTGCAAGGAAGAGAGGGCTTGCTCCTTGTTCACCCCAATATCCTTTGAATCTACAGGCTTTACACTTTGAGCCAACAAATTGGCATACTGTTCGAAGTTGTCTTTTAGACCTTGTCGGGCTCCATTCTCTATCATACCTTTCATCATAGTGCTCTGAAGAAAATTCAATCTCCATGAAACTACCAAACGGGAACACTGCTCCCCAGATGGCAACTCAGGGCCAGGAGAGATGCAGTAAAGAACTTCAACCTTGAAGGTACTTCCAAATGGGACATCTGGAGTGGCAACACTTGCTAAAACTGCGTAAACCTCTCCGTCTGCTTTGAGGTATGTCTGCTCCTCTGTGCCTTTGACAGCCTTAATAAGTTTGGTTGGAGCCTTGAGGTAACTTACAACCCGCTTAACGCTCTCGCCATCATTTTCACCTTTCCATGGTCCAATCTGAACTTCCGTGGTCCCTTGCAATTCAGTAAATGACGCATATAAACTTGAATCCGATGCGAAAAGCAGAATGTTAAGATCTGATGGGGAAATCATAAACAACTGGTCCACAACAACACCACCAGGTAGATTACTAGGAGGTTCAATTCCCTGATCTTTCGACTCCATTGCCTTCAATAATTCCTCAAAGGAAGCAGAAGATGACTCATCTTCAGACAGCTCAAGGGAAAAGACTGGTCTAGAGGTCTCAGATGGTTCAGATGCATCAATGCTCCTACTAGTGGACTGTGTAGGTGTGGCGGTAATAGCATTCTTCTGAAAAATCTGAGTGAATCTACCGGCAAAGGTTGTCTGGGGGATAGATGAAGCATCATCTGATCTAGAAGGAGAGGCACAAGTGGAGGGGTCAATAGGTGATTCCAGTCTCAAGTCAGGACTCCTAGAAGCAGAGGCTTGATCCCCAGTAGAAGTCAAATCAAGAACCGAGTTCTTCTGACTGAAACATATCTTCAAAAGGATCTCACCTGTACAAGATGGATCAAAATAAAAAAATGAAAATTCAAAACTTGCGTCAATGTAGTTAAAGAGAAATGTAGGAAGGAGGACGTACCACAATCCTTTTTGGAACCTTTCTTCTTTGGGTTAAGAGGATACCAAACAGTGCCAAGAGATTGATTCTCTGCATCGAAAACAAGGGAAACAGAAACTCTAACCTGACCAACGAAGTCATCGTTGAAGTATTTATCCTCATCAAGAACAGAGACGACGAGTTCGTCATTCAAATCGTCGACGCCAAAACTGAAATCTTCAGCCCATTTGGGGTTCAAGTTCTTCTTCACTACTTTGGTCCGTGACCTCTGTTTCCCCAGCTGCAATCTGACGTAAGGGTCGCTAAACCCATTGAGATCCATAGCCGGTAGATTCCTCGCTTCCACGACTCGGACCTGAAGCTTCATATCGACGACGATGAACTACTCCCTCCAAGGGATTCACACAGTGGAAATTGACGATGGCGAGTAGAGGGAAGAACGATCCCAGAAATACGAAGAATGGAGAAGAAAACCTTGAAAAATCAGCAATGGGGAAAGCCACACAAATCGGGAGAAAATTCAAAATTGGAGATGAGAGAGAGAGAACTTTCAAATGGGGGGAAATTGATCATTGAGCATGAAAAAAGGGGATTTTGGCTGGAAATAAACCCTAATTTGCTTCAAATCGGAAGAGGTAAATATTAACAACAACAACAACAACAACAAACGATAAATCCAGAAAGTCCTCTGCGACCAAGTCTTCGTTAATGTCTTCTTCTTTCTTTTTTTGTTTGGTCAACGTTAATGTCTGTTTGACTTTTTCATACGCGAAACTTTCATAAGTGTGAAGCTACCTGTATTTTTTTTAACATTGCACTGATGCCCTTCATAATTTATAAATCTTTGCTTTGCGCCCCATATTATCGAATCTTCATTCTTTCATTTACAAATTTTAAAAAATACAGTTCATGGTGTAATGAGTACATTAATTTGATTTGTGTACATGTAAATTCTTTTCCCTATTTTGTTTGTATTTCGATGGTATTATGGAATATTCCTCGGACAAAAAAGAAGAAAGGATTATGCGAGAACGGTAATAAAGAAAGTACGGAGGGAAATAATTAAGTACCATAAGGTAAGCCACGTGTACTATAATTGGCTTGGTAGTTAAAATCATTCAAAAAGCCAAGATGGGTTATTTAACCAAAAGCTGTCTTCTTCACAGAGAGAAGAGAGACCGTTTTTACAAGTTTAAACTGGTAAGAAAGCTTTCACCCAGCGCGAGCGAAACGAGCTTGAATCCTCCTCTGGATTGTCCCACGACAAGACGGACAATCCATCATTCCTTCTTTCTCGTGAAGCTGGTTGCATTTAATGCAAAGAACTTGGTGAGCACAAGGCAAGAATATCACACTCATCTCTTCAGACAAGCACATCACACATTCTCTTTCTCTTTTCACTTTGGTCATACCAAGATTCTCTCTTTTTGTGGCCTTTGACTGCACTGCTCCCTTTCTTCAATGCCACAATTCTCGAGTAGTCTGATTTAAGTTTCAGCTCTGAGATCTCTCTCTCAAGTCTCTTGATGTTATCTTTGTAATATTTCACGTCGGTTTCTGCTTTCCCTTTGATCCGCTCTTCTTCCACTTTTCCAAGTGCTTCAAGTTCCTTTGTTTCTTTCTTTATCAATGATGCCTGAGCACTGAGTTTCCCTTTGGCTGTTCTTTCTTGCTTCAAAGCAGCCTGCAGAGGAATTTTCGTTAGATATCTTCATCAACTCCTGTAACTAAAAACAACCCTTTCTCAAACTTACAACATCGATCAAACCTAGATAGATAAGAAACATCAATTGCAATCAACAAAACTCTTGATACTACACTTCATTACTAAAGCTACTTTAAACCAGAAGGATGCAGTAGACTAAACTACACTTGATACTGACATTTTTTTTTCCTTTAATTTCTAGCATTCCTTAGATATAGCACTGTACAAGGCGATATATATGTAGCCAAAAGAATGAAATCGTTACCAGAAATACGAATATGAAAGGAAGGGACGTTAGCAGATGAGACATATGGTGAAGTGCAGGTAGCTAACGATACACATCATAAGACAAGAAGACCTAACATATGTCTACAAAAGTGGCTAACCTCAATTTGATTCTGGCGATTTTTTGCTTTAGGTAACTTCTTTCTGTAGCACTGCCACCTTGTCCCTTTGACCCTTGAGCTCTTCCTGCAACAGAATTTTTTGCCCTTCCCACGAGTGAGTATCCTTCAATGATCTTTGCCCTCTCTCTTTTGCTTCTCTACAGCTCTCAGCAGACTCAACAGCTTTTATCTTAGCAGCTTCCATCTCTTTCTTCAGTAAAGATTGTTCCAGCTCGAGCCTGCGAGCAGTATTGTGAGCTTTTTCCAACTGGCTGGTCGCATTCTTCAACGCAAAATCCATCTCAGACAGCCTTTTCCTAGTGTTTTCTTCCAATAACTGCTTCTCTTTTTTATACTGTTCTGCCTCTTCTCGCTCTTTCCTTAGTAGCCTTAAGCTCTGGTTGGTCCTTCAGTAGTCTACCAGTTGCTTCTTTTACTTTCTGATTAGCCCAGTCAGTCCAGACCTGCATTTCATTCTGCAGATCATTCACTCGGGGAACTAGCTTTAGAATCAATTCATCTTTCTTATCACGGGGAACATATATACCCAGAGCTGCATCATATGGGATCCCAGCATAGTAATCTGGTGCTAGCTTTGCAGACACAGATGCCTTTTCTTCAGACTTAGAACCAGACTTCTTTTCTGAAGCTGATGGTACTGAAGAATCAGACTTCTTTTCTGAAGCTGATGGTACCGAAGAATCAGACTTCTTTTCTGAAGCTGATGGTATCAGAGTTACAGACTCAGAACCAGACTTTTTTTTTGAAGCAGATTTTACCGACCTAGCAGGTAAGGCAGTTATATAGCCCTTTGCATCTACCATTACCACAGGTGAATCCAACTTACTGTTCTTTCTTACAAAACAGCCGCTATCCTCAGCTAATGAAACTTTCACTCCAATCTCTGCTGTTATCTTCGATGAAGAATTTCTTGCCACAAATTCAGAAGATGATTTGACTCTTTTCTCTAAAAGGAAGCTGCCAACTGATGCAAACTTTGCCGCCTTATATCCACTGCCTTTGCTGTAAGTCCTAATTTTTTCCACACATGATTTTTGCCGAAGCATAGCTATCTCTTTTTTAGTACGGCCTTTTCGACAAGATACCAATTTTTCATCAGAGACTAGAGTAAACGATGTACTTCTCATGCCTTGACAAGAAACAGTGCTACCTGAGCATACTTCTTTTCCTGGTGTTGTTTCACTAGACTGAGTTTTTTTGGAGTTGGGTGTATTTGGGAAGTTTCCAAACTTGAGTGGCTCATTCCGATTGCTTTGAGGATTGGACTGTGGAGGCTTTGGGTTATCTGGGTCACTAGAGTTTGGAGGATTAGATTCAGCACCAAGAGATTCGGAATCAGATGATTTACTCGAACTCACCAATCCATCGCCTTCAACTTCAAAGGCTTGCAAGACATTCAAGTCGCACATCAAAAGCCTCCACATAGCTTCAACTGTTGATAGGGACGGCCTAACCTCCTTAACAAGACTTACCATTTCTACCAACGTATACGAAACAAGCTGTTGTAAATCCTCAAACACATAGTCTCTTGAACCAGCACCTTCGTTTCCAACCTTGAGAACACTCAAGGTGTTATTGACAATGTTTGACATAAGATTATTGCCTCCACAGTAGAGCCTACTGCCTGAAATAGCTTTCAGAACTTCGTCATCGGTGTAGCCAAGGTCAATAAGCTCCTTCATTGCATTAAGGAAGAGCGTGAGCAAATTTGATGACAACAATTCTTCAAGTTGACAGGCAAATGGGTCATCCCATTCGACAGATTCAGACTCTTCAAGTTGCAGCTGATTAGAAACTTCCCCAACCAACCCATTTCCGCTCAAATGGTTCTGAGGTTTCAACGAGGGTAACTCATATGGAGGGAATTCAGTGAGGGAAGCAGCGTTTGGTTGAGAAGGATCAGCTAACTTTCTCTTGTTTTTCCTTCCTTTTTCCTGTGGTGACACTGTAAAGGCTTCTACTTTGTCAACATTGACACCACAACTATTCATTTCTTCTTGCTTCTGAACCATACTCATCACCTTTTTCACCCATTACACATAAACATTTAAGTTAAACACACAGAAAAAAAAACGTATAATAACATAGATACGAAATTGTTCATATGCAAAATCTATTAAAGTAACAAAGATGATTTCATCTCCTAGTTAAACGTGATTCAATCGCCCAAGTAATGCAATCCCAGAAACACGCCAAAAAAAACATTTTTTTTTGCGAGTAAACTTATAGAGATTCCTCAAATCTAAAGCGTACTACATCCTGATTGAGTGCTTAATCGTCATGCAATTCAGAACCGTCACCGAATCGAAATAAAATAAATCCAAATAATCGCACGATCATTCAACCCAAAAATAATCACGAGTTTACCAAAATGGATTAAAAAAGGCCGTAAACTGACCTTCAACGAAGACGATAAGGGCTTAAGAAGAACGGCGCCGGAAAAAAACAGCGGGAAATAAGATCGGTAGCGAGAAATAGAGAGTGGGAGATCGAAGACGAATTAAGTTTTGAGAGTGTGGAGAGAGCGAGAGAGACTGAAAGGGAAGAAGAGAGCCGGAGAAATTGGCCGTAAAACACTGTTTCGTGAATAAAGAAGAAGAGGTTTGGTAATTGCTGTATTACTTGGATTCTCATGAGGGTACTTTAGTCAATTCACAAATATTCGTCTCCGACCCAAAAAGGGCAGCGAATCTTTTGGTTATTTTGTTTCTGCATCTGCAGATTAGATCCTTGTCAAAACGAACTTTAGCTACAAAAATCGATACAGATTGATTGATGAATGAAAGAAGAAAGCTGTCTCCACAGGACATAACTTGATTAATCATAATCTAATGTATTTAAGTACTCAAATTCGAGAAACAAGCCCACATGATCTAATACACGTTACAAGTCTCTGTTGAATCGGTGACAAAAACGGGATGGTTTCACTTTTTCCTCTTCGTGCGTCTTCTTTCAGCTTCATTCTCTGCGACCACAACGTGAAACTCTGATCCAAGCATGTCGTGTATGTCAATATTCTTTGAGTTACTGAGGTTAACAGTCTCTATGATTACTTCTAGAGTCACGGTGAAGCCTAGATTAGACAACACGCGTATCGCATTCCCGACTCTGCATACGGTTTGTCGAGTCTCGACTGGAATATGGCTTTGCTCTTTTACTGTGGAGGAGGATGAGATCATCTCCTCATCTTTCTGATCATCTATCGCCATAGGATCTCTCACTTCGACATGTTCTCCAACCCATATGAAACCATTGCAGCCAATAATCAAATCAATCCCAAGATTTTCTACGTAATGAAAGTGATGTTTGCTTCTCTTAACCAAGTAAGGATCGACCTTCAGAAGCTGTCCCTTCTCAAGCTGTAGCGATTCATGAACTAATCAATGTTCAGAGGAAGAGACTAGCAAAAGGTATAAACTACATGAGCATGTGACCAGATCAAAACCAACCTTGCCATACTTCTGGCTTCTGGCTTGTAACTGCAAGCTACCATCATGCTGAAAGTTGCGTACTTCAGCCTAAGAGTTTGAACAAATCAAAGAGGGAACCTTTTTGGTCAGTTTGACTTATGTGTTCAAAGATGAAGAAGATATGTAAAGATTGGAACATTATTAATCACAGGACTTACACATACGACATCGTGCTCTACAAAGATATTCCGCATATTGAGTTCATCCACAGACGTTCTTCGCCTCTGCCAACAACAAGAAACTTCTATATCATTGAAGCCAACATACAATGTGGAAGCCAAACAAGGTAAGCCAGAAATCATCCAAATGGCAAAATACCAAGAATCAAACTGTACCTGAATACCATCAGGCATGTTCATGGAAGAAAGCATCAGTACTCCATCCTGAGTAAAGTTGAGCTCCACTCTCCAACGTTTTTGAGCAACCTGAATAAGTAAAAGATCAATTAAGCAAATGTCCAATGTGATTGAAACCCTTATGTTAATCTCTCAATCCAATATCAAAATCCAAAACACCAATTCAAAAATCTACCTCAATGACACGGCCTACAACAATATCACCAACCTCAGGCTTGTACCTAAAACGTAGATCGTCAAAACCATCAGTTCTACTTAAATCTCAGAGTAGAGAGTCAAAATCATTCACATTTCCTGGGGAAACTAAACAAATTCGAAGATCAATCACAGACCTGGCTCGCAAGGTGCGTACATAGACAAGCTTATCAACACGCTCCACTACTCCACAGACCGTTGCCAGTAACTCACCATCGACCTCGGAAGTTCCGTGTCCCCTTCAATCAAAAAACCAATCGTGAAAAAGCAGTTTGACAAAAATTTAAATCCAGAAATGAGAATGAGATGAAATTACTTGAGGAAGGCATCGTCATGGTTGACAGGAATAGAGTCGGTGACGATAACAGAAGCATCAGAGTTCGCCGTCGACGACAGTGATTGAAGCCGCTCGATTGCTCTCTCAAATCTAACCTTCTGCGTCTGGCTCAACGGTAACTGCAGCTTTCTCATCACCATCACACACTCTCTCTCTCTTTCTCTCAATTTAGCTCCAGTAACACAACAATGGCGATGCAAAATCGGAGTTTGGGAGAGAAGAAGAGCAAAAACCTCGACGTTGGTTCCCTTGAACGAATTAATTTCTAGGGTTTTGGGTTATTTGTTGGACTGACAGATCCAACTTATGGCCCATTTATAAAACTTGTGGCCCATTTATCTAATTGACGCCAAATAAAATATTTATCTTCATTAAAAAAAGAAAAAGAAATTAGACGTCTCTCCAGCGACAAGCTTCAAGTCTTTTGTGATCTTCCTATTTCTGACGCTAATTCGAATCCTTCACTCTTCAAATTCATTCTTCCACGGATCAAACAAATTATCTGAGAGTATCAATTGGTAAGATCTGAGCTTTACGCTATGAATTTCTTCAAATCCGTCTTCTCGGACGACCTAGATCCTTCAGGAACCGAATCCGAATCCGATTCACCGAAACACAGCGAAGAGAAAGAACATCCAGAGCAATCTGAACCTAACGACGACGGTGGATGGAGCTTCGGTGGTCTGATGAAAACTATAGCCACCAGATCCGAATCCGTGATTGAAACCTACCGACGAGATCTCGAAGAATTTGGTACAGGTTTGAAGAAGGAGATCGAAGTGGCTCAGGGATCGCTTGGTACTGTGGGACATGCGATTGATGAGCTTGGGAACACGGTGCTAAAAGGTACGGCTGAGATCATTGCTCAAGGTAAGGAAGCGATTTTAGCCGCTGGTAATGAATCTGATTCTTCAGATAACAATAGTAGTCAGAGTTTTGGTCGTCGTGATAGCTTCAGTTCGAAACCCTATAGTCGTTTCGATGCTCAGATTCGTGTTGTTCAAGGCGATCTAAACACTTACTGTGAAGAGTCTGAGGATTCTGATGATTACAAAAAGTGGGAATCTGGGTTTTCTCTGGATGATAAAGCTGAGGAGATGGAGAAATTTTTTGAGGAGAATGGAGATATGAAAGGAGTGTATAAAAGGGTTGTTCCGAGTATGGTTGATCATGAGACTTTCTGGTTTAGGTATTTCTACAAGGTTCATAAGCTCAAGCAAGCTGAGGATTTAAGGGCTAATCTTGTGAAACGAGCAATCTCTCTGGATGATGAAGAAGAATTGAGCTGGGATATTGATGATGAAGAGGAGAGCAGCGAGAAAGTTGTTGAAGCTACCAAAGAAGTTTCAAGATTGAAACTTGAAGGGAATGATGGTATGGGTAGTGGAGATGTGAGTGAAACTGTGAAAGATGATGAAGTGACAAGTGCAGATTCAGTGGCTAAAGTGAGCACACAAGAGGAAGTGAAAAGTGCAGATTCAGTGACTGAAGTGAGCAATGTTGGTTTGAAGACAGATACAGATTCTGAGGGAAAGAAGGAATCTGATGATGAGGAAGTTCCAGAAGCAAAACCAGTTGTTGATGCTGCTCCTCCTGCGTCTGATGAGGCTCCAATCCAAGATTCGGTTAAACCCAAATCTGACGAAGCTGCTCCATCCCAAGAATCAACTAAACCAGATGTGGCTGCTTCATCAACTCAACAACCATCTGAAGAGGATTTGGGATGGGATGAGATTGAGGATATGAGTAGCATCGATGGTAAGGAAACGAGTCGGTCTGGTGGTAGTCCAAACAGAGCTGAGCTGCGTAAGCGTCTGAGTGCTGCAGAAGACGATGAAGATTTAAGTTGGGACATTGAAGATGAAGAAGAAGAAGAATCATCATCCAAAGCTTAATGTTAGTGTTTAAAGTGGTGTGCTCTTTTTTATATCTCTCCTTTTACTTGTTTCTATAAGTTTTCTCCATTCTTCAGTTGTTTTTCTCTACAACGTTTCTATTTTACATTGATTTGAAAATATGTTTCTACATTTTATTTTGATATCAAAATTAGGTCAATATAGTTCCAAATCTATTGAAAGTGATCAATGATATCTGCCAAGACAGAATCTAATAAGTTGCTCGATACATGGATGTTCTCTCTAATTCTTTTGAGTATTTCAATCAACTGAACTGACCCTGCGAATTCGGATCTTTGATTGTTTCAAAATTGAACGCAATTTCTGTCCATTGTGAAGAACCAGAATATATATTTTGGTGATAACTGAGGCCCATTAGTGGTCTAATGGGCTTACAGGTCGGATAAAAAAGGATCCGGATGGATTGAAGAGAAACCCTCGGGTGGAGTAATTAACCCTCTCTTAAACCCCAATCACCATTTCAAGGCGAGAAGCAAAAAGTTTCCATCTTTCTCTTTGTGTGGCTCCGACCCAAATGGCTTCCGTTGCTCTTCGAAACTCTACCTCGAAACGCCTTGTTCCATTTTCTTCTCAGATCTATCTACGATGCGGAGGTTCCATCCCCTCGATCTCACATTTCTTCGGAGGTGATGATCGTTGTTCTTCAAATTATGCGACCTCGTGGTGGAGATCGATGGCTACTTTCACCCGAACGTGAGTTTATACACTCTTCTGATCTCTCGCTTCTTCTGGGTTATTTGAAATCTTAGTTTGCTTGGAATTGATTTGAGTTAGTAACTTAGTACTACTCTGCTTCTGTGGTGAAAGAGTGATCAGAGAAAAAATGGTTTCCTAATTTGCTTATCACTTCAAATTCTGTTTATTTTTGCAGAAAACCTCATGTAAATGTTGGAACAATTGGACACGTTGATCATGGGAAGACCACTTTAACTGCTGCGATCACAAAGGTGGGATCTTGAATTGTAATTACTGCAAAACACATGACGAGCCATAGAATTCAAAAACAGTGTTTCGATTTGTTTACAGGTGTTGGCTGAAGAAGGTAAAGCTAAGGCTGTTGCGTTTGATGAAATTGATAAAGCTCCTGAAGAGAAAAAGAGAGGAATTACTATTGCAACGGTCTGCAGTTATCTGGCTCTCTTATCTTTCCTTTGTTGATTAAAACTTAAGTGGTTTTTACTCTGGACACTACTTGCTTCTGTAGGCTCATGTGGAGTACGAGACGGCGAAGCGTCACTATGCTCATGTGGATTGTCCTGGACACGCTGATTATGTTAAAGTAAGATATTATCTAATCATGATCTTGCCATACATTAATCGATTTAAAAACTCGAATCTCATACCTTCAGTTGCTAATTTTCAGAATATGATTACTGGAGCTGCACAAATGGATGGTGGAATTCTTGTGGTTTCCGCACCAGATGGACCAATGCCTCAAACTAAGGAGCATATTCTGCTTGCACGTCAGGTTTGCTCTGTTACAATCTGATTAAACAATTTAAGATACTTGAATGACTTAAAACTATTGGCTACAATCCACGATTTTCATGTCCCATAGGTCGGCGTTCCATCGCTTGTATGCTTCCTGAATAAAGTTGATGCTGTTGATGACCCAGAGTTGTTGGAGCTTGTAGAGATGGAACTGCGTGGTTTGTATAAAATTCTTATGTCTTGGAATTACAAATTCAGAATTATTCCTTATGAAGTACAAGCTTTCTTACATCAACTGTTTTGTTTACCAGAACTTCTCAGCTTCTACAAGTTTCCTGGGGATGATATTCCCATCATTCGAGGATCTGCTCTGTCTGCATTGCAGGGTACAAACGAAGAAATTGGACGGAAAGCCATATTGAAGCTAATGGAAGCTGTAGATGAATATATACCTGACCCAGTTCGCGTGCTCGATAAACCTTTCCTCATGCCAATTGAAGATGTTTTCTCGATTCAGGTATAGCAATATACATCCTTGTGTTTTTTTTTTAAATTTCATTACTCAAATGTTTTTTGAAAAATTATAACCGATTTCTTTTTCTATGAAGGGTCGTGGAACTGTTGCAACCGGCCGTATTGAACAGGGAACCATTAAAGTAGGTGAAGAAGTTGAGATATTAGGGTTAAGTACGGTGAGTTAGTACTGCCGCTATTACAATTAAGCATTGTTCTTGAAAATTGTCTTAAGTCTCATTGCAAGATATAATTTCCAGGGACTTCCACTGAAATCCACGGTAACTGGTGTTGAGATGTTCAAGAAAATTTTGGATAATGGACAGGTAAAGGCAATCTGGATAGATCTTTTTCACAGAAACTCTATAGGCATGTGAGATTGATATAATTTTCAAATATGTTAGGCTGGTGATAATGTAGGACTTTTGTTGCGTGGGCTAAAGAGAGAAGACATCCAGCGTGGAATGGTAAGCTCAAGATCTTTGTGTTGTAGAAGAGTGATAAGACCAATATTGCAAAACTAGCTTTACTGAATGTAACTTTGTGCTGTTTAGGTAATTGCTAAGCCTGGTTCTTGCAAGACTGCCAAGAAGTTTGAAGCGGAGATTTACGTGCTCACGAAGGATGAAGGTGGACGTCATACCGCTTTTTTCTCCAACTACAGGCCTCAGTTTTATCTGAGGACCGCTGATGTCACTGGAAAAGTAGAATTACCTGAAAATGTGAAGATGGTTATGCCCGGTGACAATGTCACTGCAGTTTTCGAGCTAATCCTCCCTGTCCCACTTGAGACCGGTTAGATTCACTGGCTTTCGATATCTTTATTAACCCACCAAGTTCGAGTTTCTTCAAGTTTCTTGAGTGATTCAAGTTGTTTCTATTTTGCGATTTTAACAGGTCAAAGATTTGCTCTAAGGGAAGGAGGTAGAACAGTTGGAGCTGGTGTAGTATCAAAAGTGATGAGCTAAGTCGCTATAGCAGATTCAAAAGTTCTTCAAACAAAAAAAACACAATTGTTCTCAGTTTGTTCTCTAGTATCTAAAGATTCATCTCTCATGAGATTTCTACTACTTTTGAAAGTTATATCAAATAACCGAGAGATTTGTGTTTTAAGAGAAAAGCTTCTCCAAATCTTTTTGGCTTTGCAACTTCTTTGGTTTGCGTTAGTTTAAAACTCTACAAAATCCCTTTATCAACAACCTAACATTCACAAATTAACCTTTAAGCAAGCCATCAATGGAGTTAGAAACTTGACTCCAAATCATCAGCATTTCAACAATTCAACCAAACCTAAGTGCAACCATGGCAATAACTGTGGCAGCTCTGAAGTAAACTTCCTTGATTCTTCTTTCCACTTTATTTGAGATTTCTTCTTCGTTGATTGTTTTCCTATTGAAATTAACAAGGGCTTCCCTGAGTCTACTCATCGACCACGAGAGCAATACCAAACTCAAACTCAGTGCACCTTCGAAGAATTTGTTTGCGCAAAAGGGTACCTGCCTGGAAGCAACATTACAAACCAGAAAGAAGAGCACAGCCATACCAGTTCCAGCAAAGCCAATTGAACACTGAGTCAAAAGCTCTAAGAGTTCTCCACGTGATTTCTTTAGAGATAGCATTGTGGTTTTTCTATGTTGTTCATTGCCTATCATCAGAGAGATAAGGCTCTCAAATGCATGAAGACGGTTTCTTTCGTAGAGGTCCTTTTCCTTATCTCTTATCTTCGGATTTTGTTTCTTTGGTGAAGGCTTAAGCCTAGTTTTCTCCGCACTATCATAAATCGAAAGGAATGTTCTTTAAGAAACGGGAAAGATCAAAAGAACAAAAAACTAGTTGATGATATTAGATAGTACCTCTTAAGAGAAGCAAGTCTAACTGCATCAGGCTTAACCGCGGATAGCTGCAAAGTGTCTATTGGTGCTTCACTGTCGAATCTGTAAAATGAGAGAGAGCAAAAACTTAATGTTAAACCCAAAAGGATGAGCAACATAGGTATGGATATAAGTTGCAGTGAAGAATTAACTACCGCTGAAACTGAGGGACAAGCCGTGAGAGCTTTCTCCATCTTGTTGAGTTCCTTAACCTATGAAACTCAGTTGCCGTAGAGACCAAATCATTCAATTCAGCTCTGCTACTTGAGAACAGAATGTTACCATCCACCATGAGATCCAAAAGCGGCTTTGCAGATTCTTGATTCAAGTAAAAATAAGAAGAGGTCGCAAATGGTAGCTGAGAACTTGATCCCAAAGCCGCCAGACCCATCAATTCAGATAGCAGAGACAAATCGAATCCTCCTTCTTTGAGTTCTTCTTCTGATCTAGACAAAAGGAACTCTAACACCTTCTGTTTTTTTGCATACCTCTCAGTGATCCCCAAGCTTAAACACAGAGGGTCTGGTCCAGTTTCTGTAAACCACATTTCATGTCAGTAGAAAAAAAGGATTACAATTTGGTGAATTCAACTGCAAATTGATCAAAGTCACATACCATGAACATCCATGAGCCTATGCTTCATCATGGTTGAATCAAACTCCACAAAGTGGTTAGACTTACTCGAAGAAGAAAAAGGTTTCAATAGCTCCAAGAGTTGTGGTTTCAGGTTAAAGGAGCTTTCTAGTAATATGTCATGTTTTCTTCCTCCAGGATTCACCAGATAAGCCCGGCTCTTCTGAATCAATAATAGACATAAGAACCAAACAAGAGAAGAAGAAGCAGATAGAACCAGGACAAGAATTCAACGAGAGATTCTAAACCCAAGTGTTTTAAAACAGAGAAAGTAAAAAACTAACCTTGATGATTTCGTTGCTTCCTAGCTCTTGAAGGAGACTAAACCCAAGTGTTGAATAGCTATGAGAAGCCATTGAGAAAAACCTGACTTCTTCTTTGTTCTCTTCTTCGTCACAAAACCATGGAAACAAATAAGAAAAAGCTTATCGTCAGCAATCTCACCTATATATGCGTCAGATATTATTAGATTTGTGTAAATCTTTTCTTTATTCTGTTTTGGCTGGTGACCAAAACACACATGATGTTTTAAATATTTACTATTTGAGGCCCTTATTACTTGAATTAGCAAGAGCAGACCCAATCTTTTGAATAATTACATAAATATAGCTTTTGTTTCTTATATTCGGAATTAACCCAAAGATCATTAGGGTACTCTACTCAAGAGAGAGAAGTTCTAGAAGTCCTCAAATCCCGCAAAGCTTTTTCAGCTTCTTTGTTGAATTGCGAGCAGAGGAAGAAATCAGCAGAGAAAAAAAAATGGTAAATTTGAATACTTTCTTCGTCTTCCCTGAACTTGAGTGTTGGCAATTGTTTTGTTTGACCTAAAAAAGTTTTCTTCTTTCTTCGTTATTATTGATGGGTGTGTTTTCTTTTAGCCAATGGTTCTAGGGTTCTTGGAGATTTCGAGTTTTTGGTTTCCGATGATTATTTAGGGTTTCTCGTGATGGGTTCTGATTGTGTTTGTGCTCTTGTGCAGTTGTTCTTCTCTTACTTCAAGGATTTGGTTGGACAAGAAGTGACGGTTGAGCTGAAGAACGATTTAGCCATAAGAGGAACTCTTCACTCAGTTGATCAGTATCTGAATATCAAGCTTGAGAACACTAGGGTTGTTGACCAGGACAAATACCCTCACATGGTAAATTTTCTTTCTTTAAAGCGATTTCTCTAAGTTTGGGAATTTAGGGTTTATAAGAGCAGCCGATGGTTTTTTTGTTCACCTAGGCAATCTTATCTTTGTTGTGTGTGCTTGAATTGTTCTTTAGTGGTTTATCTATCTGGTTTGACATTGTCTTGAGATAGATAACCACTGGACTTGATCTCACTGGCTAGTTTCTTGTTGTTTCGTATTGTAAAATATCACTTATGAACTGATGAATTCGAAAGCTTAATGCTTGGCTCTTGCAGATGTGTTTAAGCCATCACTCTTTCTTTTTTTCCCCACTTACATTTACTCCAAGCTTGAAAAGCTTTAAGGTGATATTGATTAGATTTACAATCGCAAAGGGATGATTTGAAGTGATAAGTGGTTCTGATTGACATATTTGATTGAGATTGCTGCTTGTGTACTGCAATTTGTCAAGTTTACTCAGAATTACAATAGATTTGCAATATGTTTGCAGAACCAATTTCAATGCTTTTAGCATTTATTTTGGTATTTCTTTGGCACTGTACTTATTTATCTTGTTACACTTTAAGAATCTTGTCAAATTGTACAGATTTCGCTAGAATCTTCCCGATGATGTTTTTAGCTTACATATTTGTGTGTTGTCTTGTGTAGCTTTCAGTGAGAAACTGTTTCATCAGAGGATCAGTGGTAAGGTACGTGCAGTTACCTAAAGACGGAGTTGATGTTGATTTGCTTCACGACGCCGCTAGAAGAGAAGCTAGGGGTGGCTGATTCTGAAAAGTCGTTGTATCTCCAAAACTTAAATACTTTTCATTTGGTGTAATGGCTTGATAATGAATGTTTTCCTGATGTAGAGCCTATGTTATGGCCATGAATCTTGTTTCCATTATCTTTACCAAAGGATCATCTAACTTTTTTCCTCATTCGATGAAAAGTTTATTTAAAACACAGAAACTCCTTCATTCTTGTCATTACTTTAGTTTCCTCTTCCTTAGATGAAGCAAACAGAGGAAAAACATATAGACTCAGTAAGAAGGAACTTATATAAAGCAATATGAGTACTTGTCTGCATAGGAAAATGATACTTAACTCTTGTCATTAATTTAGTTTCTTCTTACTTAGATGAAGCAAAGAGAGGAAAAACATATAGACTCAAATAAAGCAATAGGAGTAATTGTCTGCATAGCTAGTGTAACGCTTCATAGGATTTGTATCCATGTACGGTCTGGTTTGCCAATAGGGGAAAGGACCAGCTGCAGCCATAGGAGGATATGCTGCAGCCATAGGCGGATATGGTGAAATGTGAACACCATTGAACATTGTGGCTCGAGGCATGGATTGGTATGGATAAATTGGACCACCACAAGGTCCACAACCACCATATGGTCCATACATCGCTCCCATCGAAAATGGGGGATAATGGCTTCTAGGGGCTGCGGATATGGGCCATCGGTTCAAAGGATTGGGTCCACCATGGTACATCATCGATTTAGCGGTGTAGCAAGGCGGGTTAACATCATTTTTCTCGCTTAACAAGTTTTCTTTTTTACCAACAGCCTTCTCTTTCTTTGTACTTGAGCGTTGCCAAGTGAGGATGCTCTTCTTCTTCTTATCCTTCTGATCTGAAGTTTCATGTGATCCTTTTTCCTTATTGGAATCTGTTTTCGGATTCTCATTCTCTGAAACTTTCTGTTTTTGTTTCACATCCTCTTCACCAGACTCCTCTGTTCATCAGAAAGCAGAAACATTAAGATTTGTGAAGATAAGTAAGAAATCTTCTGATAGGTTAAACAACTCACCTTCGATTTTCTTCGAGTTCTTCTTCTTCGTGGCTTTAACCTGACACTTTGAGCAACAACCGTCGTTCATTTTTCAGATCACGTTCCTGCTGCTTTCAAAGAAACTTGAAGAAATTTTTTGGGTTTTACTTATAGAATCGGTTATGTAATTGCTAAAGATTATAAACCCTAAGCAATCCATATCTCATCCTATCTACACAAAATGAATAAAGATTATATCTTTATGCTCTTAAATCTTGAGGAAAATCTTCTTTCCATATATACAATAAACGTACTCTTTTGAATCCATAAAAGGCAGGTTTCATCACCTCGTATCAGAACGAATAATGATCACTGATTTGAGGAGATACAGTATTAAGCTTTGGATACAAGCAAAAGGCACAAGTGATGTTATGTATCAGATATTGTGGAAGTCATTGATTTAATTGAATATTCTTATTGGAAATATGACAACACAATAACATATACAAAGATCATAACTTTGGTTCTAAGCAGTAGCATTGATGGTTTCAAAAAGGGTACAACTGTACGGCTTCATCTCATACACAACCAGTTGCTGCAGCTGTTCTTCTTCTACAACAACGGTCTCTCCTTCGACAGAGAAAAACCCTGGGAAAGGAAGAGCTGTGTCAACCAATCGCCTCCATTTGCTTCCATCAGGAAGTGAAGGTAAAATTACACTCTCAGGATGATCACTTGCATTGAATCCAATGAACAGATCATTGCTCTTTGGCTCTGTTGGCTCAACCAGTGATGCAGTTTCCTCTTCCTCTGACTCTGATTTGATCTCCAATGCCAAAAACTTAGAAGTAGGATCTTCCCACTTTGGAGTTGTTTGGTCATTTGCATACCAAACAATATTTTCAGGTTTCAAAAAGTTTCTCCTCTGAAACACATCACTTCTTCTTGCTCTTACTGAAGTCATGAAGGAAATGAATTGTGTGATCTGTGTACCGAAAGCTGAAGCTAGCAAGTTCCAATCAAAAGGTTTCCGTGATTCCAACAAAGGCGAGCCCTTTGTCGAGATTCCACATTCATCTCCCATGTTAAGCACTGGAACTCCAAGTGATATGTACTGTATAAACAAGAAGTTTCGGATTTGTTTTAGCCTTCTTTGAAGAACAGCTGATTTATTCGTTGCTCCTTCTTCCCCACAATTCCAACTTAGCTCTGAAGCTAGCTCAGGGCCACTGAAACTGACTAAGTCAACAAGAGAGAGTCCTGAGTTTCTTGAAATGTAGTTGAAGGAGAAAGCCGGACCTCTTCCATCAGTAAATATGTCACCACTTCCACAAATTCTTGTAGCCAGATCACTAAGAACACCTCTTCCCCTCAGAAAATTTCGTACATTTCGACAATATCTTGTGTTGAGTTCTGCCCATCGCTTCCAATGCGGGAACCGTACTTCTTTTGGCATCATTTCAAGTGGATTCCAGCAATCAACAATTAGTTTGGTTTCCGCAAGAAGTGGATCAAAAGTTATTGCTTCAACCAAGGGAGGACGAGAGAGCTGTTCACCGTGAACGCCTTTCAAGAGAGACGAGGCATTTATGAAACAAAATCCATCTACATGAAACTCGGTAACCCAATAACGCAAGCTCTCCAAAATCAACTGCTGAACAACAGGATAGTTACAGTTCAAGTAACTTTTAGAATCTAGATCATTGGCCCTTCCCTTGTAATAATAGCAACTGTCATCAATTCCATGAAGAGCTCCAGAATCAGTGGTATGTGTAAAAACTACTTCCAAGAGTACCTCTATTCCCTGACTGTGCAATTTCTTCACCATCTCTTTCATTGAGTTAACTGCGGATTCAAGGCTATTGGAAGGTCCATATGTGTCCATTGGTGAAAAGAAATGAAATGGAAAATAAGGACCTTTTTGCTCGGAGAACGAAAATATTGGCTCCAAGAGAACAGCGTTGGTTCCAAGGGTTTTCAAATGGCTAACTTTCTCAGCTACACCAGAAAAAGTCCCTGCTGCGTTACTAGGCAACTTGCTGGATTTGTGTTGTGTAAAACCCTTCACATTCAACCGGTAAACAATAAGTTTCTCCAGAGGTATATTCGGAGACAAATCTTCACCCCAATCAAAGGAAGGGTTCTTAAATAAACTTCCAAGGAACTTCTGAGAGACAGATTTACCAATGACTGTGGCATATGGATCCAAAACAATTGGCTCAGCTTCTACATCGACATCTTCTTCCGAGTGAGCTGTCTCCTTGCAACGGTAGCCATACCTCACAAAATCCCATGTATTGTCAATTGAAGCATGCCAAACATCACCTGTTCGGTTGACATAAGGATCGAGATCAAGCTCTAAAGCAGGTTTATCGGTTGTGGTATCATCATACAAGCATAAAACCACGTTCGTTGAGTTTCTTGAAAAGAAGGCAAAATTCCAAGATTCATCATCTGGCCCTGAAGAAAGGCCTAACGGCAATGGATGACCAGCAGTAAAACCAACCGGGATACAGAAGTCAGTGTCCCTGTGTGTCAGCATTTCTTGACCATCCGGATCTCTTCCTGACACTATCTTCAGGTGAAATGATAGGTAGAAAGGAGATTCTTTCCCATCAAATTCTAGCCCTAGCATTAACTCAGACAAGGAGCTTTTCACAAATGGAGTTTCTGTTGTGTGGGTTTGTGAGTCTTGGGAAGAGTTTTCAAAATCCAGAGGCAAGAAACAGGAAGAATCAGACCTGTAGACACCCCAAACCATCACCAGTCTACTCTTGTCATCACCACTTAGTTCCAAAGATGAGACATAAACCATAATGCTGTACTTTTCTCTCTTCTTTTCAACTTTAACTTTAACAAGAGCACCAGATTTTGTCCTGAATGAATATGATGTTACCTTCTTCAGGTCATCAACCTGAGCTCTTCTAGTAGGCAATGCCTCTCTCAGCTCGATGGAAGTCTTCGAAGCACATATCTTACTCAACTGATAACTTTGCAACGCGCTTGTAACCAAATCCCCCATGAAACGTTTTCTTGTAAATATCAGTGTCTCTGATCCAAGTTTAATCTTATTCTTACCAGTAAAAAACCTTGCAGAAGGAAACTTCCATGTTCTAGTGATGCCCTTATTAAGACAACAAGATCCTATCCCAACTGATGGTGACCAAGCAGCCATTGTTTAGACCAAGCACCAAAAACTTTAGCAATCCAGGTGATGAATATCCCTGTTAAGAACACAGATCAAACCCCAAAGCTTTTATTAAGATTGAATTAAAGAAAACAGAAACCAAATCACTCAATGAATTTCACAAGCGAAACTATATCCCGATAAATAGAATCAACAAGAACAAGACGTCTCAGGATCAGGATAAATCGAAATACTACGAAATAATAGGAAAAAATAAGGAACACAAGAAAGTGTAAAGAAGAGACAAACGTCGTAAAAAAAGTCGAGCTTACTGTCGCATAAGCATCATCAGCGCCATTGAAGCAAAAAAACTGAGCTTTAAAATGGAGAATTTCACAATGATTGAAACAGAGATATCGAACACTACCCATCTGATGAATTGAGTGAGTGTCCATGAGTTTATGATTTGATTTTTACTTTGGATGAAACTGAAAGGTTTTGTCTTGTTCCTTCACGAACTCTCACACTCACCTCACGCGCCTACAAAAACGGTCTTTAGCGATTGCAACATAGACACGCGCGTAAGGTGCGTCTGGGAGTGAAAGAGGAGTGATCTTATCTGGGCCGAGCCCATCAAGCCCAATAATTTGTACGACAAAAGTAAAATTTAGTTTCAAAAATTTAAGACAGAAGTGAGCTGAGCTGTTTTCACTTCCAGGGTTTAAGAGTGGAGTGTTCCGTTTTAAGGTGTGTGTGTGTGTCTGTGGAAGAAGCAGAAAGAAGAAAGGGCGCGTTTTTACTATTTTTGTTTTTAGGGTTTTGTTTCAGAGCCAAAACATTGGTTGTTTTTCTGTCAATGGAGCAAACGATTTTCAAAGATTGTGAAGTAGAGATCTGTTCTCAAGAAGAAGGGTTTAGAAACGCTTGGTACAGAGCAATACTGGAAGAAACCCCAACGAATCCGAATTCGAAAAGCAAAAAGCTTCGTGTTCGCTACATGAACTTGCTCAACGAAGAAGGTGCGTCTCCTCTAACGGTCGAACAGGGGTTTATACGACCAGTCCCGCCGGAAAATCTATACAACGGCGTCGTTTTAGAGGAAGGAACGGTGGTTGATGCTGATTACAAACAAGGATGGTGGACCGGTGTTGTGATAAAGAAAATGGAGGACGGGAGCTATTTGGTTTACTTCGATTTTCCACCAGACATTATTCAATTCGACACAAAGCATTTGCGAGCTCATCTTGACTGGACCGGTTCGGAATGGGTCCGACCAGAAGTTAGGGAACTGAGTAAGTCCATGTTTAGCCCCGGGACATTAGTTGAAGTCAGTTGTGTAATAGATAAAGTTGAAGTTTCCTGGGTTACTGCAATGATAGTTAAGGAGATTGAGGAGAGTGGTGTGAAGAAATTTATAGTGAAGGCATGGAATAAACACTTGAGATGCAGTGTTGATGAGGCAAAACCAAAAATAACCGTTGATTCACGCTGTGTTAGGCCTACACCGCCTCCTTTTTCGGTTGAAGAGTATGACTTGCTTGATTGTGTAGAGGTGTTGTTTCATGGTTCCAGTTGGCGTCAAGGGGTGGTGATGGGAGTTCTCACTGAGAAACAGTACATGGTTAGGTTAGAGGCTACAAAGGATGACTTGGAATTGAAACACTCGGATCTTAGGCCTTTTAAGGTGTGGGAAGATGGGGTTTGGCATAACGGACCACAGCAAAAACCCGTAAACGAAAGTCCTTCCAACGACATCAAACAGAAGCCAATGTTCACTTCTTCTGGTGCTAGGCCAATGGCTACAAAACATACAAGAAGATCTCTTAATCCTGAGGAAAATGACGAGACATTCTCTGCAGCTGAAACTGTTACTGCCACTGGAAAGAAGGGGTCTGATGCTGTGATGAATGACAATATTCCTCCGGTAATAACCTCGAAAGTGACATCCATAGCAGATGAATCTGTTTCATTTGTAACACCGTTGAAACAAAACGCTGAAGGAATGAAATCTCCTGAGAAGACACTTGAGCCGATGAGGAATCAGAATAGCTTGGGAAATGATTCAACTCAACAGAAGTTGCCTGAGGAGGAGAATAGCAAAGATGGGAGCAGAAAAAGGAAAAGAGAAGAAGACCTGAATGAAACTGATGGGACATGTAATGGTTCAGAGGCTGAGATAAGTGATACAGGTAAAATTATCTGCAACAATGATGATGTTGATAATCAGCCATTCTCTACTGAGCTATCCTCGTATCAGAGCTCAAGTGCGGTGAATAGTTTTGCTTCTCCTTTTGAAAAGAAGTTGCCGTTTTGGAAGACATATGAAACAGATGAGTTGTACAAATCAGTACCACAAACTCCTCATTTCAGCCCGTTGCTCAAGGCTAAAGAAGATATCCGCGAATGGTCAGCTGTTGGTATGATGGTGACTTTCTATGGTTTATTAGAGGAAGTTAAACATCTGCAGCTCGATGATTCCCCGAGCAAACTAAGTATCATTGGTAGTTCTTTTGCGGAGCTCGAGAAGCACGGTTTCGACGTTGCAGATCCACAATCACGGATCAACAAATTGTTGTCTTTCCAAGATAAGCGAGCAAAGAAAGCAGAGGAAAGAAAATGTCTTGAGAAGGAGATTGAAGCTAAAGCGATCGAAAGGCAGAGGTTTGAAGAAGAATTGGCTGAGTTTGAACGCATAATTCTTGAGATGAAGAGACAAGCATTGGTTGCCAAAGAGAAGAAAGAAGCGGCTGACAAAAGGATTGGTGAAATGAAGTCATGTGCAGAAACCATTGATCAAGAGATTAGAGATGAGGAGCTTGAGTTTCAGACAGCTGTCTCGGCTCCATGGTAATAAGAGAAAACAAAACTATAGATGACATCTAAGCTCTATCTATATTTTGGGAAATGGAAGATTAGGGTAGATGTATATAAAAACAGTTATCTACGATCTTTATCTCCTTATGGTTATTGTTGATGTTTTGTTTAGGCTAATAAGATGAACTATGAGAATCATCTTTTGTAGATCTTATGATGATTAGAATAAACTTTTACTAACTTTTTTCTTTATTTCAAAAAAGACATTGGCTTTGTTAAACAACCACGAATAGACTGAGAAAATTCATAGCTACATAATCTGGTTTGAGTTTCAGAAGACTGAGAAAATCCATATAGCTCATAAGTTAGATAAAGCTAGAACCACATGCAATCCCCGATCCAAGTTCTGGTCTATAAAAGTAGGAAACAAATCCATTTATTCTTCAGCATGTAAGAACCCTATATGTACAATAACTTTATTCTTCAGTACCAAACAACTTGTTCGGTCTCCTTGTCAAAGATGTCCCAACCATCTTCAAGAAGATCTCTACAATCATCTTTCTCTTTGTTCATGAAGGAAGCTGCTGCTTCTGGGAAGTTCTTGTTGCTTGAGGTTTCAGGCACTCCATTCAATCGCTCAGAAGGATTCTCGAGCCCCAAGCTTCTCATAGATGATCCGCATGAACTAGTGAGGCTTGAGGAGATTGATTTGGTTAATGGCACTCGGTTTTCGAATTTCTCTTTCAACAGCTTCACATCTTGACAGATCACAGAAATTTCTCCTCTGCTCAAAGAACCAAGAGAGGTTAAAAATCCATTTAATATAGCAGATCATTACGAATATCCGCAGTAAAAATTGCTAAATGATTCATGGGTTTTCTAAATAAATGGACCAATGTACGGTTAGTAGGACAAGAATTGGACTTACTGTAAGGAATCAACAATCTGACCACGATCCATAAGAAACTCTCGAAGCTGCAGGCCGAGAAGACGAAGAAAAAAAGATATGAGATTGAGAAGAATTTTGAGTTTAGAGGAAACTCATCGCTAGTGTTTGCAACAGTGATTGTACCTTGGAATTTTCCTCTGCCTCCTGCTGTAGAAGTTTTGATTCTTGGACCACTTTCTCCATGTTGGCTTCTTGCTCAGCAAGTGCCTTAAGTGCAGAATCTTCTTTGTTTTTCTTTTCTTGCTCAGCAGTCTTTTTCATCTCAAGTGCTGCCGCTAGTCTTATTTCGAGACTTCCTCGCATCTACAAAGAAACACAATTAGATAAATCTCTGTACAGTGTGAAACAGAGGCAGACAACTGGTCATCTAAGTTTCGTTTTAAGAGGGGAAAAAAAACACAAATCTTTATAATCAGCAGATGGAAACATGCCTCATCAAGGATAGCAAGAGATTTGTTTCGTTCTTCTGATAAGTTGACCAACCGGTTTTCAAGCTCTTTTACTTCAGTGGCCAAAATTGACTTCTCTCCATATACTTCTCCAGCATGCTGCAACATCAAGGTAAATTAGCTCTGATTACAAAATCAAGCACCTTTAACAATATGTATTGGCCCATTATAGGTAACAATGTTGTTACCATGTCATTTGCTTCCTTTGCATGTTCCAGCATCTTCTTGAGCTCCTCGACCTTTTGAAGAGTATCTAAACCTCCCCTAGAAGCTTCCTCCTTTGACTTCTCTGCATCCTTCTCTTGAAGTTCAACTTCTCTCATTAAATTCGTAACCGTTTCCATCTCAGTAAACAAGGTTTTCTACATCATTGCACAACCAAAACAAATACATGAATAATGGGTTCCTTCAAATCTACCAAAATGCAGATATGTAACTAGAAGTTGTAGCCCTGGGTCCAGCTTTTCGGACCTCAGCACCAGTGGATACAACTCAATGTACGTAAACGAAAGAAAAATATTTTTACAGGCTTAAAGAATGTTAAGATTATGTGTCATACCTTGTTACTTTTGGCATCCTCAATAATCTCTTCAAGGTGATCAACGCTGCATACATGGGTTGATGTGCTAAAAGCATCACCTATTTCAGTATCACCATTTTCAGAGACCAATGAATGATTTGAAGTCTCGTCCACACGATTTGTACTCCCAGAGTCAACTTCAAAACATGAACCCTGCTGTGTAGTTGTCGTAGTATCCCCAGGAGCTGAATCGACCAGCTTCGATACAGCATTTTCTGCTTGATTCCATGTCATATCAAAACAAAGATCTTCCCAAAAATCGCTAGTCAATTTAATATTATCTAGGGAAATGGCAGAGACAACTGAGGCGATATCATCCTCTGGCACATGCAAGCCAAGTTTTGCATTGCTCGTAACATCAAAACACCTACCAAAGAAATCATAGTTTCCGTGCTCTTTTCCACGAGCCTTTTTCAAAAAAGATTGAACTTCCTCACTTTCAAGGTCTTTATGGCAAACATCAAGACCAACATTTGGTTGCAAATTTGTTAGCTCGTTCATATTTGAGACCAGATCAGTACTTAGAGCACGGGTATTGTGGTCACGGTCAACAACCAAGGGAAGAGTTTCTGAAGAAGAGGAAGAACAAGAAGAAGAAGTGCTGGGCTTTGAACCAGAAGCTCCAAGAAAAGGGCGGCACCCAGAAACAACATCTTCCAAACCACGTTCTACTGCATATTAAACAAGCATTTTATCAACATTTGCTCTCTGAAAATAGAAAAATAAGGAACCTCAAGCTGTGAATGTACAAGCCAGAGAAACAAACAGCTCACAAGATGGTTATTTTTCATGGGCTATAAAGTTGTACCTTCACGCTCTGAAATACTTGAAGATGACTTGTTTGAAGATTGAGTAAGATTATGAGACAAATTTGAGGAAAATGAAGGAATGATTTCTGAAAGAACCACAGCAGCAGCTTCATCAGCATCCTTGGGGTGTTCGATTGCAACAGCCCTCAAAATTCGTGCATCAATCTGCAGTGGAACATAATATATATAATGTTGTTTCAATAAGACAAGAAAAGACATGAATTCTATATGAAAACACAAAACAAAAGATGATTCAGCCAAAATAAAAAAATGGTGTCAAGTGAAACCATTTGATCAAACTAATATATCCAATGGCACACCAGTAATTGAGTGTTACGATTTCATTGCTAAAGTTGTATTAAATCTAATAAGAGATCAGTTTTTACCTGAGGAAAGATTTCCGTTAGAGATCGATAAACAGAACCGAAACCCATGAGTGAAAGTTAATAAACTCTGCAGAAAACAAGCAAAATGTTATTTTTGATGCAAAGAAGACTGAAATATAAGAACTTGTCTGCAAATATTTTTATCATATAACTATAATAAAGCCAAAGAAAAAGGAAAACATTACAAGCCCCTTGTGAAAACCCTAAAGCTCATGGGCGTGTTAGTTACTTGCGTACATCAAATAACCCTAAAATTGTTTATGCAAATAGATGAGAGAGATACACTCATACAAGTGCAGAAGACAAAAGAACAATTATCCAAGAAGTACAAATTCAGTATCACCCAATTTCTAAAATTGTGTACAACGACGGATCATGATTACAAAACCTAATCAACAAACAAAAAAAGAGATAAACCTAGCCGTCATAATCATCAACGGATCATGAAAAGATCAAACTATAATTTTTAGAACCGATCACAAATCATCAAAAAAATACACACAGGAAAATCAAATTATATTTCCTCGAATTTTTAATTACCAGAGAAAAACGAAGAGAATAGAACAAAACCTTTAGCAAATATTCGATTTTTGAGGCAAGTAAGAGATCAGAAGCGAGAGCTGTGAGGAGGAAGAGGAGGAAGAGGAGGAAGAGGAGGAAGAAGTATATTTTTTCTCCGTCTCTTATGTTAAGACTTGAGGACTAAGTCGTGCTCTAGGTGGTATCGTAATTTTGTAGCGTATCCGAGGGTATTTTGGTCAAGACCTTGACTTTTTTCTCGGCTAAGATTTATAGAGGTCCATGCAACAACCAATGGGCAATGGGCAATGGGCAATGGGCAATGGACAAATATTATTGCTTATTGAATTTTGTCGAGCAAGGAAAGTACCTTAAATTATGATTGGCTTGTTGTTTATTTTATTTACAAAAATAATTTAATTGACTTTTCCAATATTTTTCTGGATGAAACAATTGAACGTTATGTGTGTGAATCTGTTTCTCAACAGATTTATCTAAAGAATTTATTAACAAAAAAAAAAGAGAGATAAATTTGAAAATACACAAACTATCACCGCATGTCGAATATCGCCATAAATATCTCTGGCAGACTTATAAAACAACAACACTTGTAAATTGGACTCTGGTCCAAAACCATTTTGTTTCACAGATATATTAACCTTTCGTCTGCTTCGACAAGTACAATATGAGGAATTTGGTGTAGCTGATGAGATACTAAAAGTCATTATAGTGTACATGAGATGAGAATTCACAATCGACCACTTCATTCTATGATCAGCCTTCTTCCCAATCGATGTCGTCTTCCTCTTCTTCTTCTTCACCACCCGAAGCTTCTGCTTCCACATTCAAGTCCACCTTGTAGTTTCCATTAGCTGCAAGTGAATAACATGTTAAGTTACCAAATTGAGCATCATGTACCCATGTCAGACCTGTGTGATCTAAACTTGTTAAATATGAGCATGTCTTAAAAAGTATCTTCTAGTTAAAGCTCTGCGATTTTAATGTATACTCGAAAAACTAAACAAGGTTCCTTATAAGTTCAAAACTAACTAGTGCAAAGTTTCATATGATCAACTAGTAAGCGAAATGGAAATGAAGTATGTAAACTCAAACTGACCTGCAACAGGAGCCTTTTCTTCCCATTCAACATCTTCTTCATCTTCGTCTTCATCTTCTTCTTCACGTTTGGCCTTCATACTAACCTGACGACCTGAGGATGTAGTACCCAACTGAATGTCAGAAGCTGATTCGCCAGCGGATTCTTGTTGATTTCGTCTTGCAGCAAGCTCTTGCTGCTTCATAAGTTCTGCGTAGTAAGCTTTGAGATACTCATCCTGAAGCAAAATTAAAATACTGTATCAAGATTCTTGAAACATATCCAGAAGATGCTACTGTTTGGGAGTCTAAATAGATACAAAGGATTTGTCCCCAAAAGCATACCTTCAAATCCTTCTCATCTCCATTTCCACTGGCTGATTTCTTGTCATCTGAAAGTTTTGCTGCTCCTCTTGAGCCACCATCAACCTTTGCTTCCTGTCTCATCTCTCCTCTTTGTTCCTCGGTCAGATTCATTCCTTCCTTGATCATCCATGGAGGCAAGACTTTCAGACTGGAATCTCCACCTTTAGATTTAACATCTTCGTTTCCATCGCCAAGGTTAACCTCAACCTAACCACGAAAGATTTAAGAAATCAACTAACCACAATGAAAGAGGAAAAGTGCAGAGAATTATTGCAGATGTATATGCGTAATGAAAAAAGCTTTAACATGAACTGACTGGAGAAACAAATGGACTTTCATTACAATACCATTGAACTTCCATATACATTGAACTCCTATATACATTGAAAAGTGTAACTAGTGATCACCTTTGTCTCTCCGAGAAATGGCATTGGTGTTGAACCATACCCACCCTGTGACCTCAAAGGATCATTAGGGTTAAGATCACCATTCGCGCGAGCAGCCATAGCTGCACGAGCCTCCCATGCCAGAAAAGATCCAAATTCAGGAATTGGTAGGTCTTTTACTCTATTTAACTGATCCATCAGAGGTTTCATTTGAACCTGCATTTTATACTCAAATTGTCTCAACGCACAAACTATATAACTACAGCCAGAATACAAGAAAACAGAATCAAGCAACTGTCAACTTCAAAGTAAGTATGAGATGATGTCGAGAATGAGCTACTATATCAGCATGGCTAAAGTAAAAGTTACACGTTAAAAGAGGATTTCAGTGGGAAACAATACTCAATTCCCAATAGAGAATATAAGCCATGAGACTGTTGCAAAAAGAAAAAAATAACATTTCCTTATCAAAAGTAACCATGAAAGCTACAGACTCTTATTTGCAATCTCAAACATTGGTCATTTAATATCCGATCTCCAGGAATACTAAATCAGATCATAAATTATTCTGGTATCATCTTGGAAATATCGAACGATGCACAGAGGCTTTATCAAAATTTCTAGAATATTGAGGCACTAAAACAGTATACACATACCTCCAACTTCTGAAGCATATTTTTTAGTTTTTCCCGCCGCCGTCTCCTGGCATTATCATCTCCATCAACAACTTCTTCGGAAGTTAGCTTGTTACATTCCACAACAAGTTCACTATTGCAATTTTCACAATGAAAAGAATCGTCTTCCATAGAAATTAATCTCAGAGCATCCAGCGCATTATATCTAAATCAGAAATGAAAATCTATTCAACTTTAGTGAACATAATACAACTTCTAAACGTAAAGATTTTATAAGAACATAAAGAGTAATGGACTTTACTTTCTTTGGCAGTTAGGACAGCCATACTCCTGAACAGTATTCTTATCTTCTAGCTCATCTTTGAGCCTTTTTTTCATCCGATGCAGTCTAAAACGAACAACATCACATATCTGTAATAAAGAAGAAGTGCAACTTAACAAAGTATAGGGTAGTATGATATATATATATATATATATATCATATTGTCATAAATATATCTAGAGTATATGACATATATATATATGTCATAAATATATCTAGAGTATATATATCATATTGTCATAAATATATCTAGAGTATGATATATATATATATAAAATAAAAAAAATAAATAAAAAATAAATAAAAAAAAAAAGCAAAACAGCAAACTGAACAAAATAATTTAGGGACATGAGGCATGCCTGTGCATAATCGAGACAACAATACGAGTGGGTGTGAAGCTTAACTTTGTCCTCTGCTCGGCCATCAGTTGTAGCAGCCACTGCAGCACTATACATCTTTGCCCCCTTTGCAGTCTATTGAAAAGATTTGAGAATCAATAAAGCAACAAAGTAAAGAAGTGGTAAAGAATTAGAGATAAGCAAACATTTGAACCAAAAAATGTAGAACAGGTGGTGAAAAAATACAACCGCAAGTTTCACAAAGGAAAAAAAAAATAAACTTAGAGGAATGAATGAGCATCAACCAAAGAACGCAAAACCTGGAGTACCCGATCTATCATTCCCTCACACTCATGTTCTTCAATCATTGTTATACTCTAGATATATTTATGACAATATGCTATATATCATAAGACTAAAAGAGTCGTTGAGTTGAAAGCTTACAAAGAGGCATATTGCGCAATAACTGCTATATAACAATCTGAAAGAGCAAAGTTTCTGCACAGACCTCTTTCCGGTGGTCACGCATAATCAACTTTTCTTCTTCAAAGAGTCTTATTATTTTTCGAAGTTGCTTGGCATGCAACTGCAAATCTTTTGCCAAATCTTCTTCTCTAACCCATTGCCGCCTAGCAGACATAGAACAAAAGATAACAGAAATAAAAGTCAGTGAAAACACAGCAGGTTTAAATAGTCAATCTAAGAAATATCAACCCTAAACAGCCCATAATCAAGTTTCAAATTGTCCTTAAACCCCAGTTACTCAACAAAGCTCATAATGCAGTAGTTACAAAAAGTTTTCTGGAAACTATTGTGACAAGTTTAAATATTATCAATATTCACCTAAGAGACTCTTGTGGTTAAAAAATTGAAAAGATGTACACAAACCTCGCCAGGGCGTCTAGCACCACAGCGGCAATCCCTCTGTTGTCACTTCTTGCAGATTTCTGCTGATTATCGCTTTTCGTAGTATAATCATCATAGAAAGCCCTCGCGACAAGCCTGACCAGCCTAAAAATTAAAGTAAAAGCAACATAGAAAATGCAAAAACAATTGATAAGGGCACTATTTGAACATATATATGAAGATTCTCGACAAAAAGTCTCGCTATGTCTGTGATTGAATAGAAAGAAAAAAAGTTGTGTGGTATAGAGAGTTACTTGACAAATGGCTGGAGCACAACGGCTTTCTGCACAGGGCCTGATTTTTCCATGGACTTAACCACCCAAATACTTACATTACCAGTCAACGAACAAGTATTAGGCTTGTGTTTGATACAAAATCTGCATTGATACAGAGAATAAACTTAAAACAGATCAATCACCGTATAAGTAAAACAGAGATTAGCTGTGAAAAACTTAAACACACTAATGCCACCGAGCGTATAAAAGTAACTAACGGAGATGATATTTGCTCCAAATCATAGAAACTACGAGCTCAATTTTAAAACCCAGATCCATCGATGAGAAGAATGACCTCCCAAATCCATCTTTCAAAACAAATCAGCAACAAGAGAGAACTCAAGCAATTCAGAAAATCAAGAATACGGGTTCGGAAACTGTGAGAGTCCCCAAGGACCACGAAATTAGGGTTTATACGGCAGTGCAATCAACTCAATTCGAAGTAACAATTAGAACCCGACTGAGCAAGGTGAAGTTTCTACAAGAATGGAGATATCTAGGTTAATCAAAACTATCTACTTATACGATCACTAGTCCAACAAGAAAATCGACGAAGCTTACCGGAAAGTTCAAGTAGGGGTGTCAAAATGGGTTAATACCCATGGGTTACCCGAACCCGCCCATGATTTTAGTGGGTTTGGGTATAATTTTTTTACCCATATATATAAATGGGTTTTAGTGGGTTACCCTATTAGGGTTATGGGTTTAATGGGTAAAACCCATTAGGGTCATGGGTTACCCATGGGTTTCATAACCAAAACTAAAAAGTAAAATTTATATATATATCTATATTAATATATTATGTAAAAATTATATAAATATATGTAAAATATCTTCTTTTCTTTACAACTATATATGTAAAATATCTAAAATAACTATTAAAGTTTACATTTTACCTAAAAATAAAAGTAAAAAGTAAAATATATGTATAATATCTTTTTTCCTTGCAGCTAATTATGTAAAATATATAAACTCAAGACTAGGGTTTTCCTTTTCTCTTCATGTATTATTATTATAAATAGAAGTACTAGATCTTGGTTATTTGGTTATGCGGATGATGAAAAAGGTATATTATCATCTATATCAATATTTTGTTATTGTTATTATTATAGCCAAGGTTCTAATATTTTTTCCAACTCGTTTGTAGACAATGAAGCCGAAGATGAAGAATGAGGCCGAAGAATTCGATGCGGGAGAATCGGATGCATCTAAAGAAGATTCAAATGTTCTTTAAATTAAGACTATTTTTTCTTTTTTTATTTGGTTTTATGGTTCTTTGGATTTGTGGTTTTAAGATTTTAGGATGCTTTAATATCTAGATTTTTTTAATTTATTATTTAAAAACTTTTGTTGGTTTACAATTTTATATTATTTTTTTGGATTTTTATTATTTATACATTATATTTTATTATACATATATATGGGTACCCATATAACCCATTAAGCCAATGGATTTATACAATAATGGGTTTGGGTATGTAAATTCAACCCATATAAATATATGGGTCGGGTCAAACCCGTCCATTAAACACTCGAACCCATATGGGTTTGGGTCGGGTCGGGTCGGGTTACCCATTTTGACACCCCTAAGTTCAAGAGAGGGAGAGAAAACACGACGGAGAGGTCTCTGTGTTTTTCCTTTTCTGTCTACCCTTTTGTGTTTTTATTTGGGATTAACAATTACCAATTACCATGTATAGATCAACCTCATTTTAGTTCTCATAGAAATTTCCATAATCAGATTTTTAACTCTTTGTATTTGTAATTAGCAAAATTTTAGCTTTTAGTTACCAAAAAAAAAACAAATTCAATTTTAAATTATTGACTTAATATACAACTGGCTGTCTGATTGTATAACACGAGACAAGATTTTGTTTGGATTTCAAAATGAACTTAGATCATCAAAATCCAATAACACACAACAAGTAAAATATGACCAGAGATTAGATTGACCCATCCATATGCATTGCTTAAACAGTTAAACGACATGCCATTCACTTACTCATGGGACTATGAACTATAGATAACTCTCGTTTGAACATTAAGGAGACTGATGGAAATACATTTCGAGTCCTTGGCACTTTTGTGCTCATACTTCATATCGTTCAAGCTGATCAAACCGGTATGTACCATTTTATTGGTTTAGGATGAAAAAAAACTCTTTGCTTTTCTTATTTTGTTCTTTATTTCAACTTTATATATAGACACAACATACAACAAAGTAAGTTCTAAGAGAGGTGACACTAAACTTTAAACCTTAAATTACTATCTATCTGATTCTGCTAAAAGAGGCTCTGTGATTTTTGTTATGTAATTCTTTGTACCTAGTGCTTCTTTCCCAACAAGCTTCTTCACGGTTTGTCCTACCTTGCTTTGAATCTCCTGTACCACACAAGAGAATCATTAATCACCCACAAGTTTTCAACTTTTATTCAATAAAGGATACCAAAGATTTGATCAGCCAATGTTGCTTGCTTACCGCTGGTGAAGCACGTGTTATGGATGATACTGCTGCTGCTGCTGCCGCCGCCACCCGTACTCTGAAATAATGGCAAAATATGATGCAGTTTTACTTTTTAATGGACCTTTGATAAGCATTAGAGAAGTGACTCAGAAGTAATAGATCCAACTACAATACCTTTTATGTACATCGATGTAAACATCAGTTTCATCCACGATTTCTGCCTGCATTTTCAGTAAATCACCAAAGGAAAGCTTCTTAAGTGAAATGTATATAAAAAAAATATGCGGAAAAGAGAGATTTTTGAAGTCATGATAACGATTAACACGCGCAGAGGATCAAATCAGAAAAGGAAAAACGAGAAGCATAAGATCATACTTGTAGAAGTTCTTCAAAGACATCCTCTAACGTGATGATGCCAATCACTTCTGCATCCTCGTTATCATCCAACAAACGCGGTAAGTCTCTTGTCACTGTACCATTCTGTTGGAAATTTCTTCCCCTATTTTTCACATGCTTTGGGACTTTATCAATATCAACAACAACATCATGGGATTCATGCTTCAACAAAGGAGCCGTTAAATTACTACTCTCGTAAAACTTCATATTTTCTTTTGGTGTTTCGCCATTACTCAGCAACTGCATATTATTCTTTTTATCTCTGTCTTTAACTTTAACAACTGCAGCCATGTGACTGCTTCCCTTTTGAAACTCATTGAGGATATCGTACAATGGCATGTCTGATGGAACCCTGGAAAGGCAATGTATGGGAACTTATACTTATTATCATGTAGAAACATAATATGAGTAGGTCAACTTATACTCAGGGAAGCAAGATATACCTTGGGATCTTCCTAATGGAAACAGAACTTACAGGTGCCTCTGTCTCCGCTCGTACAGTTAGAAGACTCTTAACCTAGATAATACCAGCAGATACAGAAATTAGTAATCTAATAGGATTTACTGAAGCAATGCAAAAGTTTGACAGGAGTACCAATAGAAGCCCAATGATATTTTTCGGATTCCCTAAGTAGACCGGGATTCGGCTATGACCTCGTGACAGTATTTTTCCAATTGTTTCCCTGCATTTAGAAGGTGAAAATTCATGATTTCAAACCATGCGTTATTATTACTAAGCAGATAGACCAAGGAGAAGAGCTTCCTTTTCAAAGACTTGACAGATAGAGAAAAGCAAATTGTCTAAAAAAGGCCAACTCTAACCTTAACTCACCAGTCTAACTTTGTATTTACATCCAGCGAAAATGTTGATTCAATTGGCGTCATAGCCTCCTCAGCAGTCTGAACTTCCAGAAAATGAAAGTACATGAATTAGATCATTAGAAGTAATCTTGAAGTAAAGTCTGTTCTGAACTGGAAGGCGAAAGAATCAAAGTATATGGACAAAGTAAAGTCATCCTTGTGCAACTTCATGGAGCTGAAGAGCTTAAATCCGGATCAATGGCGCATAATAAGTAAATCATTTCATTCACAGCATAACTTATTCATCAGCATGACATCCAGAGGTTTCAGATATGCAAGGCTAATTCAAATACATACCTTCTGGCTCAAATCCAGGGCTCCGCTTATAATCATTGTTTCCTCGTGTGTCAGTTCACCCCCCTTACCGGCCTATGTTGGAGAGAAGTAGCATGTCAATGGGAGCTGGAAACAACAGTACTTTTGATAATCAAGTAACTTAACTAACTACTTCACAAATCAGACAAGGTTACAGCGCAATATCTGTCCTTTTTCCTATTCTGGTTAGATCATAAAGAGAAACTACCTCCTGGCTGTGAATTGAGACAAGGGCTTTGAGCTGAGCTCGCCTAAATAGTGTGTCATTATGCCCAATTACAGCATCAAGAACCTGAGGCATGTAAAACGTTGATAAAAGTAAACATCTACAGCTGGATACCACTCTGGCATAATAAATGTATCAACTTGTCTTGATGATATAATCAATGCAGTTAGCTCTAACAAGTACCACTCCTAAAATCATTGCTAGATTTTTCAACAAATTTCCCAATCTTCCATGGTTGTAACATAACTTATTTTGACTATTGTAGCAACTCGTGAAACAAAAACCGATCACAAAGGTTTTATGACATTTAGTGCTCTAACAAAGAGTAGTCTTCAACAGCATTACCTTTCCAATAGGGTAAGCAATGGGATAGCAGAGTATCATCAAAATGCGCACCAGCCACAGAAAGTTTGCCCCAACAGCAAGTCCGTATCTCGAGCATATAGCTTGCGGAATAATCTGGGTAGAATTGCAACAACATCACTTTTATCAGTTGTAAATGGAAAGTACTGAATAGAACACAATTTGATACCAAGAAGATATGTAAAGAAAGTTACCTCCCCAAAAGCAAGAACAAAAGTAACTGAGAGTAAAACAGCCACAAAAGGATGGAAAATCTTATCCAGGCATATAGGAAGAGCCTGAAACAAAAGATCGAAGCACAAAATTCACTGATTCTGAGGTGCACAAAGACAGTAATTTATGGTTGTAAATCAGTAACAAATCAATAATTAACCTCCATTGCAGCTGCATTGCAAAGAAGTAGAGTCACAAGAAGTTGATGCTGCTTCTTTACCACTGGTAAGATTGCAGCTGCAATATCCAAAAACAACCCCGTCAAGAGTAATAATAGAGACTCTATCACTCAGGTTATAACCAAAATTACAGAATAAGAAATTAAAAATCAAATTTTTAAGAAATTCTATAGCCATTACGAATCGAGCAAGTCATGTATGTAATTTTGTCCTAACAACACATCAAATTGTACATAAATATCAAGAACCAAGCTAACGAAAGTCGAATCTAGTCTGATCACGAATAGAGCCGTACCGGCCTGTTTTTTCTCGGCGGAGGAACCACTCTGTTGGAGAATCTCTAGCTCAACGAGACCAAGGGACATTAGTCCGAGCGTGAGTCCCGACATTATTCCGGCGAAGAGTACGAGGAAACACGCTACACCGACGACAACGAACCACCACGGAGAACCGAATCGGATGTCTTCGGCTTCAAAGACGAAACTGTTGAGCGAGTAAGCGGCTCTTACCAACGCCAAAGTGCTCATAACAACCATTGCCGCGCTTCGATTTGGTCGCTTGAAGAGAGACTAAAACAGCGACGGAGCTAGAGAAAGAGAGAGAGAGAGAGAGAGAGAGAGAGAGAGAGAGAGAGAGTGTGCTGTGATGTGAAAGTTTTTATTTTTTGTTAGGAAGGAAGAAGACGACGATGAATGGCTTTGATACGGGGATACATGGACCACCTGACACGTCAGCATCCAACATGCGTTTTTTCCTTATTTTCCTCCTTTTCTTTTTCCGTTCTCTTTTTTTTTTTACCTGCGTTTTCTTTAAATTCACCTGTTCAATTATTAATTAACTACTGAGCTTAGATAATCGTCTTGTTTATTCAGCTTTCACCGGTTTTAACGCCCGAGAAAGATACACGCACCTTTTCACCTCTCATCACATTATTCTTGAGATGATCGAATGTACTTTTTGGACCGTTACCCAAAATATGTAAATAATAATATTTTCAAGTTACAAAGGTAATGTTATTGACAAAAGAAAAAGAAAAAACAAAACAAAACGGTGCTCTTCGGATAATATTATCATAGTTTAAAATTATATTTTAATTGTCATTATGAGACAGTAAGACACCAAAGGATCAAATCTTGGAAAGCTACAGCATTTTGTCCTGCCCAACGCAAATTGTAACACTAAAGGTTTCATATGGTCAACGTGAATCCTAATTTAATCCTAAATGTTGTTTTTCGTGTAAACCAGTATTTAAATTCCCTTAATTCATAGGATTTGATTTATTTCATTGTGTTCGTATCACAAACAAAATATTCGACACCTCTATATTTTATTGAAATAATCTTTTATTTGAAAATTACGTAGCAAATCAAATTTCAATATTACAAAAGTTGTCAAGAAAAATCCAGAATCTTACATTATTCAAATCAGATAGTTACATTTACCAAGGAAAACATATGTACAACGTAGCATGTTTGATGCATCTTGATTAATATGGCACAAAATCAATCTATTGCAGTGAACCCATGACTCATAAAAGTTGTGAAATCTAATTGATTGAGAAAAATCTTTAACACCGACCCATTCTATTTAAACCCTAATTCATCGGAAATATCTTGGTATAAGTTCCTTAATTCGTCGGAAATATCTTGGTAAACATTTGATTTACTTTCTTTGGGCTTTTGGGGGTCAAACTATGAGCCTAATAATGGCCCAAAAAGACTTCGCGGAAAAAACTTTTTTTTATTTGTCTAGTGAAACCGGAACGAGCGAGACGCAATAGAAGAATCTCAAGATCGAAGAACAGTGAAATCGAAGAATTGAAGCACAAGCTTCTCCATCTCTGCAATCTCTCTATCCACCTCTGAAATCTCTCTCTCGTTATCGCATGTTTCGCTTTCCAATTCAGACGACAGAGAGACGACGCGTCTGAAGCATATCTCCGGAATCGGGGTGAAGAGAAACGCGGCGAGAAGAAGAGGCAGATTTTCGTTTTGGGAGGGTAGACAAATCTGGCGAAAGTGGAGGGCCTAAGGGCGAGGCCGTGGCTTAAGCCAGGAGCTTGTATAAATGGAGATCAATATGACTACGACGGTGCCGAAGACGACCATTCCAGGCCTTGGTGGCGTCGTCGTCTCAGATCCTTGTATATGGCGGCCATGTCCTTTACTCCGTCCACTTTTCGAATCGCAATCTCGTTGCTCCTTCTTGTTGCTATCGTCACCGCCGTCATTTTTCTCCCGGTCGAACAGGCAATTTCTCTCTCCCTCCTCAGTCTCATTTTGCGGGTAGCTTTAGTGATAATGTAGCAACAATAGTCTCTGTATATTCTAAGTTTAGAAATTGATAGAACGGAGTATTGCTAGAGCTCGCTAGATCACTAGAGCAGTTGTCCTAGATCAGGCGAATGGTAATTTATATATGATTTAGAATCATCATTGTTATGATCCCTTTCTGCAGAAATTGAAGGACTTCTTGTTATGGATTAAGGAAGATCTTGGACCTTTTGGTCCACTTGCATTGTAAGTTTCTCATGCTTGCTACTTTTTTTTGGTTCTACTCTAGTTTCTACCACTTTTTGGTTTATTTTGCTGACATTGTTTTCTGGCTGCCTTAAATAATCTTGTGATGAGCCTTTTTTACCTCATTGAAATTTGCAGGGCTTTGGCTTATATTCCTCTCACAATTGTCGCAGTTCCTGCTTCTGTACTCACGGTAGGTGTGGATTCATAACTATGTAGTAATCTAGGGTGCTTTTCTAAGTTGTTTGTTCATAAATTTTCATTACAAGATAGGATACTTAGACTTTTAATTCCTGTTCTGATAGTCTTGATTGTTTCTCTCTGCAGCTAGGTGGTGGTTACCTTTTTGGCCTGCCAGTAGGATTTGTAGCCGACTCTCTTGGAGCTACATTAGGTGCGACAGCGGCATTTCTGCTTGGTAGAACGGTATGTCTCTTTGTTATGGTTCCATCTGCTTGGTAGAACGATAAGTACTGATTTCTGTTTTTGTGTGTCTTCACAACTAGGCAATTTAACTAAGTGTGGCATCTTGGCTGTCTCATTGTTGCTAATGATTTATCTTTTGTTTTTCTGGTATCATGCAGATTGGTAAATCTTATGTCACATCAAAAATAAAGCATTACCCTAAGTTTCAAGCTGTTTCCGTTGCAATTCAGAAATCTGGCTTCAAGGCATGAAAATCTATTAACCCTCTCTCGATTAATTGACAGTTAGTTTTTCTTCATATATCTACTATGCGTATGGTAAAGTACCTCAATTTCCTGGCTACATTTAATTGATTGACTACTAACTAAATGTTGATATTTTCTTCCTTTACAGATAGTCTTGCTGCTACGCGTTGTCCCCATACTGCCCTTCAATATGTTGAATTACCTCCTATCTGTAACCCCGGTTCGCTTAGGGGAATACATGCTGGCCACTTGGTTGGGAATGATGGTACTGATATTTATATTAATCTCGCTTCTATATTGGCAATTTATACTTTGATAGTGGTAGAAGAAGAGTCTAGTGCTTTGATCTTTGTTTTTACACCCAACAACTACTCTATTCTTGGAGATTAGTATTTGTGGTTTTGTTTAATTCAAATGGTCATGTGTTGTATGTACACAACTCATGGATTGACACCAATGGGGGAGAAATTGAGAAAACAACAGAAATAGTTTCAAGTTAGCATGCATGTGAAAGTGCTGATTGCTAATATTATCCGTAATAGTGATACTAATCTTCTGAAATTTTTTGATGTAACAGCCCATTACTTTTGCGCTAGTATATGTTGGAACAACTCTGAAAGATCTTTCTGATATTACACATGGATGGCATGAGGTGTCAGTATTTCGTTGGGTAAGTTTTCGCTGATTTACTTCCACTTGACTACTAGATTGGAAATGATTGTAGATCAGCTTGACTGACGTCTGAAGATACTTGTGTGTTTCTGCTGTAATGCATTACTACTCATCATTTATATTGAGAACACTAGGTTTAGAAGTTTGTAGTTAAAGAAAAATAACAACTTGTCTAAAATGAAGTTTAAATTAGGTCTTATTTTATGAGGTTTATTGGAAACATCTTGGTGTCTATCCCAAAATATAATGTAAAATTGCTTATTTTCCATAATAATATGATATACATTTCTGGGATAATATTGAGACTTTAGCTTAAATATCCTGATTCCTGAGGATGATGATTTCTTAACCAAGTCTGAAGCATCCTATATGTAGGGAATAACATTGCGATAATCTCGCATCTGCATTTATTTAGTTGGGGTTTTATAGCTTTGATTGAAGTATATGTGTGCCTTTGCATTGTAAGTCTGATTTGTCATTTCTTCTGCATTGTCACTTGTGGATGCAGGTAATTATGATGGTTGGCGTTGCTCTAGCTGGTAATTCTCTTCTGCAATCATGTCCAAATATATATATCTAGCTAGCTTCACTTCGTTGTGAGCAGTGGAATGACACCGTGTGGTCTGTGTTTTGACCCGTCTGTTTTTGGGTGGGTGCAGTAATTCTGATAATATGCATAACAAGAGTGGCTAAATCATCCTTGGACAAAGCATTGGCTGAGAATGGTACTGATTTAGATGGGAAGAAAAATGATGACGCGTCCGTGCTCCCCATCGCAGAGCCACCACCTGATATACACGAGCCTCTCGTTATCAGAATCGACCCATCCAATACTTGAATAATATAGACCAGAAGAAACCCTCTTGAGTTTGTAAATTTCACCAAATTTTTTTACCGAGGGAGATATTAGATACGTTTTGTATAGCATCATAATTCCATACTTCACCGTTTAATTCGTTTGTTCTTCACTTGATTATTTTGAAATCTTGTAACTTGTAACTTGTAACTTGTAAGAATGCCCAACCGGTGGCTACAATAGTTAACCGGAAATTAATTTTACTCGAGTCCTTTAACAGACCGGTTGAATGGGGTCGGGTCGGGTTAAAATATCAATATTCCGGCATATTCCATGGCCTTACGTTTGCGTCTGCCAATTTTATCTCCGAATCCCAAAATTGTTGCTTCCTTCCTTCGTCTCCGATCATTTTCGTGGTGCTTGCGTCGTCTGTAACCGCAATTACAAGTTGAATCCATTTGCGAAAGAAAGAGACTTCCTTTGAAAGAGAACAGTCTCGTTGTCTCGGTTTTCTGTTCAAATCAGCGGATTTCCTCACATTTAATTGTTGAATCATGGCGGCTACCAATGTCATGCGGCAAGACGAGAGCCTTCTTATTGATCCCCAAAGAGGTAATTCGAAGTTCAATTTTGATAGACCCGTGTTTGGTTTCATTTCCTGTACTGGGGAATTAGGGTTTCTGATAACAGGAATTGTTTTTTTTTCGTTTCCTGGGAATGAATTTCTTAGGGTTTGACTTGCAGGAGATACTAGTGTTTCTCGTGGCCTCTCGCTTGAGAAGAAAATTGAAGCCCTTGAGAGCCTGGCGGGACAAGTGAGTGCCTTTTTCACTCTTGTTTGATTTTCTTCATTCCATTCCATTCTGGTAGTCAGTTTTTTTTTTTTTTAGTTTCTCTTATTAATACTTGAGATGTGATTTTCCTGTATTTTTTCATCCAAAGGTTGGTTATTTAAGACAATGAGGTTGATATACTTGAGATGAATAATTGAGGTTGGTATACTTTGTAGCTAATGAGTTTTTTTGCTTATGCAGGTTAGTAATAGGCGATCTCGGAGATGGTTAAATGATCGTATTCTGATGGAACTTGTTCCTCGTTTGGATGCCCAAGAAATCAGAGGCTTGTTTGCTCCACCACCATGGGGTAATATAACATCCCATTCAAAGTTTACTCTTCCTCTATAATCTCAATTTCACTTGGAGTTTTTGCCATGCTTTCGTCTTTTTGCTATTGTTATCCTTGTTAACACATTCATCGTTTCACTGACTCTATGAATGCTCAACAGGTGATGATGTCCCACCCTCAGCCTTTTCTTTGACTAATGTTGGAGAATGGGACAAATTCAGAAACATAGATATTGACAAGGAGGTTAGTAACCTCTCTTTTGGCCTTTTGGGACTGTAGTGTGTCAGAGAAGAAGTACAAGTTACTATATTGCTCTGAATATAAGTTGTTTGTAGAATCAGTGGTGTGATTTGTTTGACATACTTGGTCTTAAATATTGTGTTTTTTTTCAGGCCAACATCATGGATTCCTTGAATCGGTCATCTGTAAGGCAGAAAGGTAGTGTGGATGTTGATAAAGCCGCTGTCTTAAATGCTTGGAGAAGAATAGATTGTAGGACAAGAGATGCTCTTCGACGTAGCTTTTTACCTGAACTAATCGAGGGATATGAGGTATAGATTCTTCAGAGATGACAATTTAAGCCATAAATGTAATAAATATAGACCCTTTGCTCCTAGACTCCAGAATTGTTTATTATTTCCACAGAACTGTATAAGTCAATTTATCGAGGAAGGTGGTGAAGGAGATGTTCTCGATCTCAAGGTTCAAGACCCATTCCATAGATTGCTTTTGCATGGTGTTTGTGAGGTATGAGCCCCGACATCTCCTGAGCTATGTTCTGCTAAGATGTTAAATAAAGATATAGAGAGAACCAACCTAAAAGAATCTCTTTTCTTTGGAGCAGTACCACAATTTGGTATCAACAACTGCAACAGAACAGATAGGAAGGATAGCAATGAAGACAACAAGCATCAAATGGAAGAAGAGTGGCGATTCAGGGGAGAAACCAAGCATCAGCCTTGCGCATTTCCTTAGGATGTCAAAGGAAGGAGCTTGGTAACATCACATACACTCCTTTGTAGCTGTGTAATTTTTATGAATAAAAAGCTGCATTAGCGTCAATTTAAAGGGCTATTTATGCAGCAAAAAGATCTCAAGACTCTCTCTCTCTCTCTCTTTGGCCTTTGCTACTTACCCCTATATGGCCTCTTGTAAGCTTGTATTTGTATCCTCAATTTATACGGTTTTATGATTAAAGAACGAAATAGACAAAAAAAAAATATTTAGTGCTTATTGTGAATTTTGATTCTTTAAAGTTATATTTTTGTTATTAGCTTGTCGAAGCCCTTTGAGCACTTACAAAGCCCAATAATCCATTGGCTCCTTATTAATCACATCAAACATAATTCAATAGCCACTGGAACACATTTATTTTGAAGAAAATGATCAACTATAATTTAATTAAGTAGTGGAAGTGAAATTGAAGTTGGCGCAGTTAGTGCGACGGCCTAATAACGTGGAACTAAACCCAAATCTGTTACTCGCCAAATCAAATTCGATCAAATTATCCTCCAACTGAAACCCTCCGATCACTACAGAGGTTCTCGCGTTGACTCCTCCGTCAACGAAACCTAAACAGATGATGTCATCACTGACACTCACCATCGAGTTAGCTCCAAAGATCCTCCAGACGACGTCGTTGCTATGAAGCACAAGCTGAATCTCCGGCACGGCGTATCCCAGGCGCGTGACGCCGACGTTCTGCGTGCTGAAACACGCGCTGAACGGTTTCACCGACGCTACTCTCGTGATGTTCCTCCCCGCTGCTTGTTTGACGAACTCCGACGTAAAAGCATTGTAGATCGATGACTCCAACACCGTGTACGGATTCACTGAGCTGATTTTGGTTCCTCCGAATCCGGTACTTGCGTTGATTTTCAAAAGCGTTGGATTGATCGGAACTGTTTTCTCGACGATTTTAATCGCCGTCACGCCGATGAAGTACTCTGAGGATTTCTCACCTTGTGGAAACGCAGAAGCAGTGCTCACCGGATTGATGAGGAGCGGCGTCGTTTGGAGACCTGAGATCTGGATTCCGGGGAGGAAAACGTAAGGTCCGTTACCGAAGAAGGCGACTCCTCTGCCGGAAGTTAGACAGACGGCGAATTTCCGGTTGAAGCTAAACGCGGCGGCGAATTGCGACGGTAAGCCGATGTTATGACGTCCCATTCCGGCCATACCAACGGTTCCGGCAGCTAGTCCTTTAAGAAGAAACGTTGCTCCACAATCGAAGATCAAATTGGGGATTTTAACGACCCGACCCGGATTAGATCCGTTAGTGGACTGGATCGACACAACGTCTAAAGCAAATTCGCCGGAAGTGGCGGTTCCGGTGACGGTGTTATCTGGAATGCCGCCGCAAGTATTGTTACTACAGCCAGGTCTCGGAGGAGAGAAGCATGTGCCGCAGCTGTTGGAGCCGGCGCGTGAGCACACGGCGGAGTTGCAGCGAGGAGATTGGTAAGTGGAGGAGACGTAGTCTTTGTCGCAGTCGACCCAGAGTTCTCGACCACCGAGGTCGAAGACGACGGAAGCAGGGACGAGAGGTGTGCGTTGGTTGATGACGGTTGTGTACTGGAGGGTAGATTGGTCTTTTGTTACTGGGAGAAGGAGAGCTTTGGGACGGAAAGATGTTTGAGCAGATGATGAGGGTGAGAAGATGAGGAGAAGAAGAACGGAGAAGATGATTGGAGAAGACGCCATTGTTAGAGATATGTATGAAGATGATGATGATTTTGAGTTTGAAGAAGAGGATTGGTGTGTGAGTGTATTTATAGGGACGAATTTGGGATTTTTGTGTGTCGGCTAATTTGAATATTTGGATAATGGTGTGACGTTCTTGACTTTTAAGATGCAAATGATATATGGTTTCGTGATTTTGCTTCTCATTACGTGAAAATGACACAATTCAAATCTAGTTTTTTCTCTTTTTGGGTTAGACAAAAAAAAAATGCATTTGTTTACTCTGTTTTACTATTTTGGCACCGGTCTTTGTTTACTCTTTTTACTGTGTTTTACTGTACTTTTTTTGGCATCGGTTGTTGGCAACTTAGGATTGGTCTTTGTTTAAATGAAATAAATTTTGCTACTTTAGATCAATATTTTGTCGGTATTTGAAATAAAACACATGTCTTTTTCAAAATATGTATGTTTGGAAATTTAGATTTTGATTATTCTTAAACAATATGTAATTGCATAGATTGGGGTTGATTAAGAACAATAGTAGGGTGAGGAATGAATCGTTCGTATATACGTGACCAATAAATTAAAAAATCGAAAGAGAGGAGGAGGAAACACCGTGGGTCGTGGGATGGTCATAGAAGCAAAGGTTGGGTGAATGATATAAATGCCAGGTGGGCGTGTGTGCCTTTCTTGACTTTTCCCTCTTTCCGTCTCGATTGCTTCCATTTTCACAATTTCAGAATTTGTCAGTCTCGATTTAACATATTTAATTGACAGACGTCCATGGGATTCTTTCTTTAACGATAATCTTTAATCTTTAATAATATCATCTCTTATCAATATCGAAACTTCCACGGTTTGAATTTTATGTTTTACCACTCTTCTTGAATAAGATAAGGCCATGACAGCATACTATATCAATTTAAATACAAGCTATTATATTCGGTATCAAAATCATTTCACATTAGTCATCCAGTTTATAAAATATCGGAAAAGACATGAAATTGCTTATTAGAAGTTATGTTTGTTTTTCAAGTTTCTCATATATGTCGAATCTAATACCTACTATAGAATATAATGTTGAAATACTAGTAGAAACCTATTAGGATATCTATAATTTTTGGGCATTATTTTTCATAATAAATGAACAAAGTTAACATTTTTTAAGAGACTTTACAGATAAAGCGCTAGTATTATCCTATACTATTATTTGGGGAGTACACTTTATAAGAAACCCTTAACTAACCTTCTCTTTTATAAAAAATTACATGAGAATGCCATTACAAATTTCTTCTTTTATAACAAATTTTATTCAATTTCTTAAGGATAAACAAGTAAAATACTAATTTATGTCATTTAATTAATTTAATTAAATTATAAAACGAAAATCTGTTATTAATTTTTTTTAAATGACCAATCAAAATGAATATATAAGATTTGATATCTAACTTACCATATTAATTTGTTATTAATCATTAAACTTCACCTCTCATCTTTATATGATTATATTTATATGAAACAAATAAATCATCATATCATCTATATAATAAAAAAAAGTAATTTTTTTTCTGCATATGCCAAGATTTGAATTTTTAAAAACGCATATAAATTGTTCAATCTATAGAGAAAACAATTAAACGGGTCAAAAATTCAGACTTGAGTAATATATTTCTTTTACACAAAAATAAATTCAACAAAAATTTCGACTGAGCAACGGGTCAGAATTTGAATATTTATATTCGATTTCATACATTTATTTTTTGAAATGTATAATTTTATATACTTCAATAAAAAATTAAATATTTTAATTTGCAACATTTAAAATAAGTTTTACTTGATATTTTTGGAGAATATCATCAATACTTAATAGTTCAAAAAGTTAAAAATTATAAATACTCTAATTTGATTATTTTTAAAAATATTTATAATAGGTAGCGGGTTAAATATAATATATTATATGATGAAATGAGTTTTGATCCTTATAACTATTTGAATAGTTATATTTAATTTCATATAATTTGTTTTTTGAAATTCAAAATTTATAAACTACAAAAAAAATTTAAAGATTTTAATTTGGAATATTTAAAAATAGTGTAGAACATTTAAATATGGTTTGACACCTCTAAATATTTGAAAATTTGATTCCGCAAGCAATTTTAGAATTAACGAATAATAGATTGTGCACGTAATATTTTGAAATGAAATATTAAGATTCTAAAATAAAAATATAGACTCCACGCACATGTTGATTTTGGTATTATTATATACTAAATATATGTTTATAACATATTCGATTATGCAAATAATTGGTAAATTCCGTAATTATAAATCTCAAACAAATTCTGTAATTAGATTAGCTCAAACAAAACTCTATTTCAACAACCAAAGAATTATAAATTGAAAAAGAATTTTCTAAATTAATTCAAAATAATAGCTAATTTCTTAATTAATTCAAAATAATCTATGTTTTATATGCTATTCATTTATGATATTTTAATTCTAACTAAAATATATGCAATCCTATTTTGTGGTTGTTAACATAAATTAACTCATTGTTCAAAAAATATTACTTTTTAAAAAATAAAATTATTTTCCGTTTTCATATCTTAAAAAAAAAATTATCCATAATTGAGTATTATAGAAAAAAATCTATATTTATTCTAATATTGTATATAGGGACTGACAAAAAAAATTAATATTTTTTACTTTGTATTATAATATATTAAAACTTAGTTCTAATATATATATTATATAAATTTTGTAATAAATAAAATTCAACCCGTACTTTAGTACGGGTGATGATCTAGTAGTATGAATAAAGCGACAAATACATTAATCAGAACAGTGACATTGGGTCACATTAATGAATGGATATGCTGATGAATATAATAAACACGTTACTAGTTTATATCGTAATCACATAGACTATTAAGGAGTATTATATTTTATTTTATCTTTTATTTAACAGTCAAACAATCAACATCCGTTTGGTTATTTCTTTTCAAGATAAGCGTCTCAGATAGAAGAAACAAGTGGGTCGTTCTTGAAATCATGGACAATTTTGCAATTATGATATAGTTATGAGCGTTAATTAAATATCTGATAAATGAAGCCCATCAACATAAGAGGCTCATGATAAAGACCCATTATGGTTTGATATTATACAAAAAAAGTAAAGCCATTAATTTATCAGAACGAAAATAGAAAGCCCGTGTTGATCCAATTTCTCCGCTTTGGGTTATTTTTGTGTTTTGAGTTAATAATGGGCTTTTATGAGAACATATATAAATGTAGGTCCCTTGATGTTAGATTATTGGCAATTTAGAGAAATTTGCAGGAAAAAAAAAAAAACTATTCATCTGGTCGTCTTCTTCTTCCTCTCGCCATGAAGCTCGTCAGGTAAGCTTCTCTGTTTCTTCTTGTGATTTGTTTGTTCTCCACTTCGAAATTGTTTCTCTCTAAGTTTTATTTTTTTGTTTCGTTTCTTTGTTCATTGTGTTTAAAATGTTGACTTGTTGGAGTTCGTTCGTTGGTTTGACCCCGAATGATGAGATTGAATAATGAGACAGTTTCAATTGAACAATGAGACAGTTTCAATTGAGCTTAAGAACGGAACCATTGTTCATGGAACTATTACTGGTAAGTCTTTCTCATATCCCCCAGCTCCTTTTTCCTCCTCGTTTAGGGTTTTACTAAATCTCCGATTTTTCTTATACTCGTTTTGGGTTCTTCTACAATAAAACCTTTATTTCTCCTGATTTTATCAGCTATGGCTGTGTATAATACATTGTTACTCATGTATCCGCAAATCATGTGGTGTGATTCTTTTACTAGTATCTTAAAAATTCTAAGTTAATTTCATTTTCTATGTAAAATGCTTATGTTGCACTGTTTCATATACAGAATCCGAGTGGCACTGACCGATTCAGATACATATTACATTCTTTATCATGCCTTGAAACTTTGGTTTTAAGTAGCTTCTTTAGTGGCATGACTTTGGCTCTTGAAAATACTCTCTGTTATCTCTCTGTATACTTCTGAAATGTCCATAGAACAGTTTATATGTAGTCTAATAGACTAAAGCATTAACAATATCTTCTTGCATTTTCTTCCCATAATACTCACTTCTTAACTAGCCTGTTCAATCGTGGTGAGCTTACCAACAAGTAGGGTTTTGTCACACTTCGAAATTGGTCACTGTTGTTGTTGTTGTTGTTGTTGTTGTTGTGATTCAATTTTTCTAGACATGGTTAGTTGATTAAATTGTAATGCAATTAGCTTTGATTGATGGATTTACTCTTGATGATAACTCATTGCAGGTGTAGATGTCAGTATGAACACTCATCTGAAGACCGTGAAACTAACTCTGAAGGGAAAAAACCCAGTTACATTAGACCACTTAAGTGTTAGGGGAAACAACATTCGATATTATATTCTTCCTGATAGCTTAAATCTCGAGACTTTGTTGGTTGAGGACACACCAAGAATCAAACCCAAAAAGCCAACTGCTGGTAATCAAAAACATCCTTTCACAGCTTCAATTTTTCTTAAACCATGATAAGTTTTAAGCATCTGTATTCTTCTGGATCTCGAAGCTGATTCTTATATTCATCTTTTTTGCTTATGCATGAACGGTATCAGGGAAGACACCAGCTCGTGGGCGTGGCCGTGGAAGGGGTCGTGGACGCGGCCGTGTTGGTGGTCGTTAAGCATTCATGATCCTAAGTTTTTGTTCTTCTTATGACACTAGAGGGATTGTGTGTTGTAGTGAGGCGAGTCTCCTAAAGAACAAATTCTTGTGATCTAATCACCAGCAAATTTAGATTTATAACACTTTGTCGTTTAGAAGTGTTTAAGAAAAATGAAACCAAGACATTGTGCAGAAAGTAAGGCAAAAGAGGTAATGTTTTGATCACCCTTCAAGCATGATATAATCCGTTACTCTGTTTTTATTGTGGATACAAATATTTAGGCGTATGGAAAATTTTTATTCGTTTAATCGTTTACAAGAGACTGATTTTTCATAGCCAAATCACACTACAAGACGCAACCTTCCATTACAGTGATTGTTTTGCCTCTGATCAGAACCCTCTGCTTCTCTTTGTCCAGATGAACCTTCAACGGTTCAGCCTCTGCTTGAAGCCTAAACAGCAAACAAACACATTCCAATAATTCCCAAATCTTTTCTTCAGGAACACTCAAATCATTTTTAATTGGTCTGTTAATATATATAACTCATAAGTCAAAACCCCTAAAGTATTAGGTCAAAAGATTGTAAATAACGTTTTAAAGATAATTGTAAAAGTATTATGCATTATCCACATTAGTCAAAACCCCTAAAGTATTAGGTTAAAAGATGCCGAAGCTTCACTGGAATATGATATAGCTTGACTTGGCTTCTCGAGTGAGATTCTTGGTTTTGATTTGCCTTCCTCTGTGAGTGTGTTTCCTTGCACAGAGAGTGACTATTTGTTTGTGAAAACTGAAAACTCTTTAAAGCATTAATTATGGTTTATAATCACTTGCGATTTATAAAAACATCATAAGTTCATAACCATTGTAGTGTTGTTGCAAGTTTATAACAAAACTGAACACAAGATACAAAGTTTCATTATTGCGAAACTTTCATTTCCAATGTAACTAAATAGTTCATGAGTTTGTAACACTAAAACGTTACCGACTAGTTACACTTGGTTTTAGACCATCTCCATCGGTAACTCATGTTTCTTCCTCATCTTCCTCTTCATCTTCATCTTCATCTTCATCTTCATCTTCATCTTCATCTTCAAGTCTTGCACTTTCGCTACAACATTTTGAAGTTTCATTAATAAAAACCGCAGAATCCAAAGATTAGAATTCTCAACATTATCAGATATTATAACTTGCCTTGGTCAAGATCATTCTCCAAGGAATGAAACCGATCATCCGACGGCAACCAGTCCAACAACTGCATATAAAACAATTGCAGGGGGTGGTCAAAATTATGCAAAACAAAACTAGTTGCGAGCAATAACAAAATGTATTAGCCAAACAAGTCAGTCCGGTTTGGTTAGGATGCTTGATTACCTCCCGTTGATGTCGCCTACTAGTAACATGGGTGGTGAAATTTTCAAAGCCTTGGCCAACAAGATCGCTATCGCATACCATGCAAATCCAGAAGGAAGAGGATTCACTCGTTTCACTGCACCTATCCTCCTCAAGTGCCCCTGAATCCAGAAGGAAGAAGATTCACTCGTTAACCACAGTATTGTAGCCAAGTAGGCAGTAGTCAGTGAGGACACACACCTGCCAAGAAAAGGCTTTCACGAAAATCACATTCGACCAGCTTAAAAACATTGGATCCGATCACTAGTTGAGGAAAAATGGATACTGCTTCGGATATGAGCAATATATTAGCTGGAGGTGGATTCTCAAGGGTATACTCAACAAGAAGACAATTCATGCTGACCGAAACCCTTGCACCTGTTACAGAAACAAAAGACCTGAGACCCTCTATTCAACAAGGAAAACATCAATTACTGAAAAAGGCGCAAAGATGAGAAGATCATAACCAGGGGGGATGTTCATAAGAGCGATTCCACTGGAATAGAGTGCTCTAAGGATGTCAATAGGGAAGTCTGTTAGTACGCCAATGGCAGTGATGGTGAGAGGACCAGAGCAGCCTTTATTACTCAAAAACCGTTTAATAAACGGAGCGACCTGACGAGGATCACATTCGGGTGGAACCGGACAAGTATTGATGTCCCAAAAGACCAATGTTATGTTTTCCTCAAGACGGTCACCTTTTGGTGCATTCCATATTCGAGCTTGAAGACTTATCGGTAACAGCTCCGACAACTGCTTGAAAACAAAACTAGAAGAAGTGAGAAAGGGAAACTAAACTAATTGTGGTAAGAGGGTAGGTAGTTTGACTAAAAAAACACTTGATTACCTTCTGTTGATGGTATGTACCAGAGAGATGCGTGGTGAAACTTTCAAAGGCTTGGAAAGGAGGAGTCTGGTCCTGGCATAACGAACAAAAGCAGAAGCCGGCCGTTTCACTGCAGCTATACTCATCGTCAAGTGCCCCCGAGTCTGTGGAAAATAAAAGAAAAGTAGAGTTAGTTGATTAACAGCAGATTTGATGGCTGGCAATTTAAACAACACTGAGAGAGAGGGCAAAGACACACCTTCCAGAAAGATCAGAAGAGAATCACATGGATACGGCTTCAGAAAGTTGAATTCTGTTCGTAGAGAGAGAGGGTGACCAGCGAAGATTCTGGCATCCGATATGACCATTAAATTACATAGACTTCCAGACCTCTTGGAACGATCAAAAATGACCTCATAAGCGCCTGAGGGACCGTAGGGGACGTTCTGAAGATTGATGCCACTGTGATAGACTTGACTCAGGATGTCATTAGTGACGTCTGTTAGTACGCCAATGGCAGTGATGGTGAGAGGACCATAGCAGCCTTGTTTCTTCAAGAAATGTTTGATGCACGGGCCGACCAGACTAGCATCAAAGCCAGAGGGAACCGGACACGAATTGATGTCCCAATAGACAAATGTCGGACACGACGACTTAACAGCTTCCGGGTCCAAAGTACACCTAGACAACTTAAACAACAAAAAGAACATGGGGGTCAAAACAAGGAAGTGACTAGTTGTAAGAAATATATATATTACTAGAAAGCTAGGAAGGATGATTGATGACCAGCAGCTCATGATGTTCTTCACTAGATAGATGTGTGATCAAATTTTCAAAGATTAGGCCAGGAGGATCACGGGCGCATACTAAGCAATCCCACGAGGCAGGTTCACACGCCACAAGAGAAACTGAATCTGTGGGAAAAAAAAAGAGAGAGTTGAGCAACAGGGGATTCATTTGTTGGTTATTTCATTAGAGAGGACAAACACACACACATACCTTCCATAATTAAGCTTTCAAGAGGAGGAAACAGAAATGGTTTGAGAGGGTTGTAGCCTTCACTTTTTAGATGATAAGGTGAACGAGAGCAGTCATCCGGATCGGCTATGGCCATAAAATTAGCTGGAGGTTGAATCTTTATGGGGGATAAAGAGAGTATATACGTTATTTTATGAAGACAGCCGGTGTACCTGCCCACTTTGATTTTCCATAAGAAAAGTTTGTGTTCAGTTCTTTTCATTTGAGAGAAACTAAAGACAGGAGACTTCTATATCTCTCGATATTAACCTTTGGGGGTGACGTTGGTAAGATGGATTCCGCTGGAAAAGAGTTCTCTCAGGAATTTTTCAGAGGCGTGGGCTAGATCGCCAAAGGCAACGACGGTGAGAGGACCATAGTAGCCTTTCTTCTCCAAAAACCGTTTAATACTCGGACGGACCATACGAGGATCATAGCCATCTGGAACCGGACACTTATTGATGTCCCAAGCGACCCTTATAGCAGCCGCAGCCTCCTTTCGTGTAGGCTTCTTCATCATTCAGTCAACACCACTCTTCTTCTTCTAAAAAACAACGGAGATCAAAATTTCGAAACTAGGAAAGCAAATCTCGCAGTAATCTAGACTAGAACGAAAACCTAACATCATCAGAGAGATTGCAATTAATCGTTTCCGATATATTTTCTAAGGAAGAGCGAGAAATTTACCAGAGAGATAAGCAGGCAGGGTTTCGAAATTTCCCGGTTGGAGAACAATTTGAGGTCGTCCGTATATATATATGATAGGGTTGATAATGGGCTTTGTTCTAATGGGCCGACAGTTTAAAAATATATCTATTTCACTAATAATTAAAGTTTGTTAAAAATTACACAGAGAGGCTGCAATTTCGTTAAAATTTTCCGGCAAACGACACTTTTCTTTCCGTTTTTTTTGGCCGGTTTTCTTTCTGATATCGGTGGTTTTGTCAACACTGTTGGTCGACAAGCTTATAGCATATGTCGCTTCTACAGAAAATGTCGCTTAATTGCGCCATCCACTATAGTTTCCAGCCAAATTCAAACTAAGACATAACCTTCCATAACAGTGACTGCTTTGCCTCTGAGCAGAACCCTCTGCTTCTCTTTGTCCAGGTGCACCTTCAACGTTCCCCCTCTGCTTGAAGCCTAAACACATTCCAATAATAACCAAATCTTTCTTCAGGAACTATTTAATACTCATCATTTTAAAATTGATCTCAAGTGTGTGTATCTGTGGAGAGAGAGAACCTGGTAGGCGAAGAAATCACACTTGTTCATCTTGAGGCTCCAGTAATGTGCTAAGGCACAATGCGCACTTCCAGTAACAGGGTCCTGAAGAGCCACACAGTTTGATCACACTTGCTCTTCAGTGAAAATGACTAAATGATTATTACCTCATTGATTCCGAATCTTGGGGCAAAGTAGCGACTACAGAAATCAAAAGTAGACCCAGCAGAAGCAGAGGCAGTCACCATCATTCCTTCACAAGGGCATTTCGATATCTCATCTAATCTTGGCTTCAAGTCAATGACAGCTTCCCAAGATGAAAGCACAACCTGCAAATCAATCGAAAACAATAGAGATTTGGTTCAATGGCGCCGCCTTAGCAAGAAAGAAATGGAGACAGTAGTTGATAAAAATATATTTACGAGGATGTCCTTCTTTGTGGCTTTAACATCAACAATGGTAGCTCCATTCAAGGCTTTGGAGAACAAAGAGAGATCATCATCAATGTAGTTGGCTTCAAAAGTAGGTACAACAGGGAAATCCAATTCGATTTCATCATCAATTTTGAGATGTTTAGCTGTTAGAGTCCCTGATAATGTGTCGAACTCAACTGTTTCTGAATCAATCAAACCAGTTGAGAAGAGAACGTGAGCAGATGCTAAAGTTGCATGACCACACAAATCCACCTGCACACAAAACATAAAAAAGCTGAGAGATTCACTAGAGCCAGTGAATGAGTACAAGAAGTTATCTGGATCTCTATCAAGTCAATGATAATAAGTCAACCGAACAATTCCGAATTCAAAAATATAGCAGCCATTAGCGAGCTAACCTCAGCGACTGGAGTGAACCAACGGAGACGGAATCGAGGGAAGTCTCCGATGATCGAAGTGAGGAAACAAGTCTCGGAGAGGTTGAACTCTGCAGCAAGAGACTGAAGCCACGCGTCGTCTCTCTCGTTATCGTCGTCTAGAAAGCAAACAGCAGCTGGATTCCCTTTGAAGGCAGATTCAGCAAATGCATCAACAATGAAGTACTTGACTCTCTTCTTCTCCGCCATTTTTTGTTTGACCACCCAAGCTTCTTTTTTTTTTATTGGTGATTATTTTTGCTTCACTCTCTAAATATACATAACGTTTATATAACTTGTGAACATCTACAATGATCAAATGCTATAATAAAAAATCCGGCTAGTTTATATTCTTTTTTTTGTAAAATGCAGTTAGTTTTCACATGATTTTTATACAAATTGAATTTGGAAAATCCCTAACGATTAAATGACGAGATCTAAAATGCGTTTAGTTTTACATCGTTTTGTAAATTTAGTTTTATTTAAATTAACATCTATGAGAAAAGAAAATATAACTTTTTTAAAATAAACTGAAAATTTTGAATGTTAAATTGACATTTTCATGCAAAAATAAATTGAACTTGTGAAACCTATCAAATGACAAAGTTAAATGACATGATCCAAAATCCGGTTAGTTTTTGCATCGTTTTGTAAATTTAGTTTTATTTTTTTAAAAAACCTCAAGACTTACAGAACAAATGATGGGATGTTAAGTCCGGTTAGTTTTCGACGTATTTAAATTTAACACTTGGTTATGTTTTAGTTATATTTTTTTAAAAATTCAAAAAATAGTTAAAAATCAAAACAATTTAGTTAAAACATTATTTTTTAAAACCAATTAAAACATAACTAAGTGTTAAATTTTTATTACGAGAAAGCATCTTGACAACTAATGACATTATGTCTATGCTCGTTTAGTTTTCAACGTGTTTAAAATTTAACATTTAAAAGAATTTTTAAAATGTTTTAGTGAAATCCACATAGTTTTAGTTAAAAATATTTTTTTCTTAAAGTTTAAGTGTTAAATTTGTTTTAAATTTTAATCAAACTATCTATTATTTTTAAAAAATGAGTTTTAAGTGTTAAATCTATATCACGTGAAAACAAGCCGAAGTTCGAACACCAAAGCTTACGGACCAACTAAGGACAGGATGCCTAGGCGCGGTTAGTTTTCGACGTGTTTAAAATTTAACACTTAAACTAATTTTTAAAAAACTTTTAGTGAAATTAACATGGTTTTAGTTTTAAAACACGTTATTTTCTTAAAATTTAAGTGTTATATTTGTTTTATATTTTAGTAAAATCACTATTATTTTTAAAAATGAGTTTAAGTGTTAAATCTATATCACGTGAAAACATGCCGAACTTTGAACACCAAAGCTTACGGACCAACTAAGGATAGGATGCCTAGGCGCGGTTAGTTTTTGACGTATTTAAAATTTAACGCTTAAACTAATTTTTCAAATTTTTTTAGTGAAATTAACATGGTTTTAGTTTAAAACACGTTATTTTCTTAAAATTTAAGTTTTTCATTTGTTTTAAATTTTAGTCAAAATCACTATTATTTTCTAAAAATGAGTTTAAGTGTTAAATCTATATCACGTGAAAACATGCCGAACTTCGAACACCAAAGCTTACGGACCAACTAAGGACAGGATGCCTAGGCGCGGTTAGTTTTCGACGTTTTTTAAAAGTTAACACTTAAACTAATTTTTAAAAAGTAAAAGTGAAATTAACATGGTTTTGGTTAAAAATATTATTTTCTTAAAGTTTAAGTTTTAAATTTGTTTTAAATTTTAGTCAAAATCACTATTATTTTTAAAAAATGAGTTTAAGTGTTAAATCTATATTACGTGAAAACATGCCGAACTTCGAACACCAAAGCTTACGGACCAACTAAGGACAGGTTGCCTAGGCGCGGTTAGTTTTCGACATTTTTAAAATTTAACACTTAAACTAATTTAAAAAAAAGGTAATAGTGAAATTAACAAAATTTTTGTTAAAAGTATTATTTTCTTAAAGTTTAAATGTATTATTTAAAATTTTAATTAATTATTATTTTTAAATCATTAGTTTAATTGTTTTAATTAACAGTTAATCTTTTTAAACTTATTCATTATTTAAACTAATCTTAAAGAAAAATAAAAGGAAACAAAAACAAAAATAAGAATGAAGAAAGTAATCTATACTATTAATTGGGAAGCATTGGATAATAACTAACCTTATAAAGTGTAAATAATTACAAAGGATTGCCATTAGAATTTTTTGATTCCACGACTACATAAAGAATTTCGGCAAGGGGTAAAATGGACAAACGTTATGAAAAAGGGACGCGGATCTTGGATCATGAAGTCGGATCTCGGGTCTTTATCATTAGCAGCCCGATTTGTTTGATGAATGATTATATTGGGCTTACGAAGAATAGGCCCGATCAAATAGGCCCAATCGGATATACTGTTATGGTGTGAAAATAATAAACACAGTCAATACATTTATTAAATATTACCATAACAACCAAATCTATTTATGAGAATTATAATCTCTCTACTCCTATATTTCTATAACAACCCAATCCTAATATTACAGTTAATAAAAAAAACTTATTGATTTATATTCCATTCCATTTATTGTTGTTTACCACAAATAACAAAATCCGATTATTGAAATATCCATTTTAGATTCAATATCTTCAAAAATCATTCCATAACAACTAAAACTATAAATGCGAATTTTAATGAAAATGTTCACGGATAAATCTTTGGGATCTCAATCCCGCATATTCCCTATATCGACTGAAAACTAATTCTTCGAGATTACATTTCCTTAGTTAGTTTATATTTTAAATGATAAAATCTTTTCAAATCAACATTAATCTCGAAATTCAACCCCAAAATTCATAAACACAATACAAAAATTCGCATAATATCAAGCATATACCTTAAATATTCTAAAAGATTTTTATCCTCTTCCCCCGTAATTCTCTAAACCCTAGAAGAATTATAGACGACTTTCATTACTATAAATATAGGGTTTAGTTTTCTATTGAACTCACCTTTTCATTGTTTTACCTGTTCTATTCACGATCTCTCTAACAAAATGGCAGCTATTATACCATTCACCGATCTTGCTGACATCATGCCCATCAAAACACAATGGAGAATTCAAGTTAAGATTTTGCATTCGTGGACTCAATACACTCAATTCAAAGGGGAAATAGTGGAAGTATTCCAGAACCTATAAGACTAAGCATTGCAAGAGACAATTCTTCTAAGGGGTAAGAAACAATAACAAATGATTATTATCGTTTTCTGTTATACAATAATAATCATTACTCTTTTTTTTCTTTGAACATGTATAAGCTGGTATGGAAATAGACATTTGGAGTTACTGAAATCAGTTTTCAGTTGAAGAGATTATTTGAACCAAACTTATTATGTTCTTTTCTCAACTCTCTGTTTTAACAAATTCTGAAACATCTATTACCTATAACAGCAACTTTGTTTTTCAAAAGTTAGCTGTTAGATTTACAGCATATTAAGTAATATGAATAAGTATTTCAATTCTACTAATTCAAAATGAATAACAGAGTCTAAATACTCTGTTAATAGTAAAGATACAGAAGCAATATTTACATTGCTAATAATATCAACCAATAGCAGAAATTAACATTCATGTCAAACTCTAATATAGTAAAAACATTTAAGAAAATAATTGACAACTTCATGTTTTATATAACAAGTCTACAATTTCAAAAAGAGATAACATACTCTAAACTATTTGTTGAACTAAAGAGAGATCTTTAATTATGAAATCACTAACCTCTACTGAAGCTTCTATGCGTTGAATTGCTACAAAGGAAACATCAAATCTGCCTCATCCAGAATATTTCAACTGCAAACTGATGCTTGGACTGTAAACAATGAGCAAACAAAAAGGAAAATTTTATCAATTTTGAAAACATACGATGACAAAACAATGTTTTAATAACAATTCTACTAATTCATAAAGAGTGACAATAGCTAAATATTATTATGGATTAAACCAAATTTTAATACTTAACAACTAATTAACCTTTAACATTGCTTCCAGATTCTGTTATGGCTTCTAAAGGACATCAAATTTGCCTTCTCTAAAAGAATAAAACTCGAATATTTTGCCTTATTTGTAAACATTGAATTTTGTATAATCAGCACCATATATATATGTATAAACACTGTTTCTTAGGTAAGAGCCGTAATAGAAAACTTAACTTTGTAAATCGTCTTCCTTAGACAAAATCATCACATTTCTAATTATCTGAAATCAATTTAGGAAACAAAATCTATTGTCTAAATCTATACAAAATCAAATTTTAACCTCTATTAACTCCAACGCTTTGAAGATTTATGTAGATAGATTGAGTTACCCGGTTAAACACAAAAATTATAGACAATCAATTTCGGATCTAAACAACAAATATAATTGAAAATACTTACTCATGCAAGTTCGTATATTCACAGTGATTGCCCAAGAACTCTGTTGAAACACAGAATTTCAATGATTATAAAATGAATCGACAGATTTTTAAAATAGATTGATTGAAGAAGAATCTTTAAAAACCTTACCTTTTTGAAGAATTCCCGAATCTGATATGAAAATTTGATATACGGAGACGTACTAGGTTGATTATCGACAATTTTGTCATTGATTAAAAAATCGAATAAACTTCTGATTTGTAGGGTTTCGATTACTTTGAAGACGATAAGACAAAGAATGTTTCTTCGAATCTTATCTGTCCAAAATGGAAAAAAAAAACACAAGTAATATATTGAATAAAATATAAAAACGAAACCATGGATCTGTTATTACGTAGATCCATATGTCTTCAGGATCGAAACAATTCTATTAGTAAATGGATCTCTAAAAATGCCGGCCCAAAAAAATAAAATGGTAGTTCATTAATGGGCCATTCATGGGCCATTATAGTTTAAATAATCGTTTACATTAATGACCATTGCATCAAATTACAAACAATAATTTTGTTTCACCAAATAAATAATTTTATAGTTTAAGAAATAAAAATATTCAATATAAATCAAAATCAAAACTCAATCTTACAAATATTACACACCAATTTTACAACTTTCTAAATAATTCAACAAAACCAAACAAAGATATCCATTCATTCACCAAACACAAATTACTAAATTCTTCCTAATCTTTCTTTCCAAACTTTTAAACCAATAAAAAAAATAAACTAACATACCAATTTTGATTTCA